CGGCGCTAGCAGAATATCCGTGTAGATGAAGTTTCAAACGGGTCTCCTTCCCTCACTCAACCCCTGACCCTCGCATAGCTGCTGGGAACAGAAAAGTGTCATTATCGAATAAAGGATGGAGGGTGGACGGATAGGACCAAAGGGGCGTCGAGCAACGAGAGCCTGTAGATGGCTTCTTGTTGGGTTGACGTTCTCGCTAGCGGCGGACGACCAAGTGAGGTGTGTCTGGTGAAGACGCACTTCTGGGCCTTGATTGGTTGAAGACAAGTGGTCCAGAATAGGCCCCTGGTCCATTTCCATTCCACCTGGTGGAGCTGAGTATAAAGAATAACCTCTAATTGGCTTAAAATGAGAAGAAAACGGAAGGAATAAAGACCAGTTAGATTCTCCCAAACTCAAGTAGCAGGCAGACGGAGGTGAGTGAGAGGAGGCCGATGAGACGGAAAGACCGTGAGATGATGACAGGGGCATGAGAGGGATGAAAAAGGGGCGCAACCGTCGTGAGCTTGCTCGTCCGAGTCGTGGAGACGCTTCGTCCCGCAGAAGCTAACCGGGAGCTAGTGGTGACAATCTCTTTGTTTTTTGTTTTACTCCCCCCCATATGTCTCGGCGAGGACAAGAGATTATCAAATCGATCCAGCCACTCAGGAAGACCCGTTCAAAGACACGATGATGGGCAACATCGCCGTCCATGAAAGGCGGAAGCAGAGTGCAGAGTGCATATTGGCCAAGACTCGGGACAAGTGAAACTGGGGCCATGGAAACGGGCGTTGGAAGAAAAGAACGCGTCAGTCTTCGGTCGTGAGCCAGGACCGTGGGTATCCACCTTCGTCTTCCCACGTTCGTCGTTGATGTGTGGAAAAATGTACGGGGGTGACACAGATTCAACTTTGTAGGAACCGTCCGGCTGGGTTAATCTTCCCTGACAAAGCCGTGGGCGTGAGTGCGGGTATAGGGTGAGAATAGAACTCGCCGCGGGAAGAAGGAAACACGAGAACTGAAAGAAGCCGCCGGACCAACTGGCTTCATGCGCGGAGTCGGCTGAAAGTTGGGAGGGTGTGTGAACGTACTACGATGTCAGCACAGGTACGAGTACGCTGCAAGTTGCGATACTCTGTACAACGTACTACCGTCGAAACCTTTTGCGCTTCTAGCCGCTTGGTGCAATGCGCGGTCGTCCCACGGTCAAGTGTTGCCCGGCTGAATCGGTGGAGCTTCTCGCTAATCGGCAAAACCCTCGGTGTTAATTGCCAAGCAAATTCCCAACGTTGCCGCCATGGAAGAGTGTGCGAAGAACGGAGTACGAAGCAATATCTTCCATACACTGTCCTCGTGACCTCCAAATTGATCGTCAGCCGTCCGTACGTATCTGGCGCGTTGTCACGAGGCCGGTTGGCTTCCAGTCACATGAGCGAGGGGTCTCCATTTCTTGGCCGCCGCTCACCGGAATAAGGTAAGGTACTCAAAAGAACAAAACAGCCAAGAGCTAGCTCAAGTGCCGTGCTCTGAGGTCTCCCCGTACAGACCTTGTCTGTGGACCTCTTACCTCTGCGTGTCTTGGAAGTTCATGCTTGGAGGCCAGGTCGCAGATCTGTTCCGTGAAAATGACATCCAACCAGGTCTAACCGGCGCGAAGGGCCGATACATTCTTCCCATAAAGGCAGGCCGCTGTCCAGTGAGCGAATGGCGGTCTCAACGCGGCGGACACAAGTGGCGGCAGCGCCGATGTTCAGATGGGACTGGCGGTGACGGCGCAGTGGTAGTAGTAAAATGGACAAGCCTGACATGGAGCAAATAAATGGGAATTGTTGTGAAGATCCAAGAGGTACGAAGGTTGTACATTCGCGTGTACATCCAAATAGGGAGAAGCGCACCCTAAAACCGTCTCTGGCGCGTGGCGCAGTCAACCTTTAGCGCACTTAGCCACGCGGCTTCACCCGAACATTTCGTGCCGCGCAGATACACGTGTACATTGAGAATTATTCGCAACCTGAAGCTTTGGGATCCCTCCAGAGACACCAGACAAGACGAAAAAAAAAAGAAAGAAAAAAAAAAAAGGAAAAAAGGAAAAAAGGAAAAAAAAGGAGCCACTCGGTACCTCCACAACCATGCCCAGCTGAAACGAAACATCGCATTTGCAATCGCAATGACGTAGTCAGTTGTCGCTCACCCTACGGATGGGATACCTACAGTGTTCCAAAGCCCGCATATGCCGACGCAAGGTAATGTGATTCGGCTTCGGCCGACTTACCCAGATACGGAAAGGAAAGCCTCGAGATATTTCGTCGAACCCCCCCCCCCCCCCCGGCGCGCCCCAAGAGTGCTGTCTCTCTACGGAGTATTCTGCCCGAATCAGAAGGGAAAGGAAATGGAAACGTTCGTCTACATTAGTTGAGCTACCTTTAAACGTGGATGCAAAGTAGAATGCGAAACCGTGCTTTCAAAAAGAAGAAGATTGATGCAAACATCGTTCACGCCCGAGGCTCTCGTCCAAAGTCTTGTCAAACATTCAGGACGACCTGTTATCATACATACATGCTCTCCCCCGCCCCTCACCCCTCACCCCCTAGCCTTCTAAGCATATCTATCTATTCATGATGGGTCATACAATCTTCATCGCTCGTCTTGGTAAAGGATCCCATACACGTACGCTAATGATTAGGTTCCATTCCAGCCCGGCCCCTCGGCAGCCCGATCGTCATCCACAGCTGGCTTCGCGACTTTATCCTACAGAGACGTCACGGCCCTCTCTCTGGACGCCCTGTATCGGCTGCTGCTCCTCTGCGAGTTGGCTTCCGGCCGCGGACCCTGACGGCCCCTTCTGCACGGTAGGAGATGACGCCCCATCCCTTCTCCCCATCTCTGCCACGAGGCGCGTATTCTGAGTCTGCAGCTCGCCAACCTGGGCTTTGAGCGCCTCGACCTGCTTCAGCGCGATATCCCGCTCGGCGCGGACGCGCTGGAGCTCGAGACCGATGTTGGCCTTTTCTTCCCGCTCGGCCTGCTTCCGGCGACGCTGTTCCGCTTTGCGCTCTTCGCTCTGCCGCTTCTCCTCGAGCCGGCGGAGCTCGCGTTGGTACTTCTCCTCTTGCTTGGCCATCTCGCGCTCGTGCTTCCCGCGCAGCTTGGAGAGGGCGCTGGCGTCCTTTTGGGCGTCCTCGTCCCGCTTGGTCGCGATACGGCTCTGCAGCCGCGCCAGTTTGTCGTTCACCTTATTGCGGCGGTCTCCGAGCTTGCGGAGGTCCTTCTCGTACTGCGTGTTGGCCTGCGTGAGGGGCTTGCTGGTGGTGCTGGGGCTAGACTCGTTCGAATTGGACTGGATTGAATTGGCATCATCGCAACCATGCCGGTCAGCGGTGGCCCCGGCTCCGACACTGCTGCCGTCGGCGTTGCTGTTGTCGATGCGGTCTGATTGCGGAGGTTCGACTGCGGATGTGAAGGACCTCAGAGAGGAAGCGTCGCTCTGGTCATCCGTGGAGTCGTTTTCTTCCTCGGGTATCGTCTCACTGCTCGCATTGTTTCCATTCTGAAAGAACCCCGGCAGGTTGTTTGGAAGTTTGCTAGCGACGACCGAGCTGGCCATCCCAAAGGCCCCCAAAAGGATCCCGTAGAGGCCGTTACTGCTGGCAGCGGCGTCAGAATCCTCCGATCCATGCGACCCCTGCCGTTCAAACGATCGCCTTGGCTTTCCGCTGTCGCCATTGTCGTCGTCGTCCGGAACGAGATTGGACGTGGGCTCCAAAGCGATTTTCTGAGCACGAGACTCCGTCTCCTCGGCGTGCAGAGCGTCCGCTTTGGCGCGGTCCGATCCGGCATGCTCGTGCTCTGGACCGGAAGCGAATTCTCGCGCAGACTTGGAAGTGAGCCACTTGAGGAACTTGCTGGCATCGGAAACGATTCCACCAGGAGTTCCTCTTTCGACCATGAACCGGGGCACGGTGCCTCCGGGGTCGCTCCGGGTGATCATGAGCCACTCGATAGTCGTGGGAGACTCATCCCCGTCGCTTGCAGCACCGCCTGGACCATGTACGGCGTCACCTCGTGCATGGCTGTCGCCCGTGGAGGCCGCAGATTCGCCTCGGTTGAGGCCGTCATCATCCTTCTGGGGTTCGGCCGTGCGTTGAGCTGCTCGAAGGACGGCTTGTTTCCCCATGTCCTCGGCGATGGACTGGCGCCTGTCCTTGTCCGTGCCGAGATCGATAGACGACTTTGATCTGCGAACTGCCGGCTTGTCGGAGGGGATCTCGCGAATGATTTCGACTGATTCGTACTGACCACGGATATAACCTTCGCGTGGGGGACACTCTGGGTGGTGACACGGTTTTGACACGACCATGAAAGATCGCAGCGGCCGACTAGATCCCATAGATGAAGGGGAAGTTGGTGGGTGGTGAGACGCCTCGCCGGTCAGGACGAGGGTGACGAAGTCTCGCGGTGTGGTCGGACCGGGAAATTGAGCTGACAACTGAAAGACTGAAAACACGATTTTGTTAGCAGGACTGTACGAGAGGTGCAACCAGAAGAAACTTTGGAGCAACTTGTTTGGGGAAATAATACAAGAGACAATGAGAAAGGGAATACCATACCTTCGGCCTTACCAACATCCTCCAAAAGGTGATGCTCGACCCTCTTGTCGGCGCCGATGCCCCGAATGCAACCAGCACCAGGGCCATCCTGAACCTTCATAGATTCGGCAAACTCCCTCTCAAGACCCAGCTTCCATTTCTCGAAGGACAGACCGTCGTGAACGCTGCGGCGAGCAAACCAGGCGCCCCGGCCGTCCTTGGCAGCAAGCTTGTAGACATTGATAGAGAGGGGGTTCTCGCGCGAGTTGATCTTGACTGCCTTCCACTCCTTCATCAGGTCCTGCACCAGCTTAAGGGAGGCACCGGACTGGCGGGGCGAAAGCGAACGGTTGATCGCGGTCGACGGGGTCGGGGGGTCGGTATGGGAGCGGGCGCGGCGACTACTTGAGGTTGACTTGGTGGCCTTCTGGAGGGTTGAAGGCACCGGGAGAGAGTCGATGATTGTCTGGGCGTCTGCGAAGGTCTCGGTGATCAGGTCAGGCAGCTCCTCTGGGGAGACGGTGGTCCAGTCTGCCGGACCCAGTGAGTTAAGAGGTTCATGATGTGGGGGCATGGCGGTACGCCCGCAGGAATGCAGATTATGGTCGGTCGTTTAGTGTCCTTGAAGGGCTGTCGGATTTATGTGAGATGCGTCGGTATTGTATGTGGTGGCCGGAACGGCACACTCATAGCCTGTAGGGTCGCGAATTACAATAGGAGAAGTGGCAGAGAGATGTGAGACGAAAAGTCGCCAAAGAGGTTGAAAGGAAAAAGATAAGAAGAAAAAAAAAGGACGAGAGCTAGGTGGGTAGTAAAGGGAAGAAGAGCAAAAGGAAGTTCGTGATGTTCTCGTTTTTTGATGTCTTGTCGATGGTTGTTAGGGAATTTGGAGTTGGGGTTCTTCCTTCTGGATCTTGCTGTTTGGTTCCGTCATACGGGTAACGACAGTGCCAGCGGCGTCAAGAGGTAAGCCAAGTCGCTAATTCCCGATGCAAGTATACATGAGGGCATTCCTTCGTCAGGGGTGACCGTCGCTCTGGGAAACTGTACACCATGAACGTCTGCCTGTAAGTACCTAGGTAGTTCGTGTGACGACGGGTACGTAATAAGATACCTTTTGGACCTCCCCAGATGCTGCGGGTTGACGTCACTATTCCCAAGTCGTGATGACTTTGAGACGAAATCGCGAATCGAAGCAAAGGTACCAAGTTCGTACAGCGAAGGTAATAATGAGGAGTAGAAAAGTAAAAAATGATCATGGACGCATTCAAATTCCAAGAGTATCCAGATACATTTCAACAAAAAAAAAAGAAGAAAAAGGAAGAATATTATGTTGAAATTAGGCAATTCGAGGAATAGAACGACAAAAATAATAGTCCGACAGAGACAGGATTCGAACCTGTGAGGCCGAAGCCATATGATTTCTAGTCATACCCATTAACCACTCTGGCACTCTGCCATATTTATTGATTTGTCAGGTGCTGAACGAAGACCATGTAGGAGACAGCACGCCAAAAGTGGGTGGGGTGTCCAACCCCCAAATGATTCTACGGGGCCGGTGGATCCCGGATCCGGGAGTACGGGACTCGGTGCCGACCCAGCTCACAGCGGAGCGAGTGGACATTGCGAAGTAACTAATTCACATATATTTCTTCTCGGGCGCTTCTGCTGTCTTACACACCTATTCTACACCACCCGCTCATACTTTACGAGGGACTGACTGGTTCCCCCCTCTCCTATAATCCCATGGGGCCCCTCGCCTCCTTCGCCCGCAGCTGTTCCCGCTTACAACTCCCACAGTAACTCTCGTGCCACCCCCGCAACACTGCCCTCCTCTCGCTTTCGTTCTGGTCCTCACTCCAATCCATCCCCGGAAGCATCACCTTCTGGTCCTGCTCTTGATGCGCCCCTGTCGTCTTGGCCCTGTCCTTATCCTTGTCCTTGTACTTCGCCTTCGCCTGATCCCCACCTTTGCCCCCCTCGTCACGGTCCAACACCATCTTGAGCTGATCGCACCGCGCCGTCTCGTCCGTCAACCAGACCTCCCACTCCGACTCGATCATCTCCCGCTCGATGCTGTTGACCACCCGCATTGCCACCACGAGGTCGTGTCGGTACGACCCCAGTCGCTGTCGTGTCTGTCGGATGCGCTGTGCCGCTGCTTGACCCCAGTCCGAGGAGAATGATGACCTGACGTTCTCGTACGGCGCATCCATGTCCGTTGCATTGGTTAACTGCTGGAACGCGGCGTAGCTGTAGATAATCGCAATGGGTTAGCTTGAACGACGAAAGCAACGCAAACAAATAAGGGTCGAAAAGAAAAAAAAAAGAAAAAGAAACAAAAAAGTCCCACGTCCTTCCAATGCTTGACCTTCGGAAGGATTACGTAGACTCACCATGCACTATCCCCCGAATGATTCAGGGACGCCGTAGCCCCCGTCGCCTCGGGAAGGTCAGCCAGGTAGATGGCCCTGCTCATCACCGTATTCGGCCCCACGCCGATGCGGTTCATGAACTGCGCCGTCCGCCTCTCCGACCACCACGTCGACGCCTCCCTGGACGCCCAGAGCAGGTTCGTCGTGACGCTAAGGCCCAGCAGCAGGAACAGGAGCCGGTGCGCCGTCAGCACCGTGAACGCCTTCTTCAGCGCCGCGAACGACCACAGAATGACCGACGTCACCGCGCTCTCCCCGAACGACCGCGCCGTCTCCAGCAGCATCGCCGTCAGCGTCCGCGGCCTGATCACCTGCCCCTTCGCCGTCGCCGTCGCCGCCGCCGCCGCCTCCGACTCCGCCGGCGTGAACACCAGCACCTGTTTCTGCTGCCCGATGTGCCCGTACACCTGGATCGCCCGCTTCGTCCGGCTGTGCGGCCCCAGCTTTCGCACCTGGTCCGTCGCCAGCTCGGCCAGCTCCTCCGCGTCGCCCCTAGCGTCGTCCAGCGCCTGCCGCTCCACCAACCGCCACGAGAGCGCCGGGGTCTTCGCCCAGTCCACCCGCGTGTAGATGGCCAGCTTGCACTTGGACTTGGCCACGTGCGTCACCACCACCTTGACCACCAGCTTCAAGTGTTGCGAGTGCGGGAGGTGCCACGCCGTCTTGACGTGCGTCACCACGTATGTCACGTGGTCCTCGAACACCTCGATCGTCTGGTAGTCCACCACGTCCGCCGACTTGGGCCGCCCGAGCATGTCCGTGTAGTCGACCCGAAACTTGAACTCACGCCGCATACGCCCGTGCTCCCCCGTCGTCCACGGGCCCTGCACAACCCGCTGGGCTCGCCGTTCGAAGTACAGTTTGGGGAACACGAAGCTCTTGTCCCCAAACAGCACGTGAAAGCATGCCTTGGCGCTCATCTCGAAATTCCGTTCCGCCACTTTGCGCTTCATGTCGTCCGGTTCGAACACCACTGGGTGGGTCGGCAGCTGGAACTTGCGCGACGGCCGAAGGTTATGACGCCCTACGTGTAGCCTGGGGCCGACCGCATGCGGCCGCGTCGGACGCTTTGCGCCAACGACCCCGCCGTTGTCAACGGGGCTGTTAGGCGACGTTTCTTCCCAGCTAGCGGCGCTGGGGCTCCGCAGTACGTTGTCTTCATGCTCGAGATGGGTCAAAGCCGTCACAAGCTCGTCCAGGGTCATGGGCTCTTCGGCTTGAAGGTCGTCCACCAACAGGTTCAAGCGGGCATGGAGGAGAGCGAGGTTCTCCAGGAATACTTTGATCGTGATGCTGTCGTAGCCCGTCTCGTTCGAGACGCCGCTCTTCAGATGCAGAATAATCGAGTCGCAGTCCCGTCCTGGTGCTGCTGTGACCCCGGCGATGACGTCCAAGCTTACGGTGTACGTCACGACAACGCCCAGCTGGTGGCCGTAGAAGTACATGTTGTCGGGCGTCGCGAAAATGCGGCCGTTACCGGCGAACTCCCCGTGGCTGCTGGAATCCGCGCTAGAGCTGATCCAGGCGGCACTGAACACGAGCACGAGTTTGTCGTCGAGCAGTACTTTGGGGAAGAGCAGCCTGAAATTAGGGTGCTGGGCCTTGAGGTCGCTGGGGTAACCCGGCGGGAACGACTCGATCTGCTGTCTGGGCTGGATTTTTCGTTGTGTCGCCTTGGCGTCGACGCTGACTGTCTTACGATGGGTGCTAGGTTTGCGAAGCTGCTGCTGCTGCTGCTGCTGCTGTTGCTGTTGCTCCAGCTCCTCGGGCGTCCCCACCTCAGTCACGATCATGCCCATCGGGTTCTCTTCGAGTTGGGCTGGCGTACGTGGCGTACTACTACCGTGATCTGTGCCATACAGCATCCCCCATGGATTGCTGCCCCAGTAGTTGGCCATGACGGAAGCCGGCATGTGACTGGACGCGTCCAAGGCCAGGCCCTTGTCTCCCGTGACGAACACGGCCATCCGGCTCAGGGAAGTGGAAATGGGCGCCTTGGCCAACGTGGCCGGCGCCAGGCTTCCCCGGTACACTTCGAGGGGAGGGAACGTGGCGGTCTGGGCTACCTTGCCAGAGCCTTGGGGCGTACCAGAGGACGGGTAGCCGAGTAGTCCGTAGCTCGCGGCAGACACGAGACCGGAGATGCCACTGGTCGAAGGTGACAAGCCGGTTGCGCTCTTGGGCTCCCAGTGATCGCCTCCAAAAGTGGCCTTGCGGTGAAGATCGAGCTTCTGGATGATCCTGGCGGCGTGCTCTCGGCCAGTCTCACCCTCTTCACGAGCCAAGTCGCGGCCGAGGTCCCTCCCCAAGGCGGTGATGGACCGACGGCCCCCCGGGCCGGGCCCGGTCCCGGCGTTCACGTCAAAACTACTGCGCATGGCCAGGTTACCTTCCGCACCGTACACCGGCAAGGTGTTGACCCTATCGAGGGACATGGCAAGCTCTTCGGCCGATGTTTGTTGGATGTCCAGAGCCTTGGCGGATAGCTCAGGGACGGGGGCAGGGGTGATGTTGAAAGCAGGGTCCTGCGATGACGGGAGACCGGGGGAATTATCTCGATCCACGGACGCCTCAAATGCCCGCTTCTTGGCCACGTCAAAGACCTCGAGCCACTCGGTGAGCTCTTGTTGCGTCTCGGCCTGCAGGACGATGGTGTGGCTCTTGGTCTTGACCTCGAAGCAGAACCGCCGGTCCTCCGAAAAGGCAGGCTTCACGCTGCAAAGGAGAACTCCGATTTCGTCGCCTTGCAGCACACCATGGGCGGCCCCCTGGATCAACCATCCGAAGATGCCGTCGCGGCAGTAGTACCAGCGTCGCACCCAGCTCGTCCGAGCGGGCTTGCCGTAGACGCTACGTTTGAAAAGCCAGCCCTGCTTCTCCGAAACTAGGGCGGCTCCGTCTTCGGTCGGGAGATTGACGGGGCCCTTGGATCCCAGAAAAGGCACCGTCGACGAATTGTAGTCTTCGAGTTCGCGCGAAGGCTTCCAAGCCTGCAGCATACCGTGCGAGATGTCCCGGCGAGCCCTGTGGAGCTCTCTCTTAAATATGCCCTCGGTAGCTTCCATCTCTTTGGACCAGCCGCGGATGCGGTCCATTTCGTTGCCCCACCTGGCCGAGCTCGTGGCGGCATCGCGCGAGCGCCTCACCTCGTTCCAGAGGTCGGCGCTGATCCGAACGAGGAGCTTGTCGAGAGAGGACCGGACCTGAGGGGCCAGCTGACAGTAGTCCAGGGACGCGGCGAGGTAGGCCTTGCGGGCCTCGAAGACGGCGAAGGCATCCTCGCGAAGAGCGGACGGCTCCTTCGTCTTGAACTGCGCGACGTAGCGAGCCAGCGTCTGATCGAAATGTCTCTGGGTCTGTTCGAGCGACTTTCGGACTTCCTTGAAAGCCTTCATCTCCCCCGATAGGAACAGGCGGACGGGTTCGGCGGAAACCGAGTCCAGCTTCCTCATGGTGGACATGACCTGGGTCCACCATTCCCTCGAGCCGTCACTGGCCCTCCGGAGGGCGACGAGTGTATAGTCATGATCGATGATGGAGTCGGCGGCGGAAACGGCAACGGCAGCGGGCGGGAATGTCTTGGATATATAGGAGTTGATGGTCTCTTCGAGGGAGAGGATGTCGCGAGCTAGTTTGGCGGTAGATTTGACGAAGTCTTCAAGCCATCGCTCGACAACCTCAATCTGCTCTGCAAAGTGTGTGGAAGAGGCTCGGAATGTCGGGGAATCGAGACCGGCTTCATTCAAAGCGATAGGGATCGCATGGTTTGCACTCTGCGGCGCCGGCGCCGCGGTCGACGGCTCGGCCATTGGCCCGGGGAGGAGGTTCGAGGGGGTTTGATGTCGTGTGGCTCTGCGGCTTCAATTGATAGAAATGATAGTTTTGCAATTCGCAGTATGAAGAGAGTAGAAGAGTATGGGGGTAGCAGTGCAATGCAATGCTGCCCGTCCCCTTAGGTCAAAGCGGCATGCATGTTGAATGAGGACGAAAGGAGGGAGGAGGAAGGAGTGAAGCTTTTCCATCCTTCGAATAAGCTTCAGGAGCAGCAGGTGGAGGTGGGAATGACGTTGACCGTCCGTCTCTGGTACGTACCTAGGTACATTCTACATTCCAGTCACTGCCTACTGGTAGCACGTGGCACCAACCCACCACCCCACCCCCTCCAGTTATGAAGTACGTACCTATGTCAACACAGCGACACCGACAGCGACAGAGACAGCAACGACAACAGCAATGAGACAGTATTGATGGCATTCCCCTTCCCTATTAGCCAGAAGGCTACGATATGACAGGTTCCTGGCATCTTATGGGGACCTCACAATATACGAAGCACACTCATACCGCCAATGCCACCTCTAGTAGCCCCCTGACCGCATACCTCATGCTCTCGTCTATTTATCTTAGTCGTAAATCATCACCTGCGACCGACCTCCCAAAACTCCAGATCCAGCCCAGCCCCTTCCTTGAAATGCATGCAGTCGACTAGCCTGCCACTACCGCCGCTACGCTTCCAAGAGTTTGAGGAGCAGCCCGTGGAGTCCCTGTCTGGGACCGACCTCCTTCAGTGTCTCCAGCTGACCCGCGATACCGCCACCGGATCCCGTCCCATCCACGCCGACACCGGTTTTGACGAGGGCCACAGCGGACAGAAACACGCGAGCACACACCGCATACGCAGCCGGGAGCGACGTCCAACCCAGCGCTCCGTCGCGGTGTTGCGTCGCGTGGTCCAGGATGGCGGCCAACCCAGCGACGGTCCATTCCTCCAAGGCGCGATCGATCCCGGCAACATCCGGATCCGCCGGATGCGGGAGGGAAATGAAGACAGTGGTCCAGCGACGCGACTCGCAGACCTCATCGATGTAGAGGTTCTGTTCCTCTTCTGCGAAAAGGGCGTCGTCGAAGTGCAGTGCCTCTGCGAGCTGGTCGGGAGCCGGCTTCCAGGTGGATGCCGTCTTGTCTGGCGAGGCAACATTTGTCCAGCCTCCTCCTGCTGCTGCTGATACTGAACCTGCGATGCGGCTCGCCACGAGTGCACGGAATGCGGGGACGTGGCCGAAGGACGAAGCAAAAAGGGAGAGGAGACGATCTGCGGCTTCGAGGGGGATGAGGTTGGCGTTGGATAGGAGAGGGCGGGCGGCTGCAGCGGCGAGGTCGCGCACTTCGTCGTCGTCGTCATTCAGGGCGTCGTAGAGGGCTACGAGAGCGGGGAGGTAGGACTGGTGGTCGGTCGGGGAGACGGGTAAGGGGGCAGCGAAGAAGGACTTGAGCGACTGGGCTGCTGCAAACCGAGTGTCGAAGGGCTATTGAAAGAAACGCAAAATTCTAGTCAGTGGGAGGCAGACAAAAGAGGGACGATAAAGAAGGGAAGAGTGGTTGGCCTGTACCTGATCTTCGTGGCCAGCGTCTACGATCATAGCACTCCAATTAGTGAGGTCAAGGGGCGTACCGTCCTCTCCCCTCAGGAATGTTGTTGCCATGATGCATCCGCTGAGACGTAGAATAGCGTTGGATAAGGTGGGATTCATTGGCCGTTTGAAGCTGCCAGCCCATACTTCCTCCAAGTCGGGCGCAGAGGGGATGGAATCTAACGAGCCGTTTCGGATGAGACTGTCCACCATATTGGCAAGGTTCTCTATAGCAACCGCACGTGACTCTGGGGAATCTGTCGCATGGCATACCGCTATGAACAGACGACAGAGCCTTGCGGTAACCTTGGGGTCGATTTCTTCGTGATACAGCCTCGGGATCGCCTCCAGCATAGCGACACTTGCCTCCGGACTCGATGATACCGTGGCGAGCGCTTCCAAGGTGAGTTGCTCAACGTCTCCTGTCTCCCGTGATTCGTATGCTTTCTGAACGGCGAGCTGCTTGTCCAAAAGTGCACCGCGAACAGGGTTTCTCGTCAAGGATCCCAATTCGGGCTGCTTTTCCGAGCTACCGGTGTCAAGGGTCGAAACTTGGGCGCCGTCCTCGAGCCCGGACACAAGGTTGAGGATCTCCGCATAAGCGGCATGAATCTCAGGACAACGGAGAAAGATACCAGGGTTGTCATCGTAGAGCTGGATAAGCAGATCTAGTAAGCAAGATACATCTCCTTATGAAAGTTGAAGTTGAGTGTCAGTCAGGCAGAATCCAAACACATTCCGGGCAAGCGAGAGCCAACTTACTGCGCGCCAAATCGGGCATGACATTTGTCAATCTGTCGAAAACGTATTTGATGGTCAGGAGAACCCCGTGGAGCCGGTTAGCTGGGGAAGCCCTGCTCTCTCCTGGTGCACTGGTGATTCCTCGCAACGCTTGCACCCAATCGTGGCGGAGGAAAAATGAACACAAAGCCCGAGCCGCCATCTCCCGAACATGCCAAACGGAACTCCCAAGATATTCGGAAATGAGATGATACAGCTCATCCCGTGATGTCTCGGGAGGACCGGCTCGTCGAATGATGTCCAGAGCCGGAAATACGGCTTCGGCCGCTATGGTGCCGGTGCTAGGCTCCATCGCGCCCCTCCCCGATTTAAGAAGGTGCAGAAGAACGACTGGGAGGACCGGGTATCTAAGATAATGGATCTTCGCCGCCTTGCCATCCCACCCCGCGTCCATCATGGACTTGCTTTCATGGGTGCCGAGGAGGTTGTCGATCAGACTCCGCAAGAGCAGCAGTCCACTATTGCGGATTGCCCAACTGAAAAGAAAACGGGACCAGTCAACATACTTGTCCCGCCTCACATCCTTGAGAAGGGTACAAGGAACAGGAACGAGAACGGGAACGAGAACGGGAACGAGAACGGGAACGAGAACGGGAACGAGAACGGGAACGAGAACGGGAACTGAAACTTACACTTCTGACTTCATGCATCCAGCAGCAAGTTCGAGGCACTGGGGGATGTGTGCCTCAGTTTTGCCGAGCTGTGTTAGTTGAGCGCTCTTGAAAATATCCTTCAGGCAGTTGAGAGCATGGACCTGTGGCAGATTGGAACCGTCCGTCTCCGAAACTCGTGCCCCCTTGCTAGCAATTCGGACCAAGTCTGCTATGACTTTGTCAAATGACGGAGATTTGTCGTTTGCCGAAAGGATACCGGTCAGCATGGCAGGGATACCAGCAGATCTTCGAGTCGTAGAGGCGTGGGTGAGAATGCATTTCAGGCTGCCCTGCAATGATTGTGAGAAAAGGGGAGCAGAAAAGAGAGAAAAGACGGGTTGGATTGTTGCTTACTTCATACCAGGCGTCCAACAGAGTTTGGTTCTCTAACAGTCCGGCTGGTATGGAATCCAAATGCTTCACCAACTGGCAGCATGTTGCAAACGTCAGGGATACTGTCGTGAAAGCACCGCGGTGTCGCAAGTATGTCAGTTGCTCAAAGGTCAGAAACCCGACTGCCGCGAAGACATCCACTGAAGGTCTGAATCTCCACCCTTCCGCTTTGGGTTTCAGGGGTAAGACCATCACGCGCATAAGATTGCTAACAGATTGTCAGGGTCAGGACACAATATAAAGCTTCCGGGGCATGTCATACCTGGACTCATGGATAGCTCGGAAACTATAGCTGAGTAAGTCTTTCGTGTCGAGGCCATCCACTTCTTCAAGCTCCTGAGGCAGATGACCCTCCGGGGAATCATCACAGAGCACGTGTCTCACGACAGTCCAGACGCGCTGGCAGCAATTCACAATCCGTTCTTGCAGAGTCCTCAACTTTTCGGCCTCGCCTTCGGATGACTCCGTTTCTATCGCAGCTTGCCACACGAGACTGGACACTTTATGAGCAGGGACGTCAATATAAAAGCCGCAGGGTCCCAGGCTTACCAGAGAGAGGCAAAAGTGTCATGTGTTGGTGCTTCCAAGACAGCTCGTCCTAAATCAAGCTCTGCAAGGGAAAGTTTGGTTTCAAGCTGATCCACCAGGCCTGACACGACAGCCAGGCGCTCGCTTTGTCCTGGTCGGAGTCTGCACAGGAGCTCATAGGACCTTGCCACGCCATCAGCATGGTCAGCCCGGCCGGTTCTCGTAGACAGCTCCTGTGCTCGCGCCAAGAAGTCGCCGATCACAACAGAGATGCCCTCAGAACCATCGAACCGCGTATCTGAAAAGAGCAACTTCAAAACATCGGTGCCGGTTTGTCTGACATCTTCAAAGTCATCTATGACCCGATCTAGGACTGCACGGATCCATGTGGCATCAAACGACGCGAAGAAGGGGACGTCGTCCTCGTCCGTCTCCCATGTCTTGAAATCATCCAGTTCCAGCTTGATGACTAGCAGGGTCGTTCTAAGGATCGAGCTGTGGCGCTGATACGACGCTGTGGGTGTAAGCTCGGATTTCAAGAATTCGAGAAACCAGAGCAAGAAGTCCTTGTGTTGTGTCAACGACAGCTGTAATCTGTCGATGGGCCATGCTTTTGTAATCTCGGCAGATAATCCGCCCTTTTGCTTCTCGGCCTGTGCAGACGTGTTCGAGACCTTTGTATCCGCTTTCTGGATAGTCCGCTCGATAACAGAAATGGCACCCCGAACACGTTTATACATGGCCTTCACCCTGCTGAGCAGATCCATCCGGAACCGGGCACTAGGGTCGGAGAAGTGATGTGGGAGATATGCCTTGAGGAGAAGTAAAGACGTGCCAGAAAATGGCCTGGTCGTGGAGTTGGAGGATGTGATAAGCGATAATGCGAGAGATCGCACTTCAGGAGATGGGTGAGATAAAACGCCGCGCAGCATGGTCTCCTCTAGGACAACCGACCTTTTTCCCTCTGAAGGGGTATCATCTAGTAGGGAGTCAGTCTGATAGAAGACCAAGTATTTGCATAATAAAGGAGGTTGGACAAACCAGGCTCGTCTACGATGCCCACTTTCTTGCCGATTTCAAGCGCTGCAAAGCGTAGAGAAGCTTGGAGATCAACATCGCCTTCCGTCGTTGCAGAGACAGGGTCAATCTGCTTTAACTGTGTCAAGAACCGCAGGGAATCTACGCGGTCCTCTTTGAAAACGGGCAGAAAGATATAATTCTTCATGCCATCGAGAAGAGACGGTTCCATCGCAAGGGCGTCTCGAAGCCACTGCAACCATAGCTCCGTCGAAAATTCTTCGCCATGCTCACCCCTGAGAGTTCTCGGCGGTGCCCGACGCAATGCTTGATATACTGTCACGATGAACTTTCCCGCGGCGGCGCGCATGTGCCAAACAGACATTCGAATGAAGAGTTGGCCCACTATGTCTCTCCACAGATCGAGTTCAGAGTCCCATTGGTTCGAGGAGTGAACGCGGCGGTAGCTCGCTGCAATATCGTCGACAGTGAAAATTGATTTCCCAGTCAACTGATCCAGGGCCTTCAAGGACGACTTGACCAGGGGCTTGGCGGACTTGGGGCCAACAATGGATATTGAGGTATCCAGTATGGCAGCTTTGATGGAGGTAGCCGTCGCCGCATGCGGGTTTTTCCTGATGAGAACCGGAAGTATGTCTAGGACAAGCTTCGTAGATCTGTGCTGCTCGACCTCATTCCACTCTAGGTAAAAGTTGAAGAGCGTTACACACGGTCCCTGGGAGTAAGCCCATGCCTGAAGCGGCAGCACCTTAGACTGGGCGCAATTCTCGATAAATCCGCAAAGCTTCTGGCAGGAAGAACCAGCCGAAGAGCCCTTAGACTCTTTTAGATTAGACGACCTAGCTAAAAGGTCATCGAATATGCTCTGGGCAATGCTGTTCAACAGTAATTAGTGAGTGAATGACTACCTGGGCCAGGGGCATGTCTGGCAAGGTGTCATGGAGGAACTGACGAGACCGAGGCGTCTTCTGGTTGTCCCTCAACCCATCTGACAAGGTCTCGGGGATAGCGGAACCTCTCATAGACCGGTTTCTCGACGTTTTCATCCATGGCTGAGATGAGAATAAAAACTCTGCCACTTAGACGACGGACCGTGATAGTTGATACTATCAAGAACTTGATTGTGTTCTTTAAGGTAGAAATATTATCTTCGCGGCATATGTGGTGGATGGAGGTCCTTCATTCAAACAAGGAGACGTCCACCCTACAGCAATGAAATAAAGATGCCGGGGCTCTGGGTCATCGAGGGCCCTCAGTTTGAGCGCAAATTTCCACGATCATGGAGAGTCCTTGTGGAGAGCGGCGTTGGGAGAAGGTACCGAAGTACCAGGTTGTAAGACGGTGTATACTGCTGGATTACCTAACTCACAGTGGCTTGGACGTTCTTGAGCACAAACGTCGAGAAACGGACCAGTGGGGATAGTCTCACGTGACTTATCCCACGGGCGAGAAAAAAAACCCTACTTGAAACCCCCCACCATATTATATTTCCAGCGGTTCGTTGTGCTCCCTACGACTTCATCACCACATCCACTTCTTCACCCAAAATCCACACCTAAACCGTGCTACCAGATTTCTGGGAGATATCATCAAGATGTCGAGTAAGTTTTGAGTCTCCGAGTGGCCGCGTTATGTTACAATGGGTCCCGTAAAGCATCTGTGGCCCGGCTTCTAACAGGCGCATCACAGAGATCACGGTTGCCAACGTCCGCACCCAGGTCGGCGAGCTCCTGGAGTACTCGAACGAGACCAAGAAGCGCAACTTCCTCGAGTCGGTCGAGCTTCAGATCGGCCTCAAGAACTATGACCCCCAGCGTGACAAGCGTTTCTCCGGCACCGTCCGCCTGCCCATCGTGCCCCGCCCCAACATGAGCATCTGCATTCTGGGTGACCAGCACGACATTGACCGTGCCAAGCACGGCGGCGTCGACGCCATGTCTGCCGACGATCTGAAGAAGCTGAACAAGAACAAGAAGCTCATCAAGAAGCTCGCGCGCAAGTACGATGCCTTTGTCGCTTCCGACTCTCTGATCAAACAGATTCCCCGTCTTCTCGGTCCCGGTCTTTCCAAGGGTACGTTTTCCCGATCCTTTGGGGGGGGGGGGGGGTTTGTTATTTTCCCCCCTTAGGACGGCAGCTTTCAAGGCACCCCCTCTTCCTTGGATGCCGCGGGCTTTTATGGAATACTGACCGTCTTTTGTGTGTAGCCGGCAAGTTCCCTACCCCCGTCTCGCACGGCGACAACCTCAACGACAAGATCACCGAGGTCAAGTCGACCATCAAGTTCCAGCTGAAGAAGGTTCTGTGCATGGGTGTCGCTGTCGGCAACGTCGGCATGACCCAGGAGCAGCTCGTCGGCAACATCATGTTGGCCATCAACTACCTCGTCTCGCTGCTGAAGAAGGGCTGGCAGAACGTTGGAAGCCTGACCATCAAGGCTTCCATGTCCCCCCCCAAGCGTCTGTACTAAGTGCGGACGTTTTGGGCGCCGCGCTGTAGTCCTCCTGCGGTCGGGACTCTACTGAGTACGTCTTGGGCTTTGCCCTGAGAACGAAAGGGAGACGAGACTCGGGCGACCGCATGGGCAGTGCCCATATGTGGGATTGATTAGTGGACAAAACAAACACCAATAAAATAAAATAAAAACATGCCACACATAGTTTATGCTGGGTTCTGAGCCTGTGATGAGGTTCAACCGTGATAGAACCAGGCTCAGCGAGCACTTTATGCATGGCCGACTCCTTCATGTGATTGGATCTCTGGGGACTGATCTGCGAAAGCCTCGTCTCAAGGGCATCTTATGAGCGTTGATCGAAAGGCAGTTCCCTTTCTTTTCAAATTTGTCCAAGATTGGAAGACCACAACCCTCCATGTCCTGGGTCACTGCCGGCCGGTCGAGGAGTTCAAGCCTCTGCGGCACCTAACAGAATATATATGCCGTAATTACTCTACCGACTTCGTTTCTGTACAACAACACAAGATGGCAATCATCTTGCCTTGGTCGAAGAGACTCCTGAATGGGTAACGTTAGCGGTACAGGTAGGCTAGTGTAGATGTTTCGGTGCCGATCCGTCGAGGAGATACCTACGTACCTTAAGGTAGTCTGATCCGGCTACCTAGGTACCTTATTACCTAAGGTACCTAGGTATTTATCCTTGCCACTTATCCGTTCGGTGTACGGGTACGGAGTACGGATATAACCTTGTCTCCATTTGTCTGTTCCATCTATCTCCCTTTTTTGTTTTTTTCTTTTTCCTTTTATCCTCCCTCCCTATAACTGAACCCATATCCACCCATAAATGCCAATGCCCATGTGCTCGCTACTAATGACAATTCGATAAGCAGGCCCGAGACATCTTGTTACTTACACGAGACTATCGAGCACACGATCACAATCCAGAGACCTTCGCAGTTGTAACCCCAAGGTCTCTGAGACGCGGCCCATCCTCAATTTATCGGTGATCGCTGTGCTTCGGCCTATCTGCGGCCTTATTTTATTCTTCACTTACCCCCACCATCCACAGGACAACCGCCGCTCCCAAGTAGCGGGTTCCCTAGTCAGTATCGTAGGTTATCGCCGTCAGGGATCCATCCATCAAAGTGACTGTTTACAGGAAATTCGGGTCGTGAAGCAAGATAGGGCCCGTCCCACGCCTCGGCGCCATCTCTTGTGCTCCCTCCTGTGAGGCTCAGTCTCCACGATCAAACTCCACTTGGGTTGCTACTATTACTCTCTGCGTGAGTCCAGCTCGGGCTGTCTCTGGTGTCCATTTTGCCATGGTTTCTTTTTTCCTTCTTTTGTTTGATTTTGTTTTCGTGAGACTTGTTCGTCGTCCAACTGCCCTATTTTTATCCGCAAGCAACCTGGCACTGCCATGCAACTACAACTGTCCGTTCATATATTCCCCAGTATATGATCGTCAGTTTTCCTCTCGACTCAAGGCATGTTCCCCCTCTTTGGAGAGACTGCCGTACTTCAACTTTAGTGTGTCCTGCCTCCCTCGCCCGAGTCAGGGCGCCCCGTTCTTGTCATCCGGTCCTTTTCTCTATATATTGACACCGGCCTCCCTTCTTCGTTATCCCCACGACACCTCCCAACAATAGACATTGTGTCTCGGAGCTCACGCCGCCCACGTTCCTCCCACTGTCAGATACGATACGTCTGATCCCTTCCGCGCCACGTCGGTCGTATTAGGCCCGGCTCGTCTTCGGGTCTTTCCTCTACGACTTGTGACCTTCGGGAACGGACTTGTATAAGACCTCCCGCACCCCGGTCATCGAACCCGGTAGAGACAAACCTCTCACGCACGCGAGACCCGCATTCCTCACGACCGTGTACACTCTGCAAAGGAATCCAACCATCTCCATACGAGACAAGACATTCGAAGTCGTTTTGGGGAAATCGTCCGGCGTTGCTGGTACGTCTGGCCGTTGAAGCAATCCTGCCGTATTAAGCAGCTGAACGTATACCGTAACGAAAGCTGCCCGGCCTTAAACAGCTGGCCTCCCGGTCCCTGTCCGTTTAGGTGATTATCCCCCACCATCACAATCTACTATTTTCGATTCACTCCGGGCCAAGTTCGCAGCATTGGACGATGTATCCCGGCGGAGGGCAAGCTTGTGAAGCTGGGGTGGGGGTCGTTGAGCCAAGTCGCATCTGCGGCATCCGGAGGAAGGTGTTCTGGCTATGGCTTCTCGGCGGCGCCATGGTCATCGCCCTCGCCATCGCCATCGGTATCGGCGCCGGATACGCTGTCAACGGCAACCGCAACTACAGCGGCCACGAGAATACGTCCAGCCACGCTACGGAATGATCCGTCGCTGCTCTGGGCTTCTGGAAAAACTCCTTGTCTTCCATCGCTACGAGGCCGTGCGACTCTCACCTTCGCTACGGTTCTCTTCCTCCGTCTGTGCCTTGCGCATGACATGGTGGTTTTGTTACTATTATCACTCTACGACCTCTGGCATTTGCTCTGTGTTTCCCCGCATCATCTACCGAGCCTGTCGTCAACTTCGCTTTTGCCAGACCTGCATCAGCGAAGGCAGGGCATATCATATCAATCGAATGAATGGAGATGAAGACGACTTCTCGTGGCCCGCCCCTCCTCGAAGGGGCTGTATAAACAAGAAACGAAAACGACCTCGGATTCTCAGAAACCCGGCCATATCAAGAACTGACACCTACTTCTGCCGCGGTCGATCGAGACGGCATTATATACTTTGTCGTACCCGTGTCGAATTGGGATCTGCTTCCAACAGGATTGGGATACGTGTTTCTCTGTCGACCGTCTCTGCCGCGTCAAACACGGGCGGCCTACACATGGTACGCAGCTCTCTGGCATATTGGGCTGGGGGAGGGAGAGCGAGCATTTCCAAGCATACTCAAGCATACTAGGCGCATGGAAAGGAGGGAAAGGCAATGGACATGGATGGGTTCGGCGTTGAGGGATTTCGGGATATCGTTTTTGATGAAATCAAGATACAAACAAGGCACTGTGTATAGATATTAGCTTGCTCGTCTCACCAAGGTGAACAACCGAGACGTCGCGGACTGCCGGACGAAAGAACCAAGCGCGAAGCTTCTCAGCTCCTTGGCTTCGCATGATGCCGATCGCAACAGCCAAGCACCCCCCCCGGGGGGGGGGCCTTGGACAAGAATCCGGGACTTGCCTTGGCAAAGCTTGATCTTTCTAGGGGTCGGATCATCATTCCACTGCGTGCTCTTGTGTGGTAACACCTACATTCCTGTCAGCGAACCAGCGTGCGTCGACTTCACTCTGTCAAGAAAAGGCAAGCAAGACAGGGTCGCAAATTTGGCACGGCAACAAGATGCCAAGTCCCCTCTATCACCTTCGCTTTCTGCATCCAAAAGCACAGTAATATCATTTATTGAAGGCGCTAATATGAACCGCTGTGTCTATGATATGATTGTTCTTTTTTCATCGTTGTTTTCCACCATCACAACTCTTGGTCACGCGCCATGCAACGAGGCCTCTCCTCCCCACGACCCGCGCGAGGGTATTCCAGACACCGTCCTCGCCCCAATCCAGATCATCCAGGTTAAGGTGCTGCTGGTACCGCCACACCTCGCGGAAGCGCAGTCCGTCCAGGCCCTTGTTCGGCAGGTAAGGGTCGATCCACGTCGCCGACGCCGGCGCCATCAAGTATGTCCCCTGCTTCTCCTTCAGATACTCCTTCTTTCGTCGGTCCGCTGGTGTGTCGCAGGTGGCTAGGTCCGCAAGCTGCTCGAGGAGCTTCTCGCCCGGCATGCCCATGACGTCGTGGGTGGTGAGCACCTCGTTCTTTCCGTTCAGCAGCCATACCGGAGGGGAGTATGTTTTCCACCAAAAGGCCTGCGTCGCGTCGGGTTGGTTGCTCATAAAGACCTGGCCGGGGACGATACCGCCTTGGTGGTATGTGCCCATGAGGATACCGAGGGCGGCATTGAAGATGACCCATACCACCGTCCATATCTGCATGGCCTTGCGATTTCTCGGTAGCTGGACTGAAGACAAGATGAGCGGCACTGTCGGCAACAAGAACCGAGCTTCTTGGTGCTGGAATATGGACAGCACAAAGATGCCGGAGATGGCCGAGTAGAGGCGGAGCGAGAGATGAGGTTTCGTGATAAGAAGTATCGCTGCCGGACCCAATAACTGCGGGATGTTGATGAGGAGGTGCTGATACCAAGGGTGAAGCCCGTGCTCCGCAAGGTTCTCGGGCAAGATGTTGTATCGAAGATTGTTGAGAGGGGTGATAATGGGTCGCAAGAACAAGTCCGTCAAGGTAACAGGTTCAGAGAGGTAGAAGGCCGTGTCCAAGGCCACGGCAATAAAGGCAGTAATAAGACCGGCTAGTGCCATAACGGCAAATGACGATGGTCTAACACGGAGTGTGAGTCAGGGAGAAAATCGTGCGGAAACGAGGAGTATCCTTGACGAACCTATGAAGGAAATGGGGTATCAAACGAATGCCGGGAATCAACAAAAACGCTGGGAAAGTAATACGGTTGAAGATGCCGAAGACCCCAATGATGCCGAGAACAGTCGAGGCCATGAGAGACGATTGTTGATGCTGGGGGAAGTACGTCAGTTTGAAGTGCTCGGGGCGGTATAGGTTCACAGTTGACACCGCATCTGTATTGCTCACACCGGGATGGCCCAGAGGAAGGAAGAAAGAATAGGCCTACCGTATCTTCAACAATGCGCTGTATTAATACCAAGGACCAGGCGACCACGAGAGTCTCAATGGCATTGGAGAATGTATGGGTCTGATAGGTCCAGGTGACGTAGGACGACGCGACAAGCATAACGGCGACGCGACGGTGTCGGGGCGAATGGACGAGTTCGTGGATAGCCCAATCCTCGAGGACGAAACTGAGCACAAACATGAGGACGCGCAGGGTCCAGAAGACGGCGATAGGAGGAATTTCGCCATCGTTGCCGTTGCCTATCCAGAGCCATCGGAGGAGTAGCATGGGCAGACCGTAGACGGGCCATAACGGGAATACGCTTCGGATCGGGTTTTCGCCGGTGAATTCCCATGTGTGTCGAACGGGGTAGCTGAAGATCTGGCCTGGAGAGGGGGGGCGGGGGGGGGGGGGGGGGGGGGGGGGGGGGGGGGGGGGGGAGGAGTTGGTCAGTGCTGGTTTCTTTGCGATTTTTATTCGCAGTAGATGCGCCAAACTTGCAGGGAAAGACAAGACGGTCCAAGAACTTACCAGCGATGACCTCCGGGCCTTGAAAGTTCTCGTCGGGATGAAGGTAGCTGGGCGACAAGGCAAACCACAGCCGGACGAGGAGGAGGAAGAGGTAAGTTCGTCGCCACATTTCCCCCAAAACCTAGAATCGCGCGAGCGAAACCTTTGCTTTGTCCTTGCAAGACCAGAGCTTTAGGGACCTCGTGAGCTGTCGGACCAAGCTGTGGGGAGGTCGCGCAGCGCTGAGTACGACAGGCAGAAGAGACAGGAAGATCAAGCGACGACCTGCGAGCTGCGATGGTGGAATCGACTCGCACGGAACTGCCAGAAGGTAGCGGTCGTCGAGGCGCAAAGACGCATGGTCTGTCTCGCAAGGGTCTTGTGCTACCCAGACAAGAGCAGGAAGACAAAGTATTGGTCGGGGAAGCGGTCCAAAAAACTGAATAACAAAAATATCTAACTGGAATGATGATAAACGATGGGGAGGAGACGGAATCCGAGGGTGCAGGGGTGAAAACGTGAACAGGTTGGCGTTCCCTTGTTAATTATTAATACCGTTGTTTGGAAAAATGGAAGAATTCCAGTGTCTTGACCTCAGCCCAGATCTTAGCACCTGGCTCGAGTGTTAGATGCTTGCAGCTCTGGTGCTTGGCTTGATGCTTGTGTACAGCCCCTTGACCCCTGGTGATGGCAACGCGAAGAAACGTGGACAGATCAGGAGCTCTGCTGATGCTGGCCGCGGTCTCATTACTCCATACAAGTGGAATCCTGGTCATCATTTGGCAACGCAAGGTGACCGTTGGGGCGCACTAAGCCATATGAGGTATAGGTTACTTTGAGCTAGTACCGAAGCACATTCGGAATCCGGTAGCTAGGTACCTAGGGTGATTAACGGTACCTGGGCCATCGCTAGCCTTCATTCCTACGAGCCATAATTAGCCATAAGCAGCCCGCTTTCTAATATTTCGTACCATTTTCAAAAGAAACCGTCCGTCCAATGTTACAATGCCGTACTTCTGACAGACTACTAGAGCTTGAAAAATGCTGGGTCTCCGATCCGTTTGGAATGCTTCTACACGTACTGAGATGGGTAAGGTACGAAAGCATGTAATGCAGGTAGTGTCGTGCATGCCACTTCCAGGAAGGGCCCGGTCCTACCGACGAGCTCTTGGCCCCGGCCAGCTCTATTTTTGTGTTACCTGTTATTAGTAAAGCTCCAAGTTGCTCCTGCAATCTCTCAGAAGATTCGAGAACGGTTGGTATTTTGACCAAGGATAGCATGTCTGCAGTAATAATTAGGTACCTACTTTGTACGAAGTTCCAAGTACCTGGTAGTGTCCGAGGATCGGTCAATTATTCGTACAAGGTACTGTTTTTGGGCTGTTAACAATTAGAGTTTCCAAAGTACGGATGCAAGGTAAGGTAGTGGGTATCCCACCAGAATAGCAGCAGGAGAAAGACAGCGTGTTTCATGACTGATATTGTCACCATCCGAAGCAACCTGAGCTGTCTGGTTCCATCTGTCTTTCTGGTTTCCGGCACTCGAGCCAGATACTTCGTATTCGTAGTGCGATCCCCTTCCGTCCATTTATGATTATGTAATGGAGATATCACTGTAGACTTCCGTGCAAAAGGCAATTACCTAAGCGTAGGCAGCAGTAGTGGATTCCTTCACTCATAACAAGCTCAAATTCCACACCAATCCCTATTATTCAAAGTTGTTAAAAAGAGAGGTGGCTGCCCAGTCCTGCGGGACAGGATAGTCTACTTCGTAGAAGTTCAATTTCCTCTTTCCTTCTTTCTCTTGGCACGAGTTATCCGTAGAGCGGACGAAGTGGAGAGAGTTTGCCTGGACTACCTTACCTACGGTTCCGGCTTGGGAGACGGTGTAAATATGCAGAACTAGAGCAAGTGAGGTACCTAGGTAGCAAACAGCGTGGATGGCGACAGTGGGAAAGTACCCGAGAAACGCTATCCAACCCCTCTCTCAGAGACAGAGAAAGGTCTAAGTACTTCAATGGCAATTCTTCTGGTAAGCTGTGACATAATATTTGCTTCGCCACATCGCCTTTGAAAGCCCCCGACTTGGTTCTTCCGCTCGCTCTCACATCATCAAACTCGTCTGCCTCTTCTTTCATTCTTTCATTTAGGCATCAGGCTATATTCTTTGCCCATCCATATCAAATTCCTGGTAAGTCGATTTCTTTTTTTAAGATAAAAGGGATTCCCTCTTTCTTCCATTCGATTCTGCTGGGGAGCACCAGCTTGACCAACCCGAGCGACACCCACCCGAGGCTGCAAAGAAGACTACTTTCACCGTAACTTTGTAACTTTGTGCAAGGCCAGCCTTCCGCCGGGGGTTCTTTCACCTGACTTCCTACTCCGTGATTACTTCAACTTATATCGCCCAAGCCAACGGGCATCTCAACCTTCCACCAAACATACCGCTTTGCCTCACACATCACTTCTTCTTAACGTGCTATTTCTTTTCGCAACACCACAGGCGCAGCAGTACTGATTCCATCAGTGTTCCATATTCCGTCTCCACAACCCCGCCCTAAGACGACACTCCATCCTCCGCAGAGATGGCCGACGCGAAGCCCGCTCCTAAGATCTGGGTCCAGTCCAACGACTCTGCCATCATCGAGCTCGACCGTCAGGTTGCTGAACGGTCCGTTCTGATCAAAAATCTCATCGAAGATATCGGCGACGAAGGGATCACTGCTCAGAACCCCATTCCTATCCCCAATGTAAGCCTCCACTCGCTTGCTCCGTCACCATACCGTCGTTGCCTCCTTTCCACTTCCCCCGTCACTTGATACCCCGTGCCTGCTTGAAGAATCGAGTGGTAACCATCTACGTCTCCTCCAGGTCAACGAGGCTGTCCTGCGCAAAGTGGTAGAATGGTGCGAGCATCACCGCAACGATCCTCCCCAGACCCAGGATGACGATAACGACGCTCGCAAGAAGACCACGGAGATCGAAGAGTGGGACCAGAAGTTCATGCAGGTCGACCAAGAAATGCTTTTTGAAATCATTCTCGTAAGTTTTTCCCGGTCACTTGCTTTTGGATGTCTATTGCCCATGGCGCTTCCCTGCTAATACGCCCCCCCGGGGAGCAGGCCTCCAACTACCTTGACATCAAGCCTCTTCTTGACGTCGGCTGCAAGACCGTCGCCAATATGATCAAGGGCAAGTCCCCTGAGGAGATCCGCAAGACTTTCAACATCACCAACGACTTCACGCCCGAGGAGGAGGAGCAGATCCGTCGCGAGAACGAGTGGGCCGAGGACCGATAAACGAAGGGCATGACTTGGGTAAAAAGAGGCATCCTAGCAATGGTTCATCAAGTTAGCGGCCGCTGGTTTGGCAGTCACACCATGCATCGGCCCCAGTCGTATACATAGGCTGATGCATAATGGGCGTTGGTTTCTTCTTTCTGTTTTCCTCTTATTTATTTTTCTGCTTCGGAAAATTGGGCTGGTTCTTGCTAGGACTTATTGAGGCTTCGAATCCCTTAAGCTCGGGATGATCCATTTACCCCTTAGTCGACACAGTGTTCCTATGAAATGGCATGCCTTGTGGCGATGCATCTAGCTTTATAGCTTCCACGTGGAATGGCATGGAGAGTTGGTATTCACAAATAACCATCCTCTCGCGTGCGTGACGCCGTATGGACCTCGCTACCTAGACCATGGTAGTGTTGTCTTTATCCACCATTCGTTCCGTGGGTGAAACAGAACTGGATCGTCCTGGGGGGAGAGGAAACCACGCGCCGCCTGCCAACCTGGCCCGTATCTACGTGGTACTGTTCTTGCCGAAGAACCAGCCCAGAGGTATGTGTATGGGTGGCTGAGTTGTGGAGCGAGGAAAAGGTTACGGGACGACCATCCATACTCCGTTAAGAACACTTCAGAACAGAGGGCAACCGACACACATATCAACGGTTTACTCAACGAAGGCCACTGTATTGGCCTCTCATGGCATCAAACCCATTTTTTTGGCATTCCTTTCCCTAATACGGTCGTAAGACGCAATGCATAAAGCCTAGCCAGGCATCCCTCCGGAAAAAGAATTCCATTGTCCTCCCTGCTCCCAAGGTCCCTTCCCCATGAAGAGAGTCAAAGAGAAATATGTAGCAGAGACTCAATCACCGAATAGCCATCGCCTCCTCAGTTCCTTCTTCGTTCCGTCCTCGTAAGGGTTGTTGTCTAATCCTCGAAGGAGAAATGGCGCATTTGCGGACGAGAGTGTTCGGCCATATCGGGAACAAGGGGCCGAGGCCAAAAATACAAGTTGAGTCGGCGGGAGAGCATCGGGGATTGAGAGAAAGGGTGTGATCCGTTTAGATGTTGAGGCGGGTCTTGCGCCAATGCCGCCTCTTCGCGTTGTACCTGAAATTCCCCAGCGTCAGTGAGATGTCCCATATTCTCGTCAATATCACGGTATGTCCCGTGCTCGTCGCTAGCCCCGTCGCTCCGAGCCCTCGTCCTGATCTTCCATGACACGGTCGGGTGTTTGATGAGTGGCAACATGGTGCCAACCGTCGGACGTGGACATGATGATCTGGAGATCGTGGGGGGATCTAAATGGCGATTTTGAAAGAGGGCACTCGTTCGGCGCGGCTAGGTCTGTGACTTCGTGTGATCGTACCTGATGGTGTTACCGGTCCTGAGACGGATCCATTGAGGAATAGGCCTGTTCTGCTTCTGGGCCTTGGCCAGCTTCTGCTTGGTACGGAAAGACTTGTGGCTCTGCAATGCGACGAACATAGGTCAGTGATAATTGTTCGATTTGCAAATCGTATTCTTTGGCTGTCCGTGCAACCCAGACGGCTTCCCCTCCACCAAAGGTTATGAAATCGGCGTCTCTCCCCCCAGTACACCCTTCAACGTAAAGCCCCGGGTCCTAAATAAAGGCGTCGTGTATTTCGTTCGGAATGTGCACATACCGGCATTTTGACTGCTGTTGCGCGATCAGTCTGTCGAGAAGGGTATGCGGATTTGGCTGGCTTGCGTTAGAGTAGTAGATTTCACAGCGGGATGGAGTTTTCGCTGGCAGCCCACCAATCTTGGGGTTAGCGAGCCCTGGAAACCCTTGCATGATATCGAAATTCTGATTGGGTAGGTACTTTATGGTCACGTGGTTTTACCCCACTTGGTTCCGACGAAGCGAAGAGGAACATGATGGATGTCACGTGGATTTGCAGTGTCATCGAACTACAGCCCCTGGCAAAAAGTATTCGAACACGCCTAAGTACCATCGACCCACAAAAAGTCAGGCTGAGGGCATATAGGCTTACTATCTAGCCTCAAATACTTAGGAGTATTCAAATACTTATTGCCTCCCACTGTACGTACTCTCCAGGACAATAACACGGTGAGACAGACAGAGAAAGAGAGGCAGTGATTACTCCGTACTTCGAAGTGAACTTTTTCAACAGACTACAGGCGGAATAAGTACCGGTAGAGAGGTCTCCGGTCTACGTCGCCCGGTTTGTTGGAAGAGGGTAGTTTCATCCCCGGCCTCGGCAATGCGCCTTCTTTGTCACCTGCTTTTGTTGCAAAAACACATTACGTTGACGGAGGTTATACCTTACTCGGATTTTCAAGTTTATAAAGATGTCAAGTACTGCCACAGGTTGTCAAGGGTTAAGGCTTTAATGTACCTTATTTTAGGTACCTACTTCATAAGGCTTTGGTTGAGTTCTGATAATCGGGACATGAAGAAGTACTTTTCCGACGATGAAGGCTAAGGTACCGTCCTCCGCAAGCATGTACACGTGTACCTGCTCAAATAAGGTAGTCTTGAACGAGAAGGTTGGACTGCCGAAGAAAGCTTACCGAGATACCCACCTTATGTAATCATCCGCCTACTTTCAACGCCAGGTGGCAAGTTGCTTTAGTAATCAGAAATCTCCTACCCCGGACCGCCGAAGCTCATGGGCTTGTTCGAGGCCTGTGCATGGGTTGAAAATCCGCAGCTCCATTCTACGTACCTTATTGATAAGGGGCAAAGAGCTTCATGCAGGTTGGTTTTGTTTCCCTCTGACCAACAAAACGCTCTCCCCTTCACCACAACCACGGGCGACACGAATACGACGTTTATTAGAGGGGAGTAACGACAAGAGCCGAGTCCTCTAACACCCGTAACCCACAACCTGCCCTCACCCTTCAGTGTCTGCCTTGTCTATCTCTCCGCTTTTTCATTTCCAACCCGACTTTGAACAGCGAAGCACTCTTGGCGTGAGCGACGCGGTCCGTCCGTTCTCCACGAAACCACGGGACCACCACACACCTTCAAGAGGGGTGCGCACGAGGGAGGATCACGAGGCAAAAGTTTTTCGACTCTTCCCCTCTCCCGTCCTCATACCCGTCTCCATCTCCAATACCGACCTAGACGAGGCTGCGACTCCTTCCCCTTTGAACCTTTACGACAACAAGCAAGATGGGTGCGAGCGTGTCATGGCTCTCCGGTCTTCTCTGGGCCAAAAAGGAAATCAGAATACTGATTCTTGGTCTGGTACGTGCGTAAATGGGTACACCGGGGTGTCCGGCGGCCTCACCACACCAACGGAAACTGGTCCCCTGAGCCCGAATATTGACATGACTAATGCATCAGCTGCTGACGGGGTTTACTGTTAGGACAATGCTGGCAAAACCACGTTACTATATAGGTTGAAGGTATGCTTACTTATCGCTTTGTCTGTCTTCTACCGCTTGGAAGGTTGGGGACTGGAATCTAACATGCATCTGGGTAGATTGGCGAAGTAGTCACGACCATTCCGACGATAGGCTTCAATGTCGAGTCAGTAACGTACAAGAACCTCAACTTCAACGTTTGGGTATGTTCTCTCAACGCTGGTCCCCTAAGGCGGGGCCAACGGACGGACTCCTTGCTCGTCCTCGTCCTCGTCCTCGTCTTCTTTTGGTTTTCAGAAGCTGACCACACGGTACAAAATCAGGACCTAGGTGGCCAAACCTCCATCCGCCCATACTGGCGCTGCTACTATGCCAACACAGCTGCCGTCATCTTCGTCGTCGACTCGACCGACATTGAGCGTCTGCAAACCGCAGCCGACGAATTGGCAGCCATGCTCAACGAGGAGGAACTCAAGGAAGCTTCCCTGCTCGTGTTTGCGAACAAACAGGATCAACCGGGGGCCAAGGGAGCCGGTGACATCTCCGAAGCCCTGCGCCTGGGCGAGTTGCGCGACCGAAACTGGAGCATCATGGCTTGCTCTGCAGTTGACGGGAGTGGTGTGAACGAAGGAATGGACTGGCTTGTCGTACGTTTTGCCCTTTCTCGTTCTGTGACGTCTAGAATATACGCTAACATTTACCCAGCAAACCGTGAACCAAGATTCGTAATGACATATTCGAATCCATATTGTACAATAACAACAACAGCAACAACAGTAACAACAACCGATCGCTTTCGGAAAATTCTACCCCCCCTGAACTTTTGCGGGAGAAGCCCTGAACCCGCAAGTCCGGATAGTGCTACAAACTTGCTTCTGGTTGGGGCAGAGAGTGTGGGAGACATATGGGGACAAATCGGTCTGTCTTGGAGAGAGCATTGGCGTTTCAGGGGAAGGAGGGAAGAGGCTCGTCCACCACCGACTGGTTCGGCACAGCCTGGATGCATCTATGCACATCATACACACGCATATCTACGATGGATAGACGAACGTGACGCGAAGAGCCCGCACAGAAGAGGACAGGTTTTTCATTTGTTGTTCTTGTTGTTTCTTTTTACTCCTTTTTTTCGCATTACATACAATCTTAATGCCAGCGCGGGGCGTCATAGAACCGTCTCTGTTTTCTCTTCTATCACCCCCTTTTTGTTCCCCCCCGCTTGGCCCCTAGGGGCTCGATTCGTTTTGAAGATCGCAAAAAGGCAGATGCGCCGAAACTCTGAAGAGGCGCAACGAGTTCCGCCGCCCGGTCAACCAAACAGGAGAGCAATGAGCATGACCCCGACCAGTGCAGCTAGCGATACCTCCAAGTTCCGCCCTTTATCTTGCCCCGTGGCCGTCGCGCTCGGCGTAGTCTCGGAGGTCGGGGTCGTGCCAAGCCCAGAACTACTATGGGTCGGGCTGACGACGACAACGGATGTAATGGTCGTCAGGCTACCGTTGAGGCCAGGCAGGACCTGAGTCACCGTCGAAGAAATGGCGGGGGCCTCCGACGTCGATGTATCGGAGACTGTGTTGCCTATATTATCACCGTTAGCAGCTTGACGTGACATCAGGCGAAAGGCGGAGGAAGAGAAGTCGGATGGCATTATACAGAAAGTCGGGTTGTCAAGGGTATGCATCTTGCTGTGGTTGTCGTTCCCATCGCTACCGCTTAGCAGCCCCGAGTACGAGACTACGTCTGGCGTACCGGTGGACATTGGGAGGCACTCGCCGCCCGGCGACGGCAGGGAAGACAACGCTGCAGTGACGGTGGGGTGTGTAGACGAGACATCATCATCATCACCTTCAGTGTCGGGCTCAACGCAGCCCGGGGGCGAGGACGTGCAGACGAAGCCGATAGGACAACTCGACAGGCCATTCTCGCAGCAGACGTCTGTGGCCGGGACGCAGAGGGATCCGCAGGCGCGCAGGAATTCCGAGCAGGCCGGGGTGGACGAACTAGATGGTGCAGGGCCGGTGCTTGGGGGGCGGCAGTCCGTGTTGGGTCCGCACTCGTAGCCTGCTGGGCACACGAAGTAGCCCCTTTGCGGAGGGTCGTAGGTACAGCATATTGAGTCTCGGCTTATGCAGTACTCTCCGCAGGTCAGCAGGCTGTCGTCGCACTTTGGGAGGCGAGTGTAGATGCGGTTCTCTAGCGCTGCGAATGCGGTGATAAGAGGTAGAATGGCGAGGGAGGAGGCCACGACTGATTTGAGCGGCATTTTTTTCCTTTTCCCGTCATGTAGGAGATGAACGAGCTTTGTTTTACTTCGCTTAATACGATAACTGATGATCTTTCGTATATCTTAAGCTAAGTTGGCATAGGGAGCGAAACGAGAGTATGAAATGGGCTGTGCGGACAGACGTAGAGAGGGGATTCAGGGGGAGAAGAGGGACCCGGGGCGGGTAGTGATGTGAGATCACGCGTGCTGTATGTCCACCATCGGTGATTCACCGATTCACATATATTAAAACATCCAGCTTAGCCGGACGTAATATATCTGCTATGTCCAAGTAACCGGGGGGGGAAGAAAGTAGTGGATATGGGAATGTGCTGTCTTTTAAGGTGGTTTGTTTGCTCGAACCGGGCGGATGGCATCGTCGCACCCGTGTGTTTTGTGTTCCACAGAATGGTCACTTACAATAACTCGTGAGGAAAACAAATATATGAGGGAAGCTGAGGCGATTGATGGCGAGTAAATGGTGGCATCGTTACTCGAGAATTCATGAGGTTGGATCTCGAATTCAAGGAAACAGTTGACCGTGATATGCCTCGTCCGACCGTTGTTGTTGAATCACGTACATTGGCCGAGCGACATGGGCGTCACTTAATCAGGCTGCATCACTGTGACCAACCAGATCGATATATACGATGCGAAGTCACCGCGTCTACGATTCCAGCACCAGACCGTGTCATAACAAGCCGCAAGGAAAAGCCAAGCAAGCTTGCCGCCATCAGCTGGCGCAGGGGAATGGAATTCGTGATTGTGGTTGTGGTTGGAGTGGTCCGCGGTGTCCCCCTGATCGTAGAATTCGATGGCATTGTGCTCTTCCTCCTCGCCTGCAGACCAGGACTCGGACCAAGCTGATGTGGTGCCTGTCATGGGAAGCCCTGCATCATGGTTAGATGGTGTAGTTCCCCCGTTCGGGTCAGTGACGAATGCCGTTACTGGTGTTGCGGTTGACTCCGGGGCAGTGGCATTGTTGGTGACGGCGGCCATGTGCTCTGCTCGTTGGGGAGCGGTTAAAGCTCGATGACCGACATGTTCTTTTCTCCTCCTTCTATTCGGAATCCATTGAAGATATTGAAAACAGACAAGATTGGATCCTCGTCGCCTGGAGAAGCTCAAAAGAGAAGCCTACGATTCATTATCGAGTGGATGCTGTTGGGGAAACCAGACGCAGAGAGTTTCACCTTGACTTCTCACCGAATCCATGCCGAGACCAAACAGTGACCGAGACAATGTGGAGTGAAGACGCCAGATTCAACTTCAATCGGTGCAGTGGCTGGTATATACCTCTGTAAGCCTACCTAAGAACATGGAGTCTCTCAGTATCATATGGTCAAGCCGTCTGATACAGGCGGTTGGTATGAGGGAGCTGAGAAGGTTGAAGAAGGTAGATGTATGAATAGATCCGTATGAGAGCCCGATAGATGCTAAACTCGCGCCCTGTTATGTAAAGCATGTAGATGAAGAGAAAGTCAGGTTTTCATATTACAAGATATCGTGTCGAAAGGCCTTTACTTTTTTTTCTTTTTCCAGACCTTTTTCCGTTTCCGTTTCCTTGTGCCTTTTCCTTTCCTTTTCCCTTTTTCCTTTCCGTTTTCCGGTTTCTTTTCTTCCTTTTTCCCCCTTGACCCTTTCGTCTTTTGTATGAGTGTGAGTGTGTAGTGATACACCATGTGGCCTGTCTTGAACTCCTGCCCGAAAATCCAAACCTATGAGAAAGAAAAAGTATGACCGCAGCACCCAGGCGCGTGTATGTGAAAGAAACGATGAAGCGTAAAGAAAACCATAAAAAGACAAAGATACGGGAAACGAAGAAACGAACACTCGGCTAATGCTTATATCAGCTGCCACCTTTTGCGAGAATGTCAAGTCGAAGCTCATCCGTAGTGCGAATCTCCCCTCGCCAACAGTGGCCTTTGGTCCCACCGGTGGTGCTCGATGCTCCCAGTGTCATTCTCCTCTTCCTCGTACTCGTCGCCGTTTTCGACATTCTCCTCGTTCTCGTCCTCGTCCTCGTCCTCGTCGTCCTTCTTGTACAGGAAATACTGCACAAAGATGCCCATGTCGAGCAGCAGGGTTCCCATACTGCCGGCCAGCCACGACAGGTTGACCAAGATGTACCGTCCGTAGCTGCGGCCCGGAGCACAGACGTGGTTTTCGCAATGGGGATCGTAGGCGAAGATGGACATGACGTAGGTCATGTTGCCGAGGCAGGCGAAGAGGAAGAAGAGCATGCTGACGCCCTCGGTGGACTTGCGGCGGTAATTGAGGAGCAGCTGAGGCAGGCGCGAGCCCAGGTATAGCACGGCGCACAGCCAGCCGAAGATCTGGCCCAAGCGGTCGAACGTAAGCTCGCCGTCCTTCTCGTGCTTGCCCCCCTCACTGGGGCCGTAGCAGCGGCTGAGGAACCAGCCCAAGACGCCGGCGGCGCAGACCATGAGGATGGCGGTTGTGTTCCAGAAGAGGGTCTGCGCGGTGGTCGGCGGCGGCGGCGGCGTGGCAGGTGGCTCGTCGAGCAGGGGCACGGCGGGGGAGAGGTGGGACCAGTTGGAGCCGCGGCGCTCGCGGAGCACGGGGCGGTCGAGAAGGGTCGTACGCTCGTTCGGTTGGACGCGTTTGGATCGAGGCTTGGGGGCGGGCCGGACGACCTCGTCCTTCCAGGTGAAGCCGCGGTAGTAGAAGCATTGCAGGAGAAGTACGATGTCGGCGATGGTATAGTAGATGGCCAGGATGGTCTGCATTGAAGCCGAGCCCGTGTTAGCGAGGGACTGGAAAGAAAACGACGAGTACGGATTCGAGGTATGAGCGCAGCGAAAGAGACAACGAGGACAGATGCGTACCATAGTCGGAAGCACGCCCTGCATGACGGCACCGAGGATGTTGAAGACATCTCCCACCAACCATACGATGATGAATTGGAGAGAAAGCCCGTCGGCATTGCCGCGTCGAAAATTCTCGAGGATCTGGGGAGAAAAGACGACAACCCAACAAGCTATGGAGATGGACCTGCAGTAGAAGAAGGGATCGTGGTTAACGCCGAGTTATCGGAAAGGGATCAAGCGCATGCTAAGATTGTCAATTGAGGCAGCCATACCCACAAATCCCGGAGATGGCCTCGACATCGAGATTTAAGGGCTCGGTCGGGGGAGCCATCGAGCAGTAGCGAGTACGGAAATGCCTGATTAGAGTCGGAGGCGCGGAGGCGCGGAGGCGGAGGTAGGTGGGAAAAAAATGAAGATTCAGATTCAGGAAGAGGCGCAGGACATGCGGAGGAAGGGATTGAGCCCGGCTTTCCCTGGCCCTGGGTAGAGGTTTAGATGTTGATATGACGAAAGCTTTCAGAATCGGAACGTTGAAAACTTGGAATGATCTCGACGTGTATCTCGAGAATGGCCGAACTGCAAAGAGGAAATGAAATGTTCAAACAATTGAATTGACTAAAGATACTCAGTATATTAATTACGCCCCTCTCCTAATAATAAAGCCGACGATTTCCCACCCCCTAGCGTGTCAGCCTAAGTGACTTGGCCATTGATGTGGGCCCGCGTACCTGAGCCGCCCCTTGTCCGATAAAACCATGAGACAGGTACTAAATTGATAACAATAGATAGGTCACAGCAGCAGCAACTAAGGGAGGTGAGCGGTCATCTGACCGGACTGAGCTGCACCACCCGACATTCCTAAGAGAGCCGGGCCAGGGACCTACGAAGTACCTACGAAGTAATAAATACTTACCGTTGTAACCTACCTACGTACCCGAGCCCCGCCGGTACCAATTTGCTCCCCGTCACAGGTGACCCAACGTCAACATGGCCCGAATCCTTGGAGTTACTGCGTTAGGGCGTCTGAAGTCAGCCAGGTCGCTCGGTGGGATGTCATTCGTCGTAGCTTTCCCGACGGATGCAGAAGAGGCTGTTACAGGGTAAGCCAACATGAACACTATTGGCGATGGACTCTCTATTAGGTACAGATCCCCTATCGGTTGTCGTACGAAGTAAAATACCTTCACTACGTCCCAAGGAGTTCACTTCATCAAGAAGGGTATTTCTGCAAGAACAAGTGCAAGGGCTGCGTCCCCCTCCGCTGGGGCCCAGATGAATCCCATGCCCCGTTATCCGTTATATCAGAAGGGCCCGAGAACTCGTGAGAAGTCGAACCTGTGGTGGGGAGAGGATAAATTGAAGCTAAGTCTGTCTTTGGGCCTTTTCGCGCTTTCAGGCTTTTCCTGTCGTTCTTCACGCCGAAGGCGCTGCGGCACACAGTTCGGTGAACCCCTTTGGTACCTACGAGACGCAACTGGGAGGGTTGATTCAGTACTTCGTACTTCGTAATGGTACGAGGTATATTGCACGGAAATTAAGGTCGACAGTACGCCGGCAGACCGAAACCCAAGGCTCGAACCTACCTTACCTAAGATAATTGACGGTCTTCTAGTGGCTTGCATCGTACGGGGCTTGATATTCTCCACTCTGACCATCAACACTGAACACTTCGTCATTCTCATCCTCTTTCCCTTCCCCTTCCCCTTCCCGTGCCCACTGTCCCACATCCAACACCTCGCCTTTGTCCCTCAAGGTCCCGTTCGCGTTCGCTTATGCCTTAACTATTGCTATCCCCCAAACACATGGGATGGAATCAAGGTCTTCGTTCAGTTGTCAATCATCCTCCTCGCTCCTTCGCCTACAGTCTTAATTACAAGTGTTCAGTCTCGAGTCGGGCATCACCGCTGACGGTCAGGCACCGGGTCATTTCCATGTCTGAATGTCTCGAGAAGGCAGCCGATTGCCGGAGCCCATCGGCCCCTCGGCGCTAGAGATCAGAAAATAGGAGAGAGGGGAAGGTGGAAGCTGGAAGCTGAAAGAGGATTTCAAAGCCGGTGACCCCCGACCCCCATTTAATTGTACTACGGTGTATTATTCATCATTATGTATCACCATCGTCAACCACCACTAAGGTAGTGTACCACCACCTTGTCACGATCCCTCTTTTTCGCTCTCCCAAATCTCCATCAACCAGACGGGGATACAGACGGTAATATGCCTCTCACCATCACATTGACTTACTCTTCTCATAATATCATTTTTGAGTGTCTTTGCATGGTTGTTTCACATCATATTTCTCATCGTCTTGCTTGTTCCCCTCCCTGATTCCTCGCGACTCCATCCCGGACCATCTTCAACAAAACCCCCGTGGCCTATTATCTCCGTTCATTTCACTCGCCCACGCAAACCTCCACTCAGCACTTCATTATGGCCGATAAACAACAGCCGGGAGCTCCAGGGCCTGTCATCTTGCCGGGCTCTACGGAGCCCAAGCTTCTTGTCCCTATCGACCACCCGGAGTCATCTCTCTCCCGGAAATTCGGCCGCGAAACCGTCAATTATTTCTCGGGCGGTCTCAACAACCGTCTATCATGGCTTCGCACCGACTACGACTTCCTCAGAACCGCGTTTCAATCCCCTGACGCCCGGTTTATGATCCTCAAGGACCTCTTCCCCTTAGTCCAGAAGCCGCACCCGAGTTCCGAGGAGGGCGCGAAGGGCCCTGTTGCCTTCGCCCTTGTCTCCCACCGGGATATCGCCGCAGTCACGGGCTCTGACCCTTTCGGTCCTTCCGAAGAGGACCTCATAAAGAATTTCGACTCTTCCGAGACCCGGCCCCTTGTTCTCTTCGTCGGCCTACTCGAGAGTAAACAGTCTTCCTTCAGCTGGAAAGACTTCAAAGGAAGCCCCGTATTCGCTGTTGACGTCACTCCGAGGGGTTCTTATGCTGCCGCTGCTCAGGGTTTTATAGACAGACAGCTTCAAGAGGAAAACACATTTATGACGGACAGAATACAAATCACCCACGATGCTGCCACGGGTATCTCATCTCATCCTTCTTCCCCTATCCTATCCTATCCTATCCTATCCTATCCTATCCTATCCTATCCTTTGTCCCGGAACCCCCTCCTCGTGATCTTCTCTCCTCTTGCTGACTGTTCCCCCCCTGCCCAGCTGCCATGTATGGCCAAGCCCGCTCAACTATGGACTGGAACCTTCGCAACCAGTTCTGTTCCAGCTGCGGCCAGCGCACCCTCGCCGGGCACGCCGGATACAAGCGGCTCTGTCCGCCCACAGACCTTGCCGGGTCCGATACGCCGCAACCGCGCCCGGACTGCCCCTCCCGCAAGGGCATCAGCAACATCAGTTTCCCCCGGACCGACCCGACCATGATTGCCGCCATCCTCTCGGCAGACGGCACGCGCGTGCTCCTCGGCCGCCAGAAGCGCTACCCGCCCTACTGGTACAGCACCCTGGCCGGCTTCATCGAGCCGGGCGAGTCGATCGAGGATTCCGTCCGCCGCGAGGTCTTCGAGGAATCCGGCGTGCGCGTGGGCCGCGTCGTCATCCACTCCTCCCAGCCCTGGCCCTACCCCGCCAGCCTCATGATCGGCGCCATCGGCCAGGCCCTGCCGGGCGGCGAGACCATCAACCTTGCCCACGACCCGGAGCTGGAGGACGCCAGGTGGGTGCCGCTCGAAGAGGTCCGCGAGGCCCTCGTCCACGGTGTAAGCAACCTCGGTGATGCTGCGCCCTCGTCGTACAAGGAGGGCGGTCTGCGCCTGCCCCCGCACACTGCCATCGCGAACCAGCTTCTCACCGCCGTGGTCAACGGATTTGCTAGTGAAGGCCTGGGGTCAAACGCCGGTTCCAAATGGCAGAACGCTGCTCTCTGAGAGGGCAGCGTCTTTTGCCTTTTCTGCGTCTTTGCATCTGGTACGGAGTAGATACCTTGGGTAGAGATAGACTAGAGTGCCGGAGTAATTACTTCGAATGTGCTCCCAGCGTTATGATAACTCAATTCTATTTTTGGACTATCCAACCCTAAGCAACACCTATATTCAGCAAAGAGAAGAAAAATAAAATATAGAGGAAAAAGATAATTATCAACAACGAAACTGGAGAACATCGTACTCCGCGAACAAAAAAGAAATTGACCAACGCAGGACTCGAACCTGCAGCCTCCTGATGGACTAGAAGATCTACTATATCGTAGTCATGAATCGTAGTCAGACGCTCTACCGATTGAGCCAGTTGGCCTCTTGTCTTGTGATGAAGAACGGGGCCCCAAACTCGCCTAACTTGGTGTAGATTTTTCGAACTCCGCTACCTAAACGACCATGGGGACGGCGATGGGGACGACGATGGGCCTGGATTTTGCACCCCCACGCCGGAAAAAAGGGGTCCAAAATCAATCCTGGCAATTTCTCACGTGATCCAGGTTCTGCCAGCTGCATGCTAGTGACAGGTACTGACGGACAGCTCAGCACCTAATTAATGCCGGTTGATCGTCCTGTCAGCAAACCACCACCGACAAGCAAGGCGAACACGAATTCCCTTCGCTGATCAACCTTCCCAGACACGGATTCTTCCCGGCTCGCCATGTCCACGCCAAAGGACGAGTGTCGCCTAGCATGTACCACTTAGCTAAGAGCCTATACCTACTCGCCACGAGCAAAGAAGGTAAAACGACACAAATACTTCCTACACCAGCTCCGTCTCCTCTGCTCCCACTACCAGCTTTCCTTTGCTGTCCCCTCCCCCCCCCTTCCCCTTTGAACTTCTCTCGAATCGCACGACATGCAGGCTGACACCATGGGCGATCTACTTGCCTTCGCCTCCCCCCCGTAGAGTACTCAGTGATCCTCCTCGGCCTCGACAATGCAGGCAAGACGACCTTCCACGAGCAAGTCAAGTCGCTCTTCCTCCCTTCGCACCCGGACCCGAAGCTCAAGACCGTGCCGACCGTGGGCCAAAACGTGTCCACCATCGACCTGCCGGACATGTACCTCAAGATCTGGGACGTGGGCGGCCAGCTGACCCTCCGCAAGCTGTGGCAGAGCTACTACGCCAGCGCCCACGCCATCGTCTTCATCGTCGACTCGACCGACATTGGCGACGGCACCCTCCTCATCGGTGAGGGAAACGGGAGCGCGGCGGCGGGGGCGGCGGCGGCGGGTTCGTCGTCGTCGCCGTCGGGGGACAACGGCCGGTTGGACGAGTGCCGCGCCGTGCTGGAGGATGTGCTGCAGCACTCCGACGCCGAGGGCGTGCCGGTGCTGGTGCTGGCCAACAAGCAGGACCGCGAGGACTGCGTCGAGGTGGTGCGCATCAAGGAAGGGCTCGTCAAGAAGGTCTTCGAGGGCGAAAAGGCGAGCAGTATCCGCGATTCGAGGGTCTTGCCCGTCAGCGCCTTGACGGGGGCGGGTGTCCGGGAGGCTGTCGACTGGGTGCGGTCGCGCGTGAAGTGGAATAAGGAGTCAAGACCACCCGTCATGCGGTGATTGTGCTTTTTTGTTGGTCCTGGCGCGGTTAACAACGGGGGGTCTAAACTACTCTTGACGGACGGCGTTTGGGGCGGCGTTTTGGGTGTTACGGACAACGCAGGAGGTGAAAGCACCATATCGTATATCGCATTGCATAGCGACACATGCTCTGCTGTTCTCAAGGAGTGTCTTTTCCCCTTGACGACGAGGGGGCTCCTTCCCCCCCCCCCCCCTTTTTTTTTTTCTTCTTCTATTCTTTTCTCAGTGGAATTATGAGGTTCATGGATAAGGGTCGAGATTTCTTTGGGGGGTATCAATGCTTTTTTTGAAAATCTTCTTCTCCCATGACCGGGCCTTGATGCTCATTATGCTAGACCAATGGAACTTTTTTTATTTCCTCTGCCCGTTTCCCTTCCCCTTTCCCCTGTTCTCCTTTTCCTTTCCCTCTTCTCTCCTTCTATCCTCACGCGTCTGGGACTCTCTCGTTCTCCGCCGAAAGCAACTCCGAAATCAAGCCGCCCTTGTCTCTCCTCCTGCCGTCCTCGGCCAATTTCGCGTCCACCAAGTCGGAGAGCTCCTTGATCTTCTGCCCCGCGATGGCAGCGCACTTGAGCAGCGTGGTGGCCTCCACAGGCTCGCCCCCCAGCTTGGTCACGTGACACACTTCGCCGTGCTTGTTCAGGCCGAAGGTGCAGCTCCCGACGGCGAGGTGCTCCTCGCGCCAGTCCGGGTCCAGCAGGACGGTCTCGCCCTCGTCGCCGAAGAAGCCAAAGGTGACGCAATAGGGGGAGTGGAGCCAGCCGAGCGGCACGGGTTCGCGCTCGGCGGGCGTGAAGATGGTCAGCTCGCCGGATTCGATGGCGGTGTCCGGCTTGCGGAAGTGCCGCAGGGCCGCCACGGTGGCGAGGCAGGCTGCGTCGACGAGGTTGCCGTCGTGCGCGAGGACGTGGACGTCGGCGCGCACGGACCAGACTTTGCTACCGGCCACGAGACAGAGGGATTCGGTGTCGAGGGCGCCGGAGCGGCGGATCGTCTTCTCGAGAAGGCGGGAGAGGAGGATTTCAGTCTCGGTTGTCCTGTTGGGCTCGAAATGCGGCGAGGCCATGGGTGAGAGCTCGGTGGAGATCTGAAAGATGCCATCAAATTGGCGGTCCGGGAAGGGAACGGTGACCTCGGCCGAGATGTTCACCAGCACTCTAAAATAGCTTCTTAGCATTTTTGAACCGAGTGTCTCGCAGCGTGCACACGTAGATAGATACCTTGTCTGGCCTAGGCTCACATCTGCTGTTCCATACTCATCGCCAAGAGTGAGATCCAGCTTCCGATATTCGTCGAAAGCACGGCCATCTAACCTCAACCCTTCTTGCAAGGCTTGTAGTAGAAACTGCTTTTCGTTGGCGGAGGGTTCGGCTTCTCGGGGCATGCTTGCAGTTGCTTCTCTTGAGGTAAGCGTCTGAATTATTGTTGTTTGACATGAGTTCCCTTCATCCAGATCAAAGTGAAGCGACTTGGGTGAGTGAGCTGAGAAGATATCTAAGATATTCAGTTACCGGTGCTTTACCTCTTATATTTGAATTTCAATCTCAGTTATCGCATTGGCGGGAGCCTAATTTCGCTTTGTCGCTTTGTACGTCAGTACATAAATAAAGTACGGAAAATTATATGTGTATTTATCTAACTAAGTAAAGCTCCTGGTACTTCACGGGGATATCTAACTATTAGGAAAAACTAGGGGAAATAAGTATAGATATATAGAATCGAGGCATTCTATACCTAGAAAAATAAGAATAAATAAAGCTAAGACTCTTAATGATTGAATATAGCATAACCGTAAAGGGTAAGCACGATAAGAATAGTTAGATTAAGAGGTTCTAAATTAATTATATTTAAGCCGTAAAACCTTATGGAAACGTGTGGTTATAGGAGGCAAATTTTATATCCGATAATCCTTCGGATATCCACCTTCCGTGCCTAAACGCGTAATCGGCCGTTAGGTTATTCCACCCCGAGGGAGGTCTGTGCGACAGCTGTCAGTTCTGTACTCAACGGGTATAGCTTCTGCACCTCCAGTACCTCAGTCCATCTTCCCATCTTCCACCACCCATCCCAACTCGCGTTGCATTTCCCCCTTTCACCGCAACAATCTAGCGATCAGTACGACGACGACGACCACGACCGGCGACAACGACGACCACGTAACAAACCACCACAATGACCACAGCCCATAGGCCCACCTTCGATCCCGCACGGGGCAAAGAAGCACTCCGCGGGCCCGCCTACCATCAACGCCTCCTACCGGCCTACACCAAGCTCAAGTACCGTCAACCAGGCCAAGGCGGCGACGAAGCAGAAGACGAGGGGCGTGACCTCGCCTCCGAGCTTCTGGCCGCCGAAGCCGCCCATTTCGCCAAGAAGAACGGCAAAGCCCTCACCCCTTCGGCCGATGCGGACGCCGACGCCGACGCCGACGCGGCGCCCGCCACCACGCAGGGCGTGAAGCGCGGCCTTGATTCGGGCCCATCCGGCGGACCAGGAGGCGGAGGAGACGCAGAAGAAGATTTCGAAGCGAAACGACGCCGCATATTAGAAGAATCACGGGACATCGACGCCGATTCCGAGGACGGCAGCGACAAGGACGATGGTGGCGACCATGGTGATGATGATGATGACGACGACGACGACGACAGTGAGGAATCAGATAGCGACGACGAAGACGCGGAACTGCAACGCGAGATGGAGAAGATTCGGCGCGAGAGGGCGGAGAGGCGGGCACGCGAGGAGCGCGAGAAGGCCGAGGCGGAGGAGGCGGCGCGGGAACGAGACATTGCGCTCGGGAATCCGCTGCTTAACAAGCCTGACTTTACCATTCGGAGACGGTGGGACGACGATGTGGTCTTCAAGAACCAGGCTCGTGGGACGGATGATAGGAACAAACCCAAGGAGTTTATCAATGTGAGTTCTAGCCTCCCCCTCTCCCTCCCATGATTCCATCCATCTTTCTCTTCCCGCCGACCTTCCGTTTCTTTGGTCAAGTTGAACTAACAGCTCTTACTTCTCCACCAGGATATGTTGAGATCCGACTTCCACAAGAGGTTCATGAGCAAGTATGTCAGGTAGACTTTGGTCATTGGAAATAGGAGTTATATATAATAAGATTCACGATACCCGATGCCCGATACCCGATGCCCGATACTCCTACTTTACCCCCTCCTCCCGCGCCCTCATGTCGCTCGCTCGCTCGGCTACAGGATTTTCTTCGGTTCACCCCGGATCCGCGTCACACCAACCTTCTTATCCACGAATTCACGCTCGTCCGGCTCGATAGTGTTCAGGTAGTAGTCGTCCTTGAATGCGTTGGCGAATACTTCCATGCTCGGGACCTCGAAGACGGCACATCCATCGTAGTCAGCCAGTGGGCTGGGTCCTGATGATTCGGGCCCAATGGGCGCAACCCCTTCGTTGAGGGCTGCGGTGGCGTGGATCTATTCGTATTTTGCACCAAGTCTGCGTCAGTGCGACCATTTTCCCTCTCGAGTCAGGAGGGATTGCATTGCATTGCATTGCATACCTGTGTGTACGAGATGAAGCCGTGCTTCTCCATCCAAGGCTTGACGAGCGGACCATGGACCTTCTCCCAGTGATGGTAGAACTGCTCCTGCGTGAGGCCCGGTTTGCGCTTGAGAAAGGAGATGCTGACAACAGTCTGGCCGGCCTTCGTCTGGCTAGTAGTGGCTGTCGATTGATCTGTCATGGTTTCTTGTGGTACTGTTTCTTCTTTTTGTCTTTTTGGTCTCTGCGAACCAGATAGGTCCTTTAAAAGGGAGAGCTTTGGCGATTGATAAACTACGTACGTCCTGACAACGAAACGACGGGACGATGGCAGGGGAGGTTTTTGTCGGTCCGGCTTCTTCAACTAGACAATATCTAGAGATCTTTATGGATGTAGAGGTCGGCGGGGGATCGGGGATCGGGGATCGCGCCCTCATGACCTTGGGCCGGAAAACAGCAGCCGGTAACGACACACCGTCCCCTCACTTTCTCCTTTTCGAGCTTGCCTCCTTTCACTCGAGTGCGCTAGCCAGAAAGGAAGCTAATTAGCACCTCACTCTTCCATCCCAGGCAAGCGAGTATGTCCGGGAAACGTTCGATGAATCTCAAGACTTGGACAGGCGCTCGCTTTAGAAGTATGTGGACTGGACGGTAAGCCAAGCGAATTTTAATATCAGCGTAGAGAAACTTCAAACTTGACATGAGTCGCGTCTGTCAGCCGTGGAATAACTTGGATATCTCGTCGAGGCTGTTGATAGTCTACCATGCTCTATCATAGCTATTACACGGGCCTGTTCTTGAGCAAGCAATGCTCCCTGAAGGCCCTCCCTTCTTGCTGACCGGGCTCGCGCAGCCCTTACCTCTGCTGGCGATGTGCCCTTTCTTTCCGAAGCCCCGAAATAAGTCTCATCATGTCCAGTCTTTGGCAATCCGGACATGTATGCTAATCTAATTGCCCTTTGCTATGGAGGGCGTCCATGAATCGCCTTTTGTGGCTATTTTTTTTTTTCTTCTTCTGCTTCATTTCCTGGTCCATCTCCTGTCGCGAACCCGGGTACCGTACTCCATACATACCCTCGACATACCATCGTGGGACGACTATGGACACCGAAAAGGCAAAAGTGGTGGTCGTTATCGCAGTATGCTTCGACGTCGCCCCATCCGAGGCTCAGGCCCTGCTTTGTCCACGCGGCGCTTCCCCTAATAAGCCCAGCGATCGCCTTCTCGCTCAGCCTCGAGCCGTCGCATCCTCTCTTCCTCGTCGTCCACATTCAGAGCCTCGCTCCGGTGTCCCTTGCGACGGCTACGCTTCCCATCGTCACCGCCGCCGCCGCCGCCGCCGCCGCCGCCGCCGTCGTCCCCTCCGCGTCCCCGTTTGATCCCCGCGAGGGAGGCCAGCCCGGCCATGCGCTGCGTCTCTTTCAGAAGACGCTCACGGTCGCGCGCCTCGCGCTCCAGCGCGTGTGTGTTCTTCGCCGCCGCCGCGGAAGTGCTGGACTGGTGGTGCTTGCTGGCCGTCGACTCCCGGCGACTCGACTCGCGCCGGTCCTTGGCGGCGTCCCTGTTGTCGGTGCTCGAGCGGAGGAGACTGCCAGGAGCAGCATCCAACTCCTTGTCGACAGGCGTCGGTGGCTCGGTAGACTGCTTTCGGCCGCTACGGTGACGTTCTTTGTCTCCTCGTTCTTTATCGCGATCGCGAGCGCGGTCGTGGTCGTGGTCGCGGTGTTCCCTGCGTTTGCGATCTCTGTCCTTTTCTCTGCCACGATCCTTTCGGTCGCGGTCACGGTCGCGGTCCCTGTCACGGTCCCTGTCCCGATCTCGATCTCGATCTCGATCTCGGTCTCGGTCTCGGTCTCGACGCCGGCTGGATTTGTGCCGATGTTCATCCTCGTCGTCTCGATACTTCGCCTTCTCTCGATCTCGATCTCGGTCCCGGCCGCGTTCGCGTTCGCGGTCACGTTGACGATCCCGATCCCGATCCCCATCTCGGGCTCTCTCGCGTCGCCGCTCATCCCGCTCTTTACGGCTGGCTCTGTGACGACTTGACCTCCGTGATTCAGCAGGGGAAGCCGACCTCTCCCTATCCCCGCCCTTTTCCCTCTCCCCGTCATTGTCGTCCCTCTCCCGGGGGGTCTTCGTATCGTCCTCGTCGTCTCCGTGCTTCCTCCTGCCCCGATGTCTTCGGTCACCATAGTTGTCTTCTTCATCATCATCGCCCCGCTGATCGTCCGACTTGGAGGCGGAGCGGTGACGTTTATGCCGGTGGCGCTCGCTTCTGTGGTCCCGCTCGTCGTCCTGGTGGTCCTCGTGGTCCTCGTGGTCCCTGTCATGTTTTCTACCACGTGTCTTGGAGCCATCTCTGCTCCCTTCTCGATGATGTCCATGTCCGGTGTCCCTAGCGGGCTTCGGAGAACTACTCCGAGACGGGCCATGAGCCGCGCCAGAGCCTGCTACACCATTAGTCACCGTCGGCGAAGACCTGTCCTCATCATCCTTAATCTGGTAACCGAGGGCCCGTAGGGTGTGGAGGCTCGTATTAGGCAAACCCCTCCTCATTGCCTTGGGCCCCGTAGGGGCATTCAAGGGGATGTCGGGGGCGGCAAGCGAAGAGCTTGCGCCGCTTTGGCCGGGGCTGCCTGCATGCATTGCCCCGTGGCCGCTAGCCATGGCACCACCACCGTGGTTAGAGGGGAGATGACCATTCTGGGTACGTGCTATGTCTCCTGCAACGGCCTGACCAGACGAATCATGAGATGCTAGTTCCGCAGAAGCCTCAGTTTGCTCAGTGGCCCCGGCCTGATGATCATCCCGTCCAGAGGCGCCGCCTTGGTTATTATCATTCGTGCCGTCCCCGGCAACAACCATGTCTCCTCCTGCTTTGTCGGGCTCGGCATTCGTTCGAATCTCACGGCCAAACTCATCCACGTCCCCCTGACCCTGACCCTGACCCTGACCCTGACCCTGACCCTGACCTCCTTGCGCCCCCTGGCCGGACGTCATGACAGAGCCACCACCATTCCCGTAAGTGGCGTTCTGACCACCAAGCTGGGAATATCCGGCCCGGCCGTAGCCCCCGTAGAAGCCACGGCCTCGTCCACGACCGGCCCTGGCGGCGCCGTGGTGATTTCGGCGGTAGTCATTGAACTGGTGTCCGTAATTACCTTGATTGAATCCTGGCTGGAACCCTGAGTTATACGCGCCAAAGTCACCAGATCCCATCCCAGCAGCAAGTGCTTGATTGTAATTCTCTTGGCCGAAACTCCACGACTGTTGTCCATTCCAGTTATTGGGCCCTGTGCCGAAACCACCGCCAAACCCTCCCATGCCCATGCCTAGAGGACCAAAGCCGCCATTCATGTACATGCTCTGCATCGCCATGGGATCCATGCCCATACCAGGCATTCCTGAAGAGAACGTTAGCATACCGTAGCTTTTAAACCAAGTCAAGGGGGTCGCAGGGGAAGGAACGAACCCATCATCGGAAAGGAACCAAACGAGTTCGGGGCCATTCCGTTCTGCATCGCCATCATCATCTGCATCTGATTCATGTCGCCGTTCATGCCATTGAAGGACCCTCCGTTCATGGCGTTGACGTCGAGATTGCCGCCGCCGCCGCCGCCGGCGTTCTCGCTGGTCTCAGCCGATTGCGGGTACCCCAGCTGGCCAGCCGGATCGGTGCCGTCGTCTGCCTGCACCCCATTCTCCACGACAGCATCCGCTTCTTTCGAAACTTCCTTGTCTTGAGGTGTATCGGCGACGGGCTGAGTCTCGGCGTCTTCCTCTCCGTTCTACCTCAAGGAGTCAGCCTACGTCATAGAAACAGGTAGTCCGAGCAAACCTACCTGAGCTGGTGTGGCTGTAGCAGGAGCACCACCCTCCGTCGCTGCAGTAGGGGCAGGGGCGTCGGAACCCTGCACTGGAGCCACTGGAGGTACGCTCTGTGAATTGTCTCGAGTAGCCGGGACGCTCGCAGGTTGGGAGATGGCCTCCGCTGCGGGTGATTGCGTGGCGGAAGGCTCTGGCGGGGCAGGCTTCGCATCGATAGGCGTCGTAGGCGTAGACAAGCGCGATTCCTTGAGCCTACTCTCTTCGCGTTTCTTCTCCTGAGTCCTCAGGAAGACTCTGATTGTGGTTCGATGGGACTTGTGAGGAGTGCAATCCTGAGCCGATACTGGCGAGTGTTCGCAGACGGGACAAGATGATGGCAGGGTTGATTGGCCTGTGACGAAACGAGAGTCAGAAATAGAAGTGGCGACAGCGGAGGTCACACAAAAAGCCTTACAGGATTCGCAAATCGCCTGTTCGCAGCATGGCAGGCGGAAGGCGTTTACTGCAAGTTTGCTGCAGATGGCGCATCGGAGCTTGATTGGGATGTCTTCCGGTGCGAGGGAGCTGGAGCAAGTAGACGTATCAGTATTATTACAAGACTGGACAAGAGAAACGAGAGCGGCTCAGTCAATAGACCATACCTGATCAGCTCAGCCTGAGCAGGGGTGATCGCCGAAGCCATGCCGGCGGCAGAAGGGATGGATCTTCAATAAACCGTCAACATGAGCTGGCAAAGAGAATTGGCTGCAAATGACCGAACTTGTTCTTGACGTTCGGCAATTCTGTGGAAGGGGAAGGTATCGACGAGGAGGCAATAATGAAGGGTGCCGAGAACGAGAATCTTCGTCTTCAGCGGACTTGACGAAACTCGATCATCATGCGCGAAATCCGAGGTTGAATCCGTCGTCTCTTGAGTAGTCACGCGATATATTCGAATGCGATCGCGGCCCTGGGTACTAGGGAGCGTTGAGTGCGGCGCGGTCCAACTCTGAAAAGGAAAAGAAAGATGTTTGTACCGATGATGGTAGATGATGGTAAGAATTCTGCTTCTGCTACCGAGTAATTACAGTGGGGAGAGAGGAGGTCCCAAAAGAAGAAAAGAAAAGAAAAAGAAAAATACGGGTCGGGCGACTTTCTCGTCGTGGTGTAATTACAACGTACTTTGCAAGTACCTGGAATTACTCCGTAACAGGGAACCAAACCCGCGTGGGAAAAAGTTGAGCAGGGGCAATTTGCCAGGGTAGGTACAAAGTAATACTGTACAGCGGTACATTACCTAAAGTGGGGGACACAGTCTCAGTCGGGATCTCACGTGACTTTTCTGTCGGGGTTCCCGGTGAAGGTGCGGTACGGTACGGAGTACACCGATCGGTCAGCAGCGCTCGATGAACCAAACTTGAGGGCCGGGGAAAAATGAGTGGCACGGAGGACGGGAATAGTTCTTTGCGAATCATGTGCCTCCTGCGCAAGGCAAGGCAAGGCAAGGCACCTTCCCGTCAACGGAGCAAGGCCCTCCCGAGGAAGGAAAGCATCTCAGGGAAAGAACTGTGACGAGTCAGATAATAGAGTAAGTGTGGCAATAAGATACTGACGAATATATTACTTGATTGACCCTATCGACAAAGACCAATGATGAATCCCAGGTTGTAAGACACGAATGCGCACGTATCGCCTCTTTGACAAATCTCTAATCACCCCATCACCCCCTGCCCTCGAACAGACACCCGGCCAACGAAATAACCACGACGCTCTCCTCGCCATTCCATCAGCAAGCGCACCCTTCCTTCGCCGCATTGTCCCGCTGACCAGATAGGTTCACCCGCTGCTCGTCGGCACCCCGGCCCACCGCGGCCGCCGCACCGCCTGGACCCCTTGTGCTCTTGAGCGATGTTTCCGGAATGGCGTTGGCGATGGCCGTGAACACGTCCGTCACGTTGTGGCCCGTCTTCGCGCTCGTCTCGAAAAACAGCAGGCCCTCCTCTTCGGCGTAGGCCTGGGCCTCCTCGGTCGGGATCTTCCTCGCGTCCCCGGACCCCTCCCCTTCCGCGCCCTCGTCGTCCCCTGCAGCGCCGGCGTCGGCGCCGGCGTCGGCCCCTCCGTCGTTGGTCAGGTCGAGCTTGTTGCCGACGAGGGCGATGACGATGCCCGGCGATGCCTGCCTCTGGAGCTCGGCCACCCAGTGTTTCGCCTTGACGAGCGACGTCGGCTTGGTCAGGTCGTACACGACGAGGGCGGCCTGGGCGTTTCGGTAGTACATGGGTGCTAGGGAGGCGAAACGTTCTTGGCCGGCGGTGTCCCAGATCTCAAACTTGATTGTCCGTGTCGGCAGGTTGCACTTTTGTGTGAGAAACGCAGCTAGTTTGCGCGGCCCGTCAGTTGAGAAGATTCCCCCCAAAGACCCAAAAACCCTAGCATTGATTTTCTTATTTCTTCCTGGGATGGGAACCGCGACCGACATACCTCCAATAGTTGGTTCCTTGTTCTCTTGGAAATCATTGTTGACGAATCGCAGGACGAGGGATGACTAGAGGAAACAAGGTCAGCTCGGAGGTGATATAACAGACTGTTGATCAACCGTCTTACCTTGCCAACGGCGGCTTCTCCCAGTAGCACGAGCTTCACGCTGCTGCTCGGCTTGGGAGCGGCGTTTCCAGGTCCCTCCATCTTGTCCACCTTACGTCGTGTCAATACCCTAGATATGTAATGATATGCAAATCGAAGAACTGCAAAGTGTTGTGGTTATTGAACTAGGACGATGGCGTCGTTGACAGAGGGATGAAAGAATGGCTGGTTGATGGGTAGAGGTAGTTGCCTTGGGGGGGGAAAGACGTAATTAGTGTAATGCTGGGATGCTTGTATTCCATCCATCCGTACTTAGGTCATCTTTGGACAGGGTGCCGGGGTGGATACATGAGGTACGTAAGGTACCTTCTGGTAGGCCACCACTCTCGTGCGCAGTATGCTGTACGAAGCACGAAGTACGAAGTACTTTCTCCTTCCGGTTTCACCTCGTCGCTGTTCAGGTGATTAGTACTCTCCCTTATACGTAAGGTCCATACGTAAGGTCCATATCCTCACCCTGGTAATATTGACCTTGGAAGTATGCCTGGAAAAAGACATGTGGAATAAAGGATACCTAAAGTCACCCCCTTTGCGTGATTGCATATCCCCATGGATTACAGAATCTAGCTAGAATTAGTAAGTAGTATCTGTCCTCTACCGTCCTGCGTATGATGGAACTCGTGCACCTACTCCGTACCTATAAAGCGACCCTGGTCTCTCGGAGCCTGGGCATGCAAGTCAGCCGCTGTGCTACCAGACTTACCAAGCAACCTCATTACCGGTTCTTGTTGAGTCGTTGTGTTACGCAGTCGAGGTGTAAGGTGTAGAGTTAATACCTTACGTTGTACTCACATGGAGGTACTCAGACGCAAGTTCAAAGTTACCAATACGAAGAAACACGAAAATTGCCGAACAGATCCTACCTATGCGCTACCTTATAATACAACTAACAGCTACAGCGCTATTTAAACAAACTCCGAGGTTAATAGACATGAATTCAAGCTGGTCATCGCAGCTCCTCCGTTCATGTACACTAAGGTAGCTCTATGAAGTATGTACCGAGTACACATCATGTACCTTGACCTTGGACCTTTAGTCTTCCCAAATGCTCTGTTGGTCGGTCGCATGTTTCGCCGGTTCCGAACTGTCTCCACAATTTGGTCCGTGCTGCAGCGTGTCACTCTGGGACGTACCTTTGATCCTTTGATAGACCCTTGTCGTGGGTGGGGGGGGGAGAAGATGGGGAGAAAAGCCCGTTTTTGTTGTCACCAACAGGTTGTCCGGCTATATTTCATCGAAGGTTAGCTGGCAGCACCGGAAAATTGGCCACGAAGCGATAAGGGAAGAAAAGAAAGAAAAAAAAGGGAAAAAAAAAAGTAGACAAGCAGTCTCAGCGTTTGCCAACAAGGTTGATGGAAGAAGTCAACTGTTAACCTTCATCAAGACTCCAGAGGGTCCAATCCTCTCAATAGAGCACCATGCCGTCAAACAGCTTCTTTACCGACACGGAAAAGCCGTCAAAGAAGGTGAAGCTTCTTGACAGCGATTCCGAAGACAGCGACGGAGGAGGAGCCCATCTCGATGCCTCCCAACTAAAGGTCAATGAGGAGTATGCCCGCAGGTTCGAGCATAATAAAAAGCGAGAAGAGCGACAGAGACGTACGTTTGGACATCCGGCCTGAACCTCCTATTGCCTTTCTTTCTTTTCACTGTTTCTTTGGCCTGTTACTGACCGCCCCGGCTCTCAAGTCGAGGAAAAATACAAAAACTCCAAGCTGGGCGCTGATGACTCCTCCTCCTCCTCCGATTCCGACTCCTCCTCCTCTGAAGACGAAGAAGGTTTCTTAGTGACAGAGGACCTGGACGCGCGAATCTCGGCCACGCTGAACGCCATCAAGAACAAAGATCCTCGTGTACGCGACAAGAATTTCACCTTCTTTCCGTCCACGGCAGATGGCCAGGAAGAGTCAGGTCCTTCACAGAAGAAAGAGAAGCCTCTGCGTTTGAAAGACTACCATCGCGAGAAGATCCTAGCCGGCGACGTGGGCGCCTCAGACGATGAAGAAGAGGCGCCGCCGCCACGGACGTATGCGCAGGAACAGGACGCTTTGAAGAAGTCCATCGTATCCGAGATTCACAAGGCCGCTGCCGAGGGGGGCTCGGACAACCAAGGTTCCGACGATGACTTCGTCACTCGCAAAGAGAAGCCGAAAGAGAAGCTCGACGCCAACGGGGTCCATCCGTCCCGCGCCGCCGCTGTCTCTACCATCACCGAAACGGACGTCGTGAATGCCGAGAAGGACCCGGAAACGTTCCTGTCGAACTTCATGGCGGCTCGTGCCTGGGTACACAACGACGGGAGGAACTGGGAGGCGTTCGAGTCGGATGCCGACGACGACGGGCACGTTGACAAGGCCGAGGAGTTCGAGCAGGCGTACAACCTCCGGTTCGAGGACCCGCACAAGAGCAACGAGGTGCTGAGGTCATACGCTCGTGACATCACAGCCTCCAAGTCGGTTCGGCGCGATGAACTGACGGGGCGGAAAAGGCAACGCCAGCTCGAGAAGGAGAAGAAGGAGGCCGAGAAGCAGCAGCGGCGCGAGGAGAAGGCGCGCCTGCGGCGTCTGAAGCTCGAGGACGCCGAGGCGAAGCTCCGGAAGATCAAGCAGGCCGCCGGTCTGAGCGGCAAGGAACTCAACGAGGACGACTGGGCTTGGCTCCTCGACGAGGCCTGGGACGACAAGAAGTGGGAGGAGGAAATGCAGAAACGGTTCGGCGACGCGTATTACGCCGCGGCCGAGGTCGCCTCGTCGTCGGACGAAGAAGATGGCGGGAAGAAGAAGAAGAAGAAACCCAAGAAGCCGAAGTGGGATGATGACATCGACATCACCGACATCGTCCCCGACTTTGAGGATGACGTCGCCAAACCGGACATTACACTCACCGATGATGAAGGTGAAGGTAACGGCGCAGCGGCAGACAAAGAGGAGCACGACGAAGACGAGGACGAGGAGGACGACGACGACGACGGCCGTCCTTCCAAGAAACGCAAGACGGCCAAGGACCACAAGAAGGAGCGCCTCATCGCCAAGCAAACCGCCAAAGCCGAGCGCCGCAAACTCGAAGCCCTCGTCGACGCGCGCATGGACCTGGACCACCCGGACGTCCTCGCCGGCGCGGAGGACGGCGACCCCGAGGCCGCCGAGACGGGCAGGCAGGCCGCCGCGCGGCTCAAGTTCCGCTACCGCGAGACGTCGCCGCAGTCCTTCGGCCTCACGCCGCGCGACATCCTCTTCGCCCCCTCGGACGCCGACCTGAACCGCTTCGCCGGCCTGAAGAAGCTGGCGCCCTTCCGCGACCCGGAGAAGAAGGGCAAGGACAAGAAGAGGCTGGGCAAGAAGGCCCGCCTGCGCGAGTGGCGCCGCGAGATCTTCGGGAGGCAGTACGAGCGCACCGGTCCTACGGACGACTTGGCCGGCGCGGCTTTTGCGGCTGCCGAGGCCGAGCGGGAGAAGAGGCGGAAGAAGAAGCAGGAGGAGGTGAAGGGCGATGCCGCATCTGGCCCTGCCGCTGCTGCTGCTGAGGGGGGCGATGAGCAGGCGAAGAAGAGGAAGAGGAAAAGGTCCAAGGGGAAGAAGAACCAGGATGGCGATTCTGCTGCTGTGGCTACCACCACGAAATAGAGGAGTTATTGTTCCAAGCCGGTGAAGGATCTTGACCTGCAAACTGGCGCTGCTCTTGGCCGCCTTTAGCTGGCAGGAGGAAAGCGGAATGTCTGTACTCTTAGACCTCTTACATACATTCCTCCCTGACCTCCTCCTCGTGATTTAATTCATGGGCCTGCACAAGTCCGATACCACAACAGGTAACAGGGAAGAGAAGGCCAAACTTGAAGTGCTCGGGAAAAGAGAATAACATATTGCCCCTGTTTTTGGTCTTTTTATCAGTATCCAAAGTGCCTTTTCCGACGACTCCTGGATTTGCGATTTGCCCCCCGAGCTCCTTGCTAGCCAATTGTGTATATACTCCTTCGGAAAAGAAACCCCCTTAAAAACGAACAAGAGCTGCGTCCCTTGGTAATATCCATGCAAGACAAAAAACCCCCAAGAAATCTCAGTACCCTCTGCTTCACCGGCCGTCGGGCCAGCAGAAAGGACGATCGTTCCTCTTCCCCTAGATTCTACACAGATTTTGATAGATCCTCCACGCGCAAATGGAATGGTAATAGTACATGATATGAGCGTCCGGTGCTTCAACCCCCCGACACCGATTCGAAGAGGCTCCAAAAAATTGAACTCACTGCCCTCCGGCAGAGAACACTCCTCCAGGTCCACTCCCGGGTGCGGGACTGTTAGGACCCATGACGAGCCCGTCGAGCGAGATGCCGCCAAAGTCGTGCCCAATCTCGGGAGGCTCCATATTGAACGGCATGAACCACGCGCTCGACGCCTCGTGGGCACCTCCCCCGCCGCCGCCGCCGCCGCCGCCGCCGCCATTGCTGCCCACATAGCCCGAAAGATGCTGTTGGTGCCGTTGCTGGTGCTGATGTTGAAGCTGTTGGTGGGCCGCCGCGGCGCCTTGCAGCATCCCGCCGGGACGGTTGGCCACCCGACCGCCCATGCCGGACCGCTGTGCCGCCAACAGCCTCGCCGCGGCTTGCGGATTCGCGGCGGACAAGCCGTCCCAGTCTGCCACGGCGTTGATGAGCGCCTGTTGCTGCTGCTGCTGCTGCGCAAGACTGCCCGGCTCCGTCGAGTAGCCCCCGAAGACGAGCTGTCGGTCCAAGGGTTGCAGCATGCCGTTTGCTTGCTGGGTCAAGGACAGCGACAGGAGATCGGGTGAGTAAAACGGGTTCGACGCGGCTTGGTGGTGGTGGTGGTGGTGGTGATGGGCCGGCGTCGGCGTCCCGAACTGGTTGGCGCCGATCGGACTGACGGGCGACATGGCATGGTATGAATTGTTTTGCGACTGCGACATCATGAGCGGCGGGTTGTATCCGTTCGCTTGCGAACCCAACTGGCCGGGAATTCTGTTGGCATGAGATGCTCCCGTGCCGTTGGGATTGGACCGCGCTCCGTCCATGGGCACGCCGTTGAAGTCGGTCAACAGAGGCTCGAGCTGCCCTTGCTTATTATGTTGCTGCGGGCGTTGCTGTGGGTCACCCGTACCCGGGGTTGTCCTGTTCACCAGAAGCTTCTTTTTCTGTGGCGGCTGTTGTCCCGGGTCTTTCATGCTCCCCGTGCTTTGTGGCGGCGGAGAAATGCTCGTGAAAAGCTCCTCAACCGTATGCAACTCTGCCTTTTGTTCCAGAACAGCATCCACCCCCTTCTCCTTATGTTTGACCGTCACCGGGTCGCCGAACCCCGTCTGCGAGACTCCGTGCGGGTAGCGGTCGAACCAATCGCCGTACTGGAAGATGGGGGATGCCGTCGCGCTCTTGGCGGTCCGGCCGCCTTGCCGCGCTGCATCGGCGCAGCTACGGTACTGGTCCCGGAGGCTCTCCGACATGAAGTGGAACATGCCCCAGTAGCGCTTCATCTTCGAGAGATACTTGACGTTCGTGGTCAGGTTCCTCTTGGCGGCGGCCTCCACGGCGGGACTTCCGGAAAAGATGCCGATGATGTGAATCGTGGCGGAGGAGAAGGCGCAGTAGCCCACGAATGGTGCCGACACGAGGTGGGCCTCGGCATCCTTGAGCACTTCGGATATGCGATTCGCCGCGGTGAACGTTTTGGCCCCTGCGTTGGAGACGAAATCTTGAGGGACATCCTTCGCTGCGGGGCGTCCCGGAGTGGCGACGGCGACTCGGTTGAGGAAAAGGATATTCTGCTGGATGGAGATGTGCAAGAAGAGGAACTGGTTGGCCATGCCTTCGGTATCGTGCAGGTGGAGGTTGTCGCGGGTGTAGTTCAGGGTTTCCGGAAGAGTAGCTGTGAGTTCCTCGGCGTCCCTGACCAGTTTCGCGTACTCGGACTCGGGGCTCCAGATCGGACTCGAGTCCAGATCGATTCCTCCCTGGTTTAGGTAGCTGATAATTCTCCCCCAAAGAGCTATAGATCGGATCATGTATGCCGCCACGCCGAGGTTGTCCTTGGGATCGGAGACCAGTTGAGCTTGAGCTTCTTCCGAGTCGGAAAGATTGGGAGCCTCCCCGCGCAGTGTCTCAGTGTGGGCGGGCATATCAAGCTGGAAATACTTTTCTTTGACGGGAAGGGGTATCTTGACGGTCTCCTCTCTGACGAAAATAGGCCTGTCGGTGCCTGAAGAGTTGAAACGGTCCATTATGAAACATGACCACATGACCCTCCTCCGGATTTCGCGGTCGATGAAACTCAGCTGCGAAGTCCCGTTCTTGTGGTTCAAAGGATCGTGTTCCAAGTCCTTGTGAAGCTGGAGGGCGAAGGCCATGCGGATGGCCTGACCGCCGAGAGCCCAACTTCTCCCTCCGTGGCATGTGCCGAACTCATGAAGGCCGAGGATCAAGAGACAGGTTAGGATGGTGATGTTGGGCCATTCATATCTCGTGGTACAGATTTCGCGGGCATGCGAGGCCCATTCCTCGCCTCGAAGGAAGTTGGGGGTCGTGTTCAGTTTCGGGTGGGTAGAGAAACGCGCGGATACAGCGCATACCGAGAGGATCAGCACGGGTGGTAAAGTGCCAGCTCTAATCATGCGGGCGATTTCTTATTAGCGAACCTAGGAAAAGAAGAAAAGAAAAAGGAGAAATGATAGGGCTTATCACGGCCAAGCCACGGAACTGACTGACTTACTTTAGTTTCCGCATGTAGCTAGGTTTGTGGAGCAGATGGTAAGCCTGGCCGTAGATGTTCTCGAAGAAAACCTCGGCGAGATGCTCCTGAATCTCCTTTGACGGCAGGGCATCCGATCCTTCTCGAAACAGCTTGTTCTCCTCGGCTTCCTGAATTTGAAGGGACGTCGGCTTGTTGGGGACCTCGGACTCGCTTTTCGACGGCCTGCGTGCCCAGTTGTCCAAATCGTGGCCGAAAGCCTCGTCGGCCGGTCTCTTTTTCGTCGAGGCTCTCGAGGCGGGGTTTGTTCCGGGCACGGCAGGCTTGACAACGGCGCGGGCGACGGAGGCGACGGAGGCATCCCGGTCGCGCAAGGGCACGATCTTGATGATGCGCTCTTCCATCCGCTTCAGGCGCTTGTCGAGCATGGCCATGTAGTCGGTGCGGGGAGCGGCTTTCCGGGTGGTGACCTTGTAGACGCAGGGGATCCGGGAACGCAGGCAGTGCTTGCAGGCCGGCTTCTCGCCGGAGCAGCGGATCTTCTTCCGACGGCAGGCTATGCAGGCCAAGGGCAGACGTTTGCGCTCCTTGCCGGCTTTCGTCTTCAGCTCGCTCCACGGAGGGGCGGTGGCGGACTTGTCTTCCTTGGGTTTCCCGGCCAGAAGATCGGTGCCGCTGCTGGCGCTCTGCGTGTTGAGGCCGAACTCGTCACCGCCCGGGTCCTCGAGAGAGTTCATACCACCGTTGGGTCCGCTGATCTGGCTGCTGCCGTCTTCGGAAGCGACGGCAAAACTCGACCTTCTGCGGCCCGGGTCGACGTCGCTCGGGTTGGTCCCTTGGGGTGTTGAGGAAGTGCCGGCGGAGGCGGCGGCAGAGTTCTGCCTTGCGCCCTGGGCCTGGGAGCAGCCGGCAGTGTGGGGGGAGGGATATTGTTGGGGTTCGGAGGTCGGAAAGACATCGGGAACACGGTCTGGTTCCTCCAGGAAGATCATGGAGCTTTCATCGTGAAGGGCCTGGCCGGGAAAGATGAAGTCTTCAAACCGAGGCCCGTCCATTTGGACATATGAGGCGAAGCAGACGACGAAGAAGGGTGAAGCCCCGAGAGGTAGTTCTCGTGAGAAAACTAGGAAGACGGTCTTCGAGGTGGAATGATGACTTTAGTTTAGGCGGATTCGACGAAAACAGGGGACGCCTTCCACAGCTGCTCAAGGAAGGGCATCGGCAAGGAGGGAGGAAGAGGAAGGACGGGTTCGAGGAGCAGGAGCAAGGAGCAAGCTGACGATCAAAGCAAGCCAGCAGGTGCTGCTCTGTCTAAGGGATGTAGACGAAGCGATGAGGAAGTTTTGTTCGAGTACTCTCTGCCTCCCCACATGTGTGTACGCCAAGGAAGGGTGACGACGGTGTTTGAAGGCCTACGAGGGCGCAGGGCGCTATAGAATATAGAGCTGCACGGCTAGTCCAAGGCGGATTTGCATATGAGCATTGTATGTTTTAACCGAGTCCCGAAGGAAGTTGAGGTTCAATGGGAAAGGGCTGGAGACTCGAACAATAATGTCAAAGCTGGCGTCTTGTCGTCCTTCGGTTTACTGTGCGGTTGTCTCTGTTTGTCGCAGGTTGGTTCGCAGGTGGTGCGGGACTGGGGGTGGACAGGATGTGTTGTATGTTTCGTTGTGTGACAAGAGATCTTGAGCAACGTGAGAGGGCAGTGGGAGAAAAAAAAGAAAAGGCTGTGGGTGGGGGAGATCCCCGTCAACGGCTGCGGTCACAAGGATGGGAAGGAGGAAGGGTGGGGGGGGGGGGGGGGGTTCTGGCCTTCCATAGAGAGGAGTGGAAAGCAGGCCCGCTGCCAGGCCGCTGCCAGGGCCTGGGGAAAGTGGGTCTACCTCATCCGGTAACGGAAAGGTTTGGAGAATATGTGGGTACGGATGGAGTCCGCACGACAATAAATCTTCTATCATTGGCTTCTCTCTCATCTGTATCCACTTAGCATTGGTGCGCATAACTCATGATCCCTGTATCGAGTAAGTGGGGCCGGGCCGGTGAACGAACGAACCCCTTCATAAAGAAGAACTTGAGAATAAATCCTCGGCGTCAGCACTCCGTCGCGTAAGACAGCACGTGTAGCCAGCCATTGTGGGGTAAATACCTGGCACGTCATGTACACAAGGAGGACGGAGTACCTACCTTAAATTACCTTGACCGACGGATGACAGTTTGTCGCCGACTGGTAAATGCTTTGAACACCTACCTACCTTATATAATCAGATGTGTTTGAGAAATCTACGAGGCGGCATCAAATTAACTCTCCGGATCACACACGCACGCGGTCAGCCAGGGAATTCAGGACAGGTTACTCGTCCCGTCTATCCATCGTTCGGGTGGAATAGCTGTTGTTCCTCTGATGAGATGGATGTAATAGAAAGCAAATTATAACTCGATCATGCATCGTGCATTGCTTGGTACGGAGTATCCGTCCCAGGTACCCTTGGCCGCGAAGGTGCAACCAGGTGAAAATTAAATGCGGAAATCGAAGACGAGAAAGGACTCTTTTCCGACACGGACGATATGCAATTACATGGCACTTTGTAAGGTGGCCAGGACATCGTAACAAGCCTTGATGTCGTTCTCTTCTGGTGTATGCACCTAAGGTACCGTTGCGGACAACTGCTCCATACCTTAAGGTACCTTACTTTAAGGTACCACCTGCCTTAGGTACCTCCAACGTTTAGCGTTCGGGGATATCACGGAATTGGGGTTTTATTCCCTGATGGGGCGGGCGGCCGATGATTGTTTCGACTCTTCGAGAAACTCTCCGTCGCGTGCGAGTGCCGGGTGCGGAGAGGCTAGAAAAGAAACAAAGACCAAATCAACGACTAGAACGTTGAAGTACCTTAAGGTAACTTTATTAATAACGGCGTACCTAAGGTACACCTAAGGTACGAACTAGTCCGAAAGTCATTACATTCATTACCGAGGTTCATCTACGTGTGCGTCGTAGAATTACCTAGGATGTCAAGTACCTACGAAGTACAGTCCATAGCATATTCGAGCATAATTGACAGACGGTCGATGAACAACTTGGTTCAAATCTCAAAGGAAGAAAAACCCTCTTTCATTCAGTAGGACATCCGCCCCCGATGTTCCCCTCTCTTGTCCGACCAGTTCCTTATCCCCCAGGGGATCACGACGCAGTGTGATGCGACTCGGGCCAGACCTCCGTCCCAATTTGCATCCCAATGGGGGGAACACTTCCGAGTCATGCCCATGCAGCGTTCTCAGCCCAAGTACCTTACCTACAGGTACCTTACGGAGACAGGTACCGGTACCTACCTTACCTAAGGTGCTAATAAGCAAATTAGCCTACCGTCAATACGGATACTCCGTAACTCAAAGCACGTGTACTGCGACAGATATAGCGACCCATGTTGATATAACAACGCCACGCACTTCTGGAACCAGGTCCGGGTCCGAACCACGACAAGCTGCTTGTCAATTGAATTCCCCCGTTGACTGTCAGTGCTGCTGAAACATATATGGAGTAAGGGGCATAGCATAATTGGCCCCGATATACACTCACTCACGAGTCTTGGGGAGAAGTGAAGCTTATCAAATCCCAAGACATTGATGTCAATGTGTCTGTTATGCTATCCATCAACACCATCAAAGGGGAAAAGGGAGTCTAAGACCCGGCTGCTCTGATCGTTTGAAATTATTAAAGAAGAAGAAATCCCAAGTTCGTGGCATGATGATCCCAATGCCTCGACTCGTGTCCTACTCAAAACCCGCCAGGCTATGAACCAAACTCGCCCAACGCCGAAGCAATGCAAAATGGCTTTATCGTTCCACCATCATGACTCCAGAACCACCGTCACTCCCCTCCTACTCCTCCGTTCTTGCGAATGTACACCGGGATACCATAAACACAGACCGCACCGGCAGTGATATACCTAAATCGGGTAGCATCCCTTGCGCGCGCCACAGCCTCCACGAGGCATGTCGACCCCTCCTCTGTCTCCCTTCCTCGCCCTCCTCCTCCTCCTCCTCCTCCTCTTCTCCTCTTCTCGGTCCACTTGTCCGTCGGGAACGTGCCGCGCTTCACCAGCCCCCACTCCTCAAACATCTGCCCCGCAAACCGATCAATGTCCTTGTCCGTCACGTCCCACAACGTGCCCACCACCGCCGGACACCCGGCCATCATGTAGTTCCACACCGGCCCGTGGACCTCGAACTCGCCCGCGTCCGTGAGGCTCGCCGAGCTGCAGCCCATCAGCAGCGCCGTCGCCCGGCATTTCCCGAGCCGTCGGACCGTCTTGCTGCGCACGTACTGCGCTCCGCTGCCGTGCCCAAAGTAGAGCAGAATGTCCGACGCCCGGAGCGTCCGCTCAAACTCCTCCTCCGAGGGGGCCCGCGACACGATGCTCGTCCACGTCCGGCCCAGCGTCGCCTGCAGCGGTTTCTGGAACGTCGCCTGCGTGTTGGGCAGGTCGTTGCCCGGGTTGAGAATGTACGTTCCGTTTTCCGGAGAGACCGTGTGGCCGTGCGCCGGATCGTCCTTGCATGACTGCTGCTTCTGGGCCCCGTCCGCACCCGCACCCGCACCCGCACCCGCACCCGCACCCGCAGCGCCCGACTCCCGTTCCCGAACGAGCCTCCGCAGGCAAGCCATCGAAGGGACTCGAGACACCGCCAGACCGTCCATGCACGGCAGGGATTCCCAAGGGAAAGCGTGAAGTGCCTTGTCGAGCACGAGAATCGTGTGCGCCCCTTCCGTCGGTCCTTGGGAACCATTGGCCGCCGTGTGGTAGGCGTGCAGGGCGTCCTGGGTCTCTATGACCATCGAATCGAAATCGACCTCATCGTACGCGTTCCTCTCCCCGTGAAACTGAAGCACGTCGACGACGAAGTACAACAAATCGGTCAGAGCATCTTCCAAGTCGCCGTCATCCTCCGTCGCCGTCGGGTCACCCAACCCAATGAAGAGGTCGAGGATCCGCGAGTCGAGCGTGATTTTGGGCGCCTTGTTCACCTTCCTCCCCGCCACCTGCCTCCGGGATGGAAGGTTCTTGCCCAGTATATTCTGGAAGGACTTTTGGAACCTGGCTAACAAATCCGCCCGCCGCTGGTGCTGGGAGAAAATCCCCCTGAATCCGCCGAGCCAGACCTGCTCCATGTTCTCCAGGAGCTGCTGCAGTCTCTTGTCGAGCCCCTCCCTCTCCTGCCACCAAGCTGTCTTGGCTCCTTTGACGGACCAGTCGCGCTTATCGTGACAGCTCTCGTTGGTGAGGCGGATGATTTCCATGAGCTCCGCGCGGCCATGCTCAAAGCTGAAGACGTCGTTATCCGCGTCTCGGGAGATGGCCCGCTCCAGAGGGAGCCGCAGGACGAATGGGCTGTGGTCCGCCTGAAGCTTGGTGATGCAAAGGTCGTGCCGGTTCTCACTCAGCGACACCGAGATCACGCTCCACGTCGAGGGGAGAATGTCGATGTAGTCGCGCTGAAACCCGGCCACGTCATTCGCGACGCCGGAGCTCAGGCGACGGGCCTCGTCGAGCGCCAGCGCCTCGGGCCAGGCCATGTCGTTCGGCCGAGACGCGTCCTGTTCGGTCGCGATGGTCTTCACTTCGCGCTTCCACGTCACGTTTCTGGCGACCTCCATCGAGCAGGTAGCAAACCCCATGTATGGTGTTCCTTTCCAACCGGGTGGCGAGGCGACCGAGAGCAGGATGGTGGCGTGCTGAAGCAGCGCCGAAATACGATGCACCAGGCTGCCGTCCCCGGCCACGACCGCCATGGAGTGCGCATCTGACAGGCACGCCAGAGCCTGCTGCAGGATTTCCGCGAAACCAGCAACGCCCTCTTTCGACGACCGATTAGCGGCCGCGGCGGCGGCAGCAGCAGCGGCAGCCCTTCCGCGAGATTTTCGGGCGACGGGGGACACGACAGTCGCCGCCGCCATACCAACGGCAGCCTTCTCTGAACTTGCCACCGCAGAAACGGATGGAAATGAAACTGTCGAATCCTGAACAACGGCAAAGACCGGGTCGCGAGTCATCTGATCCAAGCTCTGCCCGATCAGGCAGATACCTTTGTGCACCTGGACTTCCAGTGACTTCCTCAACCCCGCCGGCACCTGCTGCGATTCCTCGAGTAAGGCCAGAGCAGTAGTCCATTCCTTTCGGTCGAGAAGCACCAGAGCCTTGCTGATGAGTATGGGTGGCGGCAAGGTGGGAGCTGCGTCGTCGTCTGGAGTGGCGGCCGCGGCCGCGACCGTGACCGTGACCGCCGCCTTTGCCGTTTTACCTCTGGTCCTGCCCGAGGTAGTCTTCTGGGTAGACCGGCCCGCCGTAGTTGCTGCAACGTTTTGTTCCTTTGCCCTCGTCATCCTCATCGTCGCCGCCATCCTCGTCGTCGGTCCAGTCGCCCTGGTCTTCCTCGTCGTGCGAGTTGCCGTCTCCTTGAGCGTTAGCTTCTCCATCTTCTCGGTGACAGCTTCGGCCCCAGCCGACTTGACTACGGGCAAGCACGTGTCGTCTTCCGGCTCCAGTTCTCTCAGCATGGCCTCGGCTGATTCAATCAACTGCGACTCGCTGGCTAGGTCTCTGGCCAGCCCGTAGGAGACACTTAGCTCGCATGCAAGCTGCACGGCGCGTCGCGTGGGTTTCTGGGAGAAGATGGCCTCCCTGGCGTGCGAGAGAAAATCTAATCCCTTTTGTGGTTGATGGGCCCTGATCCAGAGAGAGCCAATCCAGCTTTGCGCCTGTATTCTGTGGGTAGATGAATTGATCCCGTCCGCGATTTGGAGAGCTTTCTCGGCGTAATATAATGTCTCCTGGAACATGCCGATGTGCACGTATATGGCAGAAAGGCGGAGGAGGCTGCGCAGTAGAGCACCGGCAAGAGCCCAGTAGTCAGGGCCATCCGAGAGCTGGAGAACACTGGCTTGCGAGTGTTGTAGCGTGCTTTGCTCAAAGATGGAAGACGAATAATGCAATGACTGATGGCTCTCAGACGGCTGCGCGCGAGCTTCCAGTTTGGTCCAGTAATGATACAGCAAGCGAACACTATTTCTCGCATATACCAGTGCTTGGTGTGGCTCCCCCTTGTGCAGGGCAAGGAACGTATAGAGCAGACCGGCACGAGCAACAAGGAGCTTCCTCTGTAGGCCGGCGGGGCTCTTCTGGTTCGGCTGCTTCTCGTAGGCACGCTGCGCGAGAGAAAGAGTCGATTCCCTATGTTGTGTCAGCATGTTCTCTCGGGGGGGTGGGAAGGGAAGGGGAAGTGGAAAGAGAACATACGCCTCGTTGTACTTCTGCATAGCCAGTTGATACTCTACCGTCGACAATTGGAAGCTTGCCCACGCAGCATCAAACTCGGCCTCATCTGGCCGTTCCAGTTCAGACAACCTGGACAGCACGTCGTGGGCTTTCGATTCGCAACCCAGGGACACATAGTGATCCGCCAGAGCACTGTGGCTGCGAAGTGCCGAATCGGCAGAGCTATCGGACAGCAGCATCCGCGAGACGTCGGCCGCGAGCTCCAGAGCCGACAGTTGAAGCGAGTCTTCGCCCTTCAGGTTGGCAAACTGGGCAAGCGACTCGAGATGCCGCATCAGCTGCTCCGGGTTGTCAACGCGGGCAGAGACGTCTGCCTTCGACTTGCATTGGGCGAATAGGGCCCGCCAGGAGGACATGACATCTTGCAGCTCGGACAGTTGAAGACACGCTTCAGAATCGACCAAAGCCGTCAATGACTTCAAGTAGGTTCGAAGGTACGGGACGTATCGCACCAGACCGGCGTCCTCGCCGAGCACTTTGCTCTGACAAGCCTGCAATGATGCTTCTGCTTGGTCTTGGATCTCCCGGAACCGCTGGGCGTCTCCAACACGAAGAGTCAAGAGCTGCACGAGGACCCGCAATCTGCGAACGGGGAATCGCTCCGTAGAATAAAGACGCAGAAGCGTATCCGTGGCCGAGTCGGGGAGGTCCGATTGGGAGCCCTGCGAAGCGTCGCCAAGAATGATCTGTATCAAGTGCTCCAACACCGCAGCCCTCTCGAGATCAGCGAGAAAAAAAGTCCAATCACTCCAGGACGGGTCGAGCTTAGCCATGGCCGCCAGGGTCCTAGAAAGCGTTTCGGTCTTCGGGTCGGCGTTCCAGGCGATGGGGGGAGGTTCTTGGTTGAGGCGATTGGCAACAGCGGCGAGGATGCCGTCCTCAACCATGCGAGTGCAAATCGATTTGAGAGCCTCACGGGCATCGCTCAGCCGTCCAGCCGTCCTACAAAGATCCGACATTCTCTCCAACTTCTTGATGAGCTGCGCCCTCTCCTTTTCCTTGTTCGACCGGTCCCGAACAGCGTCAATGGAGCGTTTTAGGGCCCGCAAAACGCATTTGCCATCTTCCTTCTCCCCCTTCCGCTGTAAAACACTGGCGAACATAAAGTATAGCTGCGAAACTTTGACATGGTAGGTGCTGGCGGGATCGCTTTTCGTCGTGGGGGCGTTGGGTGGTTCGCCCACGGCCTCGAGCAGGGAGAGGCAATCCTGAAGCGCAAGGTCGAGTTCCTCCCAGAGGATGCTGCCCTCTTCGATTTTCGACTTGACTACGACAAGCGCCGAATCCAGGATCTGTGTCGCAGATGCGAGAAGGAGCTGCCGTCGTTGCTCATAGCGTATGATGCGTTTCGGTTCTGCATCCCGGCCCGGCGGTTTGCCAATCCACCGCACCGAGAAACGGGGAAACTGAAGGACGAGCCTGGTGCAAGATTCGAAAACGCGGTCGGGCATGTCGTCGTAGTGCTTTCCGCCCTTCCTCTCTCGGTTGATGAGAACGCCCACGACCGATCTCCGCGCGGCGGTTAGATGAACCATCAGCTCCTCCAACTCGGCAGTGTCGCCCTTGAGGGATCCCTGTAAGCCACCTAGAACCTCCTGAAGAAGGAGATCGAGCTGCTCGACGGGGAGGGGGTCTTGCTTGGCTACCACGGCCAGAAGTTGTCCGGCAATGCCGCAGCATTTGGCGGCTGAATCGCGTTCGGGTAGGATGCAAGCCTTGACCTTGGAGATCCATGCCGCTGCCTCCGCATGCAGGCGCGCTTTCTGTGCCACGGTGCCCAGAGTCTGGTGGATCGATGTGAGGGCCGACCGTGCTGTGGTGGGAGGTTGAGTATATTGCTTCTCTTCGATGACGGAGTTGAGTCGTAGATATGCGTCGGCGCAAATCTGACAAGTCGTCCTGGTTGGGGTTTGACACCTGCGAGCGAGCGCTGCAAAGCATCTCGAAAGTGGGCTCAGAAGATCGCCTTCGATGTCGGCCTGGTGACCAGCGAGCGCCCACCAGTGTAGTCGACATTCGAAACCTGTGGCGTGGAGCTCGATAGCACATTCGGGGGAACAACTTAACCTGCTTTCCTGGGCCGTGGCGTCATCTTTGCTGGATACGTTGGGTGGGAGAGAGAGGATCAGTTGAGCTAACTGCTCGAGTTGGCGAGCTGCCTTGGATCGGTTCTGGCTCGACTCGTTGGCGAATTGAAGCAGGAGGGTTGATGGTGAAGAGGGACAGTTCGTCCTCAGGAAGGGCAGGGCGGCTTCGATCACAGCCGGCTGTTTGGACGCCGCAATGAGGCGTAAAATCTGCAACTGGGTAGTAATAACGAGGCCGAGTATCGAGCCGGAGAAATGAACCTTCTCGAAGCTGAGCAGTGCAGCAAGTCCCTTCGCTTTGCCAGTCGCAGTGGTGGGTTGTTGTGGGTTGTCTGCCGTTCGAGTGATGGGTTGGCCCAGTGTCTCCAACCTTCCCTTAAGGATGGTCAATTCCTTGAAAGCCAACTCGTGAAGCCCGAGACCAATAATCTTGCCGACAAACGAAGACATGCCAGCCTCAATCTGACCCTGAGGAAGAGATGTTTTTCCTGAACTTTGTAGGGACCTTAGGCAGGCGAAAGACGCGCGGAGGCACTCGACCATGGCAAGACATGTTGTGGACGGTGATGCGACCCTCGACGCGGCGGGCTTCGAGGTTCTTGTTGTTACGGGGGAAGTCGAGACCCGGTTCAGGGATCTTGGTTGAAGCGGTATAACGGGACTTGAGATGGATCTTTGCAACTTTCTGTCCGACGGTTGAGGTTGCTCTCCTTCGCTTGGTTCTGTCCCCGACGCCGGGGGTGGAGGAGATTTGGAAGCCCCCGAAAGAGCCTTCAACGCTACATTGACCACGTGTGTTGCCAAAATCGCCTTTTCTTTTGCTGACAGCTCTTCTTTTGTACCACTGGCGGCGACGGGTCGCGTCGAGGATGTTTGTGCTTTTGTTCGTTGAGGAGGTGCCTTGGCTGATCTAGACGACGCGGTAGTCGCCGTTGAAGAAGTGTCGCTCACGTTATGGCCATCGTCGGAGCTTGTGGCGAGTAGCTCTTTAAGAAGTACAGCTGTAGCCGCCGTGCATGTCGACGTCGATGCCACAGCTGCTTTGACAGCCTCAGCCTCGGCTTTGCTCCGTGAAGTCATCTGCTTGTCTTATGTTTCGTATTCGCGTCTTAAGCATGCCGTAATAAGACTTGGGACGGGATTCCAATATCAGGGCGGAGACCCATTAAGAGAAAGCAAAAGACTGCTAGTGGGTGAAGCAATTGAGTGTTCGGAATAGATGTGTAGTAGTAATTACACCTGCTGCGCGACAATTTGTGCGGCAGTGAAGCTAAGGTACCCAGTAACTAAGGTAGGGTCCAAATAATCCCAGCCCGTTCAACGTCGAGCCGTGTTGTTCAGGCAACCGCCGAGGTACCTAGTACAGTGTACTCCGTCCCGAAAAGTCATATCTGCACGGCCCTTCAGTCTAATGTCTCTGCCCGTTGGCCGCCCCACAATACTTGTCATCTGATTCATCCGATTGGAGTCCCCCTGTATATCATCTCGTACCTTACCTTACCTTAGGTACCTTAGGTACATCTGCCTTATTATGGCTATTCCTACTCTTCACCACCCCTTTCCCCTCTCAGCCTGGCTCTGTCGTCTGACAATCATATACCTATATGCGGTGAAGAAGTCGTCGATAATCACTCATCTTTTACACTAGGTAGGTCACAGTCTTGGTCAACCACAGAAGTAATGCCGGCAAGAATATCTCCAACGTTACCCTTCGTCTTCGTCATCGTCTCTCAAGGATACTGCCACAGTCCTCTCGGGCCGACACTCGAACGATGCGACTCAGTATGGCTCCAAGTTCTTTACAGGAAGTTACCGCCTCGGCGCTCCAGTATTGCTCTGGTATATCGTTCTTGGAGAGGGCGCTGAGCCTGACTGGGAGCTTGTTCTGCGTCCAGACGGAGATCCAGCGGCGCCGGTAAGTCGGCATTGTCACCGTTGCCATTCGCCAGATTGGCGCTGTGCCCGATTATCTGCCGGAGAATCTCCATTTCCTGCTCTTGAACGGCCAGGTGGAGTGGCGAAGTGCACACCGCAGGGTCCCAGCTATCAAAGCGGAAACTGGTTGAATTGATGTCGAACCCCTTCTCTTGACACCAGGCATACACCGCCGAGAGCACTTCCGCCGGTGGCCCGTCCGGTCCGAGTTCTTATTGAATCCATCGCTGCAAGCCCCGGGCCTCGTCGAACGCCTGGGCTCGTAACAGCGCCTTGACGAGTAACTCTGCTGTGACTCGAACGTCTTCCAACCGCATTAGCGCTCTGCTCTTACGGCCTTCCAGCGCCCGCCCCAGGAATTTTTGGGCCCTCGGCAGGTCATCGATTCTGAAATGCAGATCGCCGAGTTTGTGGTACAGGCGACTGAGCCTGTCTGGGTCCCGGTCGCGTTCTGGCTGTTTAACCTCCATGCTCAGCAGGCCTTGGATGATGATCTTGGCTTTTAGGGTTTCTTCTTCTGTCTCGCAGGCCATTAAGATGTCCGCGTGCCTCTCTTGCATTTCAGCTTGCTCCGCGAAGGGGAAGTCCACGTCGTACCCTGGGCGACTCAGCTGCTCCCTCAGGGCAATACCCTTTCTTTGGGTAGGCCGACGCACGGAGAAATTCGCAATCTTCTAGCTGCTTCACGATTTTTTTGGTTGTCCTCGTACTGGTATATCAGGATGTCTCTACCGGGGCCGTTATCGCGGTCTGGTTCGGGATTGAAGTCATCCGACTCGGCATCCCCATCACCCACTAGCGAAGGGAATGTATTCTTTCTTGCGGACTTCTGCCAAGGCGAGGAACCCAGAGATGGAGAAGACAGTCGCCGGTCCATGTTAAGCAGGGGTGACTCCGGCCGCCACATCATCAGCTGACAGTCTCCACGCTTGGATCTCCTGTGTAAACGACTCTGATTCCCGGGTTAATGTTTCGTCGTCATCCCAAGCAATGGCTGGCCGCTGTGTCAGGACAGGCATCTGCGTTCTGATGGCATCCGTCAGTTCCCTGATTCTTGCTTGGACTTCTTCTTGCGAACTTTATTGATCCCCTGTGGCTGGCTATTAGTTCCGTGTCCAGAGGCATTGCGATAAAAGGGGTGGACTTGGACATTGGAACATACAAAGACAGTGTGAGAAGGCTGAGTTGTAGGACTCCAGTGTACGAGCTAATATGGGACAGCAGGCTCTGAATAACGTTCTGTTTCAAAGACATAGCGAAGCTGTGCCTGGCCCGGTCAAGTGGCCCTGGGTTCTCTCCCAGCTCAGGGAGAAAGCCCTGATCAACCGAGAATCTCGCGACAGACTCGGAGAACTTCGCAGTCATTCCCACGAGGCTGGTGACAAACGTGGCGATGCTCAGCGGATCCATCGTGGTCGACTTCGCTAGGTCTCAGCTCCTCGTCCGAAATCAGACTGATGATCGTGAGGTCGTCGCAGGAGACTCGTTTTCTCATACGACCTCTCTGGGTGCTCTTTCTAGCCGCGCGGGCGTCGAGCGACTCATGGCGATGCTGTACAGCTTCGGGTTCGAGCTGGTGAACATCGTCTTCTGCCTGCCGGCGATCCGGACCATCGACACGCTCGGGCGACGCAAGTGGCTCATCCTAACTCTGCCGGTGATGGCGGTGCTGATGGCCTTTGCTGCGGCATCGTTTGCGGCAGAAATCGAGCGGGAGCGGACGCGCATCGTCCTGCTGGCGGTATTCCCGTTCCTGTTCGCGGCGGCGCTCATGGGGCACCAGGTCGGCCGTCACTTGCCTTGGTTGTTCCGGAGGTATGTGCTTTGGAAGAACGAGAAGAGGCCTAGCCTGTACTTCGATATGATGTGGGAAAACTCAGATCGAGAGCAATTGCCTGGGGAGAGGCAGGGGAGCCAGGGGATCGGAGAAGATTGTGAGTGAGAAAATGGCAGAGGCGCGTGTGCAGTGAGAGGACATTTTTTCGGAACCAAGGACAGCAGCCAGCCTAGTGGAATTACGTAAGGTACTTTAAGTATATCACTATGCCAGTATCTGTGGAATTTATTTTGTCCTCGGTTCCATTGTCAGTCAATATGATGTCCAGATAGCCAAGATACATGTCGTCTTCACGTTAAGTCCCACGAATATCATGAACTCGGCAAGTCCTTCACAGACCCTCGAGCTATGTAAGTACACTACACACACTAATACCTGGCAGGTATATGGTGTACCTAGGTAAGGCAGATTGCGGGGTAAGGAGGTGTGGAGCCCTCTATCCATCCAATTGGAACTCTGTACGTCGAACGCTTTTCGGAAACAGTTTTGCCGAACATCGGCCGATGTCTCGGAGGGACGTCTGGAACCAATGAAATCTATGACTTGCTGGACACCGAACAGAGTACACTAGACTCGGGCGGTACGTGTACAAGCAACATATGGAGGCGAAGTACTTTGAATAAGGCACCTCAAGTTCCTTTAGGTATGGCTACTCCACACTTGACATCAGCTATTACAAAAATTTAACATCACCTCAGACTCGACGCGTGACCAGAGCTCTGAACTCCCCTTTGTGATACGAATACGACAAGGAGACATCAGGGCATGCTTCATCCTATTTCACGTTCAAGATCTATTTTGACTCTCTCTTGCAAGGTAATCCAGACCTCATTCCTTCTTTATCATAGGTACTCTGTACACTAGGATTCATTCCAGAAATTGGGTCCACCCAAGATCTCGGACTTTCCTAGGGGCCCGATCTTGGCGCCAGGGGATTCACTGTCTGTCACTCGGAGGACCCTGGACGTCATCACCCTGTTCACTGTTCATCTTGGTCAGCTCGAAGGCCAGTGGATTGTTGAAGCAAAGTCCCTGAGTTCCATCATTACGACAACCTCCCATCTCGCATTTTCTTCACACCTGCCTACTCGACTATTCCATTCATCCGTCTTTGCATATTCTTGACGCTTCCTGTGGGCACTGTGCCACTGACGCCTTAGCTATGCCTCAATTTAGATTAACCATAGAGGATGGTCGATTCCGCGATGCAAGCGGGCGAACCGTCGTCCTTCGGGGCATCAACGTCGCTGGCGACGCCAAACTACCCAGCAAACCAAACCTACCTTCTCATGAATTAGAGAACTTCCTCGACGGCGATAATGTCTCCTTCCACGGTAGGCCGTTTCCCAAGGAGGATGCCCACACCCACTTCTCTCGCCTACGTCGCTGGGGCTTCAACACCATCCGCTACGTCTTCACATGGGAGGCCATCGAGGCTGCCGGTCCTGGTCGCTACGACGAGACCTTCATACAGAATACGATCGAGATACTCAGGGTGGCTAAGCGATATGGCTTCTATGTGATCATGGATCCCCATCAGGACGTGGTGAGTGCGCAGCCCAGAGACTGAACGACCGGAAAGCCCCTCCCCTTCTCTCTTTCCGGGTCTCCGAGTTCGCCTTCGCCCGCACCACTGACACTTTCTTTGCAGTGGTCTAGGTTTACGGGAGGATCAGGAGCACCCATGTGGACCGTCTACGCCTGTGGCCTTAACCCTCAAAGTTTCGCCGCGACCGAAGCTGCCCTCGTGCACAATACGTATCCGAACCCCGACGAGTTCCCCAAAATGATCTGGGCCTCCAACTACTGGCGTCTTGCCACATCCACCATCTTCACCATGTTCTTCAGCGGCCGCGCCATGACGCCCAAGTGCATCATCAACGGCGTCAATATTCAGGACTTTTTGCAGGGCCATTTCATCGCAGCCGTCGCTCACATGGCTAGGCGGATACACGAGGCCAGCGGTCTCGAGAACGACGTGGTCATCGGCTGGGAGAGCATGAACGAGCCGAATCGCGGAATGACGGGGTGCAAGGACCTGGAAAAGCTGGCCCCAGAACAGAACATGAAGAAGGGTACCGCACCGACGTTTTGGCAGTGTATCCTGACCGGGTCAGGCCGAGCGTGCGAAATCGACACGTATGATATTGGTCAGTTGGGTCCGTACAAGACCGGAAGCGCCTTGGTTGACCCCCATGGCGAGTCGGCATGGCTTCCCAAGGACTACGACGACTCGCGGTACGGCTGGACTCGAGATGAGGGATGGAAGCTGGGCGAGTGCATCTGGGCGCAACACGGCGTCTGGGACGCGACCACCGACACGCTGCTCCGCAAGGACTTCTTCAGGTACGACCCCGAGACGGGGAAGGAATGGGACTACCCCGAGTGGACGCGGACCTACTTCATGAACCACTTTCGGAACTACAAGCAAGCTCTCCGTGCCATCCACAAGGACTGCATCATGGTCATGCAGTATCCGACGCTCGAGCTTCCCCCTCTTATCAAGGGCACGGAGGACGACGACCCGAATATGGCCTTCTCGCCGCATTGGTATGACGGCATCACGCTCATGACCAAGAAATGGAACAGGCTGTGGAATGTCGACGTCGTGGGCTACCTACGCGGCCGGTACTGGAGCCCGGCCTTCGCGGTCAAAGTGGGGGAGAACGCCATTCGCAACTGCTTCCGAGACCAGCAAGCCTCCTTGGATAGGGAGGGCAAAGAGCGCACGGGGAATCATCCCTGCGTGATGACGGAGTTTGGCATTCCTTTCGACATGGACGACAAGCACGCCTATAAGACGGGTGACTACAGTAGCCAATCGGCTGCACTGGATGCCAACTTTTATGCTGCCGAAGCATCTGGCATGGAAGGCTACTGCCTATGGCTCTACATGGTAACGGTATGCAGACACCTGTCACGGTCCTTCGTATCCTCATTTGAGACATCAAGTGCCCTTCCCCCACCCCAGGGGCCTCCCGCCAGGGCCTCCTCCGCTAACAGAATGGTACAGAACGACCATGAACGTGGTGATCAATGGAACGGCGAGGATCTTTCCATCATCTCGCTGGACGATAACTTACTCCCAGAGTCGGCTGTCCCTGCGAATATGGACCTCGACCAGAGCGTGGAGTTCAAAAGATCGCCCAGCTCTCGCAATGTCCCCGACGACCTGACCGTCACGCCCGGGAACCTTCGGCGCACTCTGACCAACCCGTCGATCACGCCCACGCCCACGCAGAAGGACCCGGAAATCTCCAACACCCCGGGATACCGGGCCGCCGAGGCGTACATTCGTCCCACGGCGGTGACGGTGGCAGGCCGCGTGGTAGAGGGCTTCTTCGACTTGCGGAAATGCGAGTACAAGCTGAAGCTCGAGGCGAAGGCGGCTCCCCCCGACGATGCGCCGACGGTCGTGTTCCTGCCCGAGTACCACTTCCCGAAGGATGACTGCACCGTCGAGGTATCATCTGGAAAATGGGAGCTGAGCGTGGATGAGGAGCAGGAGGAGGAGGAGGAGGAGGCGCCCGACTGCCCTCCGTTGCAGAGGCTGAAGTGGTGGCATGGGGAAGGCGAGCAGACTTTGAAGGTGAATGGCTTGGTGCGGACGCATGCTATCCCGGAGAGCTCGGCGGAAGATGCTGGGTATTTGGAGCAATGCCGACAGCAGTACGGGGCCTGCAACCTCATGTGAATTTCCTTGGCATTAGGCAGGACTTTAGTTGAAGCCAGCAACCCCCCCCCCTTTTTTTTTCCTTTCCTCTTCCTCGTCTTCTCCCTTTTTCTTGGTAGAGTCTGCATTGGGTATTGTCTTTCTCGTTTCACTGCATGTAATCTTTCTTGTCAAGACTGGCCACGAATGGAGAAGATGGTGATTACACGGGCTTTTAGGCTTTTGGCATAGCACTACAAGTATAGAGACACAAGGTCTAAAGAATTACAGACATCGACAAATGATGGAATGATCCGATGAAGAGTGACTTTCTATTGCTGACTGTAGGTTCCTGTTCCTGCAGGCTTTCGCATTTCCGGAAAATAAGCGCCGGCGCTTCTGCAGCTTATTTTCGTGCGTCTTGTGTGTCTTGTCGATAGGTAGGAGAGTACGGTCTCGCGGTTCCTTCGTATTTCGTATGTGTTAGGCCTATGCGGGTAGACGTAGACAACAGGCAGGCATACCTTAGTTGAACGCCTACCCTATAACGAGGAAGCGAATCAACTGGCAGTACTAAGGTAGCTAGGACAGTGCGGCGCGGCATTCGTTCTTTCACTAAGGTATTCCGGCAGGCACAGCAGAACCTGAGTATGACCCTACAGCACTGTGGTATCACTGAAGATCTTATACAACGTAATTACTATAAGGTAATTACTTTGTACAGTAAAGTGCCCTTGATCCAAGGAGGACGGATACCTACTGTAGGTCCTACGAGGCGAGGTACGTGTACCTTAAGGTACTTAATTACCACTGTATCCGTTATGTGATCAAGGTACTTGATACTTCGTAAGGTACGTAGTCCCCCGCACAGTGTAAGGTAAGTGGCTTGGTTTGGTTTGCTTTACGAATAAGCTTCAGAGCCCCGCTCTCCGATGGTCTGCAGCTTTTCCCCTCGAAACCGTTAGACCGTTGGACCAGCTTTCCGCACCCAACACAGGGATCACTTGTCTGTGGCTTGCGCCTACGAAAACCGTTGGACTGACTTAGACTGACGTTCACGTTCCCAGAAAACCAGACAAAGGGTTCGCCCAGAAGGTCCCTCGAGAAGAATTCGATACCGAGACCTGTTGCGTCGGGGAGCGAAGCGCGCAAAACGACCCAAGAAGCAACCCAAATGCAACAGTGGATGCATAGGTACGGAGTAGATAAGGCGTGACCGACAAGGACTTACTTGCATTCTGTCCATATTCTGATATTTCGAGGGAGACGTGCAGCAAGGTGGGAAATCACGACGCAAGCACGAAGCGAAGGGCAACCAGACGACAGTGTGGTCGACGATTATCGACCATCTATCTGTTCGTATCTTTTTCCAAGGGGAGGGAGGGGGGGCTGGCGCCCGGAGGTTATCGTCATTGGCTCCATATCCCTAGGGGCGTCGTGCTGATCGGCTGGCCTGGCTGGGCAACCCACCCGCCGAATGGCCCTTGCAAGCTTGCCGCCCATCCTGCATCTGTTCGTTCGGTCAGGGCCATGGGCCAGGGCGAGGGCCAGGACAAGGTCCAGCTCATCAATCAGTTGGGACGCACCAGCTCATACTCTTCGTACTGTACGTCGTTGGAGGAGCCCCTGCCTGCCTCCGCTTTTTCTCCCTCTCCCTCTCCACCTCTATTCTAACGTTGCGTTGTCCACCAAAAGACGGAATCAACGCGACAAACATCGTTTTCCCTCCAAGGCGCAGTTCTCCTCCTACTCGACACAACTCTCGATTCTCGATTCGTGCCCACCTTCCTACCGAGGCCAACCCAAACAACCCAATATTCGACTTGCCAACCTCTCCTCCGACCAGTTTGATCTGACTTTGTCATCGAATCGCAGCGCCGGTTCGTTTCTACGTACCACAAGGTACACGCCACAATTTTTTTTACAATTTTTTATTTTTTTTTTGGCCCGACGTACGCCGAACAAAGGGGAAGATATAGGGTATAACGACAACGACTTGGACTGAAAGTGCCTACGAGGCTCACGGCCATGACAGCTATGTGAGGGGCCTGTCCTGTCCCAATCGTGGGCAATGTGACGTGGGACGTACGACTCGAATCCTGTCGTCGTCCTTACCTTCATCACTCCAGAAAACGAAATTATCCGCGACAGATCGAGAGCCTCGTCTTCCCTTTTCTTCAAAAACTTGCCGTACCAATCCGACTTCAGCACCAATTATTTACGATACCCTGGCGTCTGGCCTCCGACTCCTTCTCATCATGTATCCAGGAGGACAACGCCACATGTCGGGGAGCGACCCCTCGAGGCCGTTTCCCATTCCACCTCCGCCACCGATGCCGAGTCAACTCAGCAACAACCTCATGTCCATCCCTCCGCCTCCGCCGAGGCACCCATCTGCACCTGGCGGTACGGGAGGAGGGACAATGATGATCCCACCTCCTCCTGGCCCGCCACCGAACCAGCAACACCCGTGGCATGGCGGCTTCGGACGCATGTACGACAGTCGCGGCGGCATCAACTTTCCTCCCCCTCCGCCCTCAGGTCCGGCCCAGCACCAAGCCTACAATCCCATGTCCCATGCCCACGTCGCAGCCGGCACGACCCTATCCATTGCCCCGCCGCCGTCTATGAACGAACAAATGTCTGCGACCTATATCCCTGACGGTACTACTTACGGCGAGGGCGTCGGCATCCCAGGTCTTGGGGGAGGCTTCGACGAGTCGTTGACTTACGCCACGACCCTGAACTCGTGGCCCACCGCCAGCCAAGGTACCACGGACGCCCTGAACACCACGCAGCCGGACGATGCGGCCGCCCGGGCATCTGGTGCGACCGACAACACGCGCGACAACACGCGTGACACGCCCATCGTCTCCTCTGGTGGCTCTTCCTCCACCATCCCATTCGACCTGGCCCAACACTGGCCCATGGACAAAGTGCTTCTCTGGCTCGCCGCAAACCACTTCTCGAAAGACTGGCAACAGACCTTCATCTATCTCAACTTGCACGGTGTTCGCTTCCTCGAGCTCGGTGTCGGTCACGGCGGCCGGGGCAATTTCGGCATCATGCACCAGCAGGTCTATCCCAGACTAGCCATTGAATGCACCAACAGCGGCACCGGATGGGACCAGCCTCGCGAACGGGAAGAGGGAAGGAGGATGCGCCGCCTCGTGCGTAGTATCGTCACCGGGAAGCCCTCCGACGCATCTCGGATGCCTTCGTCCCATGCCAGGAAAGAGTCGCTGAATCACGGCAACACCCTGCACAGCGCGGGGACCGACCCAACAGATTCCCCTGGCACCACCTTGGGCATCAAAGCACCGGGCCCCGGTTTCGGTGGACGACGCTTCTCGCCGACCAGAGCCACGACCATGCCGATTCTGACCGACAACACGACGTCCCAGTCGAGCCGAGGAACCTTTTACAACAACGTGGACAGCGACGGGGAAGGCTCGGCCAGGCCTTCCGCCGCTCGGACAGAAAGCCCGGCGAGCCCGAATCCCCATGGGTTCTTTGGGCCCTCTACCGGAAATGTGTCGGCCTCACCCCGCTCCACCAAGTTTGGTCATCGCTCGAGGAATAGCACCGATTCGCTCTCGTCCAACACGGCGCGGTACGGCTCCGGTGTTCCGCAAGAGGCCTCGCAGCTCTTCCGAAACGGCATGACGATCAATGAGATTGCCGCCGGCGGCCATAATAGCGAAGGCCGCCGCACTTCGCCCGCAGACTCGGCTGGCGGCGGCGGCGGCGGCGACAAGTCGGCCGGTTCCGAGCCTTCCACGTCGGTCAAAGACGCGAGGGGCTTCCTGGGCCTAGGTTTCTTGAGAAAGAAGAAACCAAAGGACGAAGCCATCGGGTACAGCCCCGACACCGAGTCCTCTCCCGACGACTCCTCCGTCGTCAGTTTCAAAACGCCGTCTGGGACCCGGCCAGGTAACGCGAGCGAGACTTCCTTGGAAATTCGACCTTCCCCGAGTTTCAATCTCGACTCTTTCAGCACGGTCCTGGGACTCTCTCCAAACGTCTCGCGGTTAGAGAGGACGTTCGTCCTCGCCACCATGGATGGCTGGAACTACCGCATGTGCGACATCACCAATGGCGAATCGCCCGCCGACATTCGTCACATCATCTGTGCGGGTCTTGGCTTGACCGATTCCCAGAACGCGCAGTTCTTTGCGACGGAGCTCGGCAAGTTCGATCACGACGAGCCCCTGGACGGCCAGAAGCTCCTTGCGCAGAAGCGTCACAAGGCCGACTCGGTCGGGTCGCTCAAGTTCTACGTCCGGCCCGCCGGATTCGGCTTGCAGGGTGGACTCACCGCAAACGGGAACGGCTTTCCTGCGTCGCTGGCCCCAGGCACGCCCCTCGACGGAGGAGGTGATTCGCCCGATCGCATCAATGGATCGCGGGCGAGATCTAGCTCGTCGCCACCTAGCGCAAGACCAGACGTCCTGACAGGTGACAATGTCGACGGAAAGCTGCAGGACTCTAGCCGTTACCGTGCCGATGTGGAACGGAAGCAGAGAGAGTACTTGGCCAAGCGGCGACAGGCGGCAGAGACGAGGGACAATGCCATGCACGCGCCAGAGGTCGTCGGCGGCTACGGCATCGCGGGGCGCAGCGTCGACTTTGACCAGCCACGCCAGTCGCCCTACGACGAGAAGAGACCGGATCACCTCTTCCCGGTACGGAAACCACCTGCACCACCCAGCGACCCCTCGGCCACGTTGATTAAGGCCAATTCCCTGAGCAAGAGGGGAGGTCTTCATCAGCAGCGCTCCTCGACCGGGCTGGATAGCTCGCGCCGGCCGCCGACGTTGACCGAAGAGGATCGGGAGAGCTTCGACAAGAGCGGAAGGAAACCGTCAAGCCCAGCCATGGGCACCAGCGTAGGTGCGGCGTTCGCCTCCATGGGTAGGGGTCTTGGAGCCATCGCACAGCCTGGGTCGTCATCTACAAGTAAGCGGCGGTTGGGCTCTGACAACAAGAGCCAGTCAACGTCAGCTCAAAAGAAGGGTGCTCCACCCGGTCGTCGCAAGTCCCACGGCCCCGACTTTGACTTTGAGGAAACGGATGTCAGCTTTTCGAGCCCTGCACGCCAAGCTCAGCCGTCCGATGACGATGACTCCGAAGACGATTCGGACGACGGGCTCTTCGCCGTCCCGATTAAGCAACCCAGTCGGAGCTCTGGCGGCGGCGGCGGCGGCGGTGGCGGCGGTGGTGCAGCCGACACCAGCCCCAAACGACCGACTCTCACGTTGAACACGTCAAGGTCGAGAAAGACCTTGTCGGTGTCATTCACATCACCACCATCCGGAGGCAGCCCGGGCGGAAATCAGATACCGGATATGGAGGAAGAGGAAGCGGCGAGCGCGAGGAGCGGGCGTAGCTCCCGACGCACACCGAACACGCCGGGGTCCGATAACTGGGACACCGAAGACGTCAAGCTCAGCCGACGCAAGTCGTTCGTGGAGAAGGACGTGTGGGCCAACCGGCCGACGGCTGAAGCGCTCATCAACAACCTAGACGATTTCTTCCCCAACCTGGATCTGGACCAGCCAGTGCTCGACCCACCGGGACCTGACGAGCTGGGCCTTGCCGCCGGGATCGAAGGGGCCCCGGTGCCAGGTCCCTGTCCCGACGTGGCCAAGGACAAAGGAGGCGTTGGCCCGTCGGCTGGGCCGTCGAGCTCTTCGGTTTCGCTGGCCCCGTCCAGGATGTCGAGCGTCTACGACGACAACGACACGCTGGGGTCGGACGAGTCGACTCTCAAGGCACTCGAACGGTCCACGGGCACGATCGACAGCGTCGCGCAAAGGAACACGCGCAAGGCGGGTGGGCTGGGGCGGATGAAGTCGATCCGCGAAGTGGCTCGCGGTGCGCACGAAGCGCATAAGCGGCTGACGACGGCGTCGCAGCGGTCGGTGGGACAGGGCAGCAGCAGCACGTCGCTGATGCGGAGGAAGAGCACCAAGATGTTCAACGCCAACATTGTGCAGATCCGGCCGGACCAGCGCGGCAGCATGATGATGCCTCCGCTGCCGCAGGAGTACCTGCCGAAGCGGCAGACGACGTTCCGGTGGTTCAAGGGCCAGCTGATCGGCAAGGGCACGTACGGGCGGGTGTACCTGGGGATGAACGCGACGACGGGCGAGTTCCTGGCGGTGAAGGAGGTGGAGGTGAACCCCAAGGCGGCGGGCGGGGACCGGGCGAAGATGCGGGAGCTGGTGGCGGCGCTGGACCAGGAGATCGAGACGATGCAGCACCTGGACCACGACAACATCGTGCAGTACCTCGGGTGCGAGCGCAAGGAGACGTCGATCAGCATCTTCCTCGAGTACATCTCGGGCGGGAGCATCGGGTCGTGCCTGCGGAAGCACGGCAAGTTCGAGGAGTCGGTGGTGTCGTCGCTGACGCGGCAGATCCTGAACGGGCTGGCGTACCTGCACCGGGAGGGCATCCTGCACCGCGACCTCAAGGCGGACAATATCCTGCTGGACCTGGACGGGACGTGCAAGATCTCGGACTTTGGCATCTCGAAGAAGACGGACAACATTTATGGCAACGACAAGAGCAATTCGATGCAGGGGTCGGTGTTCTGGATGGCGCCCGAGGTGGTCCGGTCCGAGGGCAAGGGGTATAGCGCCAAGGTGGACATCTGGAGCTTGGGGTGCGTGGTGCTCGAGATGTTCGAGGGGCGGCGTCCGTGGAGTAAGGAGGAGGCGGTGGGTGCGATTTACAAGATTGCCAACAGGGAGACGCCGCCTATCCCGGACGAGGTGCGGGAGACGGTCAGTCCTCTGGCGCTGTCCTTTATTTGGGATTGCTTTACAGTGTGAGTTTTTCTTCTTCTTTTCTTTTTCTTTTCTTTTCTTTTCTTCTTTTTTCTCTTTCTCTTTTTTTCTTCCCCGTTTCTTGCAAGTACGCGTCGATCACCATGGGCTAATGTTCTCTGCCTACCTACTCCAGCAACCCGCATGAGCGACCTACAGCCGACGTGCTCCTCTCGCAGCACCCGTTCTGCGACATGGACCCGAACTACAACTTTTACGACACGGTGCTACATGCCAAGATTCGGGGTAGGGAATTTTAGGGGACGGCTCGCTCGCCTTCATCGGAACGAAGGTGCACGTGGGAGGCTTATCATATTCCTACAGTGCATGCACGGTAGTATACGTGGCTGTTGCCGAGCCATGGCCTATGTCTGGCAGTAGACATGGCTCGCTGAAAGGGAAGCGCGTTGTTATGAAGATGGCATGACAAGGTGCAGTGTAACCCAAAGTGCGGGGAGGGAGGGGAGAAGGATGGAGGATCAAGATCCGACGGGATGAGCCAGAGAAGACGGGGCCGACCACGTCTGCCTGCCGGGTACGGTACGGTAGATACGATGAACGGCCGGGGGAAGGTCTGGAACGAAGTAGCCTTTGTTCTAGACGCGAGGACCATGACCATCAACCTGTCTGGACTTTTCGAATAATGGCGGAATGGGGACGGGGTTTGATTTTGGTGGTTCTCGGTTCTCGACTCCCACGAGGACGTTCCTTTGTACGGACCAGGCCGAGGAGGGGCAGGTATTTGAACCTTGCACTCCGTAGCTTATCGCGTGGCTTATCCGTAGGTACTTAGGCGGGCGTACCGTACAATAAGAGCGAGTACCTTAGACTTCTCACCGGAATAAGGGTCCTGTGAGGGGTGGGGGGGTTTTCTGGTTCAGGGGAGGGCTTGTCCGTTTAGGGTCAAGTTCGGGACTTCGGGAGACCGGCGACGGAGCTAAGCTCAGTCGGTGTCTTGGGTACCCCATCCATTCCTTGCGAATAATTACCTTACTTCGTACTTAGCACCTAATAAATTTCGAAGGGTCCGGAGTACCTACTTTCATCAAGTACTCGGTCTCAGCCACAACGAGGATTCCTTTGTGCTGATAATTAATGTTGATATCTTGCAAGGCTTCTTTCACAAATATTCCTACGCCGTATATTCTTTTTTCTTTTCTTCTTCTTTGTTTTCTTTGCAGGTATGAGTAGAACAGAGACTTGCCTTCGTACTCTGTACGTCGTACAGATATGTGAAGCCAGCCCATGTGTCCATTGCCAAGATGACCGAGAGCGAAAAAAACGGTCAGGTGCGGCGCAGGAAAAGGTCTCGGTGTCTAACTCGTCCGTCCTCCTTTTGGGCCGTCTTGGCGAAAACGCTTGCGCTTGCCGAGGGCGAGGGGTCTAGGCCAAAGCTACCCAGGTACTGGTACTTGTCCTTCCCCACCCCGACTGGCCAGAAGTTGAGCAAAATCGGAGCAGGGCGGGGGTTCATTGGCCTCAATTCCCCACCGGCGCCCCCAAATGGGAAGCTACAGTTCCCCATGCGCCTGCTTTCTTTCGTTCGTGCTTCGTGCTTCGTGCCTCGTGCCTTGTGCTTCGAAACTTTCGTGTGCCGTCCGTACTTACTTACTCATTGCCCATGTGCCAACCTTAAACTAAAAGTATCTTTCCACGCCTTCCACGCCTCAAAAATCTCCTGGAATCAATAACCACGGATACCGTCACTTAGAGAGGATCTGGCCTCTTCCATCCATACAACCATCAACCCGTCTATCAGAATGATCTCCAGGTAGCCTTTGTGTCGAATATTTATTATTGTTTCCCTTCCATCCTCGATGCCTTGCTCGGCTACACGCCACGCGTGATCGACCGACGATCCTGACCGTCCCACGCCGCAAAGCTATCGAGACCCTTGGTCTTTTCATTACTCGCCCGGTAACAGGAACGGACCTTTTCTTCGTATCGCGACATCGCCTAGGTCAATGCTCAAGATGGTTCGTCGGCGCAGTCGCCTCGTCCTCATCATGGCGGCCGTCATGGTCGTCATGATGTACCGCGGCATGCTCAGTTCTCACTGGGATCACTACTCCTACACTTCCGGCCTTAGATCCGGTGCTTCTCCCGACGCCCATCACGAGCACGAACATCATCACCATGAGAATGAAGACAACCATGCGCCAGCTGTACCCGAGCGAAACCCAGTCATCACCCCGAGACCGGAGCCTCATCGTCACGACGAACACGACACGATACATGCGAAGAACCCACCTGACCGCTTGCCCGACGGCGGCGGCGGCGGCATTCCCAAGTCCGCCTCCGTAGTCCACTGGCGCAAGCAGCCCGAACACTTCCCCGTTCCCACCGAGTCCATCATCCCCCTGCCCACCGACCCGCCAAGACAGTTCCCCAAGATTCAGCATACTTTCGATCCCGAATCACCTGCCGCCAAGGAGAAGCGGGAAAAGCGCCTGGCCGCGGTGAAGGCCGAAACGGAGAGGGCCTGGGCCGGCTACCGCCAGTACGCATGGATGCACGACGAGCTGACCCCTCTCACCAAGCGGTTCCGCGATCCCTTCTGCGGCTGGGCCGCCACCCTGGTCGATTCTCTTGACACCTTGTGGATCATGGGCCTGAAGGACGAGTTCGACGAGGCTGCCAAGGCCGTTGGGGACATCGACTTCACCTACACTCCCCAACGCAGGGACATCCCCGTCTTCGAGACCACCATCCGCTACCTCGGCGGGCTCCTCGCCGCCTACGATGTCAGCGGCGGACGCCAAGGCAACCATCCCGTGCTGCTCACAAAGGCCGTCGAACTCGCCGAGATCCTCATGGGCGCCTTCGACACCCCCAACCGCATGCCCATTCTCTACTACAACTGGATGCCCGACTATGCCTCCCAGCCTCACCGCGCAGAGACCGCCAGCATCGCCGAGCTGGCTAGTCTCTCCATGGAGTTCACGCGCCTCGCTCAGCTGACCTCCGAGAACAAGTACTACGACGCCGTCGCCCGCATCACCAACGCCCTCCAGGATTTGCAAGACCGCGGGACCACCATCCCCGGCCTCTTCCCCGAGAAGCTCGACCTTTCTGGCTGTAATCGGACCGCCACGGCCGAGCGGGCTAGGACCCTGGAGCTCAGTGGGGAGGCACGCCTACAGTCGGACGCGCAGTCCGACGACCGCAAACCCCCCGAGGGATATAAGCAGCAACTCGCCAAGAAGGACCTTCCCCTCCCAGGCCAGCCGCCCGCTTCGTCGGAGAACAGCGCACCTTACAGCGTTGACGGCGACGAGACGGCATCCTGGAAGTGCGTCGAGCAAGGTATCGAGCCCGAAGGCTATGGCTACCACCAGTACAGCCTGGGCGGCAGCCAGGATTCGGCGTACGAGTACTTCCCCAAACAAGACCTGATCTTAGGCGGACTAGAACCGAAGTACAGGGATCTGTACATCAACACGGTCGAGGCCGCCAAGAAGTGGCTGCTGTATCGGCCCATGGCCCGTGACGGCAGGGACGTGCGGTTCACCGGCAAGGTGACGACCTCGCCCGAGGGTAGGCCGCCGCAGCACGCCTACGAGGCGACGCATCTGGCTTGCTTCGTCGGCGGCATGTTCGGGCTCGGCGGCAAGATGTACGAGCGGCCCGACGACGTCGAGATGGCACGCAAACTGGCCGACGGCTGTGTCTGGGCCTACGAATCCACCGCGTCCGGCCTCATGCCCGAGATTGCCACCCTCGTGCCCTGCGAGTCGATGGAGAGCTGTGCGTTCAACGAGACGTTGTGGTGGGATCGCCTCGACTCCATGGCCGCCACGCGAAACCGGAACATTGTGGATTGGGAGGAGAGGCAGAGGAAGAAGAAGGAGGAACAGAAACGGCGGGAAGAGGAAGAGAATGAGAATGAGAAAGAGGCGCTGCAACTGCAGGAAGCGGAAGCGGGGAGGAGAAGTGCAGATGCCTCTCTGCAGGGCGCTGCTGCGGCCCAGGTGCCGATCCCCAGAGTTCCGGAGCGTCCCGACCCAAAGCCGGCATCGCACGAGGAGTACGTGCACGATAAGATCGAGGCCGAAGGCATCCCGCCCGGCTTTGCGTCTATCAATGACAGGCGCTATATTCTAAGGTATGTCGCTCCATAGGGGTCCCGCTTCCCACCTACTTGCCTGGTCTTACCATCACATGTCGTTCTTTTCTTCTTCTTCTTCTTCTTCTTATTTTCATCCGACTTCCCTCGACTAACACACAAACCTCCGCAGACCCGAAGCCATCGAGTCAGTCTGGTACATGTACCGCATCACGGGCGATCCTGTCTGGCAGGAAAAAGGCTGGCGCATGTTCCAGGCCGTGCTCAAGGCGACGCGCACCGAGACCGGCCACAGCGCGGTGGACGGGGTGCTCGACCCGGTGCCCCGGAAGGTCGACAACATGGAGAGCTTTTGGCTCGCCGAGACGCTCAAGTACTATTATCTGCTATACACTACCCCCGACGTCATCAGCCTGGACGAATGGGTGCTCAACACGGAGGCGCATCCTTTCCGCAGGCCGTCATAGGAAGGAAACATGACCAACGGAACATGATGCAGGGCGATCGATTCATGAAGACGTGATGGATGGATTGGTGTCGAGATATACCCATTTCTTCGGCATCTCAGATCTTAAGGATAGAGTTCCAGCGGGAACGAGGCAATGTGCGGCAATTTATCGCTTCGGTGTGGGAAGAAGCCATATGCATGGGCGAGCCTTGGAATCCGAAGCGAAGCATGGAGGACAAACTCATTTCAAGTACTTCAAGCAATATTCAGCTGGTAGGCGTTTAGGAGCACTAGGAGGCCATGGCATTTATTCCGTTGATCTTATTATCACCGAGCTATTTAGTAAAAGGCGTTTCTCAAGACAATTTCTTGTATAGCGTAGGTAGGTGGTAGGTATCTATCTCTCTAGCACAGACATGCAGGCATCGCAATTGTCGACCGTGAAACATTTCCACATGCTATACAGATTTGTTCCGTTGCCCCTTGAGGATCTGAAATTCGAAGCACGGAGGAGAAGAAGCCAAGCTGGCACGGGGAGCGATGGAATTGCGGCGCTGAACCATTGCAGAAATCAAGCGTGTCATTCTCATTGTCATGGCATTCCGGGGCCCTTTTGCTGATCGTCGTCCATGACAGGCCAGCCAATACTCCTAAACGAAAGTCGTATCGTCCTTGTGTCCCATAATCCCCCACGTCAAGCCAGCCATGTCCCGAGTTTGACGTTTTCCGCTGTTTCTACCCGTCGTGATCCGCCCCGTCGCTAATCAGACGACAATGGTGACGACGGACGAGTGCGCCAGCATTTCAGGCGATGAAAATGTGAAAATGAAAACAAGAAATCCCCAAAACGCATGCGACCTCCCTTGCTCTTCTCCATGTTGTCTCTTTGCGACTGTGCTCCATGCTTCGCTCCATCCCCCCATCGCAGCGTGACGTCTGGACGGACGGAAAACGATCAAGACGGAATATAAATCAGACTTCCTTCCCCTTTCCCCTGACAAGAAATAAAAGCAAGAAATAAAAAAAAAAGGCAAATATGATGGGGTAAACAAGATGAAGATGCAAAATAGTCGATGCAAAACTCCGGTGGGTTTCAAAAGGTCGCCAGCCGCTTGTCATCGTAGTCGTCGTCCTTTCAACACGCTTCCCCCTTCTTAACGGATTGTCGCTCCATGATACAGAAAAACGATGGCTCGCAACATGCTGGCAACCGCCCCCGGGCCTCCGCTGTATAGTCTCAGCAAAGCACGTCCTTCTCGTCCTTGCGGTGTTTCTTTTTCTCGCTCAATGTTCGTACAGTCATTGCTCTGGGAAGAATCCCCCAACCCTCGGTCCGGCTCTTCCACCATCCTCCTCCTATCACCCGTTGACCATTTGGGTGAGGACGCGGATGGACAGGATCATGACGAGCAGGCCGATGGTGACGATGATGAGGAGAGCGAAGCTGAACCAGCCGAGGACCATGGCAGATGTCCCGACGCCGGCACGGACGGAACCGTTGGCGAAGTCCTGGGCTATGACGGAAGCGCCGACGGAGGCAGTGTGTTGCCACAGCACGGAGACGAGGATGAAGATGGAAGCGATGAAGATGATGGCGAGGGCAACCTGGGAGACGGGTCGAGAGGGGAAGGGCTTCACTTCGCGGTCACGGTCGGAGCCTTCCGAGGCTTCTTCTTCGTGCCAGCCGGGGAAAGTGGCGAGGAGGAGGAAGCAGATGAAGGCGAAGATGATGGCGATGATGCTAAATGATTGTTCCATGGTTGTTAGCTTCTCTTTTCTTCCATTTTTTTTTGGTTGCGGGATTGTCGGAAGGGTGCACCCCTTCCAAGGGGCCAACGTACATCAAATAGGGGAAGACGACCATGTCCTTGAATTCGCTGGCGAGCCAGATGAGATTGAGAGGGTCCTGGTCGACGGAGATTTCATTGGCGAGAGAAGTCGCATTGTTACTGCAGAGCCAGCTGCCGCCATCGGGGCTGATGCAGATGCCAAAGTATCCAACACGGGTGGCGAGACGGGCGCCCCCGACGATGTTGCCAATGGCGTTGTGCACGTTGTAGTCGACCTGCGCTGTGCTGGGAACGGCTTCGTATCTTTCGTAGTACATGGACAGGAGGAAGATATTTGGGATGAGCGGCGATGATGATGAACAGCCAGCAAGCAGGAGGGCTGAAATGTAATGTCACTGTGGTCAGACCCATCTTGTGTTCTTCGAGTCCTTTTGTTCCCCTGGGGCCAAAAGGGTTTCCGCAAAACGGGGGGATCAACTTACATAGTAGTATTATTGTAATGGCAATGAGAATCATCAATACATGATGATAACCCAGAAACGGTACGAACCCTGCGCAAGTCGGTCAGTACTTCATGATGGATTTGACGTGGGAAGAAAACCAAGGAATGTATAACTCACGATACCACCCCACTTGAAATTTCGCCATCGCGAGGTATGTGTCTCAGATTCTATAACTCGCCCGTTTGGATGTCCCTCTCGTCTCGAGGCCGAGGTCTCGAGCTGGTCCGCTGGTCCTTTGCGGCGCCCTCTCCCGTCCTCCGTGCTTCGGAGCGACGGTAGGGTTCTTCTTTGGCTCTCAGCGTCAAGACGCTGCTATCAAGTTGCAAGTTGCGTCCGGGGAGGGAAGGCCTGATGGGGAAGTCCTTGACCGGGCCGGAGGTAGACAGAGAGGAATCGAGGTCTCGATGGGGGCGGCGGCGGAATGAGGTTGTCTCTCGGATCGAGGATCGAAAAAAGGAAGGGAGAAACAGAGGCTCGATGGAAGCACCGCGAGGAATTCGGGACGGTGGATCAATCTATCTAGTGGTAAATCTCCAGCTTGTCAGACAACAATGCCTTTGTATGACCAGGTGCGATTTGTTCCTCTGTGAAGGGATAGGGCGGACTAAGAGGAATGGGAAAGTTCGGGGGTAGAGAACGAGGGAGAGCAAGGGTGGAACTTAGATTTTGGTGCGCTTGAGGTATGAATGGTAGAAGGAGATGAGAATTCCAGTGTCAAATTCTCGTCTAGATCCCGCTGTTTGAGGAAGCGTCTGGTTTAGCGTTGATAATTGGAAAGGTCGGCACGAGGGAGAGATGACGAGTCGGTGTGCGGATGTACAGAAGTCCAAGTATCTACCACTAGGAGAAGCGAGAGAGGTTCGGGCCCAGAAACGAGACAGGCGGCTCTCAGGCCAACGCAGTAGATGTGGAGGATGGGTATACGTGGTGCCCTTCCAAGCTGTACGTTGCGACCAGCAGTCGTTGGGTAGCTCTGCCAACCTCTTCTATTTACTTGTGCCGAGACCGTGGTTGGCCAGGCAATTGGGCGCGGGGTCCCCCTTTGGGCTTGGGCTGGCAGTAATTGTGGGTCGAGGAGCACTAGTCCTGGAAAGGTTGGTGGCTGGTGGCTGGTGGCTAGTGAATGCACATACCATATAACCCCTGAAAAAACGTACAATGTATACTTACGGGGCCTGGATACACTAATGGTATCACGACAATGAGTACAACTAGATACATTATGAGGTAGGAACTTTCTATGCAAAATACAGAGGCTCAGACGTACTAAAACAGGGGGACTTAGTACTACTAGTGCAGGTACGTACCTCGAATCTTTCTAAACTTCCTAAAAGGGTAGTTCACGAAGTACCACTTTGTACGTTTAAACAGGGGTTATATGGTACGCTGTATGTACATGTGTACATACAGCACGAACCCCTGTCTCAGGGGTCTTCATCAAGGCACCAAGGTACTTCATTTGTACTGTCATCTTCTGGTGTGGCTGCTCCTGCCTGAAGGGTCGTTTGTTGGGTCTCGCCAAACGAGGCGACGAGTCCCAAGGCTGCGGTCGCCGTTAAGCTGTTGTTCCTCCCTTGCTACATCTCTAGTGCGACTCCCCCATGTAGGAGACATCTTGGAGCTCCTACTGCGATCAACCACCTCAAGTCTACATCCCCAGAGCCAAAGTATCCGGAAGAACGCCTGTTTCATTGATACACTGGCCCTTGACGGCATCAGCAGTTGAAGCACCTAATACGAAAGTTCCGTACGACTAAGTTCTCCGTAACAACACACAGCAGCCCCTGCCTCTTGGCCCGACCTGCCACTGCCGTTGCTCTAGAAACCGCATAAATTGCCAATGCGGCTTCCTCTCCCGGATGTGACGTACACCACACCACGAACCCCTGAGCTGATAACATCTACACGATGGGAGCTTACGAGTCAAAAGTGGCCAATGGATTTGGAAGGCCAACGATCGGATTCGCGGCACCCATCCCCGGTAGTGGAGTAGAAATCGACCGACGCCAGGAATAGCCTGTAGACAATGTATTACCTAATACGACCGACTAAGGATCTTTGGGCGGGGGGTTCTTCCTAAGTACGAAGTACTCCGTAGTAGGGCAGCAACGGATTATTGCATACAATTTTGCAAGGCATATAAGCTTTAGAATGGGTAGGCTAATCAACAATTCAATCCGATATAGTGTAACGGTTAACATATCGCGCTTTCATGATGGAAGTGCCGCGAAGCTCCGGGTTCGATTCCCGGTATCGGAACTCGACAACCATTGTTGTTTACTTTTTTGCCCATCTTCACTTTTTCTTCGTTTCTAGTTCGCCATCAATCTATCGGTACATGCTATATTCGTGCTTCTTTCTTCTGCTTGATATCTAGGCATGCTTCCTGGTGTTGCTCGGCCGGTTGGGCCTGGTATGCTTGTGGTCACTTGCAAGTCTTGCTTACCTCCTTGCCCATCTATGCTTCCACAATGGTCCCTTCTTGTGGTAAATGCCAGGCCGGTGCCTGCTGAAGCTCGAGTGCACGCGGAAGTGGCCTCTCACAATGCTTCATAATCTCTTTTGTCGATGCCACTTACCTGGGCATGCAGGACATTTCCTGGTTCCTGGCTAAAGAGGCCAGTATCATGACATACTGGACATGTCCAAAGTATCACTTCGAACGTGGGGTTCGAAATGACTACTAATACTAACACTGCCCAGGAATGGAGAGACACTGGTGGTTTACCTTGCATCTCCTCACTCGCAATCTTGCAACACTCACATTCGCTGCTGTGAAAACACCATTATTGCATCTCTATAGACGTTTGAAGGGATTCCCAGATTCCACGAAGACTTACAACAACCTTAGCCACAACAATATTGGCCATCACTGGGCTTTAACCGCACCAACTAGGTAGACATGGAAGGTATGCCCCCGTATGCCCGTATGCCCGTATGCCCCCATTCACCCCCTTTATCACTTCGGATCGAAATATGCAGTTCAGCGTCTACTCAGAGACACTCATCGCCACAAGACATCCCCTATGAGCGTTGGTAGAAGATATCGCGGTTGAGCAAGCGACTAACCCAGTGGTTGGCTACAGAGTCGCGAACAGCCAGAAGTATATCCACTTCGCCGACTGTGGCAGACACAGAGGCCAGTACTTCCTCTGGCTGGGAGCTTGTATCCTCATCGGACTGGAACAATGAAGTCAACCATTCGACTACTGGCCATATTCCTGCCCCGCGTCTCCGAACGCGAGGTGGAGATCCCCTAGGGGCCTTTGACCTACGTCGGAGGCCTGATCGTCTACTGGACATGGCCAGCACCGAACCACATCGTTTGGGATTAGAATGGGCCGAGGACGAGGGGTGGGACGAGGAGGAGAAGGAGGAGGAGGAGGAGCAGGAAGACGAGGACGAAGATAGCCCTGTCTTGATACCGCTCCCTTCTACCAGACTCAGTCGAGACCGTCCTCCCGGGCAGATGCACACAATACCGTCGCAGCCGACTGCACATCATCATTCACGCGTTCATAGGACTGTCCAGGCGCCGAGGTCGAATCGGGGATTTTCGAGGCCTTCGTTCGAACTAGGAGAGAGCGCGCATACGAATTTGAACAATCCACACCGGCAGGGCTTCTAGGAACAGTCGGCTGGCAGACGGCCTGGTGTGTTACCATCTCCGATGCCTCCGATCCGCCCAAATGTCGAAGCGGTGTCGGTTGACGGGCAGTCTACGGTATTATCATACTCGATTTCCCCATATTCCCCAGGAATGTCGGTTGACGGGGAGCTTGCTCTATTACCATTTCTGATGCGCCCAGGTTTCCCAGGGGGGTACAAGTTTACCCTCAGCCGCCGGGAAGACAATTTCAGGGTCAACCGCCAGGAGGGCCATATGATTCTAAACCGCGGGGAGGAGGATATCGGGGTCAATCGCCAGGATAGTAATTTCAACCGCCTTCGCCAAGTCAGGTTCAGCTATTCGGGCTCAACCGTCTTCAAACTCAGGAGTACCTCGTGGAATCCTTAAACAGCGGAGAGATGGAGATGGCGCCAGAGTAATCGACGAAGGGCCAGTGCGTGCATTCTGATAAAGCGAAGAGGTGCTACATATGAAGTAATTATTAACAGCGTTTGAATTGAAATAGCCCTTGGAGGCAAAAGCGGACAAACGTTGCGTTACGTTGCTCAATCGCATTATGACCTATACCTTATAAGTACATTTCCTTGGGAACACGGATAGTTAGGTATCCGGCTTAAGATACCCCTTATGTGCAACCCTGGACTGCTTCCACGTTTCGGGATAGCTTCCCCGATGACAATGGTCAGTTTGCCCAGTGTGCAATGCCCTGCATAGCTAGAGGATGGCCGCAGGTTCGGACATTGGCCCTGCCAGGGTACAGGAACTCGACATACGGGTAGAAGATTTCCTCGATGATAAACTTCAGTCAACCACGGACCTGGACAATCTCGAGACGCTCCTTGCCAAGGTGGAACTCCAGCGCAGCCAACTCCAGTCCCAACTCGACAATGCCGTCAAGCAGCTGCAAGAAGCTCGCGTCAGCTCACACGACCGACAGGCAACTCTCGCCACGCGGATCCACGAATTCCAAAGGCTCCAGCACAGCATCGATGCTCGAGTCAAGGTCGCCGCCGCCTCGGAGGCTCCCAACCAGGCCATCGCCCGTCTCCAGCGCCCGATGAAGCAGCTCCAGACGGTCGAGCTCGCGCACAAATACCTGACGCTCCTACAGGACGTGGACAAGCTGAGGAAAGAGGCGCGCGCGCACTTGCCCGAGAGCCCCAGGGCGGCGCTCGAGCCGTACGCGAAGCTGAAGCGGCTGTCGGTCCGGCTGCAGGAGCTCTCGGGTCTCGCCGACGACGCGGCGGTGCACCTCGTCAACCACGTCGAGTCGGTGACGGAGACGCTCTGGGAGGACATGAAGAAGACCATGGCGGCGGAGCTGGAGGCGGTGCTGCGCGGGCGGTCGTGGCCCATGGCCGTCGACCCGGCCGCGGGGATGGACGAGGAGTGGCTGCGGTGTTTCGAGAAGCTGGTTGACCTGCAGGTCCCGGAGGTGGTGTACAGCCCCGAGACGGTGACGCTGCTGCCGTTCGACGCCATGTGCAAGATCTTCGTGTCCGAGTTTCGGTTTCATTTCCTCAGCGACAAGCCGACCAGCAAGCCCGAGGCGATCGGCACGCACTGCCTCCCCTGGTTCCTGGCCGTCATCGAGAAATGGGAGGGCTTTTTCAGGGACAACCTCGGCCACTTGTTGGCGGCCAAGTTCCAGGGTACGCCGGTGGCGAACAATATGGTCTACGTTGATCCGGTGGGCGCTTTCATTACGGCCATGCTCCCTGTTTTGAGGAAGAAAGTGCACCATGTCGTCGCGGACGCCGTAAAGGACCCCACGTTCCTGAGCAGCCTCATGGTGCAGCTTATGACGTTCGACGAGAACGTGAGGTCCAGGTTCGGCTACGACGGCGGAGACCCAGACCGTGGGTGGGCCGGGCTGACCACCGAGGTCCTTGAGAAGTGGTTCGAGCCGTGGTTCTTGGCCGAGAGAGAGTTTGCACTGGAGCGTTTCCGGGCTATCATGGAGTCCCGCGAAGCTCGGAATATCGATTACGACTACGCGGGGCCGGGCAAGACGAAGCCGACATACGCCGCTGTCCGCGTAACCGACCTCCTCAAGACCGTTACGTCGCAATACGAAAGGGCAAGGAAGTTCAAACACAAGATCCGCTTCCTGATAGGCATCCAGCTGGACATCCTAGACGAGTACCACGACCGTCTCAGAGGCTCCTTGGAGGCGTACCAAGCGATCACGTCCACCGTGGGACGCACGATCCACGGTGTGACAAAGGAGCAACTCGCCGCCCTGGAAGGGACCGGCGCTTTGGAGACCCTATGCAAGGTATATGGCAGTGCCGACCATATCGTCAACACGCTACGGGATTCGAGCAACGATGAATTCTTCGTGACGCTCTGGGAGGAGCTTCAAAATCGAGCAGAGCCTGTAGGGGAGCAGGGCAAGATCGCGGGCGACATGAGCTACGACGAGGTCAAGGATCGCACATCTGCTGCAGTGGGATCTGACAATGAGGACGGGGCTCTGTTCGACGAGACAATCACGGCCTACAGCCTGAGGAGAAAGGCAGCCCAGGACTTTCTCATCGGCGCGTTGACCAAGTCGCATCAGGATGCGTTCAGAGCCTACTCGAGCCGTGTCCAATGGACAACTATGGCCGACAATGGCGGCGAAGGTAATCTAACGATTTTTTTCCCTTTTTTTTTTTCTCTCCAAAGCAAGTTCTTCAACTCGGCACTTGGCTAACTTGACGGCAGTGGATTCGAATCAACTCGCCATTACTCCTGAGCTGGAAGAACCTTTGAGGGTAAATACCAACCGATAACCCCGACCTGGCCATCTCTACGCTCTGTCCTATCCCACGTCCCACTAACCAGTCCTTCTTCTTCCAGATTCTCCGTCAAAACTTCGACTTCCTCCTCAAAGCCTTGAGCACGGCCGCGTTCCGGCGCATCTGGCGTGGGGCGCTTGACAAGCTCCAGGACCTGCTGTGGACGGACGTGCTGATGCGGCAGAGATTCACGGCCTTGGGCGCGGCCCAATTCCGGCGCGACCTCAACGCCATCTTCGCCCTCGTCGAACGATACATCCCCGGCGGCTTGGGACCTCTCGCTAGCCTCGACGACGCCCTGCTGCTGCTTAACTTGCCTGTGCACCCCGCGAAGCCGCAGGAAGGCGAGGAGGCGTGCCTATCACTCAAGCAGGCCACGGACCGCGTCTTCACGGACAACGCGGAGGCGAAGCGCGTGTTGGAGGAACTGGGCATCGAGACGTTGACGCCGGCGAATGCGCGTCACATTTTGCAGCGGCGGGTGGAAAACGAAGTGTAGGGGGGAGAGAGAGAGAGAGAGAGAGAAGCACAGCTCTGCCACACGTAACGTGCCAACTATCCAACTATCCCTAACGCCTTGGAATGAACACAAGGAAAAGTATATGGTCTACCACCTGATAAAGTAAAGATGTTTGCATAATATGACATGACATACTTGACGTGATTTGACCGGCGGCTTTGACCCCCAGCTTTGTTCTAAGATGCAAAAAAATTGTATTCCCAAAAATTGCCGAGTGCCTTTTTTTTCTTCTTTTCCTTTTTACGTATTTAATTGATCAACCTCATCATCAACTCGACAGTGGCAAATGTCGCGGCGCTCACAGGCATAGCCCTGAGCAAGGTAGGCCCGATGCCCTTCCAGAAACCGGCAGCGCCCTCGGCGCGCCAGATCTGGGCGAAGCAATCCCGCATGGAGGCGTAGCGCTGGGCGGCGCCGAAGCCGTCGGTCTGCATCTTGCTCTTGACGACGTCGAAAGGGTAGCTGCTCAGCCAGAGGGCCTCGCCGGCCAGACCGCCGTAAAAGGCGATCTTCCAGCTGGGGACCTCGCGGCGGTCGATGCGGTTGCGGGCGGCGTCGGCGTTCATGAGCCACTCGAAGGTGAGGAACCAAACACCGTAGGCCTGGGCCTCGCGGAGGACGGTGACGGCCTGGCCGCGGAAGAGCCCGGGGAAGACGCCGCCGCCCTGGGAAGACAGTTTCCGGACGCAGTCGAGGGGCCCGTTGTAGAGGCGGGCGGAGGCGGCGTGGGGTTGGGTCTGCAGGCGGATGCGGACGTGTTCGATGGGGCCGGAGAGGACGGAGTTGGCGATGCCGGCGAAGGCGCCGGCGGCGTAGTACTGGGTGTAGCTGGGCGTCGAGGGCTTGGATGGGGAGGAGGCGGCGGCGGCGTTGCGGGCTTCGAACCAGCGGCGGGCTTGGTGGAAGGCGCCGAATTGGACGGAGACGCAGGCGCCGATGCCGATGAGGGGGGTTAGGGTGCCCTTGTAGAAGGCGAGGGGGCCTTCATGCTTCCAGATGGCGGTGGCGGCCTCAAGGGCCGAGGAGTGGGTTGTGGAAGTTTGGAGGCGGACCTTGACGATGTCGAAGGGTTGGCCTGGAGAGGTGATGGTAAAAGTAAGTCAGTGAGCCGGCGATAGACTTGGAATACAGACTGAGTGAGAGAGTATTAGGTATGAGACAAGCTAAGTTGGAAGCGGATCCTGGGACCTCATAAGAGAGTTGGGCGATTGATCTCATGGGGCCAGTTCCCATGCCCCATTGAAACTCATCCGAACCCTCTCTCACTCTTTGTCGATAAAAAGCAAAAACATACCAACGAGGACTTGCGTGATGCCGCCAGCAGCACCGGCAAAGAGGTCTTTGGCAGTCTGCAGAGCTCCGCCGTTCTGGTCCTGGAGCTTCTGCTCGGCATCAACAGCAGCGTCGGCCATGATTGAGCTGGAACTATTTGATGCTTCGTGGGGTGGTTGCTGAGATGGGATCACCATACCAAGCCTTGGGACACCTCACTGATAAAGAGCTTGGGTCTGAAGCTGAAGCTGCAGCTGTTGGAGGGTCCGCAAGACGGCCGAACCCCAGCCCCTCCGAAAGGGTGAAAGGAGCGGGTCGTTGGTCTCGCCCTCTTTTACCGTTTTTTCTTTCCTTTTCTTTCTTCTTTTTTTTTCTCCTGGGTTTTCTCTTATTTCAATCGCCAGGAATCCAAGAGTCGAAGGGGCTGTCAGTCAAAAGAGTGAATGCCAACTAGCAGGTGAGATGCTATTGAATTGGTGGTCTCATCCGTATTACTTCGTATTACTCCGGTGCATCTGTATCTGTCGTCTTGGTAAGAATAAATTCGTGATTTCTTGGCTGAATGGCGTCAGCCACTCCGTTTCCAAAATGGTGGTGGAAAAGAGACATTGCCGATATCGGTCTAGCCTCCGTACTACGGCTGGTCCTTGTTCGGTAGTTCGGTACTCCGTAAATAGTACGCTGATTATTATTCCGTATCGCACGTTTCCGTAACGTAACGGTGGTAATTAAGGTAAGGTTAAGGTAAGGTACCTTACAACGAACGGTAAGGTACGTAGGTACTCCCGACGGCTGACGGGCAACGTCGGGTCTACACCTCCAACGACCAACCCGCGATTAACTACCTACTACCCCTATCGATACTTCATACTCCTACTCCGGTCTTTCGGTTCCCCGAACAGCAGAGCGAACACATGGTTCTCTATCGTCCCTGATCGGATTTCCATTAGTTCGGTGACCCCCCTCTTTATTTTTTTTTTTTTTTTTTTTTACCCGAACCGGGGTGATAAATCTACTCCGTACCTAGTGTAGCACCGAGTCAAGAGCCGTTCTTGGGACTCTCTCGGCGTTAAACACCACCGTGAACTGACTTGTAAGGCTTCTTGATGCTTCTGTCATGAGAAAACTACTTTTGAAAACGCCCAAGAATCCATCGTGCCATGATGAATAGTATATACTAAGAATCCTTCAGCCGTTGAATAACATTCTTGTAAAGCCTAATACTGCCTCACGCCCTTCTTCTCACCAGCCGCCTTGGCCTGGGCCTCGGCGCTCATCTGAATCGCCTCGTTCAGTTTCGCAATGACTTCGGGCTGATTACTAAACGCCTTCTGCAACAGCTCTTCGAGTTGGCGCTCCACCTTGCCGATGGGTTTCACGCCCGCCTTCCTCGCCTTCGCGTCGTTCATCAGCCTGCCCCATCGCTGCGTGAACCCCACAATGGACTGCCGCAGCAGCTCATCCAGCTGGTGGTTCATATCCTCCACCGTCAGCGTCTTGGCCGTTACCTTATTGCCCCCTCCCGCCGCGGCCGAGGAGGTGGACGGCGACGACGACGACGACCAGAAGCTCGACCCCACGCCGCCAATGATGTTGCCGAAAAAACTGGCCCAGTTTTGCGGGCTGAGCGTCTCCCAGATGCGGTTGAAATGCTGCATGCCGGCGTACCCGCCGTCTTCGCCCCGTATGTCGCCAATCTCAAGCGACAGGAGCTCGTTCTTGATGATGAGGAGGTTCTTGACCATGAAAATGTCCGGGTCGGTGCTCGACTTGAGTGACTTGAGGCGTGATTCGGCCCGCTGCAGGACGTTGATTGTCTCCCGGACAATCTTGAAGATGACCTGGCTATTCGTCTGCTGTATGTGGTATGTGATGTTAGCCTTGAATACATAGCACGGGGAAAAGCTGGCCAAAAAAAAAAGAAGAAGATAAAAAAGATAAAAAAAAAAGAGGAGAGGGTGACCACATACACTTCGCTCCTTAGGCATCGTTTGGTCATACATGACGAGCAGTTCCAGGGCTTTCTTCACAGCAGGATAGGCATTCGATGACGAGACGCCATCGACGACGGGGCCGATTTTCAGCTCCTCATCCTTGACCATGGCCTTAGAAATGGTCTTGGACACCTCGGCTTCGAACGCATTGTCCGTAAACACCCAGAGGTGTTCAGTCAGCAACCTGGCACTAAGCTCCCGGCACTGCTTGGCGAAAGGAGATTCCTCGTCCTCGTAGTCGAGAGCCAGGTACTCGTTCATGAGCCATGCCACTACGTTACAAATCGCCGGCAGACTGCTCGCTTGCATAGTCGCCTGTAAGGTATTCGCGAGTGGAACCAAGTTGGTCGGGTTGGCAAGAGATCTTTGATACGACTTCAGCAAAGCATAGACCGATTCGGGATCGGAACTCCACTGAAGCTCTATACCAAAAACCCTTGCGAAGAGGTTCGTCTCGTTGAAGGCCTTCTCAAACGTCTGCTTGACCAGGTTCCTCGACGCCGTTTCCATGGACAGCTCTTTCAATTCCCTTTTAAACTCATCGACGTCACGCTGCGTCATCGCCTTCAGGTCGCGGTCGCGGACCGAGAAGTACGATTGGAAGAGGTGCCTCGCCGTGTTGCCGTATATTTCGCCAGCCGTCCCGGACACGGGCCGGCCGAGCTCATCGTACACGCTGCGGACCACTTTCTGCATGTTGGGAATCAACGAGTCGGAAGTCAGGACCAGCTCCCCGAAGCGACTGTACGCAAGGGCATGCCGCGTGGCTTCCGACTTGCTCGAGGCAATGGAAGGAGCGATTTCGGCGGAAATGCGATCTAGTCGGTTCGTAAAGCCGACTTCGAGTAGGTGCAGGGCTTTGGTGAGCAATGCTTCGTATCGCGCGAGGTACGATTCCGCATCACGATACGCGGTCTGGTTGGTTTTGTGTCATCGCACGTTAGCCATGCCGTATTAGATAGATGCATAGATGCATAGATGCACAGAAGGGTTCTCTCACATTTCTACCCATAAACGCGATGCAGGAGTCCAGGTTGCTGAGCACCTCGACAAAGTCGTCATCGTCTACCAAGCGGCTCGCGCCGGGCGCATTGAGCCGCCTCGTGACGTTGTCGAGGTACGCATAGAAATGGAGGTCCGTGCCGACATCGCCCGCCAGCTTCTGCAGACGCCGCTTCTCGGAAAGGAGGTCTTCGCATTGTGACTTGAAGGAGGAAGTCTGAGCCTCGACGGCTTGAAAGGATTTGGAGAGGGTGGTGAGCAGCTCGAGGGCCGAATTGGTGTCGTCGATTAAGGAATCCAAGTGACGTTCTGTGAGGGCCAATTGGTCTTTGTATAGACTGCTGCCATATCAGCGCGTGTGCCCTAAGGTGTGCTTACGGGGATTGGCGGCAAAACAAACGTACAGGTAGTCTTGCTGGCTTGCCTCCAACAACCGATCGTCGTATTGGGTCAGAATGGGTTTGGGTGGAAAGACAACATCGTCGACATTGGCTGCTAGGTTGAGAGCCTCCAGTGTCTTCCTGTCCTTCCTCCTCTTCCGTTGATCTTCCTCCCGCTTCTTCTGCTTCTTCTTCTGCGAATCTTTCGCGAGCTGGCTCCGGACAACATGATAGAAATCGGAATACGACTTGGCCCTTCGAGCAACGGTGGCCTCTGGTGGTGAGCGCCTCGCCTCCTCTTCGACAAGCTTACTGAGTGTTGGCGGTGCCTCGTTGGCTCGGGTTGTGTCCTGGGTTCGTGGGACGTGTCAACGACTGCTTTGGACGAGGTTAAAGCTGGAGAGAATTGGGCACAGCTTACGTTTGGTTGCTGCAACAAGGACTCCTTGCGTCTGTGACCTGTGCCTTGGCCACTACTCGTGGACTTCTTGGTGACTTCGGGCACGAAGCTGTACCAGGAGTCTTCGTACATGGTCGTGCTCGGTGGATGCGAGGGGCATTGCCGAAAAAGGTGCTGGCGTCGATGTTTTTGTCTGACACTGGCGACGTCAACGTCTGGCGTATCTGTACGAATGTTCAAGACTGGTATGAACGGTTGTGGCTGACACGGATGCGTGGGGGGGCTGGTCGAGTACGTACCTTAACTCTTTCTGGAGAGATGCTCCACAGCCTGGAGAAAGTGGGAACCCCGTTGTGGGCTCAGACTCGCGGAACCAATGATATCTCAGAGAAATAATACATGGTGGATTAGCGTGGACTGTACATTGACATTACTAACACAACAAAGTCTCAAAGCTCTCAGAGCTCTTCTTTCTTGCTCCCTACAATGACCCTGATGACCTCACCAACTTCAGTCTAGAGGGCGAACTCACTTTGGACATCTAAGTTGAAGCTCCCTCATACTGGTATCTAGGCAGCCGAAAGCTCGTTGACTCCCCAGAACACGGAGGCATCAAATATTACGCCGAATTATTCGAACATCAGAGGGAGATCTACTCCGTACACGTCATGAGGGCATATCGGACAGCTCTCAGACAGGCGCGAGCCCCTGGCCTCAAGAGTAACACCACAAGGCGTGTCCCGCAACAATGCTCTCATTATTCTAACTATTCTCGGGGCTCTGTTCCGCCATCTTCCCCTCCCCCTTCCCCTCCCCCAAGCGGGAAGGCAGCCAAAGTGGCCGGCTTACTGGGTGTCTTCGCCGTATCTGCTGCTGCTGTCTACTATTACCCCACCCTCTTCCCGGCCACTGAAGCTCCGAAATCTGCGGACGTCGGGCCTCAAAAGGCGCGAATCGAGTTCGAGAAAGCGGAACTACCCACCTCGAAGGACGACGTCGGCTCTCAGCATAATCAAGTCCGCGAGAGCTGGGAACACCCCGGTGTCTATGCATGGGGATCCAACACGGGCAAGGTCATCGATCCCACTTCCAAGGAGGCATACGTCAAGCTTCCCAGGAGGATTCCCTACTTCGATGGCCAGCTTCTTCGGGACATCAAGTTGACCCAGGGCTTCGGCGCAGCCGTCACGGAGAAGGGAGATGTTGTGCAGTGGGGCCTGGGCTGCTGCAAGGACGATCCGAGCCCCGTGGAGACATTGAAGGGCAAGGACATCACCAAGATTACCGTCTCGGACGATCGTATCGTTGCCTTGTCTTCTAACGGCTCCGTCTATGCGATCCCCGCTGAACGTGTCGACCAGAATCCTGGCGCTAAGCTCGAGCCTCAGGCGCAGAAGTCGTCGTGGGTTCCATTCCTTGGATCGGCCATGAACGTCCTGGGCCCCAGCGTCAGGGACTTGACACCTGGTGGTCTCGGGCGGGGAGAGAAGGTCATCGACATCAGTAGCGGCCTGCAGCACTGCCTCCTCCTAACGTCCAAGGGCAGGGTTTTCTCCGCAGCGTCCAGCACGTCTCATTTCCCTTCCCAGGGCCAAATGGGTATCCCGGGGTTGACGTGGACCACTCGGCCCAAGGGCCCCTTCGACCAGCCCCACGAGATTTTCAACCTAAAGGACCACAACATCGTCAAAATCGCCACGGGCGACCTCCACTCGGTCGTGCTCGACGGGGATGGCAGAATCTTCACCTTCGGCGACAACACGTTCGGGCAACTCGGGTTCCACCCGGAGACCAGGGCTCACTCCATCGACGTCCCGGCACCAGTAGCTGTGTCGAGACTCTACACCAACACCGGCCTGGTTCCCAAGGTGACGTCCATCGCCGCCGGAGGACTGACCACGTTTTTCACCGTGGACGCGAGCCAGCCGGCCAGTCAGACCACAAACAAAGAGCTCGCGCCGTCGCGCCGGATGCCGGGCGTCACGGCCGACACGTGGGCGTGCGGGAACGGCCTCTACGGGTCCCTGGGGACAGGCCGGTGGACGCACGTGTCGTCCGCCCCGGCCAAGATCAAGGCGCTGTCGTCGCTGTTCGAGTTCGACGAGGCGAGCAACCAGATGGCGCCCATCCGGCTGGCCGGCATGACGGTCGGCACGACGCACGCGGCGGCGACGCTGGACAACGCTACGAGGGCGGAGACGGCGTCGGGGAAGACGGCGTCGGACACCAACTGGGGCGCCGACGTGTTGTTCTGGGGCGGGAACGAGCATTATCAGCTCGGTACGGGGAAGCGGGCGAACGTGAACACGCCGACGTACATTGCGGCGCCGGGCACCGCCGGGTCGGATGTATTTCACCGGTTTCAGCTGACGCCCAGGCAGTCCGTCCGCGTGGGGGAGCAGGGGAAGGGAAAGAAGGTGAGCCTTGAACAGAAGGTCGAGTGTGGGCGGTACGTTTCGTGCGTGTACTCTGCCGCGTGAGGAGCTCTGTACAATACGAAGTACATTGGGCAGCAGGTGCCCGATCAGTTGGGATGGATGGGAATACGAGGGGCATCAATTGGTTGGAAAGTGTACCATATACTACCTTATACCATGTATCATAGAGGGGAAGGACGTATTGGCATCGCATCGGGCCATGTTTACGGGAACAAACAGGGCTCAATACGAGGGGAAGGGGCAGGGCTATTGCTCCCTGTATTCTACCAGCACATGTCCAAACGAGCAACGAGGAGGAGGACACCAACTTGGTCGAAGTCGCAGTGGTTCTCTGTTTAGTTCACTGCTTATTCTATTATTATGGACATCTACCTAAGCATTCGAAATTGGAAGAGTCCCTAGGGCTGGTTGGTTTTGGTTAGAAGAACACTAGGCCACCTGACCACCCCCGGAGTTGCAGAACAGGTAATGAGTGCAGTGACCGATTCACGATGCATGGAGCCCCTGATTTTGGGAATTTATTGCCGGCCTGGTGATCGGAACGACTTGATACCTGAGTGGCAAGGAGTTTGTCGGGATGAGTCCGATGCAGACGATTTATGTAGTGCCCTGCACCATGCAAGGCACCAGCGAGGCTATTATTGGAGACCACGAACGGAGACGTGCGTATTTATTGAACTACCTACATACTTCGTACTTGGGTATTCAGTATGTAGCCTATGTAACCATGCGGATAGCCTGCAGGAACGGGAGGGGGATTTTGACGCGGGCCACGACATATGGTGCGAGCCGACTGGGTGTCGTACGAGCTATATGGTTTGATGCAGGGCGGGCCGGGCATGCTATTGTACGAAGTCGAAGATGGACCCGCGGCCGTCCAGTTCGTTGGGACGGGAGCAACCGCTGGAGAGATGGAAACAAAAAAAACAAAAAAAAGAAAAGAAAACCCACTCCATGCTAAAATAGTTGTTCAGATGTTCAGACAATGCTGTATTGTAGCGTAGGACGTTAAAAATTAAGATTCTTTACCGCCAAGCCGCTGGTGATATGATTCCATCGTCTTCTCCCTCACGTAGACAAATCTGCCAGTCAGGTTTGTTGCGCAACACTGAAACAAAACAACTTGTTTCCCTTTCCCTTCCTTATGCTTGCGCCCAGTTTATCTGTTCCCCTCCCACTCACTCTTCGGTGTCCAGTGACATCTCTCGTCACACGTCTCCATCATATCATCCACTTCGTACTTGACGCCCGCCCGCCCATATCCATATCCATATCCATATCCATATCTATTCCCTTCCCTTCCCTTCCCTTCCTTGACTCTTCTCCTCCAACCGTATTGCGAGGTGCATGTGACTCACAACACTTTTGATGCCACAACCTCCACTTCCCTGCCCTTCCAGATGATCAGAAGAAATGCGAACAACTGTCTCACTAGGGAGGAGCCCACGGGTGTCAGATGTAGACCTAGGGGTGGGTGGGTGGGTAGTGGGAGACATGGTGGCCACGAGTGGTGGAAGAGAGTTGTCGGTCCTATTGTTACTCCATAGTAATAAGGTAGCTATCTTATAAGACCGCTACCCTTGGTTGAATCACTTTGAACCCGTTTCCATTCTTCCAGTTCTTTCCTCAATTTCTCATCCAAACTGCCCCAGGCAACAAACACATGCGTCCTATTTACGGAGTACGTGACTTCGTATTTGAGTATTAATACCTTAACTTGGCATATTCCGGTTTCATGCGTCCATACCTTCATCCCGCCGTTGCACGAAGTAATTACGAATACTCCGTACCGAGTATTATCAACGCCCCCGCTTCGCACGTGCCCGTCTGACGAAATAAACCTGCTGGACAAAAGAAGAAGGAAGATAAGAAAACTACAAAGTACGAAGCAATACCTGAAACTCGCCATTTTCTCGACGAAACCCACAAGTTAGCCTAAGGTACCGTACTTGCTGTAAACTACTAACACTTCAGGTAGTACTCGAAAGTATTCCATACTCGGTCCCGAGTTCATACTCCGCACTCCTCCCTACATCGGCGGCATCTTTCACGAACGTACCTACCTACGTATGTAAACAGAAAAGCCGAACGTCAGGGAATGCGGACATCAATCCCGCTCTCACCTGTGCAACTCTCCCTTGAAAAGCCCCGCCTAATCACCCACTAACGCGAGTACCACGCGACAACCCTGGCCGGGACATCATCCTGCACAACAAGCGACGTCCAACGAGAGCGACCAGGGTAAGGGGGTAAGAGAAAGAAGGAACAAAGGAACAAAGGAACAAGGAAAAAAAAAGAGAAGAAAAAAAAGACGTAAACCGCCGAACGACTCCTTTCCTCAAAAGCTGCCACGACGACCTCCGCCAGATCCCGCACTTCCTCCCTTTTCTCTTATTCCCTTCATTCCCTTTTCGACGTTCTCCAAGGCGATTTCCGCGCGATTATTTTAGCCCCCGACAACTCTAGTCCAACTCCTCGCGCAGCCTATTAGGTATCGGCCTCTTCCGTTCCGCCTCTACGTAATCACCACAGTCGTTGCCACGTTCCCATCCAACTTACTTCATCGCACCACCGCAATACCAGAGACACAAACGTACCCATGGAAATACCAAAGTTTCGGCGCAAGCCAAAACAACCCACCATCGTGACCGACACGAGAGCTCTCACCCCTCGCGAGTCGCCCGACTCATCCCCGTCGACCATGGCCAGTCCCGGCGCGAAGTCCTTCGGCCAGTTGCACCCCCTTCGCAAAGGGCCCTTCCGCAACTTTCACCTGCGCAGCGCCACGAAGCGCGCCCGCTCCCCTGCTGCTCCTCCTTCGCCTCTGCCTTCGTCTTCTCCTCTGTCGACCCGCACTTCGATTCAAGAAGGTGCCGCCATCTTTGCATCGAGCCCTCCTTCCCCCGTATCAGTGCGCCACCGAGATGGCCAAGCAGTCGATAGCCGGAACTCCAGGGATGCTAGGAAGAAGCCCAAGATGCCCTTCTTCTTGGATCAACCTCTGGATGGTATGTTCTCCCTCCACCTCGCTCTTGGTCCAACGTTGAGCTCACGGCTGACTGTTTTTTTTTTTTTAACCTTGCTTAGCCATCGAGGAAAAGTTCATCTTTCTCCCCTTCGCCATCCCACCGCCCGTTCAGCCCGATTCCGACCTTAATTCCACCTCCCCGTACAACTTCTACCGCCAGACCGACATGCGCCGCGGCGTCATGGACCGTTACACAAACATCAAACCCTACAACCACAACCGCGTTCGCCTGCGGGTCCCCGACTCCACCCTGGACTACGTCAATGCCTCCCCCGTCACTTTGCCCGCGATGAACGAAAACCTGCCTCCGCTGCGCTATATCGCCATGCAAGGACCCACCAGGCTTTCCATCGACTTTGTGTGGCGCATGCTTGCCGAACAGACCCGAAGCGAGAACCCCGTAGTTATTGTCCAGCTCACCACCATGATTGAGGGACAGCACGAAAAGTGCTTCCCCTATCTCCCCATGTCTCCCGAAGAAGGTCCCTGGGTCCTCAACCGCAACGATGGCTGGGAGGACGGATGGAGGGCCGAGCTGCGCTGCGAATCTGTACAAGAACTGGAAGGAGGAGCCATTGAGCTGCGGAAATTGGTTCTCCGAGTTGACCCTCCCGAAAGCCGGGAGAACTCGGAGACGGATGAAGATGACGAACACGACGAAGACGAGGAGGACGGAGGCGCCAGTCTCGAGGATGGAGAAGACGAGGAACGCGTGAAGCCCGAGGAATGGACCATCTGGCACTTCTACTACACCAGGTGGCCCGACTTCGGCGCGCCAGCGCTCGAGGACGTCGAAAGCTTTCTCGCCCTGATGCGCCTGTCGCGGGACTACAACACGGGCAAGGCGCCCCAGCCCGATGGTGCCACGTCCGAGCGCAACGGAAACGACGTGCCCCGCTCGAGAGCAACCGAGTCTACCGGCCAAGAAAAGAAGAAGGAGAAGGACGACCAGGAGGAAGCGAACCCGCGCATCATCCACTGCAGCGCCGGAGTGGGTCGGACCGGGACATTCATCACTCTCGAGCACCTCAAGCGCGAGCTCGACGCCGGCACACTGGAGAACTACGACGGGTCCCTCAACGTCACATTGAGCAGCGGAGGAGGAGACGACTCGGACGACGACGCCTTCCCCGACCCCATCGTACAGACCGTCGAGAAGCTCCGCGAGCAGCGGCTGCTCATGGTGCAGTCGCCGGACCAGTTCCTTTTCCTCTACCAGACGCTGCGCCAGATGTGGCTGCACCGCTACGGCCCGCTTGTGGACGACCCGGCCGAGGGATTCGAGGAGCGGGCCCCTAAGAGGTTGGAGGTCGGAGATCCTTACGTCGATTGACGCCATGACCCGGCCCGTGAGGAGCGGCGACCGGGACTTGAGCTGACGAGGGAGGATCTGTCCCGCTTCACTCGCCGAGGGTTATCCGCATGAGAAAGAAAAGGGAAGGTGCGGGGGCCATGGTCATCGAGATTTAGATGAGGTTTGAAAGCGAACGGCGATGAAAAATCCCGTTCTTCTCTGCCTGCCTTGCTCTTAACGCGGTAGAATCATCAACGCGATATCATGGGGTCGATGATTATGTACGACTATGGCAACCTCCAGCTTACTCTTCCATTGTTTTACATCACATACAGGCAGGCGTTCGACGGGAGGAAAAAGGCCAAACGGCGCGAACCGAGGGGTTGACGCTTGCTTGGCTTGGGTTCAGCTGGGGACTTTTCGCATGGTTTTTGCTGAGGCGCTTTGCTTCCTGTTCTGTATTTCTTTTCTTTTTACGGAAAAAAAAAAGGCATTTAGATTCGGGTTTCAGCATGTGAGCGCGATGCGGCGCGGCTTTGGAGCCAGCCGAGGGTGACAGGAGCAAAAAAGCCTCGATGGCATTCTTTTCCTCGGCCGATCTCTTTCCCCTTCTCAGGGGTGAACGTCGAGGGGACAGCGGTCAGTCGATGAACGGGCGTGGGATTGTACCGTCCCGGTCCGTTCCGTTCGTGGCTCGCGTCTTACTACCCGAGGGGGAAAGAGGCTTCGGGAGATGCCGACCAGCGAGGCACAGCAGGCCGGCTCTGCATGTGCCGCTTCCATTTCCCTAGGCAGGTTTCGGTGAAGGGGGGGAACGGGCGCAACTGATCATGGGGGTTTTTTTTTGTATATATTTGTTTATTAATCAGGGGGAGAATCAACGCTGGGCGGGTCTCCTCCATATGGTACCGAAGTCGATACGCGATACTGAGTAGAAATACAGGGCAGCCGGTTATTAGCGAACCAAACCACATGTTGTCTCGCTCATCCCCCTTGTGTGTCGCCGAAAAGAGCCGTGTGGCTCGGTTGTGGAATGCGTCATGCCAAAAAGGGCAATTTACAATTTCCTTACCTTACATAGGTAGGGAGGTTGGTTGACGAGTTGTTGACAGCGGGAAAAGGGCCATAAGATGAGGTAAATTGCTTCATTCCCACGGGGCCAGTTCGATCGGCTAGGGTCCCTCGAGTTTACTTCTTCTTTTTAAAAGATCTCAGGATTACGGAGTAGAGACTCCTTTGACAGCCCATTTGTCTCACCTCAACCGGAGCGTGGGTTTATCACGACCAACCGTCGGGTAATGCACCCACTCACTTCCTGATCTATTCATACAAAACACAAACTCCCACAGCCATAATCACATATTATGAGAGCTCTGTCATGTCAGAGCCTAATATTGCTAATGTATTCGTAGTCTCGGCAAAAGGCCAATGGGTCCTTGATGATATGAATCGGCCCGCAACCCGACTACCGATGGCACACGCATTGAGCGCATTGAGACGAGAGGTTGACGGCTAAAATGACATGGCAAAGCGGGCATTCCCCTCCTCCGTCCCGCCCGCCTCCGCCACAATTGCAAAGGAGCGAACCGCCCGCTCTCTCGGTTGTCTGGGCATTCGCGTCCGATCGTCCTAACCCCTGACTAGGACGTTCGTTCCTATGTACGTCGTATGCACGTGGAAACCGCTCGAAGAGTGGGAGGAAGGGAGCCACTTGAAGCCACGGAGTACGTACAAACCCACGTATGTACCGTAGGCATCGTGATCCGGGAAGAGACTCCGCTCCGCTCCCGCGGGGTTTTCCGGTCTCTGCAAGGCTGTCAACACGTTTGGTAGTGGGGTAATTATGTACTCTGGTCTGTACGTTGTACGTTGTACGAAGGATTATCGGTATGATCGTAGGGGGTTTTGAATTCTTCAGATGAAACGTGCAGCAGGATGTTAAGCGAGATGCAGGTGCCGGGGATGCAGACCAACGATAAACAGCCCTACCTAATTCTTTCGACCCCTGGGTTGAAGTACCTATATTCGTTCGTACGGTATATGCAGCGGTGTCGGCCAAGAAGAGACCATTTGCGATGGATTTGATGGTGACGGAACATGGGATAACATACATATGCATGTGATTCAGCGGGAAAACTGCGGCCGAAGTTGCTCGAATAGGCGGCCGGAAGTAGAGTTGACGTGGATAAGCCCCTATCACAGATCATCAATTCGTCAGAGCCCACACCGAGACCGGAGAGGGGAGGGGAAAAGGATATGGCTCGTCGGACCGTTGGGAATGACAACATGTGATTTACACCGAGTCTGCGGAACAGGAACAGAACAAGTCTTCATGCAGCTGTTGGATGGACGGGGAACTGGAGAAGGTGGAGGTAAAACCAGTTATCGGTAGTTCTTCGTCCAGCTAACACCTTACGTACATACAGTTACATGCACATACTTTACCTACCTCGGGGTTTGCTGCGAGTTTTAACTTACCTAACTATCCATACCTGCCTACCTTAGCTTACATGGCCTGTCCATGACAAAGGAATTGTTCCTTGACGAATGTAGGAATCTCAACACCAGGTTCTGCTTGGACGTTGACCAGGAGGATCCGGTCGCGTAACTTACTCCCGGAATATCCCGCTCCACTTTGGGGAAGCGCCTAATACCTACAGATGAGAAGAAGGATTGCGAGTTGAAAGGAGTTATGGTCTCCGGAGTCGAAGGGCTTCTTGGTGGAATCTCCGGCTGCACCGCCTCGCTAATAAGAAGCGAGTCGAAATGAGAATGCAAGCACGGAGCACACTGCCCGTGCCCGACGATTGAATGATCCGGTGAGTTCTCGGTCAAACGATACAGAAAAGCGCCGAGGCGGACGAGAAGAGACCAACATGGGACCGAGGAAGCACCAAGGTCGCAGCAGGATTAGATTTGGGAGACGGCCTAAGGGGAAAAAAAGAACAGCCCGGACAAGAAAAAAGATCGTGACCACGTGTGCTAGCCTCGTGGTGAAGAAGTGAGAGGAACATTGGGGTTGCTTCAAAGATAAGGGTGTACCCTGGTTGGAAAAGAAGCCAATTTCTGGGAGCAGAAGACCGCATGTGGGGGGGAAAAAGAAGGCAAATCTGTAGGGTTGCTAGGATATATCCATGAAGAGCAGAATCCTAATAGGTAGTTCCGACCGGGCCTCTCCATGCTGCCGCACGGGCGGGAGGTCAAAAGATACCGTTTCAGCGGTGAGGCACATGAAAGGCGCCAAATCCCTGATGCCACGAGATGACGGCCGAAATAGGTCGAATAGGAAGGACATGACAAGTTGGGAAAAGCCGTCCCGCCCGCTAGCTTTCACCGGCGCGTCGATCAATCCGAGAGCCTCTCGCGATGTGTATCTAGAACAGGTGACCGGACTGTAGATCGAAGGGTCCCGGCTGTCGAGGTAGATTACGGTGTAGGGGTCGGAAAGAGAGGGCTTCGAGACCGGCACTTATCGGGGTCTCGACAAAGTTTCATTATTTTCATGTTGAGGTATAAGAAAGATATCTCGTTTTTTCTGCAGAGAACCACAGAACTCCTGGACAAAGTACAAACAAGGTATTGACGATTGTTCTCACTTTCGTGCTTCCGAATGTACGTACGTCATGTAGCTAGTATCCATGTCGTACATACAACGTACAACATACAACGTACGCAATGAAGTAATTATATCCATCACCTCTGTGTGTGCTGGGAACGCAGTGGGAAGTGAAATGTATGTTGTAACATGTCGCACAGGGGCGACGGGAAGGAGGTGTTCGGAATCTAAATTTGGGATCCAAATTTGGACTCTCGCCGAGATGATGTGGGCGCTGCTCATCTGCTCCATTAAAAGTAGCGTAGAAAAGTTCTCGAATGTCCTGTGCAAGGAGGCGTGTCGTATTATGCATCCATAGGTACTCGGTACGGAGACAGAACCAACGATGATTTGACAGTCTACGGACACCTGTACCTTAGGTAACGAGTCAGTCAAACGGCCGTAGGTAGTTACACCTAACCACCACCTATTATTACTTCGTATATACAGCTACCGATACATCACCAACTAAACCGTGTTCTATTCTTATCATTGAGTGTCATTATCGCCATGTATACTATTAATGCTATACTAATCAATTTTTTTCTTTATGCTCACATGTACCGTACACAGCAGTGGATTGTGGTTCGTGCTGCCATGAACGTATATAGATGGCATTGACCACCACATGAAATGAGATGACGACACTCTAATCTGGAATTGGATTGAGCCCAATCACCGGTGCTGTTATCTCCATCTTTCACGCCAGCCCCATCTCTCATTCGAGGCTGAGCGGGAGATAACGTTAAACCTACAGGACTCGACATATGTACATATCTACCGTTGCCCGTCGGAACAGGAATCAGACATCAAGTCATTTCCTTTACACGCACAGAACATGTCCTGCAACCGAGTAATTACCCACGGATACGTGTAATGGAATTGGCCTGTCAATATCCACAGACATCGTGGCTGTTCACGTGCTTCGTACATACGTTGTATGTATTCGTTGATTTGGGAGCGCTGATCTTAAGATACACGTACGCCCAGAAGAACAGCAGCTGATGGAGTGATGGTCAGGTAAGGCCCCCTGTTCGTCATAAGCCCCTGATTGCTGGGACACGCACGTGTCTGACAAGCCCGTGCCAGAAGGAATCAAGAAGGGAAATGATGGTGGCTTGGCTTATTAACGGCTAAAAAGGTTATTGTCAGGATATCCACGTGTGAAGGGCGTGAAGGCGTTGCGAATGGCGGGTTGTCTGTGCCCCTTCCAGCACCCCTGTTCTGTTAGAGAAGGCCGGTAGGCCAGGGGCCATCGATCAACATGCCGTGCCTATGTAATGACGGGGGTGGGTCCACCTATATTCGTAACGTGCTCTCCTCTCCCAGACAGCCTATTAGGGTCGATTATGCCGACTTGGGCCAAGCTAGACGGGACACTCGGAACCAGTGAGAGGCAAGGGGATTCCAATCACAATCCGAATCCCAAACTCGTCCCAGACTCGTGGGTTCTCCGCGCTGTTTCCCGCGCTGCTTTGTATGTGCGCCTCTTGTCCATCGTCTTCTCTCTACCTTATATACGCGTCATTTCAGTCTCTTGTTCTTGTGTATGGCACTGATGTTCTATATGCCGCGGTTGATGTGTAATTATGCCGGGAACGACTCGGCAAGATTGGGGCTTCTACTCAGTACGGGTACACTTAGCTCGGCTTAAATCAAAGGTAAGGAATTTGATGAATAATACTCCGCACGCTAATTACGAAGCCTACGTACCTTAGGCGCCTTAGAGAGACGCTAAACCATGGCAGGCCTACTTAGTTACAACCAAGCGTCCCCTCTAGCGAACTAAAAGCGATTCCAACGTTCAACGTTGGCTGCGGAATGGGACCAAAGGCATTTCATAGTGCCGGGGCTTGCCGGGTGCGGGACTGATATCGGCCAACTCCCCTTCCTGGCTCTCGATCAAGCCTTCCCCCGGTCCACGATGAAGCAGTGGCCTGACTTGACCTGCATGGGGGATCTGAGCCGAAGAGCGGGTTGCTGACAAGGTGCATTCATTCTACCTTGCAGTGATGGTGATTTTACTTCGTCAGGTACGTTGTATGTACGAAGTACGTTGTACGAATACACATGGCAGGTAGAGCAACGGGCTCGTACTCGGTACTGAGTAGCGACCGTTGAATAAGGGCACTTGGTCTGTCTTCGGTACCCCCCACCGTGAAACCCCCTAGATGCACGAAAATATTCGTCATTGCTTGAACATACCCTGGCACTTGTCCTCGTCCTCAGAGAATTATTTGGTACGGAGTTCGGAGAGGCGGATAAGATACCCTGCCATCTCGGAGGTAAGGGTACATTGTAGGTACGGAATAGTGCGACTTTACCTAAATGGCTCTGACATGGCATGGCGGTACGACGCACGAAGTACTACGGATACAACGTCTTGTCTTTTCGAGTCTAGACTCCAGGCCTTTTTTCTTTATTTTAGCTCCGTAGCTTCCAAGGCCCTTCCAAGGTTGCACGCCGTCATGGGTGTCGAACGCTGGCTCCACTTTCGCTGACTGCTGCATTTGGCAGTTTGGATAAGTGGCAGTCGCACCCCACGAGGAATTGCCGGAGATGGAATTGGGGGGATCGGGGATTGGAAGGAGAAGGGGGGGAGGGGTGGGAAATAGAAGGAGGGCAGCTTTCGTCTCGTACCAACAAACCTTCCCATCCGAAGGGACACCCATGAAACCAACAACAAAAAGCCGCGAACAACCATCGGCACACGAACCGAAGTGCATGAATTCGTCGTCTTGGTGTCCTCTTTTTGAACACCTCCGCCTTTTTTCCCTCTTCTTTCTTCTTTTCTATTAACAAACAGCAAGCGCTTCCAGATAATACCCTTCTCTCTTTTTTTCTTCCCTTTCCCCTTTTTAACTTGTTGATCCATCTACCTGCTCTTCGTACTTTCCTTTATCAAAGTTCACCTCCATCATCCACCACAAATTAAGCCCACCGCGTTCTTTTTTCTTTTCTTCACCCTACCCATTCGTCCACTCGCGACCTACCTACCTTATATTCACCTCAGTTGCGGTTTGTTTTGCCAGACTATCCCTTGGCAAACCAAACCCCCTCGCTCTCCATCAAATGATAAGTGAGGCAAATACGAAAATATCACCAGGCGCGCATCCGAGTCCAAAGAACCCCTTGCGACCTTTGGCGGATTCTTCATACGTCATGACAGCGATAGTAAGTTAAAACCATTGATCTTTCCAGGAGTTCCTATTTTGGGGTCATAACTTGTTTTCTTCTTTTCCTTCCCTCCGAACCACATCCCTTGCTTCCCGAATCTGCTTCTTGTTGTCTTGCATTTCTTATCTTCTGCGCAAGTGCGTCCCCCTCCCTCCTTCCCCCAAAATCCCGGATTACTACCTTGATCTTCCGTCAGCATTCCATCGCCTGTCTCCTCAAACAATAACGCAAAACACTGTCATTGGGCTTCTGGAAGTGCGACTTCTCACCGCCTCACACCGCTTTCCCTGCCATGTGCCCAATGTCTTCAATATCCCATGGAGAAGTCCTATCTCTGCATGTCAAAATCAGGATCGACACCAGCTGCTCCCCTGTCGCTTTATGCGAACTTGCCTACCTTACCCTCCTTCTGATGTACTTCCAACAACACTTCTGTTCTTGTATTTACCCGCTCGTTCCATGGTACGGTACCATGGTTCATGAAGGGAGCATTCTTGTCGCATAATCTCTCTCGGACATGCCCTATCAGCAACGTCGGTCACAGACATTCAGCTATTTTGGTTGTCCGTCCATGGCTGCCCATGAGTTCTATGCTACAACACCTGGCACTGTGGTACAGACATGGGTCGATGAATGACCTTGCTTTACTTGCACCCTCCATCATTTCTCCCTTGGCCGGTGATGTCCAACAATTCCATCACCCCCTAGCCGGAATTTCCGTGTCCCGTCCCGTCATGCCGTCAGAGCCTTTGATGGCCCGAGGGGAGTGTGTTCGAGGGAGCCAGGCCAAGAAAAAGCAAAGAATGGCCTCTCTTTAATCACCCGAATTCATTGCATTCAAGTTCTGACCATAGTCCTTTGAGACATGTTATCCTTACCTTCCCTGATTTCCCCCTTTTTTTCATCTTCCCTTTTATATCATCCATGCTTTTTGGTGTTCCTCATGCTTTTACTCTAGTTTATCGTTAGCCATGAGGCTTCCGGTGCTCGAGGGTACATGGGCGCCCTTCTCTCATGCTTCTAACTTCGATGACCCAGTTCGCCGGGATTCTCATCCATTGCCATCGGCCATGCTAACTCCGTTCCTTCAGATATGTCTCGCTCACTATTGCGACATTCACGGCCCGACTCCACTGATGGTCACCGAGGGCCTACCTCAACCCTGCTCTATATGTTTCGATGACGCCGATGTTGCCGATGTTGCCGATGTTAAAGATCGCCGCACGGTTGGAATAACCGATACGCTCGGCAGTCTGAAGCTCAATGGCCTTCGTTCTGCATCGGACAAAGAAGCCCACATATCAGTACAGACATCCGTCCCCAATGCATCTGACCGCTCCCCAGCAACTCCCATCGACACCCCACCAGATAGTCCCAACCACACGGCCGATCAATCCCAATCCCGCCGCAACTCGAGCAACTTCCGAAGGACCTATGACGATCTCGTCACCAAACGCGCAAGCCCTTGTGAGAACTGCGCCATGACCATCCCACAGGACATCAGTGCAAACGAGGACCGCGGGCCTACTCTGCGCACTCGTTTCCCCTGGGCTCAGGTATATAATTCTGGCGAAGAAGGCACGTCGCCTCCGCCCTCCCAGGCCTCCTCCGCGAGCGATACCGATGGCGAAGGTCAACCCAGCCACCCCCCTCGAAGAACCCCCTGCTCAAGCACGACTCGATCGAGCATATCATCGACGACTCGCAGTCTCCGGGGCCATACGCATTACATGAATTACACGTCGACCCACGAGCCCCTAGTCCCGAATTCTTTCTCCGTCGTACGCGCCTCTTGTCTCCGAGCCCTCTCCTTCGAAACCCTGCCCCGGACCCCGCATACCGGTTCCGGTGGAGCCAGCAACGTCATCCATCCCCAGGCTCCTCCGAATGCGACGTCCCAACCCTTTGTTACCACTCATAGCGCCGGCGCTGCAGCTTCAGGGGGCCCCATCTTTTTTGGTGACCCTCAGACTGGCTACACTATTGCCTACATCTTCCGCATTCCTGACGTCCATGCCCGTGGCCACAAACGCGTGTATGCCTTCCTGGCATTGAGTACGCACAAGGAGCGGTTGTTCATGAAGCTCTTCGGTTTCATCGCAACCGCCTTTCGTGAAATGGCGTCCTGGATTCAGAAGCTTGCGGAGGCCGAGGCCGAGAAGGCTGCCGAGGCTAGCCCCGTCACGGCTGGAGGTGGATATTTTGGCGGACCTACACAATCTTCGCAACGTCAATCGCAAGACCGCGAGAAGAATCGCGCAGAAGGAGGTTATGGTGGCCGTGACCACGGCAGCGGCAGCAGCTTCCTCACGGGCGGGAGCGCCCTCACTCGTCGCATGGGCACCGGCGGTGGCCCGCTGTCTCTCAAGTCCAGAGGCTTGGCCGAACTCGTCGGCCTACCAGACTTCTTCGTCCAACTGCACGAGAAGTTCGTCTGGCTGCTGATGGAGCTCAGTGTTCGGCTGGACGCCTGATCCCCAAGACTCTCGTCGCCCAAAGATGGGCCGGAGTTTGTACTGTATATGTTTTTTCCAAGCATCAAACAGCTCGCGTGACACGGCCGTCGACGCCGAGCTCCTTATGGCCTCGCCCCTTTCTGCTGGCTGAACAGCGGTCCGCTCTTCAGTCCTTGGCGACACATATGTCCGGGCATCTGTCGACACGGTCTCGGCCCCATGAGAGCGGCCACGGCCCAAAAGGGGAACCGGGTAATACTAATTCGTAATACGTTTACCTTTATCTCCACTGCGCGCCGGCTCAGGATAGAGAGAAGTCGACTGTTTGTTGCATGGTCGACTGCGTGAAGAAGGGGGAAGGACGAGGGTGACACGAAACACGAAACACAAGAATGTAGAGACGCGAACCTGGAGTTTGCGGTGGAGGATATACCCGCGGAGGACCGTTATTTCTGAAAGATGAGCGCACCGTCGGTTCTTTTGTGGAACGGGATGGAACGCGCAATGGGAGTTCAAACGGTTGCATCAGCGAGGTCGGCGTTGGCTTTCTTTTCTTTACTTGCTTCTTCTCAAGCCTTATTTATGCACTGGTCATTTTCATGACTTGACGCCTGTTACATTTCCTAGCCCGAACCGGTCGGGAGCAAGGCAACATGGATGGACGACATGGCAGAAGGAAACAAAAAGGGAGGGGACAAAAGATAGATAGAATGGCCTCGGCGTTGTGGTTGACCCTGGCATGGGTCAGGCCTGGCAAGGCTGGTCTTGGACTTTTGCTTCTTTTCTTAGGACAGCAGCTTATAGACACAATGCACACGCAATGAATCATGCATCTCCCTGATACCAAAATCTTGATTTCAAGTTTCACCACATAGCAAGGCATTTCTGCTATGTTCTTCTGGTGTCGTGTGCAACTTGAAGCTGGACTTGGATCCAAATATCTCGAGTGACCAAGTAATGTGGTATTGTACAATAACATCGAAGTTCACGCCTTGAGGCCTGATCCCCGCGTTCTATGGAATCAACCACCCACGTATGCCCCATTCAGTCTCCCTACTACCGCAAGCCGGGCCCTGCCTTCCAAATGGGCAAAGTATCTGATTACACCCCCGGCTTCTCGACCGTCAACACCAAAAGAACGCGCCCTTGGACCTGTCTAACCACTCCTTCCGCGCAAGACGTCGAGAAAACACGCAAACCGCGAACGAATGCCCCGGCCGACGGCCCCACCCTTTTTAATTTACTTGTAGAAATCAAATTTGTTCTCATCCGAGGTACCCTTGACCTGGCTCGAGTAGGCATCCTCGAGGTCGCTCTGGATGATTTGGTATCGGTTCTTGCGGACGGCGCGCAAGCCGGCCTCCTGCATGATGGCGGCGATAACGGCGCCGCTGAGGGGGTCATTGCGGACGATGAGGGAGTCGAGGTCGACCTCGGGGGCGAGGCTCATCTTGGAGGCGATGGTGGAGAAGATGAGGCGGCGCTCGCGGCGGTCGCGGAGGGAGGGGAACTCGATCTTGCGGTCCAGACGGCCGGGGCGGAGCAGGGCCGGGTCGAGGGTGTCGGCGCGGTTGGTGGCCATGATGACCTTGACGTTGGAGGTTTGGTCGAAGCCGTCCATCTGGTTGAGGAGCTCGAGGAGGATACGCTGGACTTCGCGGTCGGCGCCGGTCTGGGCGTCGAAGCGCTTGGTGGCGATGGCGTCGATTTCGTCGATGAAGATGATGGCGGGGGAGTTCTCGCGGGCCATGCGGAAGACGTCGCGAACCATGCGGGGGCCCTCGCCGAGGTATTTCTGGACGAACTCGGAGCCGACGACGCGGATGAAGTTTGCTGTGGTCGAGTTGGCGACGGCCTTGACGAGCATGGTCTTGCCTGTTCCTGGGGGACCGTAGAGCTAAAAAAAAAAAAAGTTCCTTGTGAGCAAGAGAACGAGAGAAGCCAGATATGCTAGGATTGGGACGATGGAGGGTTTCGGACATACCAGCACGCCACGGGGTGGGTCGATGCCGATCTGCTTGTAGAGGTCGAAGTGTGTGAGCGGCAGCTCGACGGCTTCACGAATCTCCTGCTTTTGCATGTCGAGTCCACCAACGTCGGCGTAGGTCACGTCGGGCTTCTCATCAGCGCCTAGCATAGCAATGGACGAGTCCGCTTCCGGGGGGAGAATGTCGACGAGCGCATTGGAGTGACGGTGAAGAGCGACGGAGGAAGAAGGCTTGAGAAGTTCGCGGTCTAGTGTCGACAAAATACGGACGACGTAGTTGCTGCCTGTAGAGGATTGAACGATGCCGGTACTAGAGTGATAAAAAAAGAAAATGTGGTTAAACGCGATTCTGAGCTTGGAGCGTAGCCCGAGGGGAGACAATAGCAGTGCTCACTTTTGATCGATTGCTTCCATGAATTGGCCGATGACGAGCGGTACACTCTGGATACGTTTGATTTCCTCTTGAGCTCGCACGAGTTCTCTTTTGAGACTCCTGTTCCAACCTAGTCAGAGACTGCGCGTAGTGCCGGCTTGCCTGTTCGGTTCGAGAAGCGTACCTCTGCTCATCCTTGATATACTCCTCCTGCAGATGAATATACTCCAGTTGTCTCTGAAGCTTCTTTAGCGTCGCATAGTCGTCACCACCCTCTGTCGAAATACCCTCGAAGTTCTCGATGTTGGGAATTGTTGATGTCGCAACCCGCTTATGAGGAGGGACTTGATTTGCCGGGCTATCAACAAGGATGTCGCCCATTTTGTCGATCAATCTCTTTGGTCACCGGAAAGCTTAAGTGAGTACGTCGAGGTTAATGTTCAGGTCGATATGGTAACGCGTGTGTCTCGTCGTGGGAGGTGGGTAGGAGAGTGTTGTTGATGGCAAATATGACGAGGTTCGTGAGCTTGCTGTTCTTAGCCGTTTGCTTCCAGGTTGTAGGCGTCAACTGCAAACGCAACGCCGATACCTCGCTAGCTTAGCTAATCATGAAAGTACTCCGTAGCTTCGGCACATGCAAAGTCACGTGCATTATATCGCCCCATCCTAAACGAGTGGCTCCAACGGCGGCTTAGGTATGGAGGCATCCAATGTCCCCCCGATTGGCCGATAACAGCCACAGGCGGGGCAATCCTGGGCCTAGGCTCGTCCGCCATCGGAGTCCGTTAGACACAACCACCAATTCTGAGTCTATGTCTTTAACAATTCCTCCCCCACATGTACCAACCCTTTCGTCTGAGGCCAAAGTGAGATGACTCCATGGTCTTGCCAGTACCGGTCCGGCGATCTGATGCTGCCTGCCTGCTCCAACCGCACGTAGGGCAGTGCTGGCACTGTACGACCATCTATTATCTCTCCTGTCATTCGGATCTATCCCTTCTTCGACATTTCGGTCTGACTCTTTCCAACCTTCAGGTAGCAGACGAGTTCTCGTACTTCATCCTGCTCTTGTTCGTTTCTTTCTTCCGTCGTCTCGCTCCCACCAACGTCCCAGCAAGCTCCCCCACCCTCCGCCTTTTTGGTTCCCTTATCGTATCCCCTGAAGCTCCTGCCACTGCCGCCTCTCCCATCCTCCACAAACGATGTCGTCGTCGATTGCCATTCCGGCAACTCCTGCCGCGACTACCGTCTTCCGGGGTAGCGGGAGCTCTTCCAAGTCTGCCGCCAGTTCTTCGTCTTCCTATTCGAGCTCGCTCCAGGTGGGCATCTCGCCTTCTAACCATAAACATAAGATGGGCCATGGACGCCGTCCCAGTCTTCTGAGTATGTCGCGCCTCTTCCGAAGTCTAGCGTGGGCACCGACAGACAGCTCTACACCTCCGACCTTGTTAGTCAGGAGTTGTTGCTGTTGGGCTAGAAGCTAATTCTCTGTATAGGCACGGCGCTCTCCAAGCAGGAGTGTACTGTGATCAACATCGGCGATCCGGATGGTTCGCCTCAACTGGTAAAGTCGCTCCACTCCGTGAAGTGCCGTTCCTCGAGCTTATAATGTATCGCAGATCTCCTACCTATCCTCTAGCCAGGGCTATCTTTGGAACCCAGGTGCGTGACAATTACCCCTTGCCAACTGACGACCTTGCTAACTCTCACCTTTTAGAAATCTTCCTTCCCCCGTACATCGATTGCGACTACGTCCCCCTTGAGAACCAGCGAGACCCCGTCCACGACATCGTCCTCAGCGAGGAGGAGTCTAAGAGCATGCTGCCGCAATAATTCAAAGGTGCTCCCCCGAGCACTGCCTACGCGACATGATTTTCCACGGTCGCTGGTTCTCAATGTTTATAGACTGATGTTCTCACGACTCAACACCAGCCAATTTTCTTTTTTGTCTTTCTTTCAACGCCAGCGCTTGGTTGCAGCCAACGGTCTCTTTTACACCACGAACCGAACCCAACACACACATACTGGCGTTCGCTCGATTTATACTGCCAATGAGACCATGCCGGAACTGGGGTGTATTTAATGGACTTGACGGACCTGCTTGGGAAGTTCTGGACGCATGGTGCATTTTTGCCACCTTTGCACCGCGAGGAGTTTCATTGCCCAAGGGCTAGGCTGGGACGTGCTCCCCGGAGTTCGGTTTTCCGATGTTCTCGCATCTTGCTACCTCTCACTTTGCGATTATTTTATCTTGGATGGGGCGTTTTAGGGTTTTCCAGAACATGTCATATGGTGGGTTTCATGGGAGTGGGAATAACCAACCGGATCTTCTTAATCAAAACGGAGCCCGGTGATTGTATGTAGTTTCTGAAATTTCACTGTTCAGGCTTTCGTCCCTCTTTGGGTCTTCCCCGGCGCTATCGTGGGAAGAACATCCTGCGCCTTCGGGCACCCATGAGGTCCCTGACGTGTCCAAAGAGTGTCCGTGGCACATTATCTGTCCAATAGACCCAGAGACAACCACGTGGCTCTCCTCGTACGCTGCCTAACTAATGATGTTTCCAGTCAACCCCTCTGGTTGATAAGGAGGAGTAGTGGATTTTCCACGGCTTCGTGTGGGTTTCTCACTTGACGACAGTGCAGGAGTCAGTGGAGTATCAGATCTCAATGTTTTCCTGTCTGCGCCTTCACCGATCCTTATTACGATGTGAATGGTTTAGGATTTTGGTCAGCTGGGCCATAAGTGACCTGCAAGTCGACATGTTGGGCTGTTCAAACCCACGATGTTCGCTCGTCTGATTCGACCGCGGGTGTCCCCGAATGCAGGTCCATCGTAAGCCCCGCGCCTCCGTGCTGCCACTGCTTTTGCGTCGTACGAATATCATTGGCCCTCAAACTAGTCAAAGCGCATGGCTTTCATTTGCACCCGTTGAGAGTACTACTTCCCAATCCGAGGATACGTACCTACTCTTTAGGGCGCAGTATCGCGACTGATGTGGAGCCACTTGAGCTTTGATAATTATACTGTGAATTATGTTGCACCACTGTCCCGTCTTTGAACTCTGACGTCTTCCAGTTCCGCGTCCTGACGTAGGCCTCACGTTGTCCGATCTCGGAGAGATAAGATAAGAATCGATAGACATCGGTACGTACCTAGGTACATTGGCGTGGTGGATTAGTTGGGGAAGTGGGGGTCATGGTTCTAAAGCACCTTAGTTCACCTGCCATCAATAACGGCATCAGCACGCGAAGCCCCAAGTAAACACACGACGTGACACAACGACAACGAGAACTGTTGCTCGCGAAATCCCGAATATCTCGAGTTGAATTGGCACGCCAATGAGATGAAACCATAATATTATGGAATCGGCCTCCAGGAAAATCGAGCTGCAAGCCCCAGAAGACCTCACTTACCTCCTCGAAAACGTGCGGCGCATAGCCCAGCGTCACCTCGACGATGCCCTACCCCCTATAAAAGGCACCGCGCCTGAGGAGGACGAGCTCAGGACACAGATGGAAAAATACATTAATCAAGTCTGTTCAACCCTTACTCCTTTTCTGCTTTGCCTGCCAGCAGATGCCCGACCATCATGCAATAGCTAACATCCCCCCCGGATTCACCGGCGTCGTAGTACATAAACAAAACCTTCACGCTTGTCGCACCGAACATCTCTATAAACGGTCTTGACGCCGATCCTGCTGCATTTTTAGCGTCGAATGGAGCGGCCGGCGCAGCGCCACAGGAGCCGCAAGTGGAGTACGAGCCCTGGGACGGACGACTGCGAGATCGCGTAGAGGATCTTGCGCGGCAGGAAGAGGAGCTTCTCAACGAGATCGCGGCGCTGAAGAAGTCTGTGCCCGCGTCCGTCGCGGCGGCGTACGCGCGACGGTTGAAAGAAGAGGCGGCGCGTGATGAGGAGGCATTGCGAGAGAGGAAGAAGCAGCCTGTTTCCGAAGTGGAGTTGGACGTTGGCCTGCTGGAGCGACAGGAGGCCGTTGAGGATGCACATAGCAGGGCTGTAGAGGGACTGGGGAGGGTCAAGAGGGAAATGCCTGCAACAGTTGCTCGTATGGAGAGGGCAAGAGTTGCAGGAGAGTACGTTGTCACGGAAGGGGCTTGATGATTTGCATTGTTCATTGGGCGTGAGGTTCGACCCTGGAGATCAAGGATGCTCTCGCCTGAGATTTTGCCAGCCTTTTGAAGGATGGTGACACAATTATAATGACATCACGAGCTGATGAGCATTGGCAAAGCATTAACAACTGCTTGCTCGTAAGGCGCGGCTTACACCTGCCTACTAACGGCAGAACGGAATTTTGTACGTGGGACAGGCGTGCTGTAATTACTGTTTCTAGAAGACGTTGATACTCTTCCTGTATTTTACTTCGACATTAATTCGGCCGGGGTCAGTGTCAGGTAGAGCTAGGAAGCAACCAATCCGATTTCATTGTTCTCATATAGAGCTGTTGGGCGGTTTTGCATCAGGCATGAAAGAAAATATCATCTTTTCCAGTCGTTGTCGTCGTGTTGTTCGACAACGCATGCCTCTCAGATATGTTCTAATATCTCGTTTCAAAAAGCCAAAATCCGAAATGCATTGAACTCTTGAGCTTGATGCCATCATGTCCGCAAGCTACCCCACACTAGGATGACACAGTAGCGACAACAGAGACGCCTGTGCCTGGGGTACGATCTCGGTGGGTTGATGCAAATAGTTAATAGCCGCTAAGAGGAGCCAGCAGCGTCAGCAGTCTTCTGAGTGACCGCTGGATCCTTCGCAGTGCCCTTGAGTGTTTCCAAGGCCTTCTCCTTCTCCTCAGCAGCTTCCCACCAAGCTGGCCGCTTCCATGGTTCCTCGTTCCATGGTCCAGCGTCGCTGCGTCGACAGGCATCTTTCTCGCCCCCGCATTGGCAAGTACCGCCATATTCCTTCGGCAGGTTCGAAGCATCAATCTGCTTAAGGAGCTCTTTGGAATAGTCGGAACCCAGAATATGAATCTTCTTGACGGTGACGGGATCAAGCCAGCCCTTGACCACGGACCAAACATAGGAGAAGCCCCAAGGAGCATTGATGATGTAGAGCTTGCCGAGTCGCTCGGGATAGTAATTCTGAGAGATGTTGGACGCCTGCTTGATGTACTCGTAGACTTGTGACGCACTCCGGATTCCAACGTTGTCAAGGTCCATGATGGTACAGCACGTCTCGACGACGTGTCCAAACTTCCGAGAGCAGGCAGGAAAGCGCGGATCGGCACATTTCTCATACTCGACGGCGAGGTTGCCTAGCATGCGTTCGTCGGTGGTAATTTTCCGCATCTCGGTGAGGTTGATGGCGCCAAGCTTCTCAACGTAGATAGGTCTTCCATCCTGTTGACATGCATGACAGTCAGATAAGGGTATGATATGGCTAAGGGGAGAATAATCGCGTTTACCTTGTCCGTCTTATGGTAATACTGCGGGTAGTACTGGGCCATTTTGTCCTTTTCGACATAGTCCCAGGTTGGAACCAGCGCGTCCAGCATCGCCTCTTTCCTCCACTTCTCGCACTCGATGAACCTACACCGCTTGTCAGTTTTCTAACTGCCGCGTCAGCTGGGTTGCAAAATTTACATTTGCTTCGAGGCGTTGACATCGAACTTTCGGGCTCGCAAGAACCGCAGCTGACTCTCCGTTAGTACATAGTCCATCGCGAGTAGTCAGATGATTGATCGTATGCGGGTGGCGTACCAAGGTTGGCGTGTCAAGGCGCTGGTCATACTTCTCCGCCTCTAGCATCAAGCGCAGTTGATGCACCTGGGCCTTCTGCTCCGGCGAGAGGTACCCAAGGTAACCTCTGTCGCGCTCTGCCTCATCGGGCTCTTTGATACTGTGTTTGACCTTGGGTTGTCCATCGTTCCCCTCCTCGTCAAGTCCGTAAACTCTTTTGAACACCTCATCATACGACGAATCAAGCTCGGACGCCATAGTAGTCGCCTATTGTAGTAATTCGAACGTAGCTTGAATTGAAAATTGAAACTAAAATGACCTAAAGGGCTTCGAACTGGATGTGGTGGAAATGGATTTATTCCAGCAATAGAGGGATATTGTCGATCACCAGTTCAGTCGGTGGATGAAGGAGAGGGTTGCTCAGGGATGGACAAGATTGTGAACATATATATACGTATCCGTGCAGAGTACTTGTTCGTACTTACCTTATTATACGCGTACACCCCTCATCTAGGCGGTGTTGCCCCACCAATCCTTATGTAAGAAATGGAATGCGAGGTAACGTACTATTACGTGTACTTCTCCTATCGAAAAACCACCTAATGAAGTACCTAGGTACCTATCTATTTCGCGAGTACCTTACGAAGTACATTGGATACCTAAGGTACCTAGGTAGCTAAGGTACGGTACCTTGGAGGCATTGAATACCTTAAGGCAATAACGTGAGATATCGGCTATAGCATTGAAAGAATGTGACATCATAGGTAGTTGTATGTAGCAGATAGCTAAGGTAAGTACCGTAAGTCCCAAGCCAAGAACGTACAGAGGATAATCCGTTTGGCAAATTGCCCTTCACTCTGCCGATATTGGAACCGTAGAAGCGTAAGGTACCTTACCTTAGGTACCTTAGTTGAGTTGTCTCCCTGCGTAGAAGGCTGACCCAACTCTCGGTATACAAATCAATCATATCTCAGGAGCAAATGGCTTAATCGTCAGGAGTTGGAAGCTTCTATTTCACCATAGGGTGATCTTCGTCTGGGTGTGAACTGATTTATAGTGGCTTGGTGCACTGCATGATTAAACGAAGCTACAGTGGTTCATTACCCATTCGATTCGGCGTCGGCCTTGTCTTTACTGGCGCCATCCTCGGCCTCCTTTTCCTTGCGCTTTTGCACAACTTCCCAATTATACACTCTCGCAACTGCAACTTCCATGGTCTAGATAGATGGTGTTAGTGGTGTAATTAGCGCGCTTGTAAGGTAAACGAACCGTAATCTGTTCCCGTAAAAAGTCCAGGTCTTCATCACAGTTAGACAAGCTCTGTTTCGCCGTGGACAGTTTCGATTCCAGTAATGTCTCGGCCTCGTCGATCGGATACGAGAGCATCACGTTCGCCTATTCCATATATCAGTCGCTGTCCAACTTCATGTTCTAAGAGAACGTCAACTTCGTGGACTCACGCCAAGCCAAATGTAAACCTCGTTTGTGGGCGGGATCATGGCGTTCGCGTAAAGGGTATCATTCAGTTCGAAGGTTGTCTCAATTGGCTCAGTGTCATCCTGCATAGCTATAGTCAGCAAGAATAGTAAGATTGAGAGGATGTAAGCAACGAATAACGGCACCTTTCTAATTTTCAGGAAGCGCACAGAGTCTAATGTCTTCTGAATGTCGGGTATCTTGTCCTTCAGACCAGCCTTCCTCTTTTGAAGATTCAGTTCCATGAATTGATATTTTCTGCATGAAATATGTCGTTAGATACCTGATTTTCAAGATCTCCATCTTGGGCGAAAGGATATGCGCATATTGCCTATGCCCGCTAGCGCTGGGAACACCCCTGGCCAAGATGTTCGTGCCCAGAATAAGAACGGCTCACGATATCATCTCCTGGAAGTTCCGGAGTGTAGGCTCGACATCTGCGCGTGTTGTGACATAGTCCTCAACCTTATCGACAAAAGGTGCGTACGGGATACCCCGCGGGTTGGTCGGGGTAACATCTTTTCTGATAAATAGAGTCACAGGTTAATTGCCAGTGGCCAAAGTTGTTGAGGGAGCCTATACTCACTGCCCGGTCTGCTTGCCTGTTTCTGTTGTCGACATATTTCAATCAGTCCATTAGTTGATGGATAGCAACTGGACATATGGAGAGGCAGGGCGGGGGAAAAAATCAGAGTTCCAAAGTCGCCAGTGGCTGCAAGGTGCTGGGAAGGTTCAATGAGGGGCATGGGGTTCACCGAGGTGAAAATCATAAGTGGGGCTCCTAGTCGGTGTTCTCCCAAGTTCGTCGCACTGTCAAACTTTCATAGCGTACTCCGAAATTAAGACTTTGTATCCGTAAATTACTGTAAATTAGCTTCATGTTATCATCTCGATTATAACTGCTCCTGATATAAGGTAGTTAATTGTTGCGTGGTTGCCTGCAGGCACCACCTATTAACGGGTATATCTAGCCTCCACAGCTACCCGTTTGGACTGGGATATTCTTCCTTCTACATATCCACATATACACACATTTCACACACCTCTGATAAGGTAGTAATTACCTAGGTAGGTACCTGAACTTATACACCATCATACCTTACCCAGTATGGGAGCACGCATCTGTAGGTACGTATGCATCCAATATCAAAGACCATTCTCGCGTATCTCCCTGTTCTTCCAGGAATAACCTGCATTTAGTGTTTCTCCTTATTTCGCTACTTAGGTGTTGTATCTTCGTGCAATTGAATCTCTCCAGTCTGTCCTCATGAACGGTACCCCTTTTCTCTGGTCCAGTAATACATCGAGCCAAATCCGCAAAATACTCCTGGAATCTACGAGATCGCGTATGCCCTCCTCGTCCCGGCTTCAACGCCTGCCATCATCACGGCGGGCATGGGCCTCGGCACCATGGTCCAGCAAGACCGACAGAACTTCTGGATGTCGGTTTTCAAATCCCACGTCGCTCGGCACTCGGAAACCGGCGTGAGATGGTGTCTCGGCTCTTGCTGTCCGAGCCGTGAGATTGGCGCCGTTCTTAACCAATGCCTTCAGTACTGACCCATGTCCGGAATGCTTGGGTTTGAGATAGTGCAACACCTGGCAACCCTGCTTATTGAAGAGCTGGCAATTGGCTCCGAGCTCAATGAGTCCGTTAATGAATCCGGGGCGATGCTGAACTGCAGTCTTCGTCGGAGGTGTTTCCGTCAGCATACTGTGCATCCAGGGCAAGTAGTCTTTTTAACAACCCGCTTGACAGCGCATTGTATCATTTCAGTGCCCAGTATAGGGACGTTTTACCATCATTGTCGCCAATCTTCAAAATCGCGCCCTGGTTAAGCAAGAAGATTGTCTTCATTTCGGCGTCCAGCTAGGACGAAATAGCGCACGGCAGCGGTGTTCTTCCGTCGCTGGCCACTGCTTCGATATCAAGCCCGTATTTTACCAGGAGATCGACGAGTTCAATATGGCTCTGGTCGCGGGCGTAGTGTTCTGCAGTCCGTCCGTACCGATCTCGAGCACTCAAGGTATCCTTGGGAAGATTGTTCAACAATAGCTGTACGACTGAAACCGATGGACTCTGTCTGGAACAGGCGAGGTGAAGGGCAGTCCTTCCATGGCAATCCGTCGCTCTGCCGTCGACACCATGGGCAAGCAGTCCTTTCACAACGACCTCTGTGCCGCCGACTGAAACATACTTGAGAAGAGCAGTTTCTCCGAGTTCATTCCGCGCCTCCGGGTCGCAATGCTTTAGGAGTTTTTGGAGCATTTCCACCTGTGACGTAGCCGACTGAGGCCAGGAAGAATCCCAGAGGTCAGAGAGAAGTGGCAGTGTGCCATTGGTCCTCGAATCAGCGCCGTACTCGAATAGGAGCGCAACTTCAGCGGCATTGCATGCCCTATCAAGGGCTTGTCGAAGTTGTGCTTGGGTGATCTCACTGTGGCATGCTTCCAGTAGCATTTTCTTTAATTCTACTCCGCACACCGTTGCCAATGGCGTATAACCCTTTTCGTCCTTCACCAACGGCGAGTCGACTCGGTGTTGGAGCAAAACCTTCATCGTCTCCGGATTCGAAACCACGTGGAACGGTGTCTGGCCCCAGCAGGGATCTATGATCGAGAGTGGGTCTGCCGATCCGATGGACTTCTCGTGAACAAGCAAAGTCTCGGCCACTGTGGCCGTGCCTCGCTTTGCCGCAACATATAATGGGCACGGAAGTGAATCATAGCCGGGGAGAGACACCGGAGTCGTGCTAGCCCCCTTCTGGAGTAGGTGCGGGATCAAGCCACGCATGGCAGATGAATTCGCTTCCATGATCCAGTCTAACGGGCTATACATCATGAAGGTTTGGTTAGGGTTGGCGCCATTGTCCAAGAGGTCCTTCGCGAGTTCGAGATGCTCCCCCATGATGGCAGCAAGCAGAGGGGGGAGAGGTTGAGCGAGACAGTCTTCACACTCGGACTCTGGGGTGTAGAAGTCCAACCACAAGTTGTCATTCCTAACATCTTCCATTACCTGGGTCCTATGACCCATAAGTGCTTTCAGGCTAATCGTATTGAGGTTGCTAGGGGCGAGCATGATATAGAGTCGGCTATACAAGTATAGATTCAACCAGGAGAGACAGAGTCCATTTGAGAGGTCGCAAAGGCGTTCGTAGGCTGATTCGAGAGGAGGAGGGACTGGCCCTAGCACTCGGACATGCTCTGTCCAATTCAGAGATGCATAGATGGCAAAGGGGAATCCGGCATCCTCCGATTCCCGGAAACGCACAAAGACCTCGTCGAGGAGAATTCTTTTCGGTAGCCTCTCACCTTCTAGCAGCTCTGGTTGTCCACTCTCATCTAGGAGGTCGGTCAAGAGTAGCACTCGCATGCAAGCTTCCAGGATAGTAGTGTGTGCTTGGTTCAGGCTAATCGAACCCTGCCACCTCAAGCACGGCTTTGGCGACGTACTTGTCGGCATCATCGTAAAGAATTCTTTGGCGGTCTCGTGGAGAAAGTAAATCCTACGCTTTTCAATGATGATAAAGAGTCCAGACCACTGCCTAAGTATGTGCTCGAAGGCATCGTCATCGATCAGATCAATCACATCATCCTTCAGCTCCTGAAACGAGGTTGTGGATGGAGACAGATGAATGGCCACATTCATCTCTCGCACCGTCAGAGGTCGTTTCGCCGCAATGATCATCCCCATAATCGGCTTGAACGCGTCCTCGTTGGCAGCGGTGTCGATGATCATGTCGTATGCCTCATTCACGCTCTGCGGCAGTTTCGAGATGAGCTTCTCGATGTTGGACAAAGAGGGCAGGAATTCATTGCCACCTCTTCTCGGCTGCAGGGCCTCGAATATGAGTCGAACCCAAAGATAGGTAGGGTTCCTGACTTGGAGCATCTTCTCCTGAAGACGCGCCTTCGCCTTGGCTGGCCATGCACTACCAAGGGTCGAGATTTGGCTTTTCACAACGAGTGCCACTTCTTCAGATATGATCGAGGTGCTGTCGCCTAATTCCCCGAATATCCGGTAAAGGGGGCCCCCACGTGAAGCCTCAACTTCGGCGGTGATGGCGCTATAGGCTCGGGTGGTTATGGAGATTTTGAGCCGCCCACTCCTGTACCGCCGGCCGATGAATCCCGCTATGTCTTCTGGGCACTGGTCCAAAGCATCTAGCACAAGAGCCACCGGTCTAGTATCCTCGCTGAGAGTGGCTTCCTCTAACACTTTCCACAAGACGTCTGGCCTTGTGGCCATCATGTCTTGATAACGCTGGTAGGCCGAGGTCGCGTGCTTGAGCAGATTTGGCCTCGCCGTGAAGAGTTGGTGCAGGAGTGTGCAGAGAGCTTGGGCTATTTCATGCTGGTCGAAGAAAAAGTAGCACACGGTGGCGTGACCCGCATCCGGGAGAGCATGATCGATCAGGTGCTTCGAAATGACGGATTTCCCGCATCCTGGATTACCAGAGATGAGCAGCAGACCGGATGGCTCTGCCAACCACTGCTGGTAGTCACCGTTCTGAAGCAACCACCGACCCGTCCCTTCAACCAAGCCGGGGATGAGGTCTTTGATCGCCTCAGGACTTGTGCCGTAGGAGGGGAGATTTTTAGTGAGAAGTTTCAGGATTTCCTCCTCCTCCTCGGACCGGGCAATTTCTTTTGTCTGTTTCATGACCACCGCCTCGTGAATTTCCTTGAGCAAGGGGGTCTGGCTTTTCTGTATCTGGTTATTTTCCCTGGTGAGTGCGAGTGCCTCTTCGTTCACTTCGAGTGTCCGACATAGAAGGTCGGTCACTTGGGCGAGCTGCCTCGGCACATCCTTAACCTCTTCTTTGATCTCGTCCAACTTGCCGAGAGTTTCAGCCAAGCCGATCGTTTGACTGAAAGTCCTGACCTCCTCATGGCGACTCTTGATGGTGTCTAGCATGGTGTTCCACTTCTCCGGTCGTAAAATATAATCCTTGCTCCTTTCGAAGCGACTGTTATGAAAGCAGAGAGCGCTGTGAACTTGGAATTCGAGGACGGCCTTATATGTCTTGAGAATTCGCTCTCGGAGTTCTTCTTTGTTGTTGCCAGATCTCCCTAGGATTTCATGTTCGTGGGCGGTATAATACTTTGTGAGCGCCAACACTTCCTTAAAGCCTTCGTCGCGGGACTGTCTTGCGTCAACGGGGTTGGTGAGCAGGGGGAATGTCAAAGAGACGGCGGCCCAAACAAGGGTCGATTCAAGGGAGGCTTGGGAAGCCTTGCCGGCCCAACTTTGGAACCATTCAATGAACCCTGCCGCCTTTTCGGCTTTGTCTCTGAAGTCGACCTCCCAGGTGCCCACTCGGAGCTTTAATGCCTGTTTTCTCATGTTCTCTCGACCCATGTCTAGGATCTCTTTCATCTGCCCGCGGCGAGCTTCCCGTTCTTTGGAAATGCGGTTCTCTTCAGAGTCGATGGTGCCATTGTCCGGGTGTCCCGATTCCACTGGTTCCCCTGACGCTTGCATACGACGTTAGAGAGGTGGTCTCGCGGGTGATTATACATGTGTGTGTCGCCCCGTCTGCAGTCTACTCACTATCTTCGAGTGTTTTGAGCTTAGAAGACAACAGCTTCTCGAACCGCTCGACCAGAATACGTTTACCGTCTGCCTTGCGCAACTCATCATATGCGATGTCCCATAGATCATACGAAGGAGTTGGAGCAGCGACAACTGTGACATCTGGGCAGGCAGAAATTGAGGTCTCTTGTGGCGAGGGCGTATCTTGTCCACATTGGGATGGACTCGTAGGCCGAGAGACATGCTGCTTTGCCTTCGGAGACTTGGATCCTTCTTTAGAAGCCGAACGAGACTTCTTCCGTCGGCCAAAGACTTTGCCGAGCCTCGCAGAAGGAAGGGCCTTTAAAAGTCGAGAGGTCCTGGATGCCGGCTCCGGCTCAACGAGAGTGGTACTAGTATCAAAATGGTTCATTTTCGAAGTCAGAGACATCTGAGAGGATGTGGCCCAACATCGGTGCCATGACGGGAACCAAACGAAGATGGGCTTTCGACGGAAACTGGGGATTAATTATGAAGCAAAACATCCTCCCTCCTGCAGCAGAGCGCCCCAAGACTGTCCCGTTGGGGCTGGGTCGGTGTCTCTCCCCTGCACACCATGTCGGCTGCATTGGAAGGGTAAGGCAACCATCCTCCAACGGGCCGGGCGGCATGGCCCGTTCCAATGAGATAGTATGTGCTTAGACCAGAGCATCCTCCCACTGTATGATCTACGAATAAGTAACCGTAAATAACTATTCGTCAAGAGACGCAACGGTGCCTTACATATTTGATCTCTCGGGGAGGAGACAGTCCTTCAGGCTTTATGTGCTGAGCTGAGTGACCGACCATGGTTTTCAAAATAAACACCATGACTATGGCTTAGCGTGCATGCTTGGTTGGGATTTTGCTCCTTTTCTCAACTCTGACACTCCGGTGTCCATTCCATAGAGAGAGGGCACAGGAGTCTTGCAACGACGGGGGCTGCATAGCATAGCCAGAGAGGGACCTGACCGGTAAATCGTTCTCATTCGCTGATCTCCGCATGTGGATCTGCTCCGTACAGGGGCCCAAGAACCATCCGGGCTCTGAAACCAACGCGACTGGTCGACACTTTTGCATAGCCGCGCTGCTGCTCATCAGCGTGCTTCAGGACGTTATCATCGTTGTGGTCCCACGGGCTTGGCCATGGACTTGGGCATCAGAGGCATTAATAATCCGTAGGCTCCAGCCGGCATAGTGCTTGTTCGGAGTATAAAAAATAAAATAAAAAGGAGAGAGAAAGAGAGAGAAAGACCGGCGCTTGCGGGTGGGAGACACGGCCGGCGTTTCTACGCGTAGCCTGACTAGACGTAGAAAACGATTAGGCATCGATTGTATGTTCAACCAATGGCAGATCTCATGAGCCTGTTTCATAGAGGCTATTCGGCATCCGGCTACCCGCTGGCTTGACCATTCAACAGACCGGCCGGTGCCAAGATCGGGCGAAGAGACGATGTCAAGACTCAACGATCGGAAGGTGGCAGGGTCGACGCCAGATGCGAGTCGCGATGCTAAATCCGGCCCCGCCCTGTTGTGGTTCTGGCAATGATCGGTGTGGAGTCAAAACGCTGGCTCGGGCATTCCGTTTTCCTCTGCCCGCCAACAGTCCGCTGTGATGTCTAGGGTTAGTTTGTGGCTCCCGCTTAGGGCTTGTGGCGAGTGGCGACCTCGGCGGTAGACATACAGTCTCAAGACAGGAGAATGGAGTTGAACGTCCAGCCAGCATCTAACATACAACGGTATGGACATATACGAAGTATATACCGCGTACAACCCAAGGGCCCCCACCATGATCTGGTCCCTGAAAATGCGGTTCCTAATAATCGGTGGTCGGGTCCTGGATCAGTCGGTCAGTACCTTAGAGGGGGAACCTGAGGTATTCACGTGTCGGGGCATGCCCGAAGGGTCCATTACGGCAATCGATGCAGACAACAATCACTTCCTGTACAGTAGGTAAGGTATAAGGTTGGCACAAGCTTGCACGAAGGGACTCGATAGGGACTCGATAGGGACTCGATAGGACTCGATATACAGACGCGTATTAGATCCGATAATTAGCGTCGTACGAAATCGGGGCCGGATGGTGTAGTTCGATCGGAAGGACGGTACAGACGATGAGATCGGTTCCGCGCCGCCATTCGGACTAGGTACCTTAGTGGGAAAACGTTGAACAACCTCGGGACAGCCACAAAAAACCAGTTCGTCGCTGCCATTATACCCATTATACACTAGTGTGGCGCCTCTCTTTCTTTCTACGACAATGATCTTCGTACTCCGCACTTCGTACCTTACCTAAGGTACCTACAACGTACTCATTGCAGGTACACGTACGTCATTTTTCTGCGGGCTCGCCTTGATTCTGCACCTTTCAACACACCAGCCAGGAAAGCTCCAGAAAATCGAGGTCAGTGCATCAAGAGCTATTATGTGTATCCATCCGTACTTTCCTACTTCGTACTATGCCATACATAAATATCCAGCTCTGTTTTGAGCTGGTTGGTCCGGTCTACAGAATCCGGCGGTTCCTGAAGATGGTGGGAGGACCCTGGACGCGGGATCGTCCAAGGGTCCATGTCAATCTGCCAGGACACACATCACCACCTCACAAGAACGGCCTATGATGTAATTTGGTGCTCTGTGAGAGAAGGCCCCCTGCATGATTGTCAATTTAGCATTCAATGAGAGACTACGGGGAAGCCAGGAACGTGTCGACCGTGAAATGTTTTGGCTCTCGGTGGCCCATCCACCAGTCACGTACCTTAGTAAGTATTCGTAGTCGGACACCGCCCAAGTATTCATCATGATTAATAATACGGTCAATAATTGTGCAGTGGTCCATCAAACATTGCTCCCCAGTGAAAATGCCAAGGTGAAATTCCTGCCTGTGGAGGTATTCGTACTGCTTTAGGTACTTGTCTACCTACCTAGGTATACTTCGTTTGTACTTACACGATGTACTAATTACTTCGTACTGGCACACCTATCTGGCTGCCTGTCTGATTAGTGGCATAGGACCCACAATAGTGGGGTCTTGGGCTGTGTACTCCAAAGTGCCCCACGTCCCTGCAGGATGCTATGAGACGTACCTGATACTGGAGTTGATATAGGTAAGGTAGGTACCTTGATAATAGGGGTGCCCTAGCTATAGGTAGGTAGATGTCATTTCTTCTCACGATACTAGATGTTATTTAAGCGTGAAATAAAGAAACAACCCTTTTTGAATAAAGGTCTACTTTAGTTATATACTATTAATATGATAAGGAAATTAAAAGGATAAATAGCCTTGAAAATGCCTTTTTACTCCTTTGGACCCCCCGCTGGAGGACGTTATTCCCTCACAGTGATCTTGTGACGTAAGATGCAGCGGCAGAGTATCTTAGCGCAGGTGCGAGTAGGGTCCGCCTCCCCGAGCGGTCTAGACCTCTCCACCTCGTTACTGGGTATGTACAACGGTGGGGTCACGCGGTACCTTAGACATACCTACGCTGTATGGTAGGAGGTACGTTATGGAAGTATCCGTACCTCTGTCCAAGACGAGACAGGTCGGGCAGAGGTTGAAGCCTGATATTTTCACCGGGAAGCAAGCGAGAGCAACTCGCAGCTTGCGGGTACTTCGTAATTCCAACATCGTGTCACTCGTTGTCTCACTTCGGGTCTGAAGGGTGGACGACCGCAACAACAGGATCACCATCACAATAATTCCACGTTGTGGGGGTTACTGGGACATGACACAAAGTCAAAGCATGGATGGACAGAGAGCATCTGGGGACCTGCGGAGGTACGGTGTTGGGGGTTCAAGGAACTTCACTCTTATCTCATAGCACAGTTTCCCCCTACATATAAGAAGACAACACCGTCCGATGCGATGTCCTTATTCGATGGTCCCCCAAGTGCTGCACTATCGGCATCGAGGGCCGGTCGGTCTAGACTGTACCTGGGGACCATGGCCCCGGTTCCCCCCACCAGCTCCACCTCAATGTACGATACATCCTGAGGTTCGCGAGAACCGTGCATGTGGTACTTAGCAAGTACCTAAGGTACCTAACCCGCACCAAGAATGCCCTCGTATCATCCACCTCCCTTTTCTTCCCTTTTGTTCTGGCTTTTTCTTTCCCCTTCTCGTGCCAATTTCGGACCTACGAAGTACGAGCGATTATTCGTAGATGAAAAGCCGTTTATTACCTTATGTACTCACCGTTCTCTACGCTATAGTCCATCTCTATATTATTTCAAGACGTTGAGCTCGTCTTCGCCACATTAGCAGCAAACAGATTAGGGGTCGAACGGTCTCCAACCCGCCGTTTGTAACTCCAAGGACAGGGCTAATAATAGAGGGGGCGAGTGCTGGGTACACGGAATTCAACGTACGTTTTGCCCTTTATCCCCCTGCCCTTCCACACCCTCACCCTCTACTACATACACAGTTCTCCGCTCTTGCCCTCTCGTCTTCTTGATCGCAGCACTCGACACCTAATAATCCTCTCAAACTTACCATTCATCATTAGAGCTCATGCCAACCTAACCGCAAAGGGAGATTTGGTGGATTCGGTCGGCGTCGAGACTTTGACAAAGCACGGGTTATTGAGTGCAAGCAGCCCATAAAATAATTCTGCACTGCTCGCGTAGCACACGCTTGCCTGGGCTGACACTACACATCGCATTCCCCCCCGAAGCCTTTGAACAGCTTTTTGTCCCCCTCGCCTCGCCTCTACGAACCTGAAGTCTCCTTCCCCAGATTTGAGGGAGTTAGCGAAAGTTCTCAAAACTCCACCGACCCTCACCACTAGCCGGAGCCTCCGTTTGAGCATCATACGCTCCGTTAGTCTGATTTTCGTCGCATCGAGATCTCCAAACCCACCATCGGCCAATCATTGTGACTCCCCGTTTCAGCCCATTCGACATTCGCCTCGTTCGATCTTCTCTCGGAGACGTTTCTCTGCAAGTTGCTCTCGTCGACCAACCTTATTGTGCTACATTACATCCCAGATATGAGTTTACCATCTCCCCTTTGACGATACGTCGATATCGCAACATGACGGACAAAGATCAAAACAAACTTCATGGCGCGCAGCCTCCTTCGGAAACTCCGCTGCCCTTATCTACCACAGGCCACACATTGCCTCGCAGGACTTTATACGAAAAATCCGTGACGTTGCAGCATCACCGACTTGCGCGCGATGCTGCCGCGAAAGCTACAGCGGAACGCACACCTTCAGTAAAAGGGGATAAAGATAAAGGATCAATTGGTTCGCCCTGCAGAAAAGATTCTGCAGAAAGTCGCGAGACCGGACAGAGCGACGCAATGCAGTGGTTCGATCAGTCGAATCAAAACCCCACCGTCTCTTACTCCGGAGCCATGGAAGGTAAGTCAATTTCTTTCTCCTTGAGCCAAGCTGTACCGGACCAATTGCCGACGACGAAAAACCAGTCGATCCCCCGTTCTATCAAAAGGAGTCAGACTCCTCGAACGAGGACGCTCCTCAGGCTACCTATCCCTTGCACCTCCGACCGGGTGTATCCACATCGGCGGCGGCGCCAGTCGTCACCCGAAGCAGCAGCACCGACGATTATCGCAGCGTCATCGACGACCTCACGGTTGAGATACAGAAGCTGAAAGAAGAGTTGAAGAGATACAAGCAGTTGGGTCCGGACATGCTCAAGAAGGAAAAGCTCTTTGAGATCAAAATGCACGGGCTGCCAAAGCGCAAGAAGAGAGAACTTGAGGCTACGCTACGCGATTTTGCCGCAAGTATTAGCGAATCCCCCAGCGCCCAGACTTCGTCAGGGCCCCGCAAGAAGTCATCTCGCCATGCCAGTCGTCTATATTCTCGCTCAGGCTCCATGTCCAAGCACGCTTCCTCCTCGTCTGGCTCACAGTCAAGGCCCGTTGACTCCGCCTACGCATCCATGTCGACGGGCCATAATTCATCCGGAACATCAATGGGCCGACCCTCTGTGAGTTCACAGGCTCGTTCCGCCGAGCAGAAAGTCCAGAGCTACCTCAAGGACATCCCTGAGGGCCTCTACCCGCGCCATGTTGCCATGACGGACAGGCAGAAGAAGAAGCTTGTGGTACGACGTCTGGAACAGTTGTTCACGGGCAAGACGCGTGCCCGAAGTCGCCAACTGAGTCAGGTTGGGCCAGCTGTGCCAGCTGTGCCCCAGGCGGTGGGCTCATCGCTGGCACCCGTGATGGGTGAGGTCATGGCTAGGACGGCTGTCATGGTTGACCAACCTGCGAGCCTAGGTCCAAGCGAACTTACTCGAGAAGCCCCTATTCTTTTGGTTGGCGCCGGCGACTCGGGCAAGCAGGGCCGGTCGAGGGATTATATGTCGATGGACCATTCGAACAGCTACCAGACATATTCCCGCGGTAGCGGAGCCGCAGCTGGTGATGCCCATATGTCGCCGCCGAATGCATCGCTTCCTGAGCAACGCCCGACCCGACCCCTAGACCTCGATCCCGACCGCGTGCAGAATCCTTCGGAAAACATGGACTACATTCGCCATCTCGGCTTGATCCCACCTGAGCTGCTGCCTGAATCGAGCACGCGGGATGTCGCGCCGGACGCCGATGGATGGGTCTACTTGAATCTCCTCTGCAACCTCGCCCAGTTGCACATAATCAATGTCACCCCTGATTTCGTCCGGGTGGCTATTTCCGAAAAGAGCACCAAATTCCAACTGTCAGCCGACGGTCGGAAAATCCGCTGGAGGGGCGGCACGGAAGGCACCAAGTTCAGCAGCGACAGCTCCGGTGACAACTCGGGGAAGAGCCCCTCCACCGACGATACAGACGGCTCGAATGAGAACGACGAACGAAAGAAACGGAAGACGGTACAAGTCCAGCCAGGGTCCGCAGATGACTTCACCTCGGCCTACTCGAGCAAGAATCGAATATCATCACACAGCTTCCACTACAAGCCTCTTTTCGTACACCAGGCACAGTCGGCCGAGCAGACGTCGGCCGACGAAACCGGATCCTCGCTTGGCCCGGCCGAGGAGAGCAATATGGAAGAATCGAGGTGGGGCAACAGCGGATCTGGGTCGTCTCAGCGTCAGCGGAGAAAACGTCGCCTGGACGGTGCGATCATCTATTATAGCGGAGCACCCTTCTGCACCGACTTGTCCGGCGACCCTGGGGATTCGTCGCCGACGACATATTTGACGTCTTCCGGTCGAGACCCTCAGGCTGGGTTCTCCAGCAGCCCTAGTGGCGAGTTTGTGAGACCTGATCCGCCACAGCGGACGTCATCCGGGTCCGTCCTGCGAATCCGTCCGTTGAGCGATGGGAGACCGTTCTTCGTCGATGCAATGAACGCGGATCCTGAGATGGTCCTTCCCGGCCACGACCCTCTTTCAGGCACGGGCGACTTCGACATGGAATGTCCTTGGTCGGATGTAGAGCAGCCCATCCGACTTCAGACTCTCGAGTCGTCTGGTCTTGGAGGTGTGGTCCCTGAGGATCACTTCATGATTCTCGTTAAGACCAGGCGACCTAAGAATGCCCCCAGTGCAAAGGTTCCGTTGCAGCGGCCCAGCTCTGACGAGATGTCTGATGCTATCATATACCGCTTCGCATCCATGTCGCCGTCTCCGCGGCCAATTGCGACCACACGCCAAACGAGCAGTGCCGCCGTTCCCACTATTAAGATGGAATACGTTTCTGGCGGTATCAAGCGCTTATCGCCAGTCGCCCTCCCACCGCCGGCCGTCTTCATACCCCCCTTCAGCACGGATACCTCCGTCGACAGCATGGACAGTCTCGAATCGGATGATGAGGAAGACGAGTCCGAATCGAGCGATGAATTTGGACGCAAACTGTCCATTCCTCGGACATCGGATATTCCGTACCCGGATAACGATATGAGCAGCGGCGACGAAGAAGGCGGGGAGCCCGACGACGAAGACGAGCCGAAAGCCCGTGGCCCGACCCGACAAGGCCTGGGGATTGCCCTGCCGCCGCGCCAACTGGCCCGTCGGACGAGCAGCAGCGCGATCGCTGCCCCTGGTACTGTGCGGGGGCGAAGCAAGAGCATGAGCGTCGATCTGCCCAGACAGACGGATAGCTCGAACGCTACCGATAATGATGACGATGTCGAAAGCGGGTACTCGAGCGGTCGCGAAGGAAGCAGCTGAAGGTCTCAAACCTGCAACCTGACAGCAACCTCCGAATACCTTGTACCAAAAGCAGAGTACCCAACTTTAGGAACTTGAGGACATTATGTTCCTGTATGGAGTTTTTCATATGGGGGAGGGGGGGGCGGTTTGGTTGTTGTTGTTGTTTACCCCTTATCCTTTGCTCGACTTTCTTCTTCTTTTTTTTCCCGGCGCAAGCGAGGCACCCGCTGATTTACTCGATGTTTTCCGACCATTTGAAACGAATTTACGAAGCCCTCGACTTTTCGGGTAGTTGTACTGTTACCTCTCAGCATCCGGCAGGCGTTAAAAATGAACTTATACCCAGGGTTTGATTTCGCGGCTCCCATCGCCGTGACGCAGGCTTACGATGTGTTGAGACTGGTTTCATGGGAAATCTTAAAATTGCAGTCCCAACTTGTCGTTATCTGTAGCTAACCAAGCCATTCTGGTTTATCTCAAATGCATTTTCAAGCTCCAATTGTGAGGGTCTTGGTATCACTGCGTAACTCGTGCTGTTGATGCCCATCAATTGTTGTGACACGGAATCGGTGCAGCTGTGGCTGGAAACATGCCGTTTGTTCGTGCGGGATCCTCTTTTGAGTGAGGTTTTCCGAACAAGGACTGGGTGAGTGTCTAACGAGTGGACCATGGCTGTTCTTCTTCCGAAACTCCACGACGTGAGTTGAAATAAATGAAGAAAAAATAATATAAATTGAACCCCCCAACCCCCTCACTGGGGAACACGGGGACCGAGTGTTAGCTGCGCAACAGCGGACTGTATAAGGTGAGTCTCGACGACTCGGAGGACTTCCTAAGGTAAGGTATCTATAACACCGCAAGTTGAACGTGCATCCTCGCACGTTTAGGTGGTGTGTATCATTCATCCGGCCATCCAAACATCCATCTGCTATCCTTTATCATAGCACATCGTAGTGGCTTCGTCTTCATTCAGAACGTCATTTACTTCTTTGATCATCCATTCATTTCCCCGCCCTATATCTTGTACACCCCGGTCTCTTCTCAACGAGAGAAGATATACTTAGGAGGCCTGCTCCTTCCTCTTCTGCCCGGCAATCTGATCGGCGACACCCTTTTGCAGCAAGCTGTGGCCGTCCATCTCCTCGGGCTGGGGCAGACCCATGGCCGCAAGAACGGTCGGGGCAACATCGCCGAGGACGGGCTCAAGGTACTTGCCCTTCTTCTCGTCCCAGTAGGGAACCAGGCGCCAGTCCTTGGGGACGTTGGCCATGATGAAGGGCACCTTGTTGGTGGTGTGGCTGGTCTTCGGGCTGCCGTCGGGGAACTTCATCTCCTCAGCGTTGCCGTGGTCGGCGGTGATGAACAGGGCGTAGCCCCGCTCGACGCAGGCGTCGTAGATGGTCTTGATGCCGGCATCCGTGGCCTCGCAGCCGATGATGGCCGCCTCGTAGACGCCGGTATGGCCGACCATGTCGGGGGGCGCAAAGTTGTTCATGACGAAGGGGAACTCCTCGCCGCCGACGGCCCTGATCCGGTCGGCCACGCGATCGGCGACTTCCTGGGCCGACATCTTCGGGGCGAGATCGTAGGTGGCCACTTGCTTCTTGGAGGGGACAAGGTCGCCCGGCGCGCGCGTCTCCAGGGCGAAGGGCTTCTCGACGCCGCCGTTGAAGAAGAAGGTAACGTGCGCGTACTTCTCCGTCTCGGCCACGTGGACTTGCTTGACGCCTTGCTTGCCCAGCCACTCGGCCAGCACGTTATCCATGCGCTGGGGCTGGAAAGCGACGGTAAACGGGTAGTCGAGCTTATATTGGGTCATGGTAACGAGAGAGGCGATCTTAGGGTAGGGGAAGTCGGGAAGCACGGAGCGGTCGACGTCGCCCATGACCTGGGTGATTTGACGGACACGGTCGGAGCGGTAGTTAAAGAAGAAGACGGTATCGTCATCTAGAAACGAGGGTCAGCAGGTTACCAGTGCTACCAGTGTCCCCCCCTCATGGGAAGTTCAGGCGGGGCTCGTTACCCTTGATCCGTCGCTCATCCCCGCCAACGATGATGGGGGCCAGGAACTCGTCCTTGTCTTGCGGACCACCGCGCTGGTACCGCTCCCGGATCGTCTTGACGGGGTCATCGCTCTGCTCGCCCTCCCCAAGGACCATGCCCTTCAGGGCGATCTCGACCCTCTCCCAGCGCTTATCACGGTCCATGGCATAGTAGCGGCCCACCACGGTCGCGATCTCGCCGATACCAAACTCGTTCAGCTTCCCGACGAGTTCCTCCAGGTAACCTGCGCCGGACTTGGGATCGGTATCGCGACCGTCACCAAAGGCATGGATGAAGACCTTGGGGACGCCGTATTTCTTGGCGGCGAGGAGAAGGGCGTAAAGATGGTCTTGTTTGGCGTGCTGGAGGAAAGGCCTTATGAGCATATAGGACATACAGGACAGGACTCTCGTTGCGGCGGGAACGCCATCAGGGGAAACTCTACTCAACTTACAACACCGCCGTGGGAGACGAGACCGCAGAGATGTAGCCTGCCGTTGCCGTCCTTGGCGCTCTCGAAGGCGTTCTTGATAACCTCATTATCGGCGAACTTGCCCTCCTCAATGTCGCTGTCGATGCGCACGACGTCCTGCCAGACGACACGGCCCGCACCAATGTTCAAGTGGCCGACTTCGGAGTTGCCCATCAGGCCTTTGGGGAGACCGACGGCATAAGAAGAGGCCTCGAGCTCGACGAACTGGTCCTTGTTCTGGGAAAAGGCGTCCATGACAGGGGTGTTGGCGGCAGCAATGGCATCGCCATCTTTGGGAGAGTCGGCCGAAGGAATGCCCCAGCCATCGATCACGACTGTAGAGGGTTGCAAGGTCCAGTTTAGCCAGACGATCTCAAAGTGAGAATGCAACCTTCGTCACCTGCACCAAGGGGGGGGAGATGGTTGGACGTACTCAGGCAGGTGGGTTGAACTTTGGTTTCAGCCATTGTGACCGAGGGGGTTTATCAATTCTGCTAATACTCTTCTTTATCTGACGGAGCAAGAATGAAAAGGAGAAAAACAGGATCAAATAAGCAATGCGTGATTTTCCTGAGGGAAAAAAAAGATCGAGTTGGTGGTGAGCTCAATTGGGTTGAGGAGGGGCATGTCTTTTTATCAATCCATGGCGGGGGATCAGGTACAGAATTAATTACGTAGTAGGTACGGAGTAGGTGGAATCTTCTACCAGCTCGACGGCGTACGGTATCCGTAGTTACGGAGTATCCATAATAGTAGCTTTTGTAACCGTTCTAATCTAGTGCTACCTTACAGGAGCGGTTATCGGGTACCCCACGACAGTTACTTTCATTTCCCAAACCTTCCATTTCAGCTCTACCTTATCCATATGATGCTCCATCTCCTTGGGTACAAACCAAACTTTAATTATCTCCGTACCTTACCTAAGGTACAGCGCGGATTGTATCACATCACTCGATATCGACGACATTCCGACTTTGACTCATCAGAAAACCAGAAACATTGCAAGACAAAGAACGAAGCATTTTATTTTCCCACACGACGTATTCTAGCTCTTTTTTTAGCCATGTCTGCTCCACCTTCCTCTTCCACTCCTCACCCGCTCGCACTACCTTCAAACTTCTCGCCTGACGCTCTCGACACCCTCACCGAGCTCGCAGCCATCCTCACCCGTCTCCGAGCCGCAATCCAAGCGTCCAATCCTCCCACGGCCCCGGGCGGCGTCACAGGCTCCACCCCGTTACCTACAGGAGCGACACCAAACCAACTAGGAGCCAGCCCGGGCGGCACGGGTGCTTTGTCCCTGAGGGAGCTCTCCACGCAGACCGACGCACTGAAGCACAAGTTGCAGCGGGCCCGCACGCAGATCAAGACGCTGCCCGACATGGAACGCGACATCGAGGAACAGGAAGAGGAGATCCAGGAGCTCGAAGCTAGGATTCGCATGCAGCGGGAAGTCCTGGAGAAGTTGCGGGAGCGCGGCGTTGACTTTGGAAACGAGGGCGACAAGATGGAGACATAAACAAAACAAAAAAAGCCCCTCGAAGGTGCAAATGGGACAAGAAGCTCGATTCGCGGTGGTAGGAGGTCACCTCCTAATTACTTGATACCCTGGGGCTACCAAGGAAGGAGAGGGAAACCTGGCCAGCGTGAGCCAGACATTGCGAGCGATGATTTGCAACTGCGACTGAATTGCAACGAAACGAAAATACATACCCATCGGTCAGAAAGGAAAAGGTGGCCACTCCTGTCGAAACTAATTACAGCAGATACACAGGCTGTCTTGCAGTCTCCTCGCATTCATACGGCACAGACAGCGACCGATGAAGCCATTATCTACTCAGCGCCTCGCAATTCCGACCGCGTCTAAGATGTCACTAAGGTCCTTCCCCGGTTTACCCGGGACAACGTTCACCCAGATGTCTTCCGCAATTCTTTCTCCCTCTGGCAAGATGCTCCAGTTGGGGCTCTTCTCGGACTTCAACCACTTGAAGTCTTGTACCTGGTCCCACTGGTTCTTCGATGGATCGTCGGGGTTTTCCTACACGTCGTAGTCAGCCACAAAGCTCGAGGCATGGGAGGCGGAGATGGAACACATACGAATGAGGGAGGCAGCGGCGCGAACCGCATGCCGGAACAGTCTTCAATGATCGGGTGACTGGAGCAGTCCAGATATAGGTCGACGTTCTTACACTCATGGATCCGGACCTGCCGGGCTGCCACGACGACAATGCTATCCGATACGCCGGTGATGTGCACAGGACCGTCTACGTGGCCAGCGAGGACGAGGGAATTCCTGATATTATTGAGCATGAGGCTGGCGAAGGGGGCGCTGCTGGCTGTGACCATGGACATGTCGACGACGCAGTCGTTGATGTCTGTCAAACGACCCGCGGACGTGGCTCGGGAGGCCGTGGAGGGCAGGATGATGTGCAACCCCGTCTGGCCGAAAATAACAATCTCCTTGGCGGTCGAAAAGCTGGGCATGCGGACACGAGACGTGCTGGGTTGCGCCATCTCCTTGTTGTAATCCTTGGCTTTGATCGAGGGGAGATCGCTCACGGCATCTTCGGCCTCGACGCGTGAACTAGGGTCAGCAGTCTCGTCGGGGGAAGCTGGCGTGGCGTCGACCCGGCCGGCAGTGGTGAGAAGACGGGGATCGGCGGCCCGCCCGAGTGCCTGGTCGGAGCCAGCGGCGGCACTGCGAGACTTGAACTGGAAACGAGAGCGAGGTGCAAGCTTTGCCGTCGTCTGATTTAGCTTTTCAGTCAAAAGTTTTATAGCCTGTCATGTTGGTTAGACGATGAATACAAAAGGCCGTTTTCTAAGGCAAGCCTGTGACGAAAATTACCTCTGAATATGTGCGTTGATCGTAGGCAGGAACATAGTCGGAGGCATCTGAGACCTCGTTCGACAAATTCGAGATGGAACCCAAGATGGCGTCGAGGGCATCTTGTCTTTCACCTCCAATGACCGCCACCGAGGGGAGATCTTCGATTCGGTTGCGAATGGCTTTTGATGCGCTTGTAAGCAGCAAGACCGCACGACGACCGAGCTTCTGGGGCCGGATTCTCCGGAATAAGTCATGACTTACATGCAAATTCTTCCTGGAAGTGACGGTAAAACTTCTCCTTCGGGTCCTGCGATAGGGGGGTTACTACGTGGGGTCCCGCTGCGACGGCGACGGGCTGAATCACATCGGGCGCCATGGTTCGATAGTCTACTACAGAATAACGACAGGAAAGAGGCCTGAAGCAGGAATAACGAGGCAACTAATACTCAACAGCAGTGAAGGAGACAGTTCGCTCTTTAATAGACCAATTGAGCGGCGCCAAGGGGATCCTAGGGACGCGTGAGATAACGTCACAAGACAACAAAGAGCAAGGGCAGGTAAATATAGGGAACAGCACCAATACCAATACCGGTGGGATAGATGGTTTGGTTTCGACATAGGACGAAACCGGTATACCGAGCCAGCCAACAAATAATAGGTGTCGGGATTATGTCCGAGATTGGCTACCAGGAAAGCAATGTGACGTAGAAGTAGGCTTGGTTCTCTTGAGGAGATGGCACTGGGAGCTAGATTGTTGGAAGGGTTGCAGGTCAGTCCATCAATCTGGCTGTGGTTGTTGCCTTGAAGGGGTCGTGGGGCAACGGTACCTACCCGGGTTTAGGGGGGTATAGGACAGAGCCCGATAACTGGTCAGTCTGTCAACAGTCTTAAGAACATCATGTCGACAGAAATTTCTCTGTCCTGGCTCTGGTCAGAGCAAAAGTCTCTGTCCGAGCTCTGACCTATAAACCCCCCCTCCCGGGTAGGTATCGGTCAAACCGGGCGGGAACTGTTCAGGGTCATGCGGGGAAGTGAACAAATCTACCTAAGGAAGCTGTTTCTGGACATCGTTGGGTCGGCATCACCTATCATGCTACGAAGCACGATAATTAGCATGCATGGCCTGTTCTGACGATTGTGTGGGGAGATGGAGGGGTACCTTAAGGGTACAGAGGGGCAGAATGTTGTACATCAACGCTCTTGGCGGTCTGATGTATCGCCAAGAGCTCATGCATATATATACTGTGTAAGACTGCATCTGTTTCCTCAACCACTGTACGATATTCGTTGCAATAAGCAACGTATGCAAAGGGTGTACGCACACTGTGTACGCACACTCCGTACAGTCACCTCTGGGAACGCACAGACATTCCAGCGGGGCACGTCCAGCTGACGAAGCGAAAAAGCTCAAAGTCCAAAGTCCAATCCGTAATTGACCGCGTTCAAGCAGGGCATGCGCTTCTTCGAACATCCAACGGGTTGCGAATACCCAAACTTTGCTGTCAACAGCACCGGTTGACACTTTCCCCGGTATTCGGCGAAAGAAGGCCAGGGACTTCCAAGGGCCTGCGGTCCTCAGCGTGCCGCAGGCTCTGCCACAACGCTTGACCTGTTGTGCTCGTTCCACCACTTCCGCCCCGGGCCAGCCTGTCCCCCGTTCGACAAATCCCTCCGATCTCTCCTGTAACCTCCACAATGCCTAGATGGAAGCGAAAACGACCCGAGGACGAACAACAACAGCAACAACGACAGCACCAACAGCGCTCTGCACTTCATCCTTCCCCTTCCCATTCCGCTGCCCCCACTACCGAAACAGTGACGCGTCGCACGACGCGTCAAACCCCGATCCCTCCGCCCATCATCCCGACTTCCGCGTCTCCGCTGCGGTCCGGATTCGGAGAGGCCACCGGTGTAGAATCGCAACCAACGAAGCCGAAACGCCGGGGACGTCCCCCCAAATCGAAACCTGAAATCCCTGCGTCCCAATCTACCGTTCCCAATACAGCTGCTCCGTCCAGCGCGTCGACGACAAGTGCCTTACAAATCCAGATCGGTGGCTCCCTGCCAGCCATTGCCCAACCCGTGGCACCCCAGCATCCGGAAGATCAACATCGGGCAGCGGCACCACAAGAACCACGTATGACAAGACGACGCGGCAGCGCCACCATGATGGCCGTGCATAACCATCCGGCGCTGACGACCAAGGATGTCAGAAGGTCTGGGAGTGGGCAACCTGCTAACGGCCTCGTCGCCCCCGAGATCTCGTATCAGGTGGCCCAACCTCCATCGCAACCTTGGACGAAAACCCTTATGCGCCCAAGCCCGCCCACCAGTTTGCCCCCGTCGTTACAACCGCCCCACCACCAACCATCTCGTCCCCCGACATGGAACACCCACGTGCTCGTCCCAAACATACCCTATGTCTCGCCCCAGTTACTACATCAATCCACTTCCATCCTGCCACAGAAATCCGGGATTCGGAAACCGGAAGACGAGAAGAACAAGCCGAAACCGCTTCCACGTGCCGACCGCAACATCGATAAAGTCGTGTTGGGCGACATCTGTTTCCGTACTTGGTACCCGTCCTACTACGGCAAGGAGCTCCTGGGGGATGCGTCGTCCGGGTACGCTGGCAAGGCCGGGTCATCCCAGTCGTCGTCTGCGAAGGGGACGACCAAGATGGGAGGCGCCGGTACAGCGGCGGGCGCCAGCTCTGCCAAGGGGTCCACCAAACACAAAAGTGGTAGTGGCGGCGAAGTGACCATGCTCGACCGGCTGTACGTGTGCCCCTATTGCTTCAAATACTCCAAGGAGTTGGTGTCGTGGCTGGGACATGTGCGATTCTGTGAACGCAGCGGCAGGATGCCCCCTGGCCGCAAGATCTACACGCACCCGAGGGGCCGCCGGTCGGTTCTCAGGGCCGTGCCTGAGATCAAGAGGGGTCCTGGCAAGAGAACCAATAGCGGAGTGCGCCACGTCGAGGAGGTGGTGACGGACTATGGGGAGTGGAGCGTGTGGGAGGTAGACGGAGAGCAAGACATGGTGTGTTTCCTTCCTTCTTTCGCCCCGTTGCCCCGGGCGTCGTTCCGTGGACATCGTACTGACCAGAGTCTCGCCTCGCCTTTGTAGCTGTTTTGTCAGAATCTTTCCCTGTTTGCCAAGCTCTTCCTCGACACGAAATCTGTATTTTTCGATGTGACCAATTTCAACTACTTCCTGCTCGTCTACACGCCGCCCCCGCCTCCCGTTGCGAACCCAGCACCCGGTTTTCCCCTCGACTCTCAGGTTCCGGCAGACACAGCGGATGCGCCGCCTCACCGGCCACCACAGGTCGTGGGCTTCTTCTCCAAGGAGAAAATGTCATGGGACAACAACAACCTGGCTTGTATTCTTGTATTTCCGCCGTGGCAGCGTAAGGGATTGGGTGGCCTGTTAATGGGTGTGTCCTACGAGATGAGCCGCCGCGAACGCATCCTCGGCGGCCCGGAGAAGCCCATCTCCGAACTGGGCCGGAAAGGATACAAACGCTACTGGGCGGGCGAGATCGCGCGATGGCTGCTAGGGGTCAACGGGATCGCAAGCCCTATGGGCGATGGGTCTGAGCAGAATGAGGTCGTAGTGGACCTCAACGAATGCAGCCGGGGGACATGGATTGCTCTCGACGACTGCCTCGTCACGTTACGTGAGATGGGACTCGTGGAGGATGCGGGCATGGGGGCGGCTAAGAGGCCGGCGCAGACTCATACTGACGAAGACGAGGTGATGGGAGATGCCAAGGCACAAAAAGAGGTCATACCGGTGGTTCCGAGGGTGCGCATCGACAAGGAAGCTGTTCGGCGATGGGTGGCAGCGAGCGGTATTAGCCTGGAGAGAGCATGCGATCCGAACGGGTTCATAGAAGGTTATGCCATCAAGCCGAAACGGGAAAACGAGGGAGAAACATGAATGTCTGTCCGCGCATTATCAGATCAGGGGAGGGCTTTTCTTTGCCGATTTTCTTGTTAGTATATGATACCCCGGCTGGAAATATAGCAGACTGATTTCTTTGTGTGCAAACATTCAACGGTGTTTTTCCATCTTCGATGTCTACAATCAATTTCACTCGAAATGATTACGCGTCTAAGATGCATCTGATTTTCTGTTTCTAACATGTATCATCTGGTCCGAGGCTGAAAGGTTGTTGGGGGATGCCACAGCTCTCTTGAGAGTCACCACAACTAACGGTGCTGGTCATTCCCATATGAATTATGTGCCAGGGCTTACCTAATAAGAAGCACCTGCGAAACGCAGCCTCGTTGGCTCAGTGGTAAAGCGCCTCACTAGTAATGAGGAGATCACTGGTTCGATTCCAGTACGAGGCAATTCAAGGGTGATTCGTCTTCCTTTTTTGCTTTGCTCTTTTGCTCCGTGTACTGTGTCTGATACGAACCGCGTTGACATTTGGTGCTCTGAACCAGATATTGTAAAGTTACGGTCAGGATATTCTCAGGGTCAATCAGAATGAAAAGCACGTGTAGTCCGTATTATGAGAGTGTTATTACTAACATATTAGCTACTCTGTACAATGTCATCTTGCTACGGACAATTACGGTATCTGAGAAGCCAATTCGGTGTTCGGCCAACGGCCCGGTGAGGGGAAAAATACTCCCCGGCGAGAGTGCTTCCCTGCCTCCTGCAGGACAACCAAACGAGAAATGTGGTACGAAGATACATTATCTCCGCACGAGAAATGAAAAAAGGAGAAAAATGAAACAATTATCTAATCTCTCCAACGACATCTCCTCTTCGAACAGACATCTCCATCACCGAATATCACCGTCGTCATCGAGCTATCATCATCTCACGCGACGAAACTTTCTCACCAAACGGCGCGAGCGCCAATCCACTTCAAGAACCAGGAAACGGCGGGGAAGAAAAGATAACGGACTACGAGGCGGAACGGAATAACCCCACGAGAGAGAACGGAACAGAGGGCCTGATGACCTTGTTGTGGGACCTTGGGACCCGCCACGGACCAAGCATGGCGACATGGGCGACACTGAGAAAGAAGCGGGCTAGGACAAGAAGGGAGTTCGAGTGGGCTCTACCTCTTGGGATGGCGGACAGAGTCGTTGTCTCAATGTCGGGGCCCCATGGGATCCTCCCGAAGCAAAAGAAGCTGGGGGAATGTCTGCGTGCAGGGCGTGCCTCCTTTGCTGTTGAGACAACTGGGTGTTGTGTATGATGGACGGCATCAGGCTGTTTCGTCCTCTTAGCCCCATTGCCCCATACCAAGAGCTAGCTCTCGGAAGTCCGACGTGCTGGGTGAAGGCCCCGAAGGCCATGAGGATGGACACCTACAAGGCCCACGAAGTCGTCAATCCTTATCATCACTGCTGCAGTCCGGCAGTCAGGGGCCTTCTTCCTTTCAGACGTTCCTTTGCTCGCTCTCTTCTCATTTGCCATGGATTTATCCCCCATACGCGTTGTCTTGTTGGTTGGTCTACTGGCGGCAAGTGCGGGAGTGCCCCCCACTCCAAAACGGTAAATCCGAAACCCCAAGTCATAAAAGATCAGGGGAAAGGTTACGACACGCGCCCATTTTTACGTTTCTTATACGCCAGAACACGGTGAACGGTACCATTGATAATGGGCAGGCCGATCCGCACTAGTGTATGAAAACGGTTCTTATCTGACGCCTCGCTCCCGTCGATGGATTAACGGAAGATACCTGAACACGCAAGGCTGGTTAGGTAGGCGGCGAAACGGTGCAGGACGGCCCGCGTTACGGAGAGCAAAAACAGAGCCCTGTCCAAGCGTGTTCCACTCACACACAGGAAGAAAGATCGCCTCTATTTACCGAGCAGGCTTTAATGAAGCCTCAGCTGACAGTCCGTCGATGAGTTCCTGGCAGTTTGAATTGGGAAAGGTACACCAATCATGAATATGAATTCGCATATCAGGCAATTCATTCTTCACGGAAAGTGGGGAGTTTGAAGGCAATATGGCAGAAAGCTTGAGACAGAAAAAGAAATGCTTGGTACGGTGAGCCGACAAAAGAAGCGCCCTCAGGTAAGGATGAGTGTTTTTATTGTTCGTATTTGTACACGAGGTTCCCAGTCCCTGGCTACAATCGCAGAGAAACGCTGGGAAATTGATGAGGGTGCCACGAATCGGGAGGGCAAGTGAAAACAAAAACCGCCGAGCTCTCCCTCCCGATCGGGTTCCTTTGAACTCGCTTTCCCTCTTATCCATGATCCCACCATCCATCTATACATGAGGGACATTGGCCCTCGGACCGTGACTTGATCCAGGCAAGAAACACTAGTCGCCCTCCCGTCGTCTAACCCGTCTATTACTCTATCATCCGCCGCAATGGGCACAAGTCCCTTTTTTGATCGAGGTTGGCGGGCGGGCCACGGCAACTGTCGTCGAATCTGATTCCCCGGCACAATACCGGTGGCCACACTGCCACTTCTCTCATCCCGAGTGGACGAAGGAAGAAGTCGTTTAAGTCTGGCACAGCACGTCAGTCGAAAAATCCCGATGCAGCCGTCGCCTGGAAGAGGAAGAAGAAGAAATGGTGGGAGATGACGTACGAACTTGGCCATGAGGGCAATCATGAGGTCGAAAAGACCAATGGCCTCGACGAAGGCGAAACCCAGAATGGCATAAGAGAAGAGCTGGCCACGGAGGGCAGGGTTGCGGGCAACGCCGTTGAGGAGGGCGGCGAAGACGAGACCGATACCGATACCAGCACCGGTCAGACCGATGGCGGCGCTGCCCATACCGATGTTCCTGGAGACCTCAACCATGGCCTGGGCGATCTCGGAGGAGTAGGCACGCTTGGCCTGGGCGTTCTGGAACATGCGGCTGGCATTGGCCTTGAGGGTAACCTGGGGGCGGGCAGTGAAGCCTTCACGACGGGGGAAAATGTCAGAATATCGGTCAATTGGTCGAGTTCGAGGCATTGGTGTTCGGGGATGCCCCAATTGGGCTGTTCCTCGGCTCTTTTTGGTGTTGAGAAATCCTGCTCTCTGCTGATTTTTTTCTTTTCCTTTACTTACCAGTGATGGTGCGCTTGGAGGCGACCTGGAGAGGAGCGGCGCGCACGGCAGGGCGAGCGGCCTTGGTGGCCATGGAGGAGGCCAGCCTGGAGGCGAGGACACGAGTAGAGGCCATTGTGACTGATGGAGAGGTGGTGGTGGATGGGTGGAAGGATGGATGGATGGATGAGTGAGCGTGGGAGAGATTAGAGAGGCTCTGTTCAAGTGGATTGGGTTGAGGAAAAGGTGGAAGAGGTAGAAGAGAGAAAAGCTCAAGAGTCAGGAGGAAAAGCAGAGAGCTCGGCTGGGGAATGGTAAGGGGGGCCGGACGACGGGGACGGAGACTGGAAGCAGGGCTCTCATAGGCCGGCTCGGGTCAAACAGGAGAGCGAAGCGATATTTTTGCTTTGCCGGTTCATAACATAATGGGGTGGAGCAAATTTGTGTGGACCAACTAATAATTTGAGATGATGACGGGAAGGCCTGATGAGCCTGATGAGGCATCCAAAAAGTGGATGTGAAGGACGAGCCGCATGGGAGTCTGTACACTGAGGACGACTCAGCTTGGGTCGGTCCGGGTCAGTCGTGGGCTCGGACAATACCGGGACGGACAACGCTTTCCCAACTTCGCCTGCCATGCACAGGCAAGGCCAGCCAGGGGGGGCCCGTGATGAGAGAGTCCAAGGGCGATGAATTGACTCTTGGCTGGCGACACGAATCATGAAAGTGCGGGTTGGGAACTTAGAGCAGTATTAGGTTCCCTGCGCTTCTGCTCGTACTTCGTACATCGTGATTCACATGACCGAAGGAAGAACGGCTTCTCCTTTGATAAATTTCTACTTTTATTTTTATTTTTTATTGTTGGCTCAACTAAACATTGAGGGGAGTTTTCTTGTGCAAAATATCACCTTCGCGAGTGCTAATGATGAGCATAGTTGACACTAGGGATGCCCATGACGTCTTGGCTGGTACTTCGTGGGAAAAGGGGGGTAAAAATTTTTCTTCTCTTGTTGGAAATGAACTGGTGTCTCGGGCATTTCGTTTGCAGTGTGAACTGGGCGCCAAACGGTCTGTTATCGCAGCGAGGATGCCTCAGGACTGACTGATAGTGGAACACCTGGGCCATTTGTGTGTCCCGGTGATGATGAAGTCTGACAGTGGTTGTGGTTGCGACTGCGACCCCCACTGGGCACCCGGCCGAGGGATCCAGTGCCCCCCACTTTGAGGCGAAATGAATCCAATCACGCGTTCGGTTCCGACGTGACGCTCGCACGTGGGTGGGCCCCTTGTCGCGATAACCGATCCAGCGGTGACAGCAACGAAGGAAAATTCTGCGATTCCACTTTGGGGCTTGAATGTCTGAGGGATAAAAGGGAAGACGGTGCCGCCGTGGTTACCCAAGGGACGATTCCCCTCGGCTTTGACTGACTGTCCTTTCGAATGAACCATTTCTTCCAAAAGGCCGCCTACCGACAACAGTAATCGAACACTTTGACAGGATCTGTCGACGATTTACGCCTGCACAGAAGCGGTGGTGTCGTGACATCTGACCTTTGACAGGCCCCCCTTGCCGCCTTTGCAGCTTCGGCTGTTACGGATACGTACTCTGGTACTTCGAGCGATATTCCCGAACCTGCGTTGTACCTCCGTGCCGTCGTTTTTGGGTGAACTTCCCAACTTGGACGACCCTCGAGACACCATTCACGCTTTTTTTGGGGGCGTGGGTTGGGGGGTGAGGACCTTTTCTTTTTCTTTTTCTTCCTCGAATTGTCATTACTTTGGCATTGGGAGAAACAGCTTGCAGCTGGGCCGAGCTATCGTACACGTATTACTCAACCGAAACCCGAGGTGGTTTGCCTTTGCCCCCTTTATTTCTTCAAGGTAGAAAATTTCGTGCACTGAAATTAGACAGTGGGTCCTGTCTTGGCTGGAAACAACAAAGCCCTGCAAAAAAAAATCTTTTGGGCGAGTTACCCGACGGAGCGCGCCGAACAAGGGAAGGGAGACGAGGGTACTTTCTAGCGTTTCTTTCGGGGAGTTGCCTGAGGCTCTTCGGCTCATGCGTAAAATGACGCATCCTTGCACGGAATCCAAGATCCTGGCGCCCCCAATCTCAGATCCAGCCGGTGGCTGCGTTTTCTGGACGGGACATGCGTCCGCCGTTCCTTTTTTTTTCTTTCTTCCCCTTTCCTGGACTTCTCCTGTGGACGGAACCCTAGTTAAGGGGAGTCGTTCATCCTACAATGCTTCACGAAGATTTGGCTTTGTTATTAAGCTGTGGACGTTGTGTATTGTGTCATTGAATGCCCTAGATGAACCATGAAAGTAAACAGAAATGCCGTGACATTGGAAGCGGTATCCATCTGGCTGGAAGAGAAGACAATTGGCGTTTATCGGCCCGCTTCAACTTTATCCTGAAAAGCGACATGCCAAAGTAAGCCAGCCAATCATGACTTGGCGTTTTCCCTTCAGGTCTGAAACGGAGCCAACGGAGAGTGTTGCACTTTCTTATCCGTACCGTTTAAGTGAAACCAGCTGCCCCCCACCTTGGCATTACGTTAGGAGGGTAAAGTACTGGTACGTAACGACACCTTTTGTCGTGACCGTTTCTGCACAAAAAGTCGCAAATGGATATTATCACCTCGGACACATTTGTACGAAGAATCCGTAGAGTACGGCTACAGGCTTACTTCATTGGGTAACTCTACATTGTGCCTCGAGACCCCGATTCGGAAGTGGAAAGATATCAACGACCAACGACTGTTGGGACGTCCGCCTTATAATTAGCCCACGACATCCGAATATATCCTTGCTTTGCCGATGATATTAATGACCCAGTAAATGATTTGGAAAAGATTCAGGCATTCCTGTGAGGATTGTTAGTGGAGAACCATTAGAATATTTTCAGTCAAAATAAATAAACGATTGCCATTTTTACTGCTCTTCGATGTTCTCTTTGAAACCAATGTCTTTCGCAGTCTTCCGCTTCTGGCCGTCTCCCTCCGTCCAGTCTCACCACTCTGAAGCCATCGTCTAGGTGGGATTCTGAACATATATGACTCTTCTGAGGGCATCGACAGTATCTCTGCAATCCAGACCATCGGGGGTCTTTCTATCGGTCTGCCTACCTATTCGTAAGCCTTCCTGGAAGTCCTAGTCCCGTTACGCCTCCTTATCACCGTCTCTCGACCGCGATTTACATCGACTCGTCGGCTTTGTTCTTTGCAGCAAGTACGAATATGCCTCGTAATTGTCTGGGCTCCGGTCGTCGTCTCGCCCGGCAAGGCAATAAAAATTGCTTCGCTGCCATTCATTGACTTTTGTCGCTAGTCCAGCCTCTTACGAGGCGGTATGCTACTGTGTACACCGGCCCCTGGCTGTGGACGGCGGAAATGGGACAACGACAGAGGGATTCTTACGGGGCACACAGCATGCGTTTTGACTCATCCTTGTGATAGTCCCATTGCCGAGCTCGACGTCTTGCAATGTCTCTGGTTTTCTGGCAATTTCCTTTATGCGAAAAGGGCTTCGGACGATTCCAACTACGGCTTCACTCTGAACAAATGGATCCACAGCTGGATAATCACCCTAGTTTCGTAACGCCAGGCTACGTGTAGTGTGCCCGCTCTCCCTCTACACCCTCGCATCTAGAACGACGTTGGTTGACCCTCCCTCCACAAAGGTCCTGATATTCTGACCCACCACCCGCCGAATATTCATCCGCGTGGCGTCCGCGCACCAAGCCAGATGCGGCGTGAGCACCAGGTTGAGTCCTTCCTTCTTAATCTCGCGGCTCAGGAGGACAGAGTCGGCATCACTGCCGGCCGGTTCCGTCTCGAACACGTCCGTCGCGGCGCCGTAGATGCGCCGCTCCCGCACTGCCGCCAGCAGGGCGCGCTCGTCGACCGTCCCGCCGCGCCCGACGTTGACGATGGTGCAGTCCGGTCCCGCGGCGTCGAGCTCCGGGACGCCGATGATGTGGCGCGTCTCGGCGTTCAGCGGGACGACAACGAAGAGGACCGTCGCGCGCCGGATCACCGTGTGGGATGGGGTGCGGCCCACGGGGACGTCGTCCGGGAGGTAGTCGTAGGGCTTGCGGGCCGCTACGAGGACTTGCATGCCCAGGGAGCGGCAGAGGGTGGCTATGCGCTGGCCTGTGTAAGTACGAACGCAGTTCGGTCAGCTTCCAGTCTTTTCTGGCAGCTACGGTCATGAGCATGAGAGCCGTGAAGGCATGGGTAGCGAGCTGCCTGTGGCAACGAGTATGTGCGAGGTGTTTGGGGTATGGGCTTATACGCACCAATGGGGCCATAGCCCATGATACCGACCGTCTCGTTCTGGCATGTCCTGGGAGGACGGCCCTCGGAGTCACGTAGCACGGATGACATGCTGCCCTTTTCCTTCCAGAGGTTGGGTCGCGTGTCGTCATACTGCAGCATGGCATCGTGTAGGACTGTCAACTTTCGTCTTGTTGCAAAATACTGCAGAATGGTCGTCAGCCGTGGGGAATTGGTGAGGGGAGAGGGTATGTCGTAACACACCATGGCAAGGGCATGCTCCGAGACAGCTTCCACGGTCGCATTGGGGGAGTACATGACGGTGATATTGCGGCTTCGACATTCGTCCAGATCAATATGGTCCGTCCCTACCGATTCGGTGATGACACATAAGCTGCCACGGAGAATAGGAAACTCAGCACAATTCTTCTCTCTCAGCGAACAGATGGAATTTGCAGTAGGGTTTCGCCGCCCTCCTCGGTGTCAGGAGAGAGGTGTTTCACCAACACAGAAAGGTCATACGTACAGATGAGGCGCCTTGCCCAAGGTGGCCGCGTTGATGGGTGTGGTGGTGGTGATCAGGATGCTCGCATCCCGTACTCGAGCAGCCACCAGGTCTGCGTTCTCAGAGGACGTGTAGTCGTATTCAATGATCTCGTATGTGAGGGGAAACACGTCGATGTCTGGAGCGTCAACGTGAATGGCCTCTAACTTGACGATGACGTGATGGGTCGAATCCGGGAGCTTCCTGGGGTGCTTCACATCGCTCTCTGATGCTCCATCCGCCATGGCTTGCTGCGATGTGTTATCTGAACCTGCCTACTAAGTGTGTGGTTGCAAGCCCTGGCCTTAATTTCGTGCTCACCGGGGGGAGGGAAACAGCACAGAAATATATGATCTAGGCATCTTCCGCTCGACGGGAAGTCGGTACGAGGAAGACATCCCATAAATTTACACACATGACGTTGAACGAGCATAACAGGGTAGAACAGGGCTGCCAGACTATCACAAAAGCGGTCAGCTTCCACGTGTACATGTACGACGACGCCACCTGCCTTACTTTTGTTTTGTACTCCGTACAGTACTTCCCCCGTTTGCTCGACTTGACTGAACCTTCACCGTGGTTGCTACGATGTACATGTATCGTCCCATCTCACACCGAACAGTGCCGGATGATCCCCAGCTAACTCCGTACAACCCCCCCATCTGACCCCCAATGCGGGGTTCCCGGCTCGGGAGAGGGGCAGGCAGGGCACATGCACAATGTCCGTCGCAGGGCGCACCACCGCAATTCCATGCCTGCCATCCATCTGTTGTCACGTCGTCGCATACCCCTGAAAAGGGTCTCATACTTTAATCAGTCCAATGGTCAGCGGCAATTGGCCATGTCATCATTCGGAACATGCAATAATGAAGAAGCATTCCTTTGATTTCAGGCGACCCAAGAGACACATCCAGCCTATACACGCTCGCCCTCGAACTCCCTGGACCCTGTTCTCCTTGTCTGAACCATCTATTTTTTGAATGTAGCGCTCCTCCCACCATGCAGCGGCGGGGCCTTCCTCGCGCCCTTGGGACCCTCTTCGCCCGTCTTGGAATAGGGGTCGAACGTCTTCCTGCCTTGCGTCCTTTGCCCATTTCGGTTTGCGTGCAGGACTGTGCTGGCCTTCCCATAGTCGAAAGGCACCTGCTTCTCCTCTGCCTGGCTAGCCGCCGCCGCCGCAGCAGCCTCCCGTGCAGCCTTCCCCGCAGCCTTCCCCGCCTTCTTCCCCTTATTCGGCGGCTGTGCTTTCTTTTCTGCCCGTCTCGCCGCCCTCCTTTTGGTCTTGGCGGCCTTGCGTTCCGCCTTCTCCCTTGCGCGCTGGGCCTCCTCGTCTTCGAGTCCAATCTCCTCCTCTGCGTCGGACTCGTCCTCTTCCCCTTCGTCTGCCCCGGACGCTTCGTTGAGTTTGCCGCCCGCATCCTCTTCGTCGGCGTCCGAGTCCGAGTCTTCTTCGGAACTCGTGTCATCCTCCTGCTCCTCCTCCTCCTCCTCGCCCGCCGTCTTCTTACGCTTGACCCCGGCTCTTAGTGTGAACTCCTCGTTCGCAGATTCTTCTTTCTCCTGTGTCTTGGGGCATGACTTCAGTGCCGCACCACCGGCTTCGGCTGCGGCTGCGGCATCTTTATCGACCATCTCCACGTCGACCGGCGTGGTCGTTATCAGGCGGTTCGCCGTTACGGCTTGGAGTAACCTCTGCCACGGCAATAGAACGTATTCCCCGTCTCTCTTAGCCGGTGCCTTCGACTCCCACATCGTACTCGGTGGCACATTTCCGTAGAGCTGAGAACGCTCCATTCTCCCACACTGAGCCTCGTCAACCAAGCCCGGTGCTGCCACCGTATCGCGTTGGGAGGTCCGTTCAGGAACAGACTCAAGACTTCTGTCCTGAAAGAACGCGAGCAACGACGGCTCGTTGGCACCCCGGGTTCGCGCTTCCTGGAAGAGGGCCCAGATATCGTTGACCGCCCGTTTGGCGATTACGGCGTGGTTGGGGATCAAGCTATGCAGGGCCTTCGCATCAGGCGGCATGTACCGAGCAATATCCGCGACGGTAGAATTGGGGAGCACGTATCCGGTGCTCTCGTCGAGGGAACGGGCTCTCTCGTCTCTCCACTTCCAGAGCGCCTTGTAGACGGCAAATTGTGCCCCGGAAAAGGGCAGTGGATTCTTGAGAAGAATGTTGAACCAGCCCTTGGGACCTTGGCCTGTCTCGGCGTCGAAACTCGCGCCTTCGTACCGGCTGAGAGACTGCTCTCTGGATCTCTGCACCACTTTCGCTATGAAGTCGGTTTCCGATTTGCTCCGATCGGAAGCCTTGATGACCTCGTTTCGGATCATGTCGTAGATGTAGAGCAGGTAGTGGGTGTCGGATCGCGCGTAATAGAACATCTCCTCGGGGAGTGGCCTAGGTTTGGTTAACCCTGAGAAGAAATGTTGAAAGATTCCACGGTCGACTTACCGGATACGCCAGTCGGCCATCTGGTATTTCTTATCCGCGTCAAAGTCCACGAATCGCTTGAGAAGATACGCCAAGCTCCTTTGGGGATAGCCAAGAATATCCGCAGCGAAGTACGTGTCGAAGAGGCCGTTGATGTAAAGACCCAGATCTCTCTGTAACCAAATGATGTCCATGCGGGCGCCGTGGAATACCTACATGTCGAATAAGCTTAGAGAACGCAGGGGCAACTGCTCGGGACATTATCTCACCTTCACAATGCTCGGGTCCGCAAAGACCTCGTTGAGCACTTCGAGCCGGTGGCGCCACGGCTTCAGTGTATCGACGATCCAGTCCTGGTCGCGCGTGCTGATTTGCATGAGAGAGAGAAGGCCGGTATACGACCTGTAATCATGATGTTCCAGATCGATTGCAATCTCCTTTGCCTTCTTGAGTTCCCCTAGCATGTTCAACACTCCTTCGTAGCTGTCTACCCATATGGCCTTGGTGCTATCTATCGGCTTGTATAGAACGGGGTCGGTGGACTGGTAAACTTGTGCAGGGTATTTTGCCTGCAAGATCTCGGTCTCGTACGGGTGTCTGTACCTATGTTGATCGGTTAGAATCGCATATTGCTCCACACAACGGTGTAGATGGCTCTATCAAGTGCGCCTCCAGCGACAGGCGTTTCGGGTGAAGAGTAGGGGTCGGGTAGGGGTCGGGGTAAGGAAAGGGAACAGTCATACTGAACGAAGCCTGGATCGCTCTGAATCTTCACAAGACTCTGGTCCAGCCCGACCGTACCGTGTGGTTTTTTGGTAAGAATGGGTTTCCACTGCGTATTATTGTCGACTGGCTGCTCAAATTCAAGCTGGGGCTTGGCCATGTTGGCATTTCGCATGCTATAGGCGAGCGTGGTCTTGGGCTTCTTCGCCTGTTGGGTCTGCTTTTCATGGGGTCAATAAAGCAAAAAAAAAAAAAAAAAAAAAAAAAAAATCCGCGCCAGGCCTTCTGAATTGGCATCATTTTTTTCTTCGGTTTTTCTTCAAAGAGACTCACGTTATCCGCGGCAGGTGCATCTTTCCTCTTCAGCACGCCGGTGAACTCGTCAAGGGCACGATCCGTTCTCTCTAACATCGTGTCGAGAAGATCGACAATCTTGCGCCATTGCAGATCCACGTCATCTGCGTCTTCCAACGGCGGCAACTTGCCCTGGCCACAGACCGCAGCGGCCGAGTTGAGAAGCTTGGACGAAAGCTCGAGCAGGCGTGTGGTTTGGTCGTCGAGGTCGTCGGCGACGGACGGGTTGACAGTCCGCTGGAAGGAGAGGTCCTCGGCGGCGAGTCGGTTGGCCGATCGGGTGGTCGAGACCAAGGCGGACTGCACCTTTTCTTGGAGAGCCTTGAAGCCTTCCTGCGAAGCCATGGCGACAGTCGGCCTGTAGCTAGATTGACGATGGGACGGTAGGTAGTGTTTAGGTCCCGACTCGAGCGTTGTTTGGAGGACGCTGGTCGTCGCCCAAATTTCCTGCAATGCCTGTCTGAAAGAAGCGGAGATAAGATAAGAAGGGTTCCCGTTTTATCGATAGTGTACAGCACATTGGGCCACTCGTCCTCGTACCTCCCTCGGTTACAAGTTACGAAGTTGAGACAACAAGAGGTAGTAGGATGATGGTTTCAGTACGAGTAATCCAGCAGAATGATTTCCCGTAAATATGAAGGTATTGTTATTTGTCGCTGGTTTATCAGGGCTTCTGATTTCAGTAAGGTAGGTAGTTGCTAAAAGCGGCGATACTGGAATTAGCAAGTCGAGTTGGGAGCTTACACCGGGAGTCTTGGCAAATTCTTGACGAATCATTTTCTGAGCTGGCACTGAAGGTCACTGAATGTCTCTTACCAAGTACCTTACCTTACCTTTACCTCAACTTGACAGACTGACCTGACCGTCCATGTCACTTTACTCTTCTTGAAAGTAGACAGCCTCATCTTCTTTCATCATATATCCATCTCTCCCGTGCTTCTCTGTTTCCCCCATCCAATTTGCTGTCTCCGAGCAGCAGCTTGAGTTCAGCCAAGATGTCAGCCTCTCTTGCACCTGAATGCAACGAGGTGAAAGAGTACGTTCGACGTTCGATGCCACCCAACAATCATAGTGACGAGGTGAAGAGGGCTCATCAGTTACTATTTTTTCTTTTCTAGGCGCTACGACACATGCTTTCTAAAGTGGTACAGCGAAAGTATGTTGACCTGCGCCTCCTGTTCGGCAAGGCTTTCCTTAGAGGCTCACTAACGATACAGAATACCTCCGGGGTGTCGGCAGTGACAACAATGAGTGCGCCGACTTGTTTAAGAACTACCAAAGTTGCTTAACGGTATGTCGCATTTCTATGGTTATTTGGACAGATACACGGCTCACAGGGAAGCAGACGGCCATAAGGGAAAGAGGAATCGACAAGCTGGTCGACGAGGCACGGGAAGACCAGAAGGAGAACGACGCCATACACATGAAACGAAAATGTGAGTTTGATGGCCACTGATGGCCTGTATCCTCTTTAAACGACCACTCGAATCTGATAGGAAACCGCAGGAATACAATGAGCCTTTCATACCCCCGGCAGGACTGCAATTATTCACTGGGATACTTGGTGTTCAAGGAACTGATTTGGGAGGGTGAGGAAATGGGTACAAGTTGGAGCCACGGAGAGCGTTTTATGTGCTTACATGTGAAATATATTTCGATTTTAGACGCATCTCAACTTTAATTGCTTATTCACATTTAGGTACACAACTGGCACCATCTCTCCATATTCCAAAGTTCATCGCTGTTTGGAGACTGATTGAACATCGAGGGCAAAAATGGACAGACGTAAGGTACCTAGTGACGCTGTGGCTGTAGCTGTGGCTGTGGCTGGTGAGTTTCCCGATCCGTCCAAGAAGGGGGAAAAAATAAGAGAGTGGATCCCCGTGTGTACATGTGTACATGAGACACGTAGGTACGTCCCTCCAAGACACCTCAGGCAAGGGAAGACAAGACGGCTTCACGTCCAACCAAGTCCAGCCAATTGCGGACACGGACATGCCAAGTCTACCCCATCACTTTCCCGATCCCGTTCCCATGGCCCCCCCCCCCCCCCCCCCCCCCCCCCCCCCCCCCCCCCCCCCTTTACGCCGGACGACGAGCACCATCTTTCGCACCGTACCGTGGAGCTTTTGACTTGCGATCCTCAAATTTACAGTCCCAAAATCCCGTTTATCGAATTCCACCCACCCCTGGTGCCGACCTGTATCCGTATTCGCAGACAAGCAAGAGCCCAGTCCAGCCTAGCCCTCCACTAAATACGGATAACGGCCGAGTGTTCGCCTAGGCTTCTTTCTCTCTTACCGCGAAGCACCCGCAACGTCGGAGAGCTCGAAATTACGGACAAATAACTATCTTCAAGCTTGACCTGAGCTTCGAAAGTCTCGTCCCTCGTGCCTCACCCCTCCGACGCCGCAAGCTTTTGCGCCTCCCGATCTACCTACGCCCACGCGCTTTCGCTTCCCCCACACTTCTCGGCATTCTCTCCCTTTCACCTGGGTCTCGCTCTCGCTTTCCCTGCCTTGGCATTCTCTTTCCCAAGCTCGGCATGCGGTGCCCAGAACAGTAGCCATTCTATGCACCCCCTCTCTATCCTCAGCCTTGCCATCTTCGTTGCCGGCTACACCACCGCTCGATGGGACCTCGTTACTCGCCTCTATGAACTTGCCATCTTTGCCTGGGATCACGGAGTCGTTGTGAGCATACACCCTTCAAGCCCCTTTAGTCCTCCTCGGTCTGCTGCCCTTCGTGGCATGTCGTGTTTCCTGACAAACCTTGGGTAATTGGTTCTAGACTCGCGCCGCGAAAGGTTTTGCTGTCCTCACCTTCGTCTTCTGCCTCGTCGTCATTCCCGTGGAACGCTTGGCAGAAAGGGAGGCACGCTTGGTACGACTTTTACCCTCCCACAGTTCCCCTGCCGTTTTTATCCCGTCCTCCGACCCGTCAATGCCTTTCCGACCTCGACCAACGGTGGCCCCTCCTCTTTCATGCGATTCCTCTGGGCACGTGGAACTTGACAGTATCTTGGCTGACGATGGCACTTTGCGCAGCACCCTAAACTCGGTCCCGGCGTTTCGGCTCGAGAACAACTGCGGCGGCGGGGCTCTTTCTAACCGTGCTGCACCTCGACGCAGCTTGCGGTCATGCCAGAGAGCAATGGCTTAATGAGGATTTTCTGGCCCACAGACATCCAACGGTCCGAGTCACCCGGTGTCGTGGTGGGATGGAGGAACTCGCTGTTGGATGTCTTCGTTGTGGCTATCCTTGACCATGTCGATGTTCGTTGTGTTCTGCGCCCCCTCCACCCCCCCTTGCTTATCGGCTCGCGACTTGTCCATCCAACTGACGATCGCCTAGGCCGGCCACGTCGAGTTCGCCTTGAAAGTCGGCACCCTCTTCAAGAACTCACCGTACCCAGTCAATACCGTGTATGAGCGATGCGGACACTCGTCAACGCACGTACTCGGTCTCACCAACGCCGGCGACGCCGTGGTTCTGGACCCATACCTCTTCCTTGCTACGACCGCCGGCCCCGTAAAGGTCCCCCGCGTTACGTGTGCGCAGGCCACCAGCATTCAAATCATACTCTACGACAGACCATTGCCGAAGCGGATGCAGTACATATCCTTGAACCCCATCGCGCTGGCCTTGGACAACCACGACAGCACGCACGGCGCCCCGGAGACCGAAACAGAGCTTGAATATGAACGGCAGGAGGATGAGAAAAAGGCACAAAAAAGGAAGCTGGTCGAGAAGATCAAGTTGCATAGCATCATCCAGCGCTCCCCTTCCGCCAAGGAGAAGGCTCTGCCCAAGATCGTCAACCAGGTCAATTGGGCTTGGGAAGTGGAGCAGTTGCTGCAGAAGAACGTCTCGTTGATCGGAACGCGGCCTAAGAGGACATTGAGCGTTTCGGAACGTGTCGTCGAGCACGCCGCGACCATGCGGGATTATATCTGGGACATGATCCTGCTCTACGTCTTTCCCATCATACAATGGGGCTTCATCTATCTCCTGATGACCCATAGAATTCTTGCAGAGATACTACTCCAGGTGCTCGAGTGGCGAGCACGGCCGCGGTATGCTGCGCTGAAAGATATCTCAGCGACAGCACAGCAGATCGAGATCAGACTACAACAGTTCTGCTATTGGCCGCTCCAGTACATGACCCTGCGCCAGCGGAAGAACAACTGGGGAAGCATTACGACGAGCCATCCGGAGTACATTCGGTTCTATAATAGCCTTTGGCTGGTGGCCAACGATGTCATCATCGGCATCGCTCTCGGCTCCTACATCATCGACAACGCGGACTGGGTTGCCAATACGATGGGCCATCTCTTGAGAACTTACGCCGTCAAGGCCCTGCAGCGGAGCATATCATGGCTGATGGGCTGGCCAGCAGGCTTGAAGTTGAACAGCGAGCTGGCGTTGTTTCTGGGTGACCTTTTCCTCTGGGTCATCGAATACTGGTCGAGTGAGTTCTCCACATACATCTCCTCGAGTGTCTGGCATAGCTCGGAACGCTGACCTCTTACTCTTCTAGGCTGCATCGAGACCTTACAGCCAGCCTTGCCGCACATTGTCTGGTTCATCGGATTCTCCAGCCTCGCAGGAGCAAGCATGCCCATTGCCATGTTTTCTGACCTGCTGTCCGTCTTGACCGTCCACATCCACTCGTTCTACCTTGCGTCTGCCCGGATCTATCACTGGCAGCTGACGATCCTCATCTCTCTCTTCCACCTCTTCCGCGGCAAGAAGCACAACGTGTTACGTAACCGTATCGACTCGTGCGACTACGACCTTGATCAGTTACTCGTCGGCACCATCCTCTTTACGCTCCTCTTCTTCCTCCTTCCGACTGTCGTGGTCTTTTACCTCAATTTCGCCATTGCCCGAATGGTCATCATCAGTCTCAAGGCTGTTTTTGATACTCTGCTTTCCTGTCTGAACCACTTTCCCCTGTTTGCTCTCATGCTCCGGGTCAAGGACCCCCGACGGCTTCCGGGTATGTTTGCACACTGTTACTCGCTGGTATGTTACGCCGGAACTGACGACCGAAGGCGGAATCCGATTTGAACTCAGAGATACCCATCATTATAAGCTTAATTCTAATGCCCCTAACGACCCGCCAACATCCGTCATCTACCTCAAGGTAATTACTTCTTTTGCCCCACCCTCGTTTTTGCGTTCTCCCTGGGGCGTGTTTCCTCCGTCGTTGTCAGCATCTAATCGCCTATAGTCCATTCCCCTCACTTTCCGAGCCATGTTCCATCAATATTTCCGGATGGGAAGCCGTATCCGCAAGCACTACCTCTCGCCCGGCGTGCTTCTCTGTCTCTTGACAGGCAAATTTGTCCCGCCCATTAACCGTAAGAAGCTGTACAGCCTGCAGTATAGCATGCTTCCAGCTACGCGGGCTAGCATCCGAGAGATGTGGAGGGCTGTGACGGTGCCGTCGCCCACGCCTACTTGGAAGCAGATCCCCATCATCCTGAACGGGCGGCGATATCCAACGGGTCTTGGAAGCGGGGGACGGACGAGGTCTCGTCACTAGATCGCGTGGGGGACAAATAAATGAAAAGTAGAGTTAATTAACCGTTCTGGATAGCTTCCTTTGATGTCTTGCTTCCTCCCTTTTTACCCACCAGTGTTTCACAAGGTCCCAGAGGCAATCTGGGCTCGAGTCACGGATCCGATAATGAAAAATAGGTTGAGTACCTACTCTATACACCCATCCCGGATGCGGCACTGAATTGCTTTGGAATCGGACCTTCACTCTTCATTTCTCAGCTCAAATCAACCAACCCAACAACCAGAAAGGATAAGACGGTGTAATGAAGATATCGATTGCCAATATGCATGCCGAGTAATTGCCTTATCTAGTACAATCGAGCGCATCCATGCAGCTCATGTTACATGCTACAGGTGCTTGTAAGAAAGCATCTCCCATTCTCTCGATCCTCCGTACCCTTTAAACCACTTGAGGTGTCCCTCCGTCTCCGCCATCAGCATAACAGAGGAACGACCCTTACACAGGCTTGTTCACACCTCAAGCGGTCTATTATCCGAGGGGGAAAAAAGAAAAAGAACAAAAAAAGCGAGAACCCAAGCTCCTCCCCCTTCCCCTCGGCCGACGGATATATTACGAGAGAAACAAACCCATGCGTTGTCACAAGTAGACCCGCGGGCCTACTTATCCTGGGCGGACTGGGCGAATAGTTTGATAACACAACGAAAAAAGGGAACCCCATCTACATCCCGTCAAAGTCGCCGCCTAGGTCATCTTCGTCAAGGTCTCCCTCTTGAATCTCCTTGGCCATCTCTCTCTCCCTCTCCCGGGCCTCCTGAGCGTTCTTAAGTTCGAGGCGATGTTGGTTCATAGGAAAGCGCATGGCCTAAAGGGGAGAAGAATTCGTCAGCTCGTTGCCCTCATTGAGGAGTTGTTGTTAAGGCAAGGGGTCCAAGAAGCATACCTTGACACTCTCATCGTGTAGGGCCAGACAGGCACGGATTCTCTCGTGGAAGGCCTCGCCAGGCTCCCGTGTCGCATATACATCCCCGACCTCTTTGCTCTTCATAAAGCCCCTCTCTCGGTCGAGAGTGGCTTCGATGACACCATCGCGAATAGCCTTGGCCACGATGTACTCTGCTGATTCTTCACTACCGAGGCGCAGACGAATGCAGATATCGCGAAGCGAGATACGAGAGTAAGACAGTGACATCATGCGGATGCCGGTCTTGATCACGTTTTGCCGCAGGCGCAGGATAAGAGTGTACGTGCCATCGCGCCGGAAGGTATCGGCATGATCAGCAATGATCGTCTCGAAATCACCCAGGTTACCGATACGCACAGCCTGGACAAGCAGAAAGTAAGGCTGGAGAGCCAGCTCGAGAGTCGGTTGCCGGAAAGTGGATCGCTCTGGAATGTCACCCATCAACAGCTCGACAACGAGCAGCAGTTTGGTGGTGGTGGCCGAGAAACCCGCAGCGCAGGCGCTTGATGGGGCTTTCCTCGTGGCAGCCGTCAAGTGCTCGTGTGCCTCCGTGTAGCGCAGCTGGATGGCGCGAATTCGTCCCAGGTAGTACAAGAAACGGGCAACCTGGTTGTTAACCGCATTCTCGGGAAACTGGGTGTGAGAAACTAGAAGATCAGCCTGGGTGATGTGGGAGGTCGACAAATAGTTGCGCAACAAGAGAACGATGACAGAAGCCTGTGTATCAATGTCCTTCCGAAGTACGGCGGTACGCAGAGCTGCCAGGAGAGTTGGACGGATCGAAACGACGGGCGACTGAGGAGACGGAGGCTGGGGCGCGAGCTGCTCGCAGAAGAGCGAGTAATAGAAATACACCTTGGCCGAGAGGGAATCTAATGTCCGGCGGTTGAGAGATTGAACACGGTCGGCAAGGTACTTCGAGAACTCGGCACCGCGCTGGAACTGCTTCGAGTCGAACAGATACACTTGTATGAGAATGCCGAGGAAGATGTCAATCTCGGGAATGATTTCCTTGACCTCCTTCGTGGCGCCGTTCTTGGGTGTCTTCGCAGACGACTCATTGTCGACTTCCATCTCAGAGCTGCCAGAACGACCCAATGGCATGTTTTCGCGGCCGATGGCAATAAGAAGCTGCTTGGCAGCAAGTCCGGATGTGACCATCGCAGGGAAAGTATCCACGATGGCTTGGGCAATGATATCCGGGTCGAGGCGCTTGCGGAACAGCGAAATGGACCGCAGTGCTCGGAGAGAAAATCGGGCATCAAATAAGGCAACGGCTCGGTCCAGCAAGGCGAAGTTGCCCTTTATTTCTAGAACCAGTCAACAGTGTTAGCATCCGGACCTGACATGAACCTCCAGGCAGAGAGGTAAAGTGTGAATGTTTCAACCACCCACCAGCTACAGTCTGGGCAACTGGGTCGACCTTAACGGCCTCGTCATTGACCTTATCTTCATCCATGGTGGTATCTTCATCGGTATCGGGCGTTGGACCGCCAGACGACTGTTTCGAGCCTTTCGTGGGCGGTACAACAACAGTCATCTCTTCTTCGCTGTCCTTGACACCCTTCTTGCCCTTGGACTTCCCGTCCTTCATTTCGACGTCTTGTCCGTTCCTGACACCGTTTTCGAGCGGCTCATTCCCGTTGCTACTGGGAGTCTTTCCCGGCATGACGACGGAGAAGGGAGAGCAGGGACGAGAAAAGGTGCGACTGTTGTATAGATAAGGTGCCGGTTTTGATTGGGGCACGAGGAAATTCGTCTAGGGGAAGAGGCAAGCGCGAGCAGCGGAGAACAACAGGAACAGATTGCGCCTGGCTGTTGGAAAAAAAGAAAGATCAGCTCCAAAAAGGAATGAGTATGATGCTGATGCAGAAGGCAGGTAAGCGGAAAACAAGATGGTAATCGGTGGATAGGCCACTGTCGCCGATGAGTGATGGTGGTGGCCGTCGTTGCTTTGTCTTGTGATGCAAGAAGGTTCGATGGAGCGACGGAGCGTGACCGGGACGGGAGCAGCTTCAAAGATCTCATGCACTGGCCAGCGCAGCAAGGACCAATGTTAATCCTAAGCTACATGAGTTTGTATGGGCGTTTTGCGCGTGGAGGAAGTACCGAGTACTTTATATGCACTAATTCAGGAAATTGCTGAGTCCGGTTCAACGCTTGCAGGGAGGCGAGCGATAGGACCCCGGTACACGTGTACTTCGTAGCTTAGGCAGGCGCCCAGTGTATGGTGACGTTGTCGATGTTGCCTGCGAAAGTCATTTCTGCTTATTTAATCAACGCCTTCTTGGTGGATTGAACTTCGATCTTTTTATTACAAAATACTTATAAGAGCCTTGCGAACTTTAACCGATTGGCGATGCGTCGTGTATTCTGGGTGTACCAAAGTACCCTATTCCTACAGCTCTACCTCAGGTCGGTAAGACCATATTACCTAATTACTGAGGATCTTAGTGCGAACGAAGTTGGTACACTGTATGTGGTCAATACTGTATGGCGAGGAGCGCGACGTTTCACTTTGATCCTGTTCTTCCTGAACGGCAATCAACCATCACCACTTACGGATTCTCAACATTCCCCAAAGCAAGTCCGACGTGCCATAGAACATCAGAGTGGCTGCCCTCAGGATCTGAACATCGTGAAATATACTTCGCGAGCACGATGAACCCGCAGGGCCAGCCTGTGCAGGGGCAGCCGAACGCGATGGCTGCCCAACAAGGTTCCGTAGGCCATCCAGCTGCGGCTACTCAGCGATCAATGTACCGACCGGAGATGATGCGAAACCTTCCTATCCTCAATGAGGACGAAAAGAACAAATACGAGCGTGGCCTTAGGGCGCTGTGGACTACCATGGAAGGCAACCCCGAGGATTCGGCGCAGCATCAAGACGCGAAAAAGAAGATTCAAGACTTCACCAAGATGCTTATGGGGAAGCTGCAGGCGCGTCGGTTGCAGCAGCAGCAGCAGCAGCAGCAGCTCCAACAGCAACAACTTCAACAGCAGCAAAATCCACAGCAACAAAGTCAACAGCAACAAAGTCAACAGGCTCAGCAAAATCAACCGCCTCAGCCAAATCAACAGCCTCAGCCAAATCAACAGCCTCAGCAAAACCAACAACCTCAGCAAAATCCACAGGCCCAGCAAAGTGTGCAACAGAACCAACCTCCCTCCCAGCCACAGACCAACGTGGTCCCCGCACAGCCCGCTGCTTCTGACACCGCCTCTGGCCCTCAAGAACCCGCAGTTAAGACGGAAATGGCAGGGGGCAATTCGTCGTCGAAGCCTGCTGGTCCTCCCGGCACCGCGAGCGAGCCGCCGTCGGCTCCAGGTCTCGCATCCGCAAATCCAACCATGCCACAGCAACCGGCCCCTCAGCCCTCTCAGCAGCCGACAAACTCCATTCCTGAGCATATTCTGAACCATGTACGATCCATGACCTTCAATCCCCCGGTTCAGATCGCCGAGAAGGGCCAAGAGGCTGCCTCAAAGTGGACCAACGAAATGCGGCACCGCTACGTCCGCTCGCTGATGCAGATGGAGCATGCCGGGACTCAAATCCGAAAGATCAATAGCGCCATCAAAGATCGTCAAGAGAAAGGAAACCCACCAAGTCCCGAGGAGATGAAGCAGCTTCAGATCAGAAGAGATCACAATCAGAAGCTGTATCACGATGCCCAGCAGTTCGTCCACAGCTTCAGAAAAGCCCAGGAAATTACTAAGGCCAGTGCACAAAACGCGGCGGGAGCCGCTCGACCTCCCCAGCAGAATAGCACGGGGGCGGCTGGGCCTGGTTTGCAGCCTGCCCCAACCGCCGGCCAGGGTAATTTACCCCAAACTGGTAGTCACCCACCGGGCCCTGGGGTGCAGAACGTACAGAACGTGCAGAACCAGCAGGCGCCTGGCAATGCCGAGGCCGCAAAAGGTCAGCAGGCAGGGCCGCCAATACAAGCCCGGGGCGCAAACGGCGCCCCGATGCAGCAACCGCAAGCACAACCTCAGGTAATGGGACAGCAGGCATCAGTCGTGACCACACAGCCAACGGCTGCCGGACTATCACAACCTGCCGTCCCTTCCACCCAACCCCACCAAGCAGCAAATACCCCTGCGGCCCCCGTCGCGGCAGCACCTTCATCGACGCCTGCGCAGCAAGGTTCCACCCGGATTCAGACGCCGCAAACCGGAATCCCGGGCGCCAGTGGCCAAGCACTCACCCACTCGGCTGCCGTCTCCCGAGCAAACCAACGCGTCAATCCACAGTCTTCTACAAACCTGCCAGGCCAGGCAGGTATGGGCACACCTGGTACATCTGGCGTATCCGGTTCTATTGGCCAGGGAGTTATGGGCTCCGGTGCTGTCAGCAGCAACAGCTCTCAACAAGGCCATCCCCACCTCCACCCGGCTCAGCCTTCGCAGCAACCACAACCCTTACATCCCAAACTTCCAATCCCCAAGCAGCTGCACGAGAAAGCCACCCAACCTCCACAGCCAGTCAACATAACCGGCGGCGCGGGAGCTGGTCGACCCACTTACACCGGCGGAAACGGCATCGCAGGGGGTGTTATGGGCCAAGCCGCGATGCAGAAGATTCCGGTCTACTCACATGAGGCGGAGGGCGACCATGTTCTGAGCAAGAAGAAGCTCGACGAGCTCGTTCGTCAAGTATGCGGTGGTACAGCTGAGGGACAGGAAGGCAATTTACTAAGTCCTGAAGTCGAAGAGGTAAGTGGCTGTGCTTCGTCCCTGACAAGAAAAGGAGAAGCCCACGAAGAACATGTGCCAAGGCAAGAACACTGCTGACCCAGGGCGTGCACCGCAGAGCGTTCTTACCATGGCGGACAGCTTCGTTGACAACGTTCTTAATGCTGCCTGTCGCCTTGCGAAGGAACGGGGCTCTAAGGTGCTGGAGATCCGCGACATTCAACTCGTGCTTGAGCGCACGTACAACATCCGCGTGCCGGGCTACTCCTCGGACGAGCTACGTACCGTGCGGAAGGTACAACCGGCGCCTGCGTGGATTACCAAGATGAGCGCCATCCAGGCTGCGAAGGTCACTTCTGGTAAGACCGAATAGTGTTCGGCCCAGCCATTCAAGGGACAGAAGGCTCGCAATTCTCGTGCGCGGTCCGAGTTTTACTATAGGCAGGGAAAGAACCGGGGGCCGGCCCAATATCAGGCTCAAGGCTACGAACCAGCAAGTTCCTCCGGCAGCATTCGGCAGCAGTCGGAGGAATCCCAAGCGGACGCGGCACAAATCCAGGCGGTTGAAACGCGTCCTGGCTCCCGCGTCCGGCTTGTAGTCGAAATGATGGAATGATGGAACATTCTCTCGTCCAGGACCCCGACCTTTCATTTTTTTTTATATAAAAAAGAAGAAGAAAAAAAGAAAGAAACCGGTATACTTTTGGCAGTCGGGTTAATGAACATGACAGGAGTTAGGGGATGGACAGGCATATTGGTGGAGAGGGACCAAAGGCGTTTCGGCAAGGTAAAGGTTCTCTGGAACTAAGAACGGCGCTGGGGAAATCGGGCGCCAATTTCCATAAAATGAAGGTTGACTTTAGTTGCCCCGCTCCCCTGTGAGCTCAGCATCAATTACCTTGCTATTCAAGCTTGAGGATGATTTTCGCTAATACTGTTCTCTAGTCTGAAGTTGTTTAGTCTTTTGTAAGTTTCGCCGTGGGTGCCCTTGGTAGAGCTGGTATGTCCGGTATCATAGGGTGGTCCACGGAGCTACGAGACTGCAGACGTGCCGGCCTTGTCTGACGTGGAGCTATGAAGCTATCCGTACATAATTTACATCGACCATTATTCCTGAGGCTTGCAAGACGAATATCAAGTTATCCCAGTGTCCTGACCACCCCCCGTCCGCGTCGTCGGTCACAGAAGGTTCCGGTCACGATGTCACGGTACGGTGGACGAAAGAGAGGGGTCCGCATAGCGGCCCAGGAAGAATTCAGTGTTTTGGCCGAGTCGATGAGGATCATGCGGCATTGCCCAAGTGTCCCCATAGTTGCGTGCATGACGCCGAAAATTATGTACCCTGAACCCCAGGGGCAGGAAATTGGTTGGTCTAGGCTGCTGAAGAGATAAGTCGGAAGACTTCCCTCCTGGTGGGAAAGGGCCTAGGTATCTGTGAAGGACGCATGCGCGCACTACTTGGACATTGCCCCCCGTAGCCCAAGTGATCGTCATCATCACATTCCTAGTGCTTCCCGTAATTGCCTCATTGGGTGCCCATACCTACTGTGGCCGCCGTGTTCGGGCCTCATGGACGAAGGTTCGGGTGCACATATGTACTGCATAGGTAGTGGTTCGCACCAATGCTCGTGGCGAAGAAGAACAATCCGGGTGCTTATCATCCCCATCTCTGCAATTGCCCTCCTTTTGCGTCTCCAGTCGAGTAGCGGTTGAACATGCAAAGCAGACAAAAATAATATCGGGGTTTCTTGAAATATACATCTGTGGACATGGAGATGAGGAAGATGAAGTGTGGAGGAAGTTCTGCAGAGGGTGGTCAGCCAGCCAGCCAGTCACTGCCTAGACCTCCACCCCCTCCTCCTCCAGGACACTCTACTATGGATGGTGTGAAAAATGGGAAGAGACCAAGTCCTGCGCAGGCTCGCAGTATGTGCCGACAGCTTTGAATTTGAATATTTGCCTTCATCATCGCGCCATCATCAAGCATCTGTATACCTCGCCCCACTGCAAGGCGTCCAAGTAGAGATGGGCAGGGAACATACGGAGTGCGCATGTGCGCATCCGTATACCTGGGTACTGCATGCGCAGAGAGCGCGCAATTGCGCGCAGCAACAGCAGCGTCTGGAGTGAGAAAGAAAAAAAAAAGGCGAGAAAGAAGGGCATGTAACCTTCGACGCAAATCGTTTCTCCTCCTCTCAGACACTATGGTGGCTGGTTGATCCTGGAGCTAGAGGCGGATGAAGCATTGGTGCCCAAAAGTACGACAGAGTATCAGTTGCCCTAGCCAAACGACTACAAAGGTGACACAGACCGAGGCCAGATCAACCGAAGGATTAGGAGGGTTCTGTTACATAGTTAAATGATGAGTCCTCGTATAAGAGAGAGAGAAAAGGGATGAATTGGCGGATCTGCGCAACCTGGATGGTCATTGAATGCTCGCGATAATTAGCAGTCGCGCACATCCGCAGATAATCAGCAGACACATGATAAACGCTTGCAGCCAACTGAATCAGCAAGATATTTAAGATATGTACCTACCAACATCCCCAACTATCCTTTGCCCTTTAACAGCCGAATCCGCTTCCTCCTCACCATCCTACTGTTCTGTTCTTCCTCATCTTCTTCCTGCTGTCTGTTTTCCTATCTGGGTTAATTCAAGGTGTGCATAAGGCCTCACTTTGTTCACCGGAACTTGACTGAAGTCGAGTCGACTCGGGTGTCTCGCACATGTTAAGGCTTGAAGCGCCACATCCACATACCTACCTTACCTACGTACTAATTACAGACCAGACGCATAAGATCGCAATCGAAACCCGCGCCACAGCCACGGCCGCAGCCAACCTTCAATTGGAGAGTTACGAAGTCCGGGATACGAAGCACGAACAATAGTTGCAGACAGGGCCACCAATCTTACAGAAGTACGAATAATTAATAAAAAGGTAGCTACCAGAAGCCACAAAAAAGAACAGTGACAGCAGCAGCGACGGCGACGGCGACGGCGACGGCGACGCCATCCGCCTGTTCCACGAAGTCAATATACCTTATAGTGTACCTTCCACCGACTCTGAGCCCGCACCCCCACCCTCCAGACCTTATTATTGCTTCCGCATCCTGATTACCTGCTCCAACAATCCCTACATCTTCCGTTTTCCTGTCCCTCTCCCTCTCCCTCTCCCTCTCCCTCTCCTTTTTCCACTCCCTTCCTCTCCCTTTTCTCTGTCAGGTTTACCTACCCTGCCTGCAGAGCATCTTCTAGTTGTTCTTCGGTGCCTCAATTTACTTACCCCTTTTTGCATCACCGCTGCACGTCTCCAAACCTGCTAGATTCTCCCTACTCCCGCCTCAAACGCCCAGTGCTCCCGTTCTCGTTCTGTGAGCCCCCGCGGACTGCACAGACTGGATGTTGCTGTCAGTGAGCAAATCCAGACCACTTTGACCGAGCTACGACAAGGACATACCCGTCGTGTCCCAACACAACACCAGACCAGGTCATTCCCTGTTCGGCCGTCGTATCTTTCACAGTATCAGCCTCTCCCACCCCCATCTCAATCTACGTCCAATTTGCCAGCGAATCATAACTACCACGCCTGCGGCCGGCACCCGTTCCCTTCTAGCCGAGACACCTAACGACTGGCGAAGGAGAAATCCTGTGGCTCGGCTGCCAACATATATACCTATCTCTATTTACATCACTCACCCTAACCTGGGTATATACCTACGTACTCGGCTTGTTGTTTGTGCAACACGTATTACCGAGTGGGATCCTTTTGCTGCGCTGTACGTCTTGGGTAGTTGAGCTCATTTCTCTGCTTCCACCTCGCCTTGTCGTCAGCGGTTCAGCTTGATTTTCGATCCTTCACCCCAAGGACTATCATGACAACTAACAGCCGCAACCGGATATTCTCTTCTCCTTGTCGGAGGTTTCTTCTCTGGGTACTGACGCCTTGAAAGCCTTCCTGGCTTCCACTGGCCAAACACACTGCGCACACGTCTCGCTATTCACATTTGCGTTTCAGGGAAACATTCTTTCAGATTCGCATTTCATTTTTTCCCTCCCAATTTCCCGATCCTGCCCTGTCTCTGTGGTGGAACCTGCAAGAGTCACAGGTCTTTCCCCCTCCCCCGCCAACACATTACCCCACACTGAGAAATAGTCCCCAAGTCGACAAAAAAAGAAAAAAAAAAAAAAAGAAGGGATCCGGAAAAAAAGGGACAAGAGTGCTCCTCGAGACACGTTCAATCCAGATCACCGAGTCGGAGAAGAAAAGAAAAAAGAAATACAGACCCTGGCGACCACTTATCGGATTGCAAACCAAATATATACGTTTTTACTCGCTTGTCTTTCATGGATGCACCCGGAATACCCGACATTGGGCCACGCGGACTACCCGTCCTCTCTCGAAACAAGCGGCCCACGACCCCGACTCTAAAACTCGCCTACCAAACCAGTACCGGCCGCGGTGGGGGAACTGACCCGGCCTCACCGCCTCAAACCCCGACTTCCGCCTCATCACTGCTCAACCACAAAATGGCGACGAGCAAGGCCTCCCGTCACCTACCCCCTTACCACAACTTGACCCGTCCAGCAGTGTCGCGAAAATCCCACATTCAGCCCACTGGCAATGGCCATCAATTCAGCTATTCCCGTTCCAACCGCTTCGCTCAGTTATCACCACAGAGTAGCTCGGAAGACGATGATGAAGATGACGACGATGAACAAGGTGATGAGGACGTGGATCGGGAATCATCCGATGCCGAATCGTCAGGAACTGACATGCCTCGATCCTCAAGCGACGAGGGAGAAGAGGAGGAGGAAGACGATGACGATGACGACGACGACGACGATGACAGCAACGCCCACGATGACGACGAGTATACTGCCCATGACGGGGTTAAAGCCGGCAACAATAGACGACGTCCCCAAAGTAATCCAAGTGAAGATCGCGACAAGGAAGAGGATGAGCTGGAACTAGACCAGCCGACCGTACTAAGCCCCGCAGTCGAGCGCGCTAACCGGTCCACATCTTTGGCGAACTTGACCGTCGAGGAGTTGTCCGACTTTGACCCAATGGACCAGGAACGTGCCGGTGTCATCGGCCCCACTAGCATCGAGTATCCCGATACGGAGCGGTCCCGCTCTCGGTCTCGCGACATTCGCAGTTCCGCAAGCAAAAGCGAAGGCGAAGGCAAAAGCGGAAGCGGAAGCGAAAGCGGAAGCGGAAGCGATTCCAGCAGTCGCCGTCAATACCACCATTCTCTCGCCTATGCCAACCTCACCCACCGCCCGCGCCGCTCCGAACTTGACCGCAACATGATGTCAGACCTTCGAAATCTGAACTGCACCGCCTCCGAGGCATCCCGGGAGGCATCCCCGGCGGTATCCTCGGCGGTATCTCCGGAGGCATTTCCCAGGGCGGCCCATCCTTGCGATGTCGATGCCAATGACGAGGAGGACGACTTTTTCGACCCCGCCGACGACGCCGCGCTCAAAGAGTTCGCGCGCATGCAGCGCGAGATCAAGATGCGCAAGCGCCGATCCCACGGTAGCTCCATCGGCAAGCGTACGCACTCGGAGCGAAGCGACAGCGACGGCCTCGAAGATCTTATCCCGTTCGGGGACGACATGGCTGCCTGGGATGCCGTAGGTGCCAGTGCACGGCGGTTGCGGCGCCGTGTAGGCGACCGGCGCAGCCTGCAGTTTCAAGACCCACCGCCGGAGCGCATCGAGGAACTCGAAGAGCCCTCGAGCGGCGAGGAATATGCTGCGCGGCTGCGGATGACTCGAGGATTCGGCATGTTGTTTGGCGATGGCGAAGCGCTGGCACGGGAGCTCCCCTACTACGCTATGGAGATTGATGAAGATATTTAATTGGATTTTCGGCGTCTTCTGGGGCGACGGATACAATGCATAAAACGATGGACTCTATTTTTTTATACGAAACAACGATGGCCATGATAACGATGACGACGAGACGAAGGAACAAGAAAACGGGGAGGGTAAAGGGTAAAATTGGGGGAAACGGTATTAGGATATGGAGTTGATGACGTGCCATGCACATCTCGTTACATGCTGCGACACCTTTCGACGATACGCGATACATGACGGGTTATCATCTCAATGGAGGAAAAGCGAAAAGGATAATGCAACGTACACGAATGGTACGATGAGCATAGACGGAGGGTTTTCTGTTGTTCTGCCTTTTTCTTTTTTTTTTTTTTTTTTCTCATTTTTCTTTTTTTGGCCTGCATTTTTTCCCCTCGTCTTTTTGCTCGCCTTACATCTCGAACCCCTTAGCCCTTCACCGATGTTTCTCATTTCTTAGATACCTCGACCATAGACCTTTGATTTGCAGCGTCGGGAACATTCAGCGATGGATGGCATGGCAATGAGACGGAAATGGGACAGCGTTGCCTGATTTGATTTTCCTCTTGTAACTTGTCCCCTTCCTTGCCCTTTCTTTTCTATCCCCCCATAGACCGTTGCAGTGGAGGGGCCTCGGGGCTCTAATGAGATTGTGGCCTTTTCATTGTCCTTTTTGGCCTGCCCCCCTTGCCCAGTCCAATGTGAGATGTCTCCGTCCATGGCGCACCTTGTAATATTTCTTTCACGGGAACACCAGAGAGTTTGTCCGGACTTACAGCCTAGGGATAAACCGAATGCGAGGCCATTTTGGGTGGGAATCACTGTGCACCCCTTTCACCTTCAACCTTTGATAGTACCGAGATCACCATGTTTGAATACTAGTTGGATCTGTGAATGTTGCCTTGGTCTGGCGTCCTTCTGCTAGCTGTAATCCTTGCGAGAGCCCGGGTGATCGGTCTCTCATCCTGACTCTACGACCTACACAGCTTATGAGGCTCTTGTCACGAGCATTGATTCGGCGTCAATCACTCTGCGCGAAGAGTCCTACCGGTCGCTTAAGCCACATTGTCGGCCTGCTGTCAAGGGGGGCGTTTGATCGTTTGCGTGCTGCGACGGTGGTACTATTAGCTATTATCCTGGAAAGTCGCACGAAGAGGTCCGAGGATATGTCGAGACGTGGAGGATGTAACTAGAGGACGAGAGCAGGCGCAGACGCTCTGCGCAAGCGTTGCTAGGTGGCTTCGTGACATGACAGCAGGATGTGTTCGGGATGGGTTCCAAAAGGACAGTGCCAAATTGGAGCCTATATCGATCCCATTACATAAGCATACCCGAGAGGCCCCTCATAGTAATAATATAATGTTAACACACTGTAGTAGTGGGGTTGTCCGTCTACCCCGTACCGATTTACCAACTGCTCCCACTCCCTACCTCCGCTCTGAAGACGAATTACCTTAGCGTTGTCCAGGGCAAGTACGCACAGAGTTTAACGAGGCTTCTTCACTTGGGATCGGAAACGCCGCCGACCGTCATGGCCCTCATCAACGCGCACCTTGAGCAGATTGCTCTCTCATGCCAAGGGATCAATTCTCTTCCGTAAGCCTCTCTTCGCCTACGATGACTCTTCAACGAATCTTATCCTGTTCGACCTAACCCAACTCCGGCAGCTTCCCGCCCCCCAAGATTTTCACCAACGCCCTCCTCCACAACAACGACATCACCTCTTTGATCCGAGATACCGAGCCCCACGAGCGAGCCCTCTTCTCCGTACCACCACCGCTCCCGTCGACCACCCAGTCCTCCATCGCAAAACCGGAGGGCGACCGCCGCAAGACAGTCTTCGCCGTCTCGTCCGGGGAGGTCACAGCGGGTGGGGGGATCACCGGCCGTCCGGCGCGTCGCAACACTGCAGTGGCTGCCGTTCTGGGCGGGGAACTGCACAGCAAGCTCTCCCGGCGGCCATATGGGAGCGGGAGCGGCGGCAACGGTGATGTGAGGGGCGGCGGGGCTAAGAATGATGTGGACGTCGATATCCTGCTACGGGGTGCGGAGAAGCTGTGCGGGGTATACGCGCCTCCCGGGGCTCTGGAGAGGATCTCAACCCTCAGGGCGAGGTGGGCGAGGAGCGGGGCCACGTTGGAGTACTATGAGACGAAGGTGGCGGAGCAGACGGAAGCGCTGGAGGCGTTGAATCGGGGCTATTGGATGGATGAGGGCGAGAGGGAAGATGGACGAGAGGAGGAGGGCACATGGGACGAAGGGGACGATGGCATGACGGAGGAGGACCTACGTGCCGAAGAGGAAGAGGTGCGGGAGCTGGAGAGGAAGAAGAGGGAGTTGCAGGAGAGGTTACGGGCGATGGAAAAGGACCTTGGGGGCCTTTTGCACATGTGATGCATGTGATGCTGAAGGCGTTCTCTGTCGGTGGACAACCTGAACAGAACTGCGGCATGTATGATGATGATGAAGATGATACCCATTTGCGAAGAGTCTCAGATGATATTTTAGCCCCCTTTAGACAATACAATAGACACACATCAATGTCTTCCATCATAAGGGTCAACAGCGCAAGGCCGAGGGCGGAGAAAAAGAACGAAGGAACCGATAGAAGACCCCAAGGCGATGTTTGGACCCTCAACCCTCCTTCTCCTTGATGGCAATAAACTGCTCCAAGAAGGTCTCGGGTCCCTGTGCGCCGCCGACCCGGTACTGCCCCTGAATGACAAAATGCGGCACGCCGGAAACCCCCAACGCGAAAGCCTCGCGCACCTCCTGGTCGACCTCCTCGCCCCCCTTCCCCTCCGCGAGCCAGTCCCTCACCTCAGCGCCATCGAGGCCGCCCCGCTCGGCAGCGGCGACGAGGTGATCCCACGACGTGATGTCACCGGAGCCCTCGAAGTAGGAGCGCATAATCTCGGCGACGACGCGGTTCTGGGTCTCGAGTCCTTTCGCCTTGGCGAGCTGGGCGACGCGGTGCGAGTCGCGCGTGTTGCCGGTGAGGCAGTCGAACTTGAAGTTGATCCCTTCGGCTTGGCCTACCTGCCGGAGATGCGCCTGTAGGGGTTCGAGCCGGCTGGCGCTGAACTTGGATGCCAGGCGCTCCAGGAGTGGGATGCCCGTTTTCGGCGCGTTCGGGTCTAGGTAGTAGGGGTACCATGTTACGGTGAAGGTGTCATCTTGGGCAGCGGGGTAGGTGCGCTTGTAGAGGGCTATAGCCTTATCTAGACGGGCTTTGCCTATGTAGCACTGTTGTTTCTGTTGTTAGTTCTTGTGCTGATGATTCGAGTAGAGGGTCAGTGGGGGGGCCATTTAGGAGGGTGAATATACCCAGGGACAAACGTTGTCCGAGATGATTCGGATGTTGAAGTTGGTCATGTTGGAGGAAGGATCGCGGGGATACAGTGCTGGACTGCAAAATAGTGAACTATTTATAATCAATTATATACAGTGGCTCGACGTTCAACTTCAAGAACGAATAGTGAACTGTTGCTGGGGACATGAGGCCGGTGATGGAAGCATATTCCCCCATGGTTATTATACTGCGTGGTGAATAGTAGTATTTGTCAGCAAGTCGCAATGCCGTCAGCGCGGCGGCATGGAAGCCGGCCAGTTCTTTGCCGAGCATCTAGTTGAGGGATATAAACGTCCAAGTCCGAGGTAGGGATTAGGATTTTTTGCTATAAGGGCGAATCGGAACGTTTTATACAAACTATTAACTCCCCAAAGCTCAAGCAGCGGAAGCGCAGAGGGAAACAGGCAGTTCGTTTCTACGGCGGGGGAGGGGGAGCGTACTCCGTGACCCCCACACCGGAGCCGAATGCGTTGGACGATCGGAATTCCATGTGTGGCGAGCCCCGATCCCTAGACCAACCAGTGTGGGGAACAAAGTGAATGGTTATCCGACCACAGTAAGACATGTCAACAAAAAAAACAAGAACAAGCTGGGGTTTTACCATAGAACCATTTGAAACAGAAGCCAAAAGGGGGTATCTTGATATCTATAGCTCTATCCTAACATGGTCGCATAAACTCCTGCCATGGTCCATGACTGTTCCCTAAACGCCGCCATTCAATCAAAGTAGCTCTTTTGTGCCCAAAATTCCAGCATGGCTATGGATTCCCCGGCCTCCATGTGGAAGGATATGTCACGTCCTTTCCCGAAGGCGGGCTCCGACTGCGTGTTCGTGGTGCTCGCCCCTCTCCCTCTCCCTCTCCCTCTCTCCCCCTCCAATCCAAAGGTGGGTACTGCACCGCACGATCCCAGTTCTCGAGCGAAATATACGGGCTGCGCAGCCAGGCGCGCAGCTCATGCAACAACAACCGCGCATGCTCACGACCAATGAACTCCCGGATAAGCTCCTCCGCCACACCCGCGCTACCCACCATGTCGACCGTCTTGAGGATGGCGACGATGTATTCGAGGAGGAACTCGACGTTGTTGGCTCTGCGACGACGTACAGGGTCGTTTGCGTTTCGGCTGGACGGCTCCGCAGCGTCGTCATCGTCGCCGCTTCGGAGAAATTCAAACACCTGCAACTCGCGCCTCAAGAACATTCGAGCCCGCGATACGAGCTCCGGGTCTGTGTTGAACATCTGGGGAGCTAGTTCGCGGTAGCGGGACATGCGGTTAGACCCGACGTGCAGGGAGTAGAGCTGATTGCGGTATACGAAGCGGCGCCGTGTGAGGGGGTCGTCGCGGTTGTGCCGGCCTCCGGTGTTCAAGGATGTGTATGGTCTGCTTCTAGGGCGGTCGGGACGCTGGTGTCGTCGCAAGTTGTGCGCCTCAAAACGGTAGTATCTTGGATCGCCAGGAGATGTGTTTGCCGCTGCCCCTCTTTCTGCATCGGCTGGCCTTCGATGCGGAGCACGCTGGCTCTCCCTGCTCTTCTGTGGCACTGTGTATGTCTTCCATATCTTACGGTCGTCGGAAAACTCGTAGCGGACCTGTTGAATTTGCGTCTTGCAAAGAGGGCAGGCGGCTTGTTGTTCTAGCCAGGTTATGAGGCACAGATAATCAAAATGCCCGTGACCACAAGGCTGGGCCTCGCAGGGTTCGGAGAGATCCGAGAGGCAGATGACGCAGCAGTCATCGCTGGCGATCGGCTGAGACGATATACCCTCTACTGTAGTCCTTAAAACGGTTGATTTGACATCTCGGAAATCTGGGGTAATTTCTGTACCCGTTGTTGGCATGGCCGTTGTCGGGCAAGAGGGGCGGCGGGATGGGAGAGAGGAGAGAGAATGCGAGGGCGACGAGGGGACAGGGGAAGTTTGTTTCTCAAGTCAAGGGGCTGCAGATGTACGTACCATATTCTAGCCACTTAATTTGCCACATGTTATGTTTTCTGTTGTGGCGTAGCTGTCGCCGACGAAAGTGGTCCGAGCGCGCTAAGAAAGTCCCCACGCGAAATTGCACGCGTTTTAATTGAAGGATGATATCACTGAGATTCCCACTTCGCGTTGTTTTCGCGTCCCCCCGTACGGAAACCTACTTCAGTCAAGTTGAGTATCTTGGCGTCCCTCTCCACAACTTCAGCCTCTTCCCGCGATAGTGGACACTGCTCAATAAACAATTCGGCATCCGTTTATTATCAGTGTATTGCCAATGGACGACCAACAGAAAGCGGCTTTCGAGTCGCAGTCCCTAGAACTCCGCGCCGAACTAAAGACTTGGGAGTCTGCCTGGGCCAAGAGCCACCATGGACGGAAGCCTGGCCGAGATGATATCAAGCGCAACCCGGATATCGGTACGTCGAGAAGCCTTATTCCTATTTCCGCGCTCCCAGCTGACTAGACAACTTTCTCCCAGCCCAGAAATACAAACAGTATAACAAGCTTCGCGACATTTTATCCGGCAAGGTGCCCCCTCCTTCCAAGCACGATGACCAGCAAAAGAAGCGCAAATCAGTCGATTTGAAGACCCAGACACCCTCCAAAAGGCAAAAACATCTCGAGACTCCCTCCAAACCGCGTTCATCTCCATACAACCCAAAATCCACCGCGACGCCGTCCATCTCCAGAACCCTATTTAGCCCCGCGGCACCTCGATCCATTGGACCCACTCCACAGCGGGACGGTCGTGTTTTAGGCCTGTTTGATCTCATGGTAGAGAGGGAACTGGGAACCCCGTCCCGAGGGACCGGCGTGACCGCGATATGCGAAGCTCCCACCTCCCAGACGACGCCGAGCAAACGGAAAGCCGCCGAGATGGAAGACGACGACGACAATGACACGAAGCCAGGCCGCCGAACCCCCATGTCGGCGAGCAAAAGACAGCTCCTGAACAGCTTCCTGACCCCGCTCAAGTCCAAGGACGTCAACGCCCGAGCCGCCAGGACGCCCATGTCCGTCTCCAAGCTGCAGTTCAACACCCCGGCCTTCCTCAAGCGGCACAGCCGGGCCCCGCCCGACGAGGAAAACGGGCCCGTCCCGTCCCCGCCCCCTCTCCGGCTGCCGAGGAAGCCGCTCGGCCGCGGGCTCAGTGCCATCGTCGCCAGCTTGCGCAAGATCGAGGAGGAAGAGACCCACGAGGACGACATGGAGGCTCTTCGCGAGACGGAGGCCGGCGAAGACGCCCCGCCACCCAGAGATCCGGGGAAGCCGCCGCGGCCTGCGTCGAGGTCTGAGAAGGAGGATATCCTCGTTGCCGACAGCCTGGTCAGGAACCTGCCGTTGGGCGGGTTCGACGACGAGGCCATGTACGACAGCCCGGAGGAGGAGGCGGGGCTTGGCCGGAACGGGCAACCGCTGAGGATATTCAAGAAGAAGGGCCAGAAGAGGACGACGAGGAGATCGAACATGAAGCCGGTGTTTGTGAAACGGAGGACGGCCGCTGCTGGGACCGAACACCAGGAAGCAGCAGGCGGTGATGGGGATCCGGACGAAGAAGCTGTCCCCGAGACGCAGGTTGTTCGTGACGGTGTCAAGGATGATGACGGCGTGCCGTCCGATTTGGACGATTTCGTACCTTCGGATGGCGATGGGGAGGACGAAAATGAAGGAAAACCGGCGCCGAAGAAGCATGCCAAGGAGGGTCCGGTCAAGAAGGCGGCACGGAAAGTCAACGAGTTGGCGCATGCCAATTTCCGGCGCCTTAAACTCCGGAACTACGGGGCCAAGGGGGGGCCGGGACAAAATAGCAGGTTTCGGCGGAAACGCTAAGCAAGTCTCAAGAGACTATTCCGGTAGGGTGGCCTGGCGCGTATATGTATATCATATATGCGAGGGTCAGACTTGGGCATGGTGGAAGTGGTATCGGTTTCCATCACGAGTTGGAAACGAGCAAGGTCACGACCGCATCATGGGTGCACAGGCGTATAGTGAGGGTGTTCTGGGTTTAGCGATATTTTTATTCAAGGGTATATGTCGGGATTGGACGGGCTTTCATAGCCCTGCCACTTATTGCTCTGTGAGGAAGGATCGTCAGAAGATCAAAATGTGAGATCAACAGACGGGAGTACCCGGCATGATAGTGACCGAGTTTGTATTCAATGAGAGATGATAGAAGTGTTTGTTTCAACTACATAAGTTGGGACTGGTATCTACAAAGGCACATCCAAGGGTATTTTGTTAGATCTTGCTAAAATTTCACGCATCATATCGTTCCCACAAGCCTGAAGCAGCAATGGCTCTACTTGTGGGTGCTGAGGCTTTGAAGAGCCTGCAGTAGGATAGTGAGTTTCTTGGTCGTCTCCCAGTCGTAGCCCAGAGGCTCGTCGTCCAGCTTCTCCCTTTCAAGCCCGTTCCTATTCACGGCCTCGTTGGCCACTCCATTCACTTCCACCGGAGCAGGCTCCTCCTCCCAGGCCTTGGCGTTGAGGCGTCGCCACATGGCTTTCCGCCTCTCATGCCCGTCCATAAAGGCCTTGAACCATTCTCGACGGAAGGGGGGCAACGGACGTCCAATGCCCTTGCCCGCGGGGGGGCCGGCCAGTTTCCGTAAGGTCTCGAAATAGTCCTCAAAATCAGGAAATACGAGAGTAAAGCCGGCCCCGTCGCCGCGGACAGCGATCCAGTCTTCCTCCCAGCGGCGTCGCTCAGCGAGCGGGGGCAGGGTAGCGCGCCCGGCTAGGAGGCGTGCGGCGAGCACCGCTTGCCATTCAAAGATCTTGAAAGTCAAGCCCGCGCCGACGGCGCCGACGAAGAGAAGCGTCGGGTCCTCCTGGTAGACCACATGTTGATACAGGCCGGGGACGCGGTTGTTGCGAACCTCGACATCGGGTAGGAAGGGCAAGGACCAGGAATAACCGGTTCCAAAGACGATGGCGTCAACGTCAGGAACGGAAGTGCCGTCCGCGAAGTATACAGTGCGATTTTGAACGCGGGTGATGCTGGGATGGCGAGAAATACGTGGATGATTGAAGGCTTCGTCACCAAAGTAGACGTTGATCTTATGACCCTCCATAACCGCATGGACGGGGGATTGAGCAACACTGGTTAGATCGAAGGCGATGTCGGCGGCGGATACGGAAGCCCCGACCACGACGACGCGCTAGCAAAGGGTAGGATATCCAGTCAGTGCCGAGACGAGACTCATAAGTGAGCAGACATAGTAGGTAAAGGGGTGGAAAGCATAAAGGAATTACCTTGCCGGCATAATAATCCCGTCCCCGGAAGTTTTTGCTGTGAATGACGCTCCCCGGACGGCGCTTTTCGAATTGCTCCAGACCGTCAATGGCCGGGATATAGGGGACAGAGTAGTGACCACTGGCGACGACGACTGCATCGAACCATTCGACCCACCAGTAGTCCGTTTCGGTACCGTCCTTGCGCAGGGTCACCTTCCACTCATGGCCTACCTTCTCGACTCTCTCGACGGTCGTATTGTATGAGACGAGATCACAATAGCCGCGGCGGTTTAGGAGGCCCTGGACGTAGTTGCGAAGAACGGTCCAGTGGCGGAAAGGAGTGTCTGGGCCGTGCAGGGCCACCGAGTTCGCCGTGCGGTCATCCGGTATGGGTTCCTGCGAGAAGGACATGGCAAGGGCTTCGACATTGGTCTCGAGATATGGGTAGACGGATGAGTCGGTAAAGCGTTGTTGGGCCAGTTTCGGGGTCTGGGCCGGGAGCCGGTCCGGGACCGGGACCGGAGGGTCGGCGGAGCGATCCGCGAGGCGGGGTAAGTCGGAGAGAAGGGGCGGAGGGCTCTCATCACCAATCCTATGGTATAGCGTCTCAGTCATGCGACTCGACCCACGACGACGAGACATGGTAATGCCAAGGCCAATACTTTATGCCGACTTTGCTTTGGTTCGGTTTGGGTGGGGATAAATTTGTATGGGAAAAGATAAGAACAGATATTCCAAGGGTGAGAATGAGACTCACCAGCAACCCCCGGCGGCCTCTCGCCTCTCAAATACACGGATGAGATCAAACGCCTGTTCCTGGGCCAAAGCATCTACAGCAATAGCCCCCGCGGGACCGGCACCAATGACGGCGACTCTCTTGACGCCTACCATGTCGCGCTCTTGGTAGAAGGGAAGGCTGGCTTGTGGGGGAGGCAGGAGAATGTGCTAATGGGGAGGGAGAGGGAGGTAAGGACGGAGATAGGGACGGAGGTCAAGAGTCGAGACGAGGAGGGAGCTGGGAGCGGAGGTTGGAGGGAAGTTGACAAGGGAAGGAGAAACGAGAGATGCGGCAAGATAAAATACTCGGACTAGAGAGTGAGGGACTGGGAGGAGAAAGGAAGTTATTTAGGTACAATTCCATATAGGTCCATATTTACTTCGTACGTTACTCTCGGCATTTGTAGCTGGGAGACACCTTCCCCGGACGTGGGATGCTGGGTAGCCGAGAACCAGACTTGGAAGGAGCGCCCCTGAAGAAGTTCCTTCCGCCAAAAAGAAAAAAAAAAAGAACACTGAAGGTACAGACGGTCGACAAAAGGACCGAAGCACATTACAGGCAAATGGTTATGTAACGTGTTTCGACTCTTTTGTCAGACCACTGTACTTTAAATTGTACAGTACCCTTAACTCCCTTTCCCCCGACGTCGCTCGTCTCTGGTTTTTCTCCTCTAATTCAACCATCACCAACTTTCAACTCTCATCAACCTCCAAAGATGGAGACGAAACCTATTGCGCAAAGGTGAACTTTTTCAAACTCCGTCTTTCAAAACCCGACATCATGGTATTCGTCACTTTAGTCCGTCGGCGTATGTTGTCATCGCCCCTGCGCACCCGGCACGCTTTCCCTTTTTGCTTATATTGAGTGTGGGAGAACTGCAGGTCTGCACCCTGTCTCTTCGCGCCACGACCCTTAGAACTGGTAACTGAACTTGCCTCGGGAGCAAGATCTCCCTGTCTGCTTATATGGAGTTGTGGAGTCGTGGGGTCGATCAGTCGTCCGTCGAGATGTGTCTTCCGGTTGAACCATCTTAGCGTGCATGGCGTTATCGACCCCTGCCGACTCGACATCACTGATGTTGGCTGCTCTGGCTTCCATCGAAGTTCATACACATACCAACGGGACGCTCTTTGACTAAGGTACCATGCTTCTTGCATCGTCCCCACTGTTCGCTGCGAAGGGGCCCATACAACGTAAGAGCCTCCCTGCCAGGAGCGTTGGGAACTATTATTGCGCAATCTTTACCAAGTCCCAAGGGTCTGGCCAGGATATTTCCTCCGGCCTCTGAATCTCTGTTGATCCCATAGTCTATGATATAGACAGGCCTTGATACGTCTGACGTCGGGATCTCGCCGGTGTTTGAACCTGCGGTGAGAGATTTTGTCAAGCTGGTGTTGTGTTCTTGTTATAATCATGGCCCTCGAAGCGTATCGCATATCATCCGAATCGGCCTCTGTCCCTGACCCATTGGAATTGCCGTCAAGAATTCAAATCTGGTGATGAACTGTTCGCGGAGGCCGAATCCCCTCATTTGCTTAGCCAGTTCCGTTCAAGATCCCGCGTTCACTCGCCGTGTTTGTTCTCTGGTTCTGTTATTCGTTTCGTGTTAGCAAGCCATCCGCCACAACAAGATGGCCGTATCTACCTTACCTGGATTCACCGAGAAAGACACCGGCAATGATTCGCCTTCTGATCAAAACTCGGTCGAGCTAGCCGAGTCCCTGGAGTGGGACGAGAAGGAGGAGGCGAAAGCCAAACGAAAGTAAGCGATGACCGGGTTCAAACACTCGGCAGGGAAGAACTTTGTTTGTGATTTGCTTGTGATGCGGGCTCTAACCTGTCTTCCAGAGTCAATTTCTCCGTCTTGCCTTGGCTGTTTCTTGGACTACTCGTCTTCCAGCTGGACCGCATGAACATTGCGAGCGCCCTGACAGGCGGTTTCGCCGTGGCCATCGGTGTCTCCCAGGACACTGTCAATCTCGGCAACCAGCTCATGTCCATGGGTATTGTGCTCCTAGAGATACCCTCTAACATGCTGCTTCAGAGGGTGTGCTTCCTATTCCTTCTCCTCGACGCTTGCCACGAGCGTTATGAGTTCTCGAAAGTTCTCTGCTAACAACTCATCTCCTGTCGTAGCTTGGTCCTCGCGCATGGATTTCGAGTCAAGTATTCATCTTTGGCCTTGTCGCCATGCTCCAGTTTCTCCTCGTCAACCGTCCCGGGTTTCTCGCCTCCAGACTCATCTTAGGCTTTGCCGAAGCTGGATACATTCCGGGGGCAATCTACACACTCTCTACCTGGTATCCCAAGCGCGAGCTTGCCCGTCGCGTGGCCATCTTCTTTTTCGGCATGTTCGACGGTAACGCTCTCAGTCCCATCTTGGCCTCTGGCATTCTACACATGGACGGAGTCCAGGGAATGCGAGGTTGGCAGTGGCTCTTTTTGCGTCAGTAATCCCCCCTTTTCCCCCTCTCCCCTTTCCCTTTCCCCCCTTTCCCCTTTCCCCTTTTCCCCTTTCCCCTTTTCCCCTTTGCACCTCCTGTGGTATACACAACCAACGTCCATCCGCCATCCCCGTTCCCAAGAGTGACTAACATAATTTCTTTTTGCAGTCGAGGGCCTCTTCACCATTTGCGTTTCCTTTTTGCTCTTCTTCGTCCTCCCTGGGTCTCCTGATCAGCCCCGTCCTCTCTTGAGCCGCGGCCTCATCCACTTTACGGAGAAAGAACAACGGATACTCCAGCGCCGCCTCGAGCTTGACGATGAGTACAGAAAAGGTGGCGCACAGGGCATGCGCATCCCCTTAAAACTCGTCTGGCGCATCGTATGTCACTATCGCCGTTGGCCGCACTATGTGTCTACCTTTGCCGTTTTCTCAACTTGGTCGCCCCTGACGACCTACACTCCGTCCATTATCATGTAAGTTGCCCCCTGAACCAACGAGTCTTTCCTTTTGATGTCCTAGTGGTTACTAACACGGGAGGCTTGCCGTAGGTCTCTTGGTTTCGATTGTATCGCTGCCAATGCTCTAGCAGCAGTGGGCGCCTCGCTGGCCCTCGTTGTCGTTTTCTTCTTTGCTTTTATCAGCGATCGCACCAACAAGCGGGGACTTTCTGTCATTCTAGCCCACCTCGCCTACCTGGTCGTCCTTATCGTCGCTCGCACTGTCCATCCCCATGTCGGTCGGTGGTCACGCTGGGGTCTGTGGACGGCTGTCAACAGCTTGGCCGTCGGATACCACCCCGTGCATAACTCGTGGGTGCAGCTCAACTGTCGAGAGCCAGGCGAGCGGAGCATTGCTATTGCGTACGTGATTCATGAAGTTTCCATTGGAGAGCTTGCTTGCTGACTTGAGCCAACAGAATGTTGGTGATGTCTGCCATCAGCGGTTTGATGGTCGGTACGCGGTATTTCAGGGGAAGTGATGTGCCATTGTAAGTCCAAGAATCGTCGCACCATGTCAGCCCCTCCGAACAAGATTCTAACATGGCTTTTAGTTACAATACCGGTCTGCGAACGTTGATTATCATGGTCTCCCTTGGCATGTTCTTCGCCATTGTACAGAAGGTCGTTTACATTGTGCATAACCGCCGTGTGCGGTCGGGCAAGCACAAAACGAAGGATGGCTCGCCTCCATACATTTATGTGCCTTGAGGTGACGGAGTTTTATTTCGAATTTATTGTGCGGAGAGTAACTTTGCGAATGATCGAAAAGTGAGGATAGTAATCGAAACTCTGTATACATCTTATGGTCGGACATACTTGCCCTGTCCACGGCTCGTAAATGGCGTAGGAATATCGGACTCGGAAGGGCATTGCCTCATACCCCGTGTTACGTATGAAGAGCACAGCATCGTAGGAAAATGGAACAGGAAACCATAGCAAGGTGCGTGAAAAAGCGGCCATATAGATGGCGCAGTTTATGATTGATAATGAGACATCTAGAATTTGACAGTTTCTATACATGGCGGGAAAGATGTGGAATGGGTAGGCAATGTCTAGATCCTGTTTTCCTAGTCTTGCCAGTCTTCCTAGTCTCATGTCTTCATCGCCTCAAAACACCCTGCCGATTAGTACATGTCTAAATAGGAAGGACCGATACCCCGCCTCATGCCGGGGTGATAAAGTAGTAGATCAATGCCAGTGGTCGCTGACAGAACGCTGCTCAAGGCCGCGCTTGGAAACCCAGTTGGTTCCGTTGGCGCGCAGGCGCTCGGTGGCGGCGTCGAGGTCGACAGCGCCGCCGAGGATCTTCTCGACGATGCGGGGCAGCTCGGTGTTGTCGAAGTTGCCAGCGAGCTCGGCCTTAAAGGCGTCGGCCTTGTCGCCGGCGGCGTAGCCGAAGAGGGTGACGTCGGAGGCGGTGTGGCCGCCGCTGGACCAGTGGACGCCGGCGCGGGCGCTGAGGAGGGCGAGGACCTCGCGGGCGGGGTTGGAGGAGGAGACGATGGTGTTGATCTGGGCGTTGGTGGCGCCGGCGAGGCCCATCTCCGGGAGGATCTCGGAGACGAGGAAGGCGCGGGGGTCGACGCCGGCGGGGCGGTTGCGCCAGACGCGCTCGATGTGCTCGCCGGAGCGGCGGGTGTCCTTGAGGCCGAGCGGGTTGAAGCCGTTGAGGGTGAGGCCGCCGCACTCGTGGTCGGCGGCGGACATCATGACGGTGTCCGGGTGGTCGTCGATCCAGTCGCGGACGAAGCCCATGACGTCGTTGTACATGATGGTGTCGTGGAGGTGGGCGGCCGGGTCGTTGGCGTGGCCGGCGTGGTCGATGCGCGAGGCCTCGACCATGAGGAAGTAGCCCTGCTCCTTGCAGTGGGTGGCGCGGTGGAGGGCGTTGACGGCAGTCTCGACCATCTCGACCAGGGAGGGCTCGTCCTGGTCGATCTTGCGGTCGATCTCATACTTCATCTGGTCTATTGATTGATCGTAGGTTAGATTGGGTACTTGGCATATGAATCATAGTAGGGGGC